AAGAACGCTGCCGAGAGAGGTGCCGAGGATGGCGAGGGCCTCTACCACGACGATTCCGAACACGCGAACGGCAATGGTGGAGTCAATTTCCAACACGAGGATATGAGCCGAAGCCTCCTTTATGCTATAAGGTATATCTACTAAATGGCAATGGCCTGTGTCTATACTTGAATACCTCGACTAACGATTCCCAGTAACAACATTGGCCAAATCGCCTACCTCCAATCAGAAAAGCACGAAGTCAAGCACATCTACTTCGGCGGCTCCTTCATTCGCGGCCACCGCCAGACCATGAACACCCTCTCCTACGCCATCCGCTTTTGGTCCAAGGGCGAGAAGCAAGCGTACTTCCTACGCCATGAAGGATACCTCGGTGCCGTGGGCGCTTTCATTCGCCGCCAGCCGCAGAATTGGGGTCGGAGGAATAGTCTCGATGAGGTGGTGGCACCGCAGGCGGTCCGGAACCTTGCGCAAAATTCCGTTTTGAACCAGAATGAGCAGAACGGAGCATCTAGTTCTTCATAATCGGTGGTTACGGCGGTACTGGTGACTCTTTCTCTCTCTCTGTGTCTCCCTTCTCTCTCTCTCCACCCTACTTTCTTCTACTTACCCTACCTCTTCGCCAAAACTTCTCTTGAATCAAATCGATACCCCTCATTGAATGTATACTCTGGCGCATCTCGCCCATCACACATGGCGGTCCCGAGATTTGGATTCTGGATGTCTGCTTGCTTTAATAGACACATGGTTGTGGCCCGGCGTGGCCCAAGCCCCAAATGCATTGCATTTCATTTTCATTTTTATCTCCTTTTTTTCTTCTTCCTTCTTCCATTTTCTCTCGGAAACTGCTGTCTTGTTCCTACCAAAAATAAATTATATACACTTGTATATGCTGTGGACTTTGTGAGCCTGGTCGGGTAGCGCCCTGGTAAGGAATATGCCTCCAGGGATTGTCAGTGGAGTATAAGGGGTGAAGATGCACAGTTGGGTCTCGGACGTTGAACAGGATACTATCTGTGCCCTGAGCAATGCAAAAAGAATCTTTAAATAAACATAGAGTCCATTGTTTCTTTTGATATCTCTCAAATCCAGTGCCGACCATGATTGCCTTCCATATCGGGAGACAGAGATACTATTTTAAACCCTAATCATATAAGGTTTTATGCTGCCATGCATATCACTTTCGAAGTTGGATTATAAACTTTAGCCCGCTACGCTAGGTACGGATTCGTATTCTGGCCTAGTTGGGTAAACCAACTTTCGAGCGAGGGGTCAGCGTAAATGATATCAACCAACCAACCGGCAGTAGTGTCAGAAAGCTCGCGACGTCAAGATGAAAAGATGTTTCCGATGCCAACTGTTTATTTAATACCTAGGTATGTCTTACCTTTTTTTAGCACGTTTTGGACGATATCAAGTTTTTTATACTATTTTATAGTAATTTCTTCGCCGTAATTCAGTCTGATAGCACTTCCGTATGGCAGCAGCATGTAAAGCACATAGAGCGAGCTACATCGGGCGAATGTGTCACTAATTAGTCATAATAGTAGTAGTAACTAGTAGACATGGTATGCCAGATCCCGTTATCCACCGTGTCCGTCCAACTCATCAGCACAATCCCCACCATGCCAGGCATTCACTCAACTAACTCAACTACCACAGTAACGCAAGGGGTAGTTGTAACTATCGTAACAGTACTAGTAGCCATAACAGCAGTACCACAATTCGACTAGTCAACCCCATCATAGGAACACGTGTTAACCCCATCGGGAGGAGGTTCAGAAAAGCAATAACAGCAAATTGCTAAAGTAAAAAGCCCCGAAGTCCAAAGAGGACAAGCAGCAGAAAAACCATCCTCGTAACAGTAGTTACCAGTTTGCCCGAAAAATAAATCGCAGTCGAGCGAAGAAGTGGCAGTAGTTATAGTCGCAGCACAAGCAGTAGTGATTGTGGTCGGGGTTGGTGTACAAATACAGCCTCTATTCCATGTCAGCCTTCGGATAGCGCTACTATGCAAAGACGACCGAGAGAGACTCACGTTTGACCAAGGATAAGTCTAAGTAAATTAGGAAATCTATTACTGCTATCACAGGAACCAGACTGGCCTCTTGAAATTCGACACTTCCATGAACCAAATTATTAGTATCCCTACAATCTTTGTAGATATATATGAAGGTACCTAGGTATCTTACGTCGGCCTCACAAGCCGCTGGGTCACATACCTCCCTCGACCCCGACTCCAATGGCCCCAATGTTGCCGCCCCCGGTGTCGATGTTAATCCCACCCCCATTGCCATTCCCAATACTGCTACCCTCATGGGACACCATACCTCCACCTCTAGGCCCATCCCACTTTGGCGGAGCATCTTCACCGGAGAGCGCAGTCACAAGAGTGCAATATAAAAGGGACAGAGGTGGGAAACACATCTTCGCAGAGGTGTTTGCTTAAAGCGAGAACAATAAATTAAATGGAGAAGAATATCAATTTAAACCTGTCGTAGTGCTCGTACGGTGTTAAAGTTGTGTCCTACTCTGTATTATGTAGAGTATGCTTGCGGTTGTTAACTCGCTCTCTATGTTTTGTTTTTATGAATGAACCTCTCAGACATACTGCCTGGAATGTAAAAAAACCTCTTCTCTACACGAACTACATATAGATATGTAGAAATCTCGAGGAACGCGCCTAGATCTCGGCGAATCTTTCCGACAATCGGAATAGTGTTCTGTCAAGCTCTGCCTTTCTGACAGTTGACTAAAAATGGGCCAAGCATTGTGGAATGTAGGTACAAAAGCGCACGGCTTTGATGGGACATTCCCCGAAACATAACGGGGCAGCCCAGGATCATGGCATGTACGGCCGACCAATCAGATCCCGGAGAAGCCATTCTGTTTGCTGAACATTTTGCCAGGATCTAATCGCATACAAAAGACAAGAAATCGGTGAGAAGAGGCCCCTACCGTCCGCCATCTTACGTACCCGTATAATACGGTGAATTATATCATTTAGAAACCACCATATTTCTATGAATCAGCCACGATCTGCAGCTAAGGCAAATATAACTTAGCATGTTTCAAGATGGGACTGGATAAATAATTTCTGAGCGCGCGCTGGGAATTTGATTTCGAACATGGCAGTACCCTTGCGGCGCGGCTGTAATGAGCCCCAGATAAGGCGGCCAATAATTTTCCGCAGCTGGAGTTTAAAAAATACCGGCAAAGCTAAGATTAAAACCTGGTTAGAGATTATCTCGCAGATGCGTTTTTGTAGTAAGTTCGACCAGCTGGGCTCTTACTGGTTATCTTTTTAAGTTAGAATAGTAATAGTTTATTATAGAAACGGCGGTAAAGGTCTTCGATTGTGAGTATACGCTGAGGAGAAGGTACATATTAATAGATATCAGAAGCTAGGTCCAAGAGACAAGGGTTAGGGTATCGCAAAACCAAGGGATAGGTAGATTATTAGTCTAGTAGTATAGAGATAGCAGGGGATATTGAGTAGAGAGATTAAGGAGGCTCAGAGACTTCAGAAGAGCAGGTCGGTTGATATTATTACAGTCCTAGTTCAGATAGCATAGTTGACTGTTTGAAGACTATATAATTGTTCATAGTTGAAAGTTCATTTAGTAGAATAGATACTAGCGCTGATACGGACGGCAGTCATTAAGATAGAGATACGGTATCTAAGAGGACAACAATATTGGGAATTTCAGAAATAGGCTTCAAATCACGACGGATAATCTGCCATATGTAGTCTGCCAAATAGACTTATTGCATCTCTCCAATAGGATTATCCTGGAGTGTATACAAGGGCATGGTAGATCTATAGGCAAAACAGCACGCTGATCCGCCAGATTCTGAGGGCTTACAATACAAGCTATTCGGGGCAAGTAAGAGAGGAGTGACATCGAGAAGCACTTGTCTTATAAAACGAGAGAGCTCTAGCTGCGATGGTAGAGTAGGTGATGGGGATTTGGTAGAGAGGCTCGTCGTTGGGATGTAGGATACTTCGGTTGACTGGAGGAGCGGGATTGGTGGATTTGAGGAGCGAAGAAGGACGGCTTAGGGCTGAGAGAGGCTCAGGCTTCTACCCTCCTCTGGCGTCTGGATGATGTGAGCTCATCTCTCTAGAGTCTCTCAAGATTCGCTCTCTCGCCGGTTACAGTGCGCCCGTTACAGTGGTCGTGATCATGATCTACCCGTACAATACATAGATACAATGTTGATTGTTAATCTACAAAACTAACAAAAGTGGTAGTGGAAAACTCCCATCCTGGAGTCAAACTTCTGACCTAAAATTAGCCGGTAAACTCAATCATTTCATAAACCAATAATCACAACGTAAGGTAAACAGAAAAATGCAATAAATATTACTTCTCAACCGCACATAACCCCCGCCAGAAGAACCTTGTGTGGAGTAAATCACCCCTTTAGTCAAGTAAGGGCAAAAAAAGGAACACTTAGTAAATCTTTTCACCACCGTCAAGACTTTCGGCGGTCTGATCAAGTCACATATTTTGATTTCATCGCAGCGGACCATCATTTATATCACGTAGGAAGCGACAAGCTGTTCCAATTTGGATCGCCCGTTGAACAAAGAAGCCAGAGTCTGGGTCCTCAAGGATCAATTCAAGAGAAATCTCAAATGATATTTCACCGACAGTGAAATCAAGGCCATTCGATCTACATGACGTACATTTTCCCCAGCGTTGTTTGCTATGTTTTCCATTGTGTGATGACTCAGGCAATTGCTTACTGATAGTATGAGGTATAACCCTACATCGTAGGAAAGCCTTTGTGCTTCCGGAGATCTCCATTAGTACCACACATATAGAATTAAAGCTCACACCTGCGCCCACAATTAAAAAGAAATTACAACTCCCATGGCCCCCTTTCTCTCTACTAAATCTTTTCGAATCCCGCTTTTCTCACCATTTTCCACCCTGCTTCTTGTAAAAGCTTGGGCTCAGAGCGATCTAAGTCGACTACAACATACAAATATTATGGCTGTAACCAAGGAAGGTGGCTCGAAGGCGGCGACAGTAGGAGCTAAAGGTGGAGTGTCAAAAAAGGTATTCCTAACAACTTCGTTCTGGTGTTGTCATGAAGGGCCCAACTGGTTATTGCCTAGAGCTAAACTGACTAATTATAAACAACAGACAGAGGCTCACAAGCCAAAGCCTGCGGACCCAAGTCCTGCGGATGGGGAGGAGGATGAAGAAGTAGATGAAGAGGAAGACGAGGATGATGAGGAGAATGACCCTAATAAGAATCAAAAAAGAACCCTTCCACCAAGGAAAGCCCGCAGTTCAAGAAGCTGGCTTCCGGGGATTTTGATTTCGAAATCCAGTGCCAGTACGGGACACTGAACTCTCTCAAAGAGGCTGTAATCCATGATCTCAGCGACTGGCACGAGAGATCTTTCCAATACCCGCCAGCCTCAGTCCATAGTATCGCGACAAGAAGGCAGCAATTTGCCTGCAGCCGATACTACGACGAACAAGGCAATGAATTTCAAAAGTCCGTTTTTCATATCACGGCTAGGAGCCAGATTCCAGGAGATCAGTGGCCTGTACGGAAGTATGCCCTCCTAGTCCTTCACGAAGAAGGGAAAACTGGGGAACCAATAATTTTCACAAAGGGTGTCCCACTCGCACTGGCAGAAGGCTCGGGGAGACTTTCTTTGGGATATGTGTGGGATGCCCAGGAAGAACAATTTGATGCTGACCCTTTCGCGATACGGGTCTATATCCCTGAAAAAATGGCCGATGCGGCTAAGGGGGATAATTTCGATCCTTCTTTCTTTGATATTTCGGAAACTCAGCAGAGGTCAAATTATCAGGAGCTGGAGAGCAGAGCGAGAGGCCGTCTGAGGGTCAGAGAAGCATCACAATTGTCCTCCAAAGTGAAATCGGAATTTCCCCAGGTTGAGATGCGTCGGCCTGCGAAAAGGCTGAAGACGGAGGAGGAAACCTTCATTTGGAACGACGCATCCACCGGACGGCCTGGGGAGATGCCGCAATTTCTTGGTTCGGCTCGAGTGAGGTTGCTCTCTGAGGAGAGCGATCACGCTCGCGTCTTTTCATTAGACGGCTGCGATATCAAATCGCTTTTTGGCAAGGCGAGGGAGTTTTTCGGGGTCAAGGACCCTGAGAAAGAAATCTCTCTCGTCTGCAGGGCCCCTGGACTTGGGTCGCGCAGATACATAGGTGAAGACTGCGCCGATGAGTTCAGCCTGCTATGTCACGACGTACGGAAGCTCTCCATTGCGGAGAGAGGATCAATCGAGATAACCATTAAGCCTGCGGCGCCAGAGCGCATCCAAAAAAGCGGTTGATTTGCCCAGGCATCTCTTAGTGTGTTATCATGTTTTAGTTAGCTTTGTTATTCCAATTTATAGTCCAATTCGGACGTTGCTACACTTCTTCCTGTTCTTGTATACGTAGTACCACTAGTGCTCTCTAAACTTCTGCTGTTCTCCATCGATTGTCTCAGCTCCCACCACTAGTAGTATCTATACCCAGCCTACTAATTGAAGAACACCAATTAGATATGTCCCACATTCCAAAAATTTCCAGATAAATTCTGGACTCCAACTCCTTCAAGACCGCCAAAATATAGAAACGTTCCCAAATTGGAAACCGAGGGCAGAGCGATCACATGACTTTCCCCGGACACGTGGGATTGCGCGTCTTGCAGCTTGGGGCGCGGAGACCTCAAATCCAGCTCCCCAAAGCCCATTAAGACGCTCACTTTGCTTCAAAGCCATGCGTCGGTGCTACCACTAGTCGCCTCAGCTCGATGACTCCGCCACCCTCTTCGCTCTCTCCAATCCCTCCACCGATCCCCGTCGACACACATCCAAACCGCAGTCCCAATTCCCGAACTCCTGAGGAGCGCGTTCCGGATCCGGACCGCCTGGCCCCCGAGGACGCATACTTTGCGCCCTCGCTGTCGCGTGCTCGCTCCGCTCCGTCAAACTATGATGAAACGCTTCGCTCGCTGAACGGTGATGCCGGTCTGCATCCGCCGCGGGGGGTGCTTGGCGCGGACCCTGAACCGGAAGGATGCACGGAAATTGGGGGCTGGTGCTGGACGGAGGAGGCGGAAAGGTGCTTGGAAGAAGTTACTTTGGGTGAAGCAATCTTGTATGTGACATGGCCGTTAGAAAGGAGAGGAGCTTTCTTGTGTCAGAATTGTGTGGGGTAGTGGACTGCGTTACTAACTGGTGGTAGACCCGGATAACTACACCGATACCGAGACATTTCTAGACCACCTCCAGCGAAATCCCCGAGTTCGGCCGTATGATTTTTGGCCGCTTGTATCGGACTCGACGGTAATCGTGCAGCATGTCTGCTCTGTGGTAATATTCGTTTGCTGTTTCGTTGATATTGTTCAAGACCGGGTGAGCCCCGTTTCGGTTGTCTGCTGGGGAAGTGTCGGTACGGCGGTGGGTTGGATTCTATGGGACAATTGGATCTGGAAAGAACAGACTGAGCTTTCGAATGCCAATGGCACCATCGGGGGTGATGATGGTTCGAGTTCGAGCTCGGTGACCAGTGCTGTCAACCCATCCGCCAACGACACCCAGGGCAATGGCGTCAAAGGCAGTCCGATCCATGGCCTCGGCTTGACAATGGCTGCAAACTCGTCAAAGGAACATCTGCCACATCAAAGTCCCGACCACAATAGTGGCATGGGCGGAATGATTGACCCTACAGCACGAGCTGGGCTCAACTTGGCTCCATCAAGTGCTGTCGCTGGTGACACAGATGTTCAAGATATCGACCGAACCTCTCTATTTTCCTCTCGCAACCGCCAACGACTCTCAACCGTTAAATCCGCCTTTTTGATCTACTTCTCCCTGCTGGGACTAAGTCCTATCCTCAAATCTCTTACCAAATCCACCGCCAGCGACTCCATATGGGCTATGAGCTGCTGGCTTATAATCATGAATATATTCTCCTTCGACTATGGAAGTGGCGAGGGCGCCGGCGCCACCAAATTCCCCGCTTCATTATCCACAAATGCAGCCGTCATGGCATCGACCGTGTTGGCATCCCGCCTCCCATCCACCACTCACGTGTTCAGCCTCATGCTGTTCTCAATGGAAGTCTTTGGCCTATTCCCTATATTCCGACGACAACTCCGCCAGAAGTCTTGGACCGGTCATGTGTGTCTTACGCTTGCGCTCGTGGTCATTGCAGGCGGCGCCGTCGGCACGACTATGAGTGGTGGCTGGGCATCAGCTATCATCGGATCCTTCCTTGGAGGTATCCTCACTGCACTTGCCATGGGCGGCTGCAGCTGGTGGCTCATCAGCTTGCAGAAGTATAAGAATGTTGTCATTGGTCCCTGGGATCCAGCTCGTCCCATTATCCGACGACACTGGAATTGATCCATGCTTCCTAGTAGCACTGTTGGTTTTTTCTTCGCCGTTGTGACATAGATCTGGCGTTTTTGGTCTTATACCCCTAGATTATTGTATCTTTCAGATGAATATATTTCAATCTGCATTCTAATTGCATGGCCTTTAGGTTCCTCGTCCATCATGAGGCTGTATCGGTATAAATTATACAGGCTAGTTAAATCCACCCCCGGCACCGGTTGGACTGAAGGCAATCGTCGCTGACCACCAAATCTACCTGTCTGCCTCCGCAATATCTTTCTTACTGTAAACCTGCTTGACTGTCGGAGTGTTCGGGAGAGAAAAATATCTCATGACGTCGGGGAATGTGAGCGGGAGGGGGACGAATGCACTGCCGATCCGGCATGCAGCCCAAGGCTGACCTGAACTTCAGATGAGCCTCGCCAGGGATCGCCAAAAAGCAGCTCAACCTCTAGGACATTAGAAACATACAATTAGATGTCACGAGTGGATGAATTTGTATCTGCAGAAGAAAAAGAAGGGAAAAAAAAAGTCCGTGATCGCCGCCAACTTCTACTACCTTTCAAGGGCAAAACGTCTATCAATTCACCGGTCCCGAAGTCTGGCCGACATTCCAACAACCCCCTCCCAAAGAGCCTGCTAGCCTCCCCTTCCCAATGGTCTTCTCAAATAGCCTCACACAGATCCACTCTTCAGCAAGGATGCTTAAATGCCCCGGAACTTGCTTCCATGTAAGCAATCCTATAGGTCCATCCAAATGGGTCGGTGGATGCATTTCACTATAATCCGGACTCTCAGACCCGACTGGCATTCTGGGGAGGGAATTGTTTAGTCGGCATATCTAACCAGGTGTGCTCGATGATTCTTATAGTCGCGTGTCCCAGCTAGGCGCGTGTGAATTGCCTGCCTCTCTTCTATCCCTCCTTTTGGCCCGGCGCTTAATTGTCTCTTCCCACGCGACTTGCTTTGAGCCTTGCTTCTAAGTCTTACTTTCGGTTCTTGCTTGAAACAACGCGTGACAAGCTCCAATAATGCTCAAGAACATTGCCCTCGGCCTGTTGGCCGCTCAGAGCGTCGCCGCAACGCGGTTCGCCATGTACATTGACGAGTAAGTGTACCATCCAAACAAATTTCCAAAAGAGGAAAACCAACCCAACATCATCTAGATGGCACAAGTCCGACCTTCCCGGCACGAATCAGACCAAAGACATCGACTATGCCGTGATGGCCTTCGCACAGACGACTCTCTTCAACTCGGACTCGGCCCCGTCTTTCACGCCCTTCCAGCCTGTCGATGATATGCGCAAGCGCTTCGGCCCAGACACGAAGCTCATGATTGCTATCGGTGGATGGGGAGATAGCGCAGGGTTCTCCACCGGCTCCAAGGACGACGCCAGTCGCAAGCGATATGCAAAGAATGTCGCATCCATGCTCGAAGCCAATGGATTCGATGGAGTTGGTTAGTTGCTCATTTTTAATAGTAGTGTCGATAGTATCTCCATTCTAACAGCCATTGATGCAGACATTGACTGGGAATATCCCGGCGGCAATGGCGACGACTACAAGCAAACCCCAAACAAGGACAAAGTCGACGAAATCGAGAACTACCCCAAGTTCCTCGCCGCTCTCCGCGAAGCCATCGGCAACAAGACCCTCTCCATCGCCGTCCCGGGCCGCCTGCAAGATATGATCGCCTTCACCAAGGAGCAAGGTCCCAAGATCTTCGAGTCCGTCGACATGGTCAACGTGATGAGCTACGATTTGATGAACCGCCGTGACAACCACACCTTCCATGCCAGTGACGTCGCCGGATCCCTAGAGACCGTCAACGCATACCTCGACATCGGCGCTAAGCCCGAGCAGATCAATCTTGGATTCGCCTATTACGCCAAGTGGTTCGAGACGGACCCCAACTCGGACTGCGAGGAGAACCCTCTCGGCTGTGCGACTGCTAAGCTGGAGAACTCTGACGGTAGCGACACCGGCAAGTCCGGCGCTGTAACCTTTGAGAAGAACCCTGAGTATATTCCCACCGCCGTCACTGAGTCCTGGAAGCGTGCTCAGAAGGGAGGCAAGACTGATGAGGAGAAGGGTGGTCAGTACTTCTGGGATAAGGAGACTAACTATTTCTGGACTTGGGATACTCCTGAGCTTATCACTCGCAAGTTCAGTGATATTGTTGATGCTAAGAAGCTTGGTGGTGTCATGGCTTGGAGTCTGGGCGAGGATACTCTTCAGTTCGCTCATGTGGAGGCGATGCAGAAGGGTGTTCGTAACTCTACCCAGAAGAAGGCGGATTCTAAGATGGTTGCTGCCAATAAGCCTGCTGTCAACAAGCCTGCTGTCAACCACCATGCTGTCAACCACCATGCTGCCAAGAACCATGCTGCCAAGAACAATGCTGCCAAGAACCATGCTTAGGCTGAAGCCGGATATGGGTGACTCATGTGAAATTCAGATCTCTAGCTTCCTTGACCTCTTATCGAAGATGCACACTATTGTGTTGATCTCAATGGTCATAACTTAATACTTACTGGAGGGCATTTAATTTCAAAAATTGCAAATTTCAATACTGGCAGCCATGACTATCCATCCGTATGTCTAACCTCTCGCAGTACCTGTAGAAGCTCTCAACTGGTTACGTGCAAGCTGATTGGCCGTGATTCACCTTTCCAAACTCAAGGTGGCCGAGTAGTTGGAGAAAAGGCTACGTCGGGTGCTATTCGAACACTGGTGGCAGTATTTACTTGGATTTATAATAATGTGTAGCTTCTTTGGTTTGGGGGTAGAATGACATTGCAATACCGCAAGGCTGTCAGCACCTGGCAGTACATGTTCTGATATATCATCTCAGTGGGGACACAAAGTAGTAGATCACAAAACTCGACGAATTAATAGTAACATCTGGGTATCAACAATAATAAAGGAAAGGGTTAGGTTCGTCGTAAAGGCCAAGAATAAAAAAAAGGAAATGTAAGTTATCTCGATCGTATCTGCCGTGGCGACCACCATTGCTTCTCCTCGAGAACAATCTCCCGTTGTCTATTACTCCACGCCCGAAGCTGTCTCTCCGGACCGACGAGCCGGACACGATCACGACCGCGCTCTGGGTACTTCTCGTGAGTGCAGCGTTTGAGGATCCGCTCGAATAACTCGAGGACGAGATAGGCGAGAGGGAAAAGAACGAAGATGGCCACAGCGACACATTCGGGACCATGAGTGTCGAGGAGGTCGAGTAGTTCTGACAGATTGAGGTACGAGGCAATGGGCTTCGAAGAGTTGCAGGAGCCATTCTTGCACAATCTGGATTTTGCGAGCGCATTCTTCGGGTGATTTTCGGATGGCATTAATGTGTCCATTCCGCCCAGGAACGTCCCGTAGAGACGACCAAGTGAGGAGTCTGGCTCTGAGTGGAGGTTTGATGACGGATTTGATGCGACGGATTGATATTTTGGGCCATGCAGTTCGACAAATTTGTTGACTTTGTCCAGGAATACGCCATATTGCCGGGAGGGCGAAGACGAGGAGGCTTGACGTTGCTGCTCGTGCTCGCCTGTATTCGATTGACTCGAGCTGCTCAGTAAGACCCCGTATTTTCTTCCAAAGAAAGATGCTTCATCTTCTTGGTTCTGGGATTCTGATTCTGATTCCGCCGGCCACTTTGCATCCGGACTGGGTCCTTTGGCGGATGACGGCCTTCCCAAACGGAGACGCTCAACGTACTCGCGAAAAGTCGGCTTGGGAGAAAACTCTTGCTCTTCGGCTGTAACGACGGGCTTTGGTTTAATAGTTTCACTGGGAGAATTTGAACCCAGGCGAATAGTAGGTGTATCACCGGTAAGGATAAATTGAATTGGCAGTGCGAGACATAGTGTCGCACAGAGACACAACAAAAGGAGATTCATTTTGGCAGGGGCAGCCCCCTGGCAGATGAGAGTAGGAGAGTTGCATAAAGGAAAAGAGAAGAGAAGGGGAGTCGAGGAGGGAATTAAGGGCGTCGCCGTGATCAGAAAGAAGCAGCAAGCAGCAACAACAACCCGCAACGGCGAGCAATGGCATGTGGCAGATGCGTCGCTGTGATTGGCCCGTCGGTGGGGGGCCACGATCTGTTTTGGGAATCCGACGGACTAGGTAGTCGCCCAAAAGGGAAATATTGAGGATTATCAACTTATAGCGTAATTAAAGTCTATAATTATGGTTATGGCCATCGCGAGCTTATACTTCTCAAGATAATTCCATGGGAGAACTCGTAGTTATAGGTCGGGGTTGCAACCGGACCCTGAGACCCTGACACTGCGGGCCACGGACCGGAGCGGAGCTACTACGGATGTACTTAACTCTATAGAACGCCACTTATTCCCCTCACCTGCCAGGGTTCCCTGTCCGAGGAAAGATCAGCCGACCTGCTACTGTGTTATGGGAGAACTAAAAAATACTCATAAAATGTCTTTGCTATTTATTGCACAATAGAATGCTTCACGATGATTTACTGGTAGTCCATCGGGCACTTTATTAGTACCTAGGTAAGGTATAGTTATTCCAAGGTTTGCTTCTAAAATATACACCAGATATATATCCCTGGATATCGATTGCTCATGAAGACTAATGTATTCAAAGAACTTGAATTTGTGCATGAGTTCTTAGCTTTAATTATCCGAGCCTCTGCACAGCTTTCACCCTTCAACTCTCAAACTGTCCTATCATGACCTTCGCCTATGAGAGCCATATTTCCTGTGAGCGAGAGACTAAGCTCTGCCAAGATACCCCGAGCTCAGTCATTCTCCACCAACCAGAAAGAAGACACAGCATTTCCCCCGGAGAGGCCACATTGGCAGCTTGGCAACAATCGTCAAGAAGAAGATGAGTGAACCTTTACAGTTCTTCTAAGGTTTCTTCCCCAGCTTCCAGGTTGGGAAAATACATAGTTGAAACGACTTCGCTGATTTAAACAGTGAATACTAGTGCTGTTACTACTACTACCTAGCACCACTAGTCTTGATCACCTGGCCACTCGGGCGCCAATCAGCCTCCGAGTTCCGTCGATAAATATTGGACTGTTACTCTTACTACTAGGCTTAGACTAATATAGTATATACTATTTTAGTAATGGGAGACTCAAGAAAATTTGAATTATTACTGAATTAATAGCGTAGAAATATATTGAACATAGTTAGGTATACTGTACAATCTATGAAACTTTTCCGATCACATTAAACTCCCTTCTAAGCCCGGCAAAGGCGACCATTTTGATCGGGCAGGCCATCCAGGCTCTTAACAACCCAGTCTTCACTACCCACACCAGTGGGGGCATAGAAGAGACCGGTAGGGTCATAGCGCTGCTTCAACTTATAAAGACGGGCGTAGTTGGAGCCGTAGAAAGCCTGTTGGAAGTTGGGCTCGAGAATATCAGACTCGGACATGTACGCACCAGCATCGGGGCTGACAGCGCGCCACTTGCCGAGAACATTGTTTGTGAAGTCCTCCATCTTGGACTTGATCTCGGTGTTGGTAGCGTTGGCGTCCCAGCTGGTAGAAGTGATGGCGTGCAGGAGGGTCTCGCGGAATGCTGGGTTAGCGGCGTTGGAGGGGTATCCATCGACCAACTCGGCCTTCATGTTAAAGGCGAGAAGGGAGTAGCCGGCGCTAATGGTCTCCTTGAGTGCATCGAAGGTGGCGTTGAAGGAGGATGGGGTCTCCCAGTTGGAGCGGGGGAAAAGACGAGAGCCGGTCATCATGACTGAGGACGCGACGGTCTCGAGGGGGAAACCGGCCATCCAGGCATCGTAGAAATTGTCGTAGTAGGTGGAGTTGGGGGTGATTGAGATACCGAGATCCTCGAGATCATTGTACCACGGCTTAACGAGAGTGTTGTACTGAGCGAGGGTGTGGTTGACGGCAAAGAAAGGGTTCATGAGGAAAGTGAAGGAGTCGGCGCCAGTTGCCAGAATCCAGAAGTAGGCGTAAGTTCCAGCGTCAGCGTTCTGGGGGAAGCGTTCAATGTACGAGCGGACACCGGCCCAGAAAGCATCCACGGAGACATCGGTGCCGGTGGAGAAGCTGAAGGTCGAGACGGTCACGCCAACCTTAGGCTGGACACGGCTGGTAACAGAGGTAACAACACCGTAAGTACCACCGCCACCACCGCGGATGGCCCAGAAAAGATCGGGGTTGTTTTCCTCAGTCACGGTGACAAAACGACCGTTGGCCAGAACAACCTCGAGAGCGAGGACTTGATCAGCAGCAAGACCATAGATCGAAGACATGGGGCTGTGGCCACCTCCAAGGACGTAGCCTCCGGCAACACCGACGGTCTGCAAATATTAGCAAGGAACATTCGAATACACAGAAGAATGAGGAGTCTCACCTTGCCCTCTCCACCAATAGCAGTGAAACCAAGCTCATGGGCCTTCTCATAAATCTCGTGAGCCTGAACACCGGCACCCATCTTGACAGCAGGGCCATTGTAGCTGGAGCTCTTGTAGTTCGGAATATAATCGATATCCTTAAGGTTGTGGGTCCAAATACCGAGCGCACCAGCTCCAGTCGACTTTCCATTGAAATCGTGACCAGTGTTCTTGACAACGAGTCTCAGGCCAGCATTGCGAGCAAAGTTGACAGCGAGTTGGATTTGTCCAACACTGCTGACATTGACAGCGTAGCTGCTGTATCCACCAACAGTGCAAGAGGCAGAGGAATCAGTAGTAGGCAGGCATGAGCGACCTTCGAACAAAGGCCACATCACGGAGGCAGGGTCGGCGGCACTGGATAGAGTTAGCGGTTGTGTATGAAGAAATTCCCAGAAAAGAAAAATAAACTCACTGGATGTTGGAATCGGTCCACTCAGAAGTAAGAGTCTCGCACTCATTGGCATCATACTCGGGCCATGATTTGTAGCATGAAGCAGCCAAGGGCACAGTCTTGATGAGTGCACCGCCCAGAAGCTCATCAAACAACCACCAGACCCACTCTGAGGGCCACAGCCAGTCTCCGGGGAAGACCTTGCAACCATTGCCAAACGTGCGAGTATGCAGAGAACTGTCGTTTTTCGCAAAGTCAAAATAAGCCGACTGGTTCTTGCTGAGATGCGACAAAGACTCGTCGGTCAATTGAAGTGTCTCGCTCTCGAAAAGGGGGGCATTGGAGCTAGACTCGACGGCAACTCTTGAAACAGCCGAGAGAGCAGTTCCAGGGGCAGCGAGAGTAAGGGCGAGCAAAGCGGCCGCCGCAAACGAAGGGGGCGCCATTGTTTAAAAAGTGTAAACAAAAAGAAACCGAATAAATTCAATAAGAAGGAAAGTATTCACCTCCAGATCGATCGGCGAGAGGGCTACCGGAAGAGTGAAATAGAAAAGAAAGAAGGCGATCTCTACGATTTAAAGCGATGCGGAGATGGGCAGACAAGCTCCCTGGCCACGAGTTTGACCAGACCACCACTATCTTCCCACTCCAACCAACTGCACTAAAAGAGCTGGTGGCCGGCGATTTCGACTGCGCCCCACTCAAATGCACAATGTATAAGTGTATTCAGGGCAATGCACTTCGGAAAGATTCCTGAAAGCCCTCATTCTGCTCCACTTTGCGCTAGGGCGACGAGTCTTGACAGACTGGGACGTCGGCCGATTCAATCTCCGAGACATGCATCGCTTCGGCAGTGGTCAACAGGCGAACGATTTATACACTATACGCACGCTATGCAGATTGAAGTTAGCCGCACGCTACACTTTACCCGCGACGACCGTCCTCTCTAGAGGATGGCTAGCTCTGGACCGATCAGGCCCGGGTGTATTACCAGAGTGGAATTGGGGTGTGCTTTTTGGCCCTTGTTCATCTCCCGAACCGCCCCCACTCAGAGGGGATACTTCCGCTAATAAGCTAATAAATCCTTCGGCCAAGACCGGATTGACAGAATTCTGCTATGGCCGATAAATAGTTCAAGCGCCACGAAGGAGGAATAGTATTCATCTTGCAAAAATGCACACGTGGCCCATCCTTGTTCCCCCGATATAAACTAGGCGCTTGATCTCAGAATGGATAATATCCCGGCAAATATCCTGCAGTGGCATAAGCCACACGCGGAATAAACAAAGCCTTGCCATCGGCGGGTTTTTTCCCCTTCAGACCCACCTGTGATTTTCCGATCCACCCACCCAGATTACCGTGGAGGATCTGAGGCGCTCGGACAATGACTGTAAGGAAAAGGTAGCCGAGGTAATGGGGGAAATGGGCCAATATCGTACGATGGAAAATAGGAAAGAAAATGGGGGAGGCGTGCCCTAAATTCATTTCCTTGCAGTGCCTGGCTGAATGTGGCGGACGGTACCAGCAAACGTTAAAACGGGACGTTTCCACCATAATATCTGGTCCCTGAACGTGGCATGTAAGACTGTCTGATATTGGCGAAACCTTCTCTCGAAGTGAATCCTTCGAGAAGTATAATCCCCAATTCCGCCCCCATCGTATCGGATCGGCCATTGGATAAGGAAAAAAGTGTTTCTTTGCCCACAGTTCATAGCACACATATGGCCTAACTTGACTGGGGATATGCCCCACCTCGGTTAGGCCGGCTTAAACACCGAGATAATGTCTCATAACATGTCCTGCATTTCTATGAGTTTCACTCATTGGCCCCTAGAATCTGCGAAGGATTCTATTTTGCCAAGCCGGCAGATAATTTTGCGAATACGAGTATTTGCCATTCCTTCGGCTTCCGCAGCCATCGTGTTAATTTGACCTCTCAATTTGGAGCCCATTAATAGATGATCTACTGGTATATCGTAGAAGGTTTCAATTTGCTCTGAAAATGTATATGATATGCTGGAATAGCCTTTTCCTCAAACATCGTCCTCTGCAGCTCTGTAAACCCTGATGCGCCCTGCTTACTCTTCAAGTGGGGTGTTCTGCTCTCAACGCCAATGATGGTTAGTACCGGAGTATCTTGTAACAAATGACTTTCCCTATTGGGATTTCCGAAATCGGGCGTGGCTCCATCGAATTGGTTCCTGGGCCTGGATCTCGGACACTTAGCGAAGTGGAGGAAGGAATATGCAGGCGTGACTGGGCATTGCGAAGTTGGTGTTACACTCTGCACACCTTAATTGATTGTTTTGTGGCGGTCCGCTGTGTGCTGAGCTTTATAATATGGACTGGAAGACCTTTATCTGAGAGGGGTTCGTATTTTGTGATTTTGGCTCTTCTTTCCACCTTCTAGTCTCTCTTCTGGGCACCATTATGCAGGATGATTGACGACCATCACCAAAAGCTAGCTCTGGGCATTGTCGTGGCTTTTCCTATTCTGGGCGGCCTAGCTGTGATTCTGAGATTATGGAGTCGAGGATTGTCGCGATCTGCACTGACAAGTGGTATGTTGACCCCCCCGAGCCGTCCCCAGTGATCGACACTTGGCTATTATGGGATTTATTCTGCCTTTGGTATACTAACAAGTCTACTAGACGACTATCTGATTCTTGTGGGCTATGTATGTGGATGGATTGGCATTTGGTCTAGCGCTCACTAACCTTGCTGGATAGATCCTCGCTGTTTCACAATCAGTCACGTCGTGGTACTGTATGTATTCATATGCTATGTATTCGCAGGCCCATGGCTTTATTGACTGATCCTCTATAGATATCAAGACCAACTATGTCGGCATCCACATGGTGGATCTCCCCCCGGACTACGATGTCAAACTCGGATTGATTGTAAGACCATACTGCGAAGATGAACAACACACATGAACTAACAGCATCTAGTGGAACTTTGTCAACCAACTTCTCTACAACCCGACCTTGACCATCATCAAAGTGTCGATTTTGGTATTCCTCCGTCGTCTCGAATCACGGTCGCGAGTTGTGAACACTTTAATATGGGCTTCGATGGGAATGGTTATCGGCTTATTTGTGGCCGTCCTATTCGTCGACATCTTCCAATGCACCCCTATTGCATACGTTTACGACATGTCGATTGAGGGAGGAACCTGCATCGATCAAGGAGGATTCTATGTGTCTACCGCAGCACTCAATCTCTTCACAGATATCATGGTGCTGTCTATTCCCATCATCATCACTTGGAATCTTCAAATGCCCCTCCGACGAAAGCTTGCAGTCTGCGTGATCCTGTGTCTTGGTGGAGTGTAAGTTCTCAAAAATCCCAAAGTAATAAACTGCAGGGTATAGGCTGACAGGATGCAGTGCAACCGCCATCGGCGTCTGGCGTATCATAATCCTCGCAGAGGGCTTCCTTAGCCACAAGGTCGTATCGGATCCTACCTATTCCATTGGCTTTTGCAGCTCAGCCATCGAAGTCAACGTGGCTGTTGTGACCGCCTGTGGTCCGTCAATGAAAGCCATCGCCAGCAAGTATCTTCCTCGTCTGCTGGGAACATCACGCGGTGGGGGTACCTCTGGCTATGGGCCCGGGACCAGTGGATCTCGTGGTGTCTTCCCTGGCTCCAAGTTTTCCAAACACAAGTCGCAGCTGCACTCCAATGCCGACGACGGGTACGAGATGGCGGATCCGAGGCACCGTGTGGACATCGGCCCAGGCGAAAGCGGGAACCACTTTGATATGCGCAAGTACAAGCGCAGCGGCGATAGTCCCAGTATCTCAAGCGGAAGTGAGGACGGAATGGCCGGGATTGTGAAGACAACTGATGTATCGGTGCGATATACCGTCGACGAGGTGAGCCCACATCATAATAGCCGGTCGCATGATGGCAAACACACCAGTATGGATAGCTTGGTTTAGACCAGACCTCGGGATGGATTTAATGTGTAGTACAAAATAAAAGGCATACAGCCGATATGACAGTGGGGTATCTTAAATGATGAGAGCAACCAAGGCTGAACCTTGGAAGTAAAAAGAAGCAGAAGCAGAGACAGCAGAAGACGGGGAGGGACAACCCCACCTTCTTCCCCCGAAAGACCCCGCCGAGTCCGCCGAGTATAAACTTAACTTTCCTTCATCATTCCCCTCCAACCTTCCATCTTCTTACATCACACGCACGCGCATACATACACAATGGCGACACAATATCAGCTACCTTTCAAGGTACGTGAATTCATCCCCTGTTCATCGACCCTTTCTATGTGTTTTCAATTGTTGATTCGAGGCCTGTGGAGCTCTCGGCCAGAAGTCCGAGATACTAAGCTAATGCGCGTATAGCTCTCCGACCCATCACTTTTGCACTTCGACTCATTTGTAGGTAACAAATGGGTAGAGGCAAAGAGCAAGAACCGATTCGAAGTTCTCGGTATGCAAAACCTCAACCCTATCACCAGCTTTAGGAAAGCATGTCGTGGCTAATGGTGTTTTCTAGACCCTGGTACCGATCAAGCATGGGCAAGCTGCCCCACCAACTCAGCCGAGGATGTCAACGCAGCCGTAGAGAATGCACACGCTGCCTTTGAAGATTTCCGCAAAGTAGCCGGGCGCAAGCGAGCGCAGTGGCTGTTGAAATGGTGGGAACTCACCACCGCAGCGCGCGATGACTTGGCTCAAATCGTCACCCACGAGACGGGAAAGCCACTTTCTGAAGCCTATGGAGAGCTGGATTACTCTCTAGGATTCCTGTGGTGGTTTGCTGGTGAGGCAGAGCGCATCCAGGGTACCGTCTCGGTCCCTGCAGCGCCCAACCGCCGTTTGTTCACGATCAAACAGCCCCTTGGCGTAGCCGCAGCGCTGGTGCCATGGAACTTCCCAGTTGCGATGGTTCTGCGCAAGGTTGGTGCCGCGATGGCAGCGGGCTGTACGATGATCGTAAAGCCGAGCCCTGAAACTCCTATTTCAGTGCTTGTGTTGGCCGAGCTGGCGCAGCGAGCAGGTATCCCTGCTGGTGTGCTGAATGTATTGACCACCGACTTGGAGAATACACCCCCGCTCAGTGAGGCGCTCTGCAAGCACCCGCTAGTCAAGAAAGTCACTTTCACTGGCTCGACTCGTGTCGGTAAGCTCGTGGCCGCTCACTGTGCCCAGGGCCTGAAGAAAGTGACCCTCGAATTGGGCGGAAACTGCCCATTCATCGTCTTTGATGACGCCAACCTTGATCAAGCCCTTGACCAGCTTATGTTATTGAAGTGGCGTCATGCTGGACAGGCCTGCATCACCGCAAACCGAATCTACGTGCAGGCAGGTGTATATGACCGCTTCGCAGCCTTGTTGAAGGAGCGTACGAGCGCGTTGGTCGTTGGTCACGGGTCGGCTAAAGATACCACGATGGGACCACTGACGACTCCGAGAAGTATCGATAAGGCGATCGCTCAAGTTGAAGATGCGCGTAGCCGCGGTGCGGAGGTGATCCTTGGTGGTAAACCGTTGACCTCGCAGAAGGGCTACTACTTTGAGCCGACCATCCTGTCCGGCATGACCGAGGATATGCAGATCTCCCAGGAGGAGTCTTTTGCCCCCATTGCTGCACTGTATCGCTTCGACACGGAAGAAGAGGCGGTTAAGGTCGCCAACGCGACTAGCATGGGACTGGCTAGTTATGCGTTCACCAAGAATGTCGATCGCGTTTGGAGACTATTTGAGAACCTAGAAGCTGGTATGATCGGCTTGAACACAGGTGAGTACATTTTCGAAAGTTCTAGCCCTAATTTGTGCGCAAAAAAATGTTCTAATATGTTTTCAGGAAATGGATCAGCCGCCGAGTCGCCATTTGGAGGCATGAAGGAGTCTGGATATGGCAAGGAGAGTGGCAAGGATGTTGCGGTCAACGAGTATCTGGTGACCAAGACTGGAACTCTGACGATCGAGGGGCAGTACTAAGCACTTTATTTTGAATATTCGAGAGTACATATAGTAAACTAAATTAAATTGCAAATTGGAAATATGTATCACATCTTCGTCGCGACCAGTGTTACTAGATACTACCAGCTTACACCTAGGATAGTGTCCTACTTTCGCGTGTTTTCTGCTGTGCAACAGATGCTGTCGTATTCGAAGAATTCTTAGTTCTCTATCTAATATACAGAATACGCAAGCACTCGCACCTGGGAAATGGTGAAAATGCTGCACCATCATTCTAGACTGGTATAGACGGCCCGCTCGAACTCAGCCAGAAGGTCGACAGCCCTTTGGTCGCCGGTGGGGAGAAGCTGGGACAGGTACACACCAGCAATTCCCTTTTTCATGTCGACCCACTATCTCGATGTCAGCTACAAGTCCATAGATGGGATACATGAAGAAAATATCAATGCTTACCCAGTAGCAATTGGGGAGACCGGACCAGGACAGAGAATACTGACTGCGGCCACCGGGCAAATCGATCGTGTTAAGCAGACCGCTAAGCCCGTAGTCAACAGGGATATTGCTAGGAACAGCGTTATAAATTGCGTTGCGATTCGCTAGAGCATGGTCATCTTGATTATCCAAGCCCTTGCGGCTCTCAAGGTTTGGCTTGAACATCAGCTCCAGAGTCTCGGGCCGGAGCAGTCTGCTCTGCAATACCCGAGGTAGATCTTGAGAAGATCAGGGACAGTTGTGTATATTCCACCACCTCCAATGTCGTCTATGATAGGGTCAGGCATCCAGAAGTCAGTGACCTCTCTGAGTCGGTGATCATCTCGTTCCCACAGCTTCACCTTTCGAGTGCGGAGGTCCTCTCTCTCGTTCAGGTGAAAAGTAACGTCCCTGGCTCCAACTGGTTCAAACATGTTCTTCTCCATATATTTACCCAGTTTGAGACCCGTCACTTGCTCGACCTGGTTGTTGTTCTGTCAGCTAATTTTCATCGTGGATTCTCCAACGTTCTCCGTACGACTGGATACTCACCATCAGCCCGGCCCATTCAAGTCCAGGACTATACATCCACTGTTCTCCGGGCTCAAACACCAAAAACTTATGGAATGACTCCCGCTGTTTTGTTTAGTATATTGCGCCAAGTCTCGAGGGCGAATGAACATACGATGGTCTGCAGGAACAGAGGTCGCTCACCCTCCAGCTCTTGGTAGCGTATCGAAAGCGGATTCATAAAGGTATAAGCCATCCCAGATGAATGGGTCAAGAGGAGTCTTGAAAATATTTAGTGAGAAGGATCTATACAAGATAATTGATTTGAAGTGCAACATACCGAAGAGTAAGAGGGCGTTTTGCTGGTCGGAACTGGGGTTCGTTCTTCTCATTGAATCCAGTCAAGATTTTGGGGTCTTTCCACTCGGGTAGAATGGCAGAGATGTCTGCATCCAAGTCCAACAGCCCCTTTTCGACGCATTGCATGACCGCGATGCTTGTGATAAATTTTGTTGCGGATGCAATCCAGTGCACATCGTCAGCTCTGCCACCTTCTCCCTGATCCCCACCAAAACACTTTGCGTAGTGTAGGGTTCCTGGAAATTGTTACTGATGTGGTGGTCAAATGGTTATGTTATTTTATGCAATTTACCATCTCGATTCACGGCACCAAGGGTGATGCGAGGTAGGGGCTTTCCATCCTGACGGAGGAAGGATTGGACGGCTTCGTCAATGAACTCCATTGCTACGAGATAGCCGTATGGTCTTGAGATTTTTTGCTTTGAAGGAATAGAATTCTATTTCCAAGGGGAGAGGGGCATTGTATTTAAATCGACAAATGCCTTCACACTTTTTGTTTTCAGTTCCCCCCTTTGCTTTTTAGAGTAATGATATTCAATCCTCTTCTGGTCTTCTACGGTAAATATAATTGGAGCGGTGTTATACCTGTCCGTTTTAGTGATACTGTTAGTTCTGCAATTCAATAAATTAAGCCCAGACGTCGCAAAACGGCTGAAAGAGGCAAAGACGTGGGGGAGTCCGTCACGGTGAGCTGTACCCAGCATTTTTCACTTTTCTGCCTGGTGAGGATGTTCAAGTTGTGGATAAGCGATGCCGTCGAGTCATCAATATCAATATGTGCGAAGGCAAACTCCCCGAATCATGAAGACGCCAATTGGCGGAGTCGGAGGAACCCTCGCAATCTGTCCTAAAACGGAAAAATTATAGTGGGGCGGGCGGTTTAAGGCCCACGGGTTGCGGAGCACAGTACGGACTTGAACTTGAATACCTAAAGTTCAAGTTCAAGTTTTAGTAATAAATGACTGATGTCACTGCTGTCCAGTCCCAAGTCCAAGTCTAGATCATCAATGTCTAACAGCATAACTTGATAAAATATATTTATCTTTTACTTACCTTTCACCGGTAGCAAAACTTGAACTAATTTCCCACCCGGCCGTTGACAAATATCATCCTGATTCACTATGATCGACGGTGAGACGCCCATCCAGGATTGCTTGCGGCATCGCATGTCGAGCCTGTCAATACATACTGGAGGCAGGCACTATCAGGATTGTATCGATCGATATAATCATGCGCTGGACGCGCAACCGCTAGTTTGCACGCGGCCAAGGACAGAACAAGAGGTCTCCCAGCTAGTTCAATTCTGCACAGATGAATCGATTCCCTTTGCTGTTCGCTCAGGTGGTCATGACTTCTTCGGTCGCTCCGTGGTTCACGATGGCATTCTCATCGACATGCGCGCGATGGACTCAGTCATAGTCGAGCCGGACCGAGCCAGCGTGCGCGTTGGTGGCGGGGTGATTGCTGGCCATCTGCAGGAAGCACTCGATTCCCATGGGTTATTCACCCCAACTGGACAGGCAAAATCTGTGGGCTATGTATCGTGGGCCTGTGGTGGAGGGTATGGCTTCTACGTTGGAACGTACGGGTTTGGGGTTGATCAGATCCTTGCGGCTCGGGTTGTTTTGGCCGGGGGGAAGGTTGTCGATACCGACGAAGATCCCGAATTGCTGTGGGCACTCCGCGGCGCCGGGGCCGGCACATTTGGCATCATCACGGAGCTTCGCGTGAAGGTGTACCCAGTACCTAAACTATATGCCGGCTTTCTAGCCTTCCCCCTGGCCAAGGCCGCATCTGTCATGGACAGGATCGAAAAGCTCTTACAGGATGACTTTCCCGATGAATTTAGTGGAGATGCTGTTGCCGTGAATCCCGAAATGTCACCGACGCCGGTAGTCGAGCCTTGTTTCATTTTTCTTTGGTGTTGGACTTCGGTCAGCGGAGACCTTGCGCCTGCGAAAAGCTTTCTTGAGCAGATGATGCAGGCTGGCAGGGTACTGGGAAACACAGTCACGGAGAGTAGGTCCCAGGCTTCTATCACGCAGTATATAAATTCTAGCTAACTTGACCTGGTATCCAGCTACACCAGCAGCTTACGGCTTGGGTGATTCATCATCAGGAACCTTCCTCCGCAGTCGAAATGTTGACGGTATACATCAAAACGTTGGCTCTATTCTCGAACGGTGCCCTCCACCACTTCCGCTGTCTGCTGTCATCTTTCATAATAACCATGGCAAGGGCGTTCGACATGGAGTCGCAGATAATGTCGGAGCGGCGTTTCCGAATCGGCACCAGCATGTCATTCTCGGGCTCCATGGTGGAACTAGACCAGGCCAGGCTGATACAAAAGAGCTTGCAGATGCAGCCAAATGGGTCACAGAGTTCCAGGAGGCAATTGATCAGAACGGTCTCTCCTTGGAAGGAGGGTTCCCTGCATTTTGGCCCCCTGACCAGGTGGATGTAGAACGATTCTTTGGGGGACAGGGAGCCGCAAGACTGCAACGATTGAAAGCACGGCTGGACCCGAATGATCTATTTCGCCATGCGATGCCCGGTCTCAAAGCAGGCTGAATGGGGTTGAATATAGGAACTCTTTGTACGTCCTAGGATAGAATAACAATGGTGGCCTTGGGCGTTTTGTGAATGATTAGTTAATCTACACGTGATGCGGCCATCCCGCGTCTTCGACAGCCACGGCCAGTTTCCAATCTGATCCAAATTTCTAGTGTCCAATGCCACCATTGAATGCAAGGAACAATACAGAGGGCTAACGACCAGCCGACCGTATATGTCTTTCCCCAGCTTTCGTTTCAAGCAAGTGACAGTTCGCTCGTCCTCACAAGCGAGCACGCAGCAGGAGCACGAACCCCTAGCGGGTCCACGACGGAACAAAAGCAAATTAGGCTGTCGAGAATGCAAGGCAAAGCGCGTCAAATGTGACGAGGCCTATCCGACATGCAAGCGGTGCCAGCGTCAAGGTCTTGTCTGTTCGTCAGCCCCACGATCATCACAGTGGCAAGTTGAGACGCCGTGGCTCTCACTGCAACCTAACACACTCGTTAATCGAAGACTACTGCAATATTGGCTGGAGAAAGTCAGCCAAACATTGGTCATAGATCCTGGAAATAACCCATTTTCAAATCTAACTTTGGAAAACATTGCCCAATCACCCGCACTCCTCCATGCTATCCAATCGTTCAGTGCCAACCACGAGCAGTATTACTCGGCCAACGCCCCCATTATCGCCCTCGAGGAGCATGGCAAAGCCATAGCCTGCCTTCGAAGAGAGATCAATCAAAGTCAAAATACGCCTAGCGCACACTTCTTGACTATCATGTTACTGGCTCTGGCGCAAGGTGCTGATGCTGACGCGACAGATTATGGCAAGCAGCATTTATTTGGTGCCCGTGCTTTAATCAACAGTATGCTGCAGGACACATCTATGTCGACGACTAATGACCTTGCTGTCCGGCTCTGCCTGGGATGTATCTCTACTGGGACGCATGCAGTTCGTTCCTGGTAGATCCGTGTGAGCCAGACGGGCTCGACTTATTGAACATGTCCAATGCAGTGCACAGGATAGGAGACTGGCATCATCCAATGTATGGAACATGTAGCAAACTACTTTTTATGATAGGAAATGTCGGACGGTACTGCCGACAGACCCTTGACTCGCCACAAAACCGCGACCTCTTGCAAGAAGCTATCTTGGAGGCCCAACTTACTACCTGGAAGACAAGCCCCCCAAATCCCGGACTGGGCCACTTATATGAAGCATTCCGCAACCACGGGCTCATCTTCCTCTATCGAGCCCGTGCGCATGCACAAAGTAGTTGTCTCGCAGATCCAGATTCGTCTCAAGCGCAAGAATCTTTGATTCAACAATACGCCGAAGAAGCAGTCCGCCATCTGATGCAAATCCCTGCAACCTCAAACTACCTTAATTTCCAATCTCTCCCTCTTGTCACAGCTGGCTCTGAATTGACGGAATCGAATCACTTTCTGCGCGATCAAGTGCGTCACAGGCTTCGAGCCATCTACTCATTGAATCGCCTTCCTGCAAGTCTACTGGCCCTTCAATGTCTTGAAGAAATATGGGATGCCCGAGACAGCGGGAACCCATCTTTCTGGCTACTGCACATGCTTCAGAACGATCGGCGGTTACTTCTAGGATGAGGCTATGTATCGTCAAATATATGCGACTAGTTCCTAGGATAGAAAATTATATACAGTTTAGATGTCTACAGTGGTGGGGTGGGTCCGGTGGGGACCTTCGTGCTTCGTTCTTAAGAATTTAGAATATCTACCGTCAATTCGGCCCGGACTCCTCATTCAGACCATTTTGTGATGTATTTTGAGGTTTGCCCTGGTGTGCCAGGGCTTTGCGGACTAGACCCGTAGCCTCATTAAGAGAGGGGGTTTTGACATCGTTGGTGATAATTTTGTAACCCCGCTGCTTTATCTTTTATCTTTATCACGAACTCTCTTCTTTCTTTTTTTCCTCTCTGCCACTTCCAAGGCTGCACCCCCGGTCTATACATCGGCCATGGACGACTATTCTTCATTGCGCCACCTGGTGCGAACTCACCCTCTGATTGACAATCATGCTCATAATATTCTTGGCCGCGAGGTCGCCACAGACTATGACAGCTATCCCCTCGAGTCTATTGTGTCCGAAGCTCACGGTCGCGCCATGGCCAATGCTAGCACAACTTTGCCCATGATTCGTGCCGTGAAACAATTGTCGGAGCTCTATGGCACATCATCCGAGGATTGGAACGAGCTCGTAGAGGCTCGAAACCGATGGGTCAAGGATGACTACGAGGGTCTGGTCCGGCGGTCTTTAGAAGGCACCCACACTCTCCTCCTCGACGATCTTCTGAGCGAGGATGACGTCGAGGCATACAGCTGGCATGACCGCTTCGCCACCGCCGCTACAAAGCGCATCGTGCGCATCGAGGTAGTGGCTGCCTCATTACTCGCCGATCTAATGGATTACCAACGCAAACCCGACGAGACAGTGTGGGGTCTTTTCCGCCAACGTTTCCTCGACGCAATCGACCATGCAATGGACGACCCAGCTGTTGTCGGTTTCAAATCCGTGATTTGTTATCGCACAGGCTTAGATGTCGATCCTTACTCCGCAGACGAAGATGCTTTGACAGCCTCGCTCCACCGAACCTTGGATTCCGGTACGAGGAAATCAGGCTACCGCGTCGAGGACAAGCCTTTGAATGACTGGCTTGTTCAGCAAACGCTCAAGGCCATCACTTTCAAGAAAGCTGCTCGCATTGTGAAACCAATCCAGTTTCATACTGGCTTGGGTGATAATGATATTAGTCTGGTCAAGGCAAACCCTGCTTACCTGCAACCATTAATTGCGCAGTACCAGAATGCAGATATCGTTTTACTGCATTCTGCATACCCGTTTACCCGCGAGGCGGGCTATCTGGCCTCGGTCTATCCTAATGTTTATCTTGATTTGGGTGAAGTTTTTCCCATGGTTAGCCGTGACGGACAGGAGAAGATTCTCCGCCAGAGCTTGGAGATCGCGCCCATGAATCGTCTTCTTTGGAGTACGGATGGTCACTTCCACCCCGAGACCTTTTGGTTGGCCAATCGTCAATTCCGCCAGGCTCTGGAAAAGGTAAGCTGATTCTTAATGTGTGTCTTGCTATCTTCTCAGGTTCTAATATTTCGTCGTTTTAGGTTCTTGTCGAGTATGTGCAGTGTGGCGATCTGAGCAGCGTGCAGGCAGAGAATGCCGCCAAGGGTATCCTGTTTGAGAACTCCAACAGTCTCTATAGCTTAAATGCTTCTTTGAATGACAACCCCTTTTCTTCTTACCCCTTCCCATGCCAGTAACCCGTACCGAGCAAGCCGGCAGCCCCTCTCATGACCAGCTTGACACCATTTTACAAAAGTTCTCTGATCTCGAGTATATTTGGGTTACATATACGATCATTAAGCTCCTATCACCTATTTACGTCAAATCAAGTTGGGATTTTCGAGCAAAGCAGCTACTTTGATCATTGTTGATAGTCTTACGCGAATGCGCACCGATTTTTGATCTGACCATTGCTGTTACTTTCCATCGGTATCTGGGAAGATTTAATATGGAACAGCAAGTGAATCAAAATTTATAATGACAAGATCACTTACCGAGCCACTACGAATTCCTCCTATGGTCCAGCACCATTTCCGACAGACGCACTTCAGAGAGTCGCCTTCGGGAATGCCGCTGTGCTTTTCTCTTTCCCGAGAAATGACCCACCTGCTCTAAGCCGATTGGTCAGATAGAATGCCAACGGAAATGAGTTGTTCTGCCATCCATAATCTCTCCTCTCTCAACTCTCAAATGACCAACTTGGACCGAGTGATAGATGGGATATGATGATGGAATGATTTTCCCTGTCCATCAAAGTTGCCAAGATTTTGCAAGCTTTTCCCACGCCCACTCCAAGGCCACATTGGACGACAGATGAGATTCTCGGTCTTTCCGAGGGCATCAGGCCATTCCCGACGGTGACTTCGGGATATAATCGTCTTGGCCCTCTCAATTTCACACTTGAACAATCCCGAGCGCGCCGATCTGGAAATCATCTTCGCAGGTGGCACCACCGCAAATTCCTCCTAGCTCACATCCGTATATCCGAATAGAGCAAGGGATCTGCAGGAAGTCAATATCATCATAATGCGGACAAGCCTGTCCTGTGCTTCATGTCGGTTAGTACCGCTTTGCTTTAAAGTCTTGTCTGCTCCTTGCATCTGCCCACATACGGAGAAGGTGGCGGCAATAGTTATCCACAGGTGCCACTTATGCCTTTGGGTCTGGGAGCTCCTTTCAACGGTTTCTTCTCAAGACTTTATATTCACGTGTCATTGACAAGTATTTACAGCAAAGCCAAGGTGAAATGCCTTCACCAAGGAAAATCCCCTTGCGAGAGGTGCATCAAAACGAACAGTCAAGGATGTGCGCTAACTGAAACGCGCGTACGCTCTGCAACTGTCTCACGAAAACAACAAAAGCGCAAGCGCCCAACGGCAGCGATCAACAAAGATATTGACGATGTCGATCGAAACGATGATAATAATAATGTTGGCGACAGTGGTAACAACGGCGGCATAAATCTGACGTGCCGGACCCATAGCGATGCAGTCTCTGAAAGGCGAAACGAGGGCACAGCGGATGGCAGCTCAGCTAAGAGACAGCGTCAGGTACAACCACATGATCATACTTCAAGAGCTCGCCCTCACTCCGTGAGTTCGTCGTCGCCATCTCCAGTGTCCGAGAAGGCTGTTACAACCGCCCAAGTCGAGATCCATCTCTCTAGCCTAAAGACTAGTACTATTGTACAAGTAGTCAAAGGCTTCACATCCAGATATCCGGAACTTGCTATGATTCACTTGCCCACCCTGCTCAAAGGATTTGGCGCCTCCCAAGGCGTTCAAGGTCAAAAGTCATGTCAGCAGGAATATCGTGTCTTGATGGCGGCCATACTTGCAGCATATATGGCATCCGGTGATCGGGCCTCGCATAATGAATTGTACGAACGTAGCGTTTACGAAAGCTACGCTGAAAAACTGCTATCCAATATGGCCTTCACAAGTCCGCATATGCTTGTTGCGCAGGCACTTCTTATCATAGCACTTCTTAAGGGCAGCTCATTTGACCTGCATAAGGCATGGATGTATTGCGGTACGTTCACTTTGAGTTCCTTCTTCGGCTACCATCCTGTTCGTCCAAATATGTGGCGAAAGCTAGAAGGCCTTTGTTTTTGTCCTTCAGGTTCTAACGTTTTACGGATACAGGGTCCGCTATAAGAACGATGCAATTTTGTTACGGTGCTCGTCACGCCTCTCTCGGCAACGACTCGCAGGCTATCAGTTGGGCCGAGAGACACGCTCGTGTCATTGAGTCAAGAACATTTTGGTCATGCTTTAATGTTAGCAGCATGATTGACCTAGGTACTTTGGCCCAGCCTCTTCTGCCGTTTGAGGAACTGGAGCGAATGGATCTACTACATCCGCTCAACAATTTCGAGTTCGCTTTGAGTATGGACTCGCCCGCCCCAGTGCCTAGGATCGCTGCAAGTGGCCCAGGTACCGAAGTCCACTCGTGGAATGTCAGTGACGGCTTCGAAATTATCTCGAGGGGCATAGTTGTATGGAGCCAGGCCATGACATTCATACGAAACGATGGACGTCGAGCTCCCGGAATGTGCCGTGAAGAAAACTGTCCATGGTCACCCACATCACTGTGGTCCTCAATTTCCGATAATCTGGAAAGATGGAGAGTTCGCCAACACCCAGCTCTTCACTATCCAACCCAATCCGTAGCCGCACATTCTGCCGTGGGAAATGGGGAAACGTTTTTGTTTGTGAACATCATATATTACCTGAGGTACGGCAAATCTGCCCTTGATATTAACACAATTCGGAAGACTGCCAGTACGAACTTATTTTCTGACTCTTATTGAAAGCGTCATTCTTTTACATCGAGAGTACTTTCCTTTCCTTCCCGTGAACGAGTCCGAACCACGCGGACCCATCGAATATCAGCTGGAGGCTCAAGCACCCCCGGGTTGGTGGCATTCGAGTGCATGCCAGCTATTCAACGCGACTTCCTCGGTGGCCCATCTTCTTCAAGAGTCGTCAGAATGTGGCGTTCTGCTCAATTCGCCATTCACCGGCTTCTGCGCTTTCATAGGAGCCTACATGAACCTTTACGTGACGCAATTCCCCCAGATGAACTTGGGTCAATCTACAAATTCGAAACATGAATTTGAGCTGTGCTACACATATCTAAAAGAGTTTCGGAAAACATGGTTATTAGGAGAAGGCTGGGTAAGTGAAGCTAAATAGGCGGCTGTGGTACCCACAGCTGTCTGAATCTTTTTCCTACAACGTATGCTAATGGAACCACAAAAAAGATCAAAACAATACAGAGCGCATCACTTCTCTATAACAGGTTCAATGCGAACGATAGACGGTGGATGACTAAGTCGAGCCAGGATTTCTCCACTCTTCATCAAAGCATTCACGAATTCTTTGGACCCGACAAGTCCCAACAGCACTTGCAGGAAATTAATAGGGCTTCCGCCACTTTGCTGGACGCTATCGACACATGCTTGGTGGGCATGGATCAGGGTACGATTGATCAGCCTACAATGTTCAACTCGCTGTTTTTTAATCTTAGCGGCGAGTTTGACACGCATCACTTCTGGCCAAGCTAGAATTGGGACGATTTTAATGCAGTAACACAAATGCCTCGTTGAACGACATGCTATTTTTGTCACCCAAATTTTAATACCTGCCCGGACTAAAGCAGGATTTTACAAACGCCGTAGCTGATGACCGGGGCTCGGGCAGCGTACTAGTGAGAGCAGCGGCACGATCTCCAGTACTCTCCGAATATTCTTGTGGACCAATAAAGGAATCTGGCCCAGCTCCCCGTTGTTGTATTACCAGACCACGCAAGACTCCCAGGCAAGCAGCTGCAGCAATATACATCATGCCTGTAAAGACTTCGGTCCCCAGATAACTGCCGGTGCCATCGACTATCTTGAGCGCAATCGGCTCGCTGAAAGTTGAAGGTATTGCCAGACTCAACCAGAGTAAGCTTAGACCAGACGGGACGTCTCCAAGATCAAGCACTTCGGCTACAAGCGGTCCTATTGTAGCCCAGAAGTTCCCTGCCACTAGACCTGAGCTGACGGCAAAGAACAGGCTGACACCGTATGTCTTCGAGGGTATCCAAATGGCCAACGATATCAAACCAGCCAAAAATGTTGTCGAGCCGGCCATATTGATTCGACCAAGTGAGTCACTGAAATAACCAATAATAGGACGTCCAACCGCCTGCGCGAAGTTGAAAACAGCGCTGACTGTTGCGGCTTGCGATGAGTCGAGTCCGATACTGTTTGCAAAATTTGCCAAGCTGAATATAAGGATGAAGTACCCAAGCATAGTAAAGCCACTGAAAGCGATGAGAAGGGAATAGTCGAGCCGCTTGAAGAGACAGATATCTATCGTTGACCGCGATCCTTTTGTATTTTTGTACCGGTCCTTGATCAGGATAATACAGGAACTATTCACAACGAAGGCAATAATAGCCAAGATGCGAAAGGCCCAGAAAATCCCAAGACTCCGTATCATAGCTGATGCCGAAAGGGAGTATACGCCTCCTCCAAGGCCGGCCCCAGCCAATGAAATGCCACTCGCGAGGGACCGTTTCGTTGTGAACCACTGAGGCACGACTGCAGCTGTGGGTATGAACAGAAGACCAAGCCCGATACCGAATAGAAGCCCTTGTGTGAGAAAAAGATGCCAAATCTGTGTGGCAAAGCTAGCAGCGACGAGGCTTGCTGTTTCGAATATAACACCAATTATCATAGTTGGTCGAATGCCCAACTTCCGTGTGGAATAGGTTGCTATAGGCGAGACGAGATAGAGAAATGTGAGGCTGAGAGAACCAACAAAAGCATATTGGAGCCTTGTGGCCCCCGGAAATGTATCATTTGCTAGGTAATGTGCCAAAAAGACAGCATAGGCCGAGTTAAAGCCCCAAGAATGCATGTTGATCGTCGCGGCGGCGGCGGTGCATACCCAGCCATACCCTCCATCTGGGGGTGGGCCAGGATCCTGGACATCACCACAAGGCGCACCTCGATTCATGGAGCTGTCGCTGCTGCGGCCCTTATTATTGTCGATTTTTCGTGCAGAAATCGACTTGCACATGGTTGCTACCAGTAGACGCTAGCAACTTAGGGTCGTAGTAAATTCCAAACGCGAAGCAACAACTTGAACCGCGCTCCATTCCTCAACGGCCTAGAATAAATAATGAAGTATTATTTTCTTAGCGTATTTTTTCCTGGTAGAATTTATTGGGCTGCGTTCAAGTTCTGTGCGGAAACATGCCTTTCGGGAAATACCAAGTGCCAATTATTTCCGACAAGTTAATATACAAAACGGACGTAGGCCGAGGCATAGAAATTGCTCTCGGGAATGAATTTCAATCCCGACAGAGCTATGTAGCTTGAATTTGTGTTTTTTATTATTTTAATTTCAGGCAAGGATTCCCCACAATTTATCGTTTTTGCGTTGTGAGGTCGGCTTTCTTGAAGTTCAATTTCCGAGTTCGATATTTTTCGTTGTTTTGTACATCAGCGAGAGCGAATGGAGAGAAGAAAGGGAGATCGGAGCTAACGTGTCACTTCCCATGTATTTATATCTTTCACATGAGGGCACACAGATTATTGTGATCAATTCCGAGACATGACCATACATTTCCGAGCTCTCTGCTCCACATCTGTCCATGGATGAGAGCTCAAGTCAGGCGTAGGGCAGAATAGTATCTTCTCATCCGCTTTTCTAATACTTTGATCTTTTCCCCTCTCATTGTTGCAACCCTGGCCCTCTTCGTTTGCCGTGACTTGGTTTCTCCCTATTCTCAATCTCAGAATGTCATCTGGTGATAAGTTTATTCTCACGGGCGATGCCCTCGACCGGGCCTTGCCCAACATGTCGATGGCAACCAAAGCCATCCATGGCGACGACTTCTACTCACCTCACCGAGCCATTGCTCCTGGTATGCATGTTGCTGTCAACTACCGTTATGCCCGTGACCCCGAGAGTCTGAAGTACATGGACAATCTCGATGTATATGGATGCCCTTTGATTCTCTTTCCGCTCTATCTTTCGAGATACGCTGACATTCTGCTGTTGTTCTTCTAGCCGAATGCGCCGAATGATTCTCATATTTACTCACGCTACACAGCCCCCAACTCGAACAGGCTGGAGAAGCTACTCAAGAGTCTCTTTGCCGCCCATGTGGTGACCTATTCCACCGGCTTATCCGCTTTCCACGGCATCATGGTTCTCCTCAACCCCAAGCGAGTCTTCCTCACCGAGGGTTATCATGGCATTCATGGTGTCGTGGACATCATGTCGCGCATTACCGGCACGAAGAAATTGACCCTTGAAGATGTGGATCAGGCCGGGCCAGGCGATGTGATCCACGTTGAAACGCCTGTCAACCCCACAGGCGAGGCACGAAACCTTGCCTACTACAAGGCGAAGGCCGAGGCCGTGGGCGCGTACCTAACTGTCGATGCTACCTTTGCACCTCCACCTCTTCAGGACCCTATTCAGATGGGTGCCGACCTCGTTATTCACAGTGGTACAAAATACCTTGGTGGTCATTCGGATATGTTATGTGGACTTATCGTTGTGCATCCCGAGAGGGAGAAGCAAGGTTGGGTTGAGACCTTATACAATGATCGCCAGTATATTGGATCGGTCATGGGCTCTTTTGAGGCATGGCTTGGAATTCGCTCCGTTCGGACACTCCATTTGCGTATTCAGCGCCAGGCAGATAACGCTATGAAGCTTGTTAAGTGGTTAACTGAAGAGATGGCGAAGCCCGACTCTCTGGTTAGCAAGACAATTGAGAATGTTCAGCACAGCTCACTTCAATTGGCCGATATCCAAGACGGCTGGTTAACCAAGCAAATGTCAGGTGGCCACAGCCCTGTCTTCTCCATCATTATGAGGACTAAGTCGCAGGCGCAAAACCTACCTAGTAGGATGTATGTGTTCCAGCATGCGACCAGCTTGGGTGGCGTTGAGAGCTTAATGGAGTGGCGCGCATTGAGCGACAAACTCTGCGACGAGAGGCTCATTCGTGTCAGTTGCGGTATCGAAGAGGCGGAAGATCTCAAGGCTGATATTATTCAAGGCCTTCAGTCTGTCTCGAAAGATATTTAGTTGCGTCAATTCAGACTGTCCCTCCATCTTCTTCACCAGCTAGTAGCACATTCCAAACTTACAGAATTACAGGAAAATCGGTATATTTAAAGTTGTCGGGGTGCTTAAAATTCCGGACTTTGACACTGCTCAAAATGGAGTCAATAATTGTTGATTCTTGACAGAAATAATGAGCCCTGCAACTGTAAAATTGAGTTTAATCCCTCCAATAAATCAAGAACACCTTCCACTTTAGGGTTTCAAGACTAGAATACAACCAATCTCAACCAGAACTCAATTAATAATTTAAACAAAAAGCGCCGAGTCATCACTAGTAACTGTTTCAAGATCCGCCTCCCAATAGAGCAAAGGAAAATCCCCCTTAATCCATGCTGACGAATATCTCGTTCAGGCTCCCACCTCAACTGCCTGAATGGGGAGAATCCTATTCAGGATGAGGAAATTTATGATTATTAGGTTTACAAACGTAATATTTTCCTAGTTGAGCCTAAACAGAGCAGCCGAATAGAAGAAATTTGCTGAGAGGCTGTGGTACGTGCTACCATAGATATGAGATGAACGATATGCAGATAGATGGTGATCAGATGAACATTGAAGGGTGTTAGGTATGGGAGCCTGAGGCTCTCCAACAAAATTGAAATTTTACAACTAGAATCCAAAGAGTTTTGGAATCGACCGTTTCTGAAGCGAGAAACGGTCGCTGTTCTAGCCATAAGTTTAAACAACGAGCCAGCGAGCCATCCTGTCCATCCAGCATGACCTTTTGTATCCGTGAAGAGATCGTACGTACCCGTAGAGGGTCAACTATTTGCATAGGCATCTTTTCTGATATGTAGTTTACTCATCAACAGTTTCGTTGAGACTCGAAGGCAACCCAATCTCACCATCACCCGGTCGGTCGGTGGGGAAATCCCGCTAACTACTATCGCTTATTGACTGCATATGAAATTTATCATTCCGATGTCCCAACTGGTACGCGTAATCCGAGTCACCGATATCCCCATGTGTTGCTGTGATGTACTGTTTGAAGGCCATCGACATGCTAACGACCTGCATCAGGTGCTTTTCTTTGAGCTCTGGAATGGATTCCTCGTCAGATCCACCATTTCTGTCTACCTTTTCGGCATCGTAAATTGCCAAGGCGACGGCAGTTTGGAAAGCTGATGAGTTCATTTGCGTTAGTCAACGAATACAGTGTTTCAATTAGGTCAGCTTACCATTCCGGATCTCCCGACCATTCCATTTTAGTTTCTTGAGGGTCTCATCCTTTTTGACGTACTGCTTCACGTCATAATCGTATTGGATCTTTCGACCACCATTGCGATACTCTTCCTTCAGCTTTGTCAATAGGTTGTCCCAGATATATCCTCTAGCCTCGTCATTCAGGGGCTCGTATCCAATTGATACATGTATGCGAGACAGGAAGGCCTCGTCAAAATGTCCCACGCGATTGGTAGTCAAAAACAAGATTCCCTCAAAATACTCCAAAGCCCGCAGGAATACTGATCCAGTTAGTACATGGTACTTGGCCCAGTGAATCACCACTTACTAGAGACAATGCTATTTCGCCGTAGATCACTTGAGGATCGCCGTTCCAGGTAGACATCAGCTTCATCTAGGAGCACAATAGCGTCCCAGTTTTTCGCATCCTTGAAGAATCTGAGAAGATTTCTCTCTAAGTCAATTGGATCGTGGCCGAGATCTGCCGCTGTGATGCTAAGCAGTGGTCGCTTGGTAAATTCAGCCACAGATTCTAATATCAAGTCAGTTCAAGTTTTAGATTGATATAAGCTGCGAGTAATACCAGCAGTTAAAGTCTTTCCAGTCCCTGGTGGCCCATGCAGAAGAAAGATTTGCCCTTCCCCTTTGCCATGGATAAAGTCCGCATGGAACTGTTTAGACTGCCCAGTACTCCCGCCGTAGGTTTGAACAATCGCTTTGATTGTATCTTTGTTTGACTCTGGCCGCATCACGAGATTTTCAATCGCATTTTTGGATAAAACAGGATTTGACAGCCCGCTTACGTCCAGCAAGTCTATAGGACTCAAAGCTTAGATTCAGACCGTTGGATTACTTCAATAAGACGGGAATTGAACTCACCATACACGCGATCTTTGAGAACAAATCCATACATATGTGACATGCATAGAAGATAATGGCGATCGGAAACCTCACCAGGTGCATTTGGATTGATATCATCATAATCCTTGAAGGTTGGGAGTACGTAAACCCCATTGGCGGCATCGAAATCAGCGCATGGACCACATTCACAGAATGCCGCCCGACTCCGATCCATAAGGTCTTCGTCGCTGCTGCTCAAATTCCATGAGTACAGTAAGTCAAAATCTGAATCCAGCCATGGCTGTGATTTATGGTCGACCACCACACGAGATCGGTGGTGCTAAGAGCGAGGAAATAGTCAGTAACAATTTAAAGCTCTTGTGTAGAAAAGTGAACCCACTTTCTTCGAACCTTCTTTCATTCCCACACCAGTGTATTCCAAAAAGGCGGGCTGCTTAGAGTATTCAAACATTTTCCGGCCCCGTTGAATCAAACCTTTGCGCCGCGCTCCATCATCGATTTCATCCTGAAACCTGGTGGGGAATATCGGAAGTGACTTGATTGCTTTCTCTCCGTTAAAAACCGGCACGGTAATTGATTTCAGTTTTCGACGAATCACGTCCCCATCATACACGATGTTCCACACAAGTATTGTGTACTCCTTTGCAGTGGCCAATGTGCGTCCAGAATTCAAGGCGCGTTGGAGGGTGCCTCCAGACACTGAATGGACCACGTATGCGTTTAGTTGGCCGTCTTCTCCAACATAAACGTCTTCTCCTGGTTGAAGCAAAAGCCACAAGCTAGAGAAAGTTGTCACTGGCACTTTCTTCGTCCAGTTGTGCTCTGCAGCAAGAGGCTCTATCTCTGGGTGTTTGTTCAGGTAATCAACCAAAACATCAATGTGACAATCACAAGCTTTGTTGTATTCTGTGCTGTGACGCGAACGATGACCGCCCGTCTCTTCCTTATACGATAGAAGTCGACTTTTGTGATGAAAGAGATCTTGGTAAGGATAGTAGAATATTCCAGTCTTCAATTCATCCAGTTTGTCCCCCGATGGAGCGTTAGAAGTGTATCTGATGACTGCTCTCAGACAATTCAGTAGAAACGGAGAATTAATATGCAAGGTCGGCTCTGAAGCCTCATCGGTCACCTTCAGCCTTGGTACTTGGTCCGGGGCTGGCTCTTCCAGCCCTTTTGCATTGGGGCTGCCAAGGACAATTCTTTTCTCTTCAAGAACAGGTACGACTTTAGCTCCATGCATACCTGACTGCTGCAAAGCCAAAGACTGATTGAAACTAACGCTCCACAAGAGCTCATCCTCATCGAAGGAATATTTGGCTTTTCGATAGTAGTCAACTGTGTACCTAACCTGATCGAAATACTCACACTCCTCCGGATCATATTCCTCTTCCAATTCGGAGCTCTCTGTTTCGGAATCAGAAGTCTCTTCTTTGGGTTCAATCTTCTGTGAATCGAGTTTCACAACGACGCTCAGATATGGAACAGCTAGCATTTCCCAGTGCTCTTTTAAGATAACAGGTCCTATGCCCTGGGTGCCTTCGGCTTCGTAAAGGCCGAATTTACCCTCCAAGAATTCTTTCTTCCCTTGCTCGTTGTCTCCAAAAGAAAGAACAATTCTATCTTCCATCTCCTAATGAACTGCATTAATATAGTATATCTGGCAGTTTGACGCTTGTTTTTGTGAGCATTGTATTCCTTACCTTCCACGTTTGACACATCGCAAAGGGCACGATAAATGGTTTATCTCCGTAATGTGCCACATAAATGCGCCCTTTGATAACGCCTTCGACTCTTTCGCACTCGTCGCACCCGTCATACTCGTAGCACTTCTCATTATTCTCCCCAGTCACGTCCGGAACAGCTCCTATTTTCACTAATGTACCTCTAAATCAGTCACGGTACATGACTATAAGGTGTATAAAGAGGCCTACTAGCTGAGTCATCGGCTTCATTCGTGGCCCCATTTTCCAATTGATGGTGGTCTGAGCCTTCAAGTAATTGGGAGGGTGATCCTTCAATCGAGGGTGCGGGCTCTCCAGTAGCACCAGATGGGTCTTCATGGACCGCCATGGTTCTTGACCGAGGGAAGTTTCAATTGAAAATAGAGAGACACTGGTGCACTAGCAATGCTTAATGACGTTGGTAAGTGGAAAGGGTATCTAAAGTAGAAGTCAAAAGTTGTTCCGTGAGCCGGTGTAAAGTTCCTGGTAGCGAAGAAATAAGCTTCTGCAAAGACACATACTACTGAGCATTCAATTAGAAATGTCACCCTCTTTCGCAGAATATCATTCAGGGGAAATGATAAAAATGCCAAAGTAGCAGCCTAGATGGGGGTTTTTGGGATGGTCTGAACATTCTTTGAGGCTCCTCGTTGGGTCTCATCGGTTTATAATACCATCGTTAAGTTTCTCTTGTCGGGCATCGTGGCACATGTGCATATCCACATCTCCCGCATATGCGTGCAGTGTGATAGGGGGCCAAATTGACTGTACTGCGTTGGTATTAATCTTCGACGGCAGTTATACTCGGTAACTCCGGTAAGTTTGCTTTCAAGACTGTCTTGAAAGCTGCGATAGATATGTCGATTATTCCCATCTCGTACTGGTATTCACTTATGCTTTATCTGCTCTTGAATTCCCTTCTATTCTAACGTACTATTTAGCCCAATGTGTCTTCTTGTTATGAATCAGACACGGAACACGCCCTTATCTACTTCATAACTATGTGGGGTACAAAAGCACGTTCCTTGCCACGTCACCTATACGTGCTAAGTAATATGGCGGCTCATGCTTCAGAGGTGTAGATTAAATCTTGCTCTCTGTGCGAATTGAGATGGTCGAGCAAACGACAACGCGCCTGGACGAAATACACATCTCAGAAAAATCATTATATGGAAGTTAGGAGCCCGAAAATAAATGAGGTTTGTGGAAGTCACCTCGAGCAAAGAAGGAGGAAGAAAAAAAGACGAAAAATTCTGATGGATGGGTGTAAGCTGAGGCTCCCGAGGCTCCAGGCGCCTATAGACGAGATTTCTATTGGGCGATACGTGCATGAACTTCCTCGTCTGACCATCTACGACCACAGCTCAGCACACCTTTTCGCTTCTAAAATGCCTAGTCAGTTGATCAATTAAGCAAACCGGGCTTCCCAGCTTACAGCATACTAATACAATACCTTTCTTACTGCATATGAACAATTCTTCTATTTCCCCCTAAAATCGAGTGTGACTCTCGGACCACAAGCATCTGGACAATCCGAGTTTTCGGAGCCTATGGCGCTAAATACTAGTTTTACCCCTCTTTCACCAAGCCCCTCCCTTACCAAGTGGCTTTTTACGGCTTACTGGTGTGTTTTATTGTGACATGAAACTACTGCGCCTCGAGTATTGCCTATGTATGTGCATAGAACGCACATACAGATCGACTCTAAATTGAGAACCCGGGTACCTTCTTGGCATTGGCAGAAGGGGCTATGGCGCAAAATCACTTATTCTAACACTGATAGGCAAAGAAGCATTTTTGACCAACTTTATCCTCTCCTCCTATTCCTTTCTTTGGTGAAATTACCCTGTCCCTCGGCCATTCCAGCTCGGTGAAAGAAAATCGAATAGGAGAAGATGGCAACCACATTCGACTTGACAAAAGCGTCTGCGTTACCCGCCGACGCCTACGCCATCATACCAAAGGGCTATCAAGCCAAGGTTCTCATTCGAAGATTTACTGATTCGCTACCTGGGGATAACGAGCTTGAAATATCTGCGAAGGAGGCACAGGCTGAAATTGACAAGACAGAACGAGAACGTCACCTGGAGCGGCTGTACTCTAACGTGGATGACAATAATAATAGGTGAGTATTTATTTCTATCTCCCTCATTTTTTTAGCTGTTGAGTCGAATGAATGGCTGACGATACTGAAAATTCAATAGTCATTTCTACCCAGCTGCACTTGCGAAAGACGAGCTACAAAAGACCCTGTCAACGCTACGCGAAAACGTCACCCAAAATGAGCAAAAGTTGGCGAAAAGATTATTCCGTAGTTCAGCCGACAAAAAGGCAGTCGACGCGCTTCATACATCTTTATCGGGAAGTGATTTCGCGGGCTTACAGTCACAAATGGAAAGGTTGAAGAGTAGGTGGGATAAAGGTCATGGGAAGGTTAGTAGCTCAGAGGTATTTATTTATGAGGATTGAATTAACTGGCTTTGTAGATACATACTTCTGTTGACCGACTGTGCGAGACGTTAAGTAACCACAGTAATATCCTGAAAATATTCCCAACGACAAATTCTTATGTTTCGATATTTTGTTCGAGTATTACTTGTCTTGCCCAGGTGAATTGACCCCAGAGCATAACTTACAATAGAACCACTTACTAACATATGCGCAGGCCGCCCATAATAACAGAGAGATCTCTGAGACTTTACTTAGCTCCGTTGCCGAGATTTCCGAGAAAGTCTCACGGTGCTCAGCATGGCTGTGGATTTTCCAAACTCGAGAAGTGAAAAGACTCTTAGCAGGAATCTATGCTAAAATGTTTGAATTCTTCCACGGGGCGATGAAATGGTTTCTTGATTCCCGATTTGGGAGATTCTTCAAATCATTTGATGAGTCAATTAAGGAAGGCTTTGACGCTGCCAAAGACAGTATAGAGACTCAAGTCGAGGAATTATATCGCCAGGCTCATATCGCTTCAAGTGCTGAGGCACGATGTGCTGAAGTGCGTCGGCAGCGTGAAGCGACAACAAATAAATCATCCGCCTCTGGCCATTTAGTGATTCTCTGTCTGGAAGCAACACTTGAGAGGGTCCATTCTGAAAGGTTGACCTTGGATCCCGATAATATCTTGGAGCCCGGTAGCTTGCTTCAATCAGTTCCACACAGCGGTAATATTGAGCCTGCGATTCGGCCCGCCGAGGGCGGCATCACCCGTCAAAAATTAAGAGAATATGAGCAATATTTACGACGTTTCATCGTCGGGAATGAAGGTCAGGATCTACTGAGCTCGGCAGTCTTTTGGCGCGCCGATGATCTCGTACTTTTCAGGTGGCGTGCTTGGATTATGAAAGATACCCAATCAAGCACACTCTGGGTATCAAGTCAACCTGAACTTAACGGAGTAACAAGCGCAAAAGCTCTAGCGTTTTCCACGATTCTCGCAAGCTGGCAAGCGGAAATGCCGGTGATTTCCCACTTTTGCAGCCGGGCCCGCGAGGATGAGGTGCACGACGGGATGAGCAAAGGGCAAGTCGGTCTTCTAGGACTGGTATATAGTCTGATCTGCCAGCTTATTCAGTTTAATCAGGGCGATGAAGTATTGGACATACGGGAAAGTGTCGAAGCCTTGGATGGACGGAGCGAGAGCTGGAGTGCAAGTCTTGATGTGCTCAAGGCTCTACTGGACCGGATGCCTCCGAGGTTCTTGTGTGTCATTCATGGCCTGAATAATCTGGAATGGGGAGAGCAGGAACCTATGTGCCGACAGGTCATTGAAATTCTGTTGGCCTGCCAGAAGAAAAGCGGAGTTGTTCTTAGTCTTCTCATTACCACAGACGGACAATCCCGACTTCTAGCATCCCTTGTGAGCATGGAAGACAGATGTCTCTCAGACAAGAAGGCCAAAGAAATTGTCGGTGGAAATGGTTTCAGTGCACTTTGAAGAGCGAGTCGACCCATATATTTTTGTAAGATTATCATATCAGGGCTTCAAATTCACAGATAAAAATGGAGATTCCACGGCATTGGACCGTATAGTAGTTAGATAGAAGAGTATCAGAAAGAGTTATATACACCCCAATTCCCCCAATAAATCAAAAACACCTCCCCTTTGGAGTTTCAAGGTCAGAATAGAACCAACCAAATGCAATGAATATATTACACGAAAAGCCCCGAATCGCCACTAGCAAGCGTATCAAGCCCTCCCTCCCCATCAAGCAAAGGGAAAACCTCCTCAATCCGATGCTGGAGAATATCCCGTTCAGCCTCCCACCTCCTCAACTGCTCAGCCTTATCCTTCGCCTGATTAGCTCCACCATACCAAGCCTTCTTCGCCGAAACAAGACTCTCAACCTGCTCCTCGCGCGCACTTTCAACCAGCGCCGAAACCATCGTTCGCCAGTTCTCCAGTCCGACCTTTAGACACTGTGCGCAGCGGCCGCGGGATGCCAGATCGGGCGAATTGTGCAGACTCATGAGTGTTGACTCGGACATTTCGACCGCGTCGCGGGTCCAGGCTAATCCGTGCTCGCGACTTGAGGATGCGTAGAGGATTTCGCCGATGTAGGCCATCAGGCCTGCTTCGTGGCAGATTGAGCCTGTTGTGCGGGTTGGTGGGTCATTGCCTGTTGGGGATGCGGGTGGGTATTCGGCTGGGATGAAGACTGTTGAGAAGAGATTGAATACAGGGGCGAGGGGGTTGAAGCCTTGTGTTGGTGGTGTGAGGGTTTGATGATCTTGGACCAGTGGGAGACTGCGCCAGGCTTTGAGAACGGATGTGAAGAGGGATAGGGCGGTTGGTAGGTCACCCTGGCGGGCGTTGTGGACGGCCAATGCGGTTGAGACGCGCATCAGGTTCTCGGATGGTGGTTCGGGGCTGGTATTCTTCAACACGCCCGTTTTCAGGTCGATGAGGTTATCCGCGCCGCCTTCGATGCCACCCGCGGCTATGTCTCAGTGCCCAGATGTACATATCGCCTGCTGTCATTCCGAGACCCTTGTAATCGAGCCAGTCGGCGTAAGCAAGTGCAGCCTCAACCTTCTGGTTCGTTTCGAAGCCGTTTGTCGTCAGGATTTTCATGTAGAACTTCTCTGGCGGCGGGGACGCAACCTCGCAATCCTCCTCGTGGATAACGTAGTTTGCAGCCGCGGGCATGGGCTTCGGACGCGGGTTTGAAGGACCGATGACATGTTCCGCTGGGGCAGAGACACGCTGTTTCTTATCAGTCAACCATCCCTCCAGGTTCTCAGCGGCCTTTGCAGCGCCGAGAAGAGCCTGGAAATAGCCACGACGCCAGGGCTCGCTTTTAGCGGAGATATCGAGGCCTGTGAGGCCGACACCCTCGACGAGGAATCCCCCGTCTCCTTGCTCAAAAATACCCGCGCCTTCGCCTTCCACGTTCTCCAGTCGTTCGATGAGTTCCTTGAGGTAGCCTGCTACCATGGGCCAATCGGTTAAGAGGCGGTTTGTGTACTCAGGGTGTTGCAGGGCCTGTGCGGAGCGGAGACACCAGCGAGACTTCCAGGACCATTCCGGCGGTGACGGCCATTTGTGCTCGATGTCTTCTTGGTATACGCCGAGCTTGACGATTGAGAAAAGGAAGAAAATGGCGGATAGGGTGAGGGTGGTCTTCACGGTGTAGCTGAAGCGTTTCTTGTAGTGCTCGCGACTAGTCGTTGATACTAAGCGGCCGAAATGCTTGCGCAGGTGAATTGAAAGCGGGGGGACAGGTCGTGAGAGTGGTTGTGGTGAGAGGAATTGTAGCTGTGGGCGACCTGACGGCGGGGGAGATTTGCAGTCGAGTTCGGTGGGTGAATGGTCGGAGTGAGTGTGATGCGGGATGCCTTGACGGTTGTAATGGTCGCACCCGAACTGGTATGCGACCAGCGATATTGCGTGACAGCATCTTGGGTGGTTGGATTGAATGTTGGATTGAATTGAAGATGCGCGCGAGATGCGATGAGTCTGGCCGGTTTGCTGTGTTTGTTCATATCACGTGACAAATGCCGAGGCGCTCCAAGTGCATCAGAAAAAGAAAAGACATCCATACATCTCACATTCATAATGTATGGTAAATCTTGGCCTGCTCTTTTCATTTTAGTGCTCACCTCTTGCTCCCTGAGAAGAACTGGCTCAACTGAGCATTGGGATGAGCGGCCTGGGTAAGCCCGTCCCCAATAAAATGCACCCTCAATGACCTGCGGCAGTCATCTGTTTATCCTAGGAGTTGAAATTGTGTTCACCTATACGTCTATGTATAAGTGAAGTCTTGAAAAAAAATAAAAATTAAGAATCCTTTTGGATGGATGGATACCTACATATATGGTGGAGGTACGCCGAATGTCTGATAACAAAAATACTTTGTGGTCACCCTCCTTCCTTTATCTCTTTGTGCCTCTCCAAGAGACTCCGCCAAAGATGCCACAAAGCCACTTCTACTTAAAGGGCTTTTGATTTGTCTTAAATGATTGACCGCCCATAAGGTTTCCTCTTTTGATAAACTTTCGATGGCATACACAAAAAGCGGTCGAAGGTATCCCGGGTTGAGTGCATCGCCACTCGAGGCGTTCCAATCTCCTTCGACGATATCTCGCATTTTGCTCATGGCTTCTATGGCTTCGGGTGATGCAAATGGAGGATCCCCAAGGGTCCGACCAAGCGCGACAACTTCAGCAAGGTATGCTGCCGTGCAAAAACCGGCAAGGGCAATGAGCGGGTCTACTATCGTATGGCTCAAATGATCTCGAAGTTCGCCTGGTAGTAGCCGCAAAGGGCCCGGTCGAGCTTCCCATAGAGATGACATCTGTGTTTTCAGACCGTCGGAGATTTCGGTTACTTCTGCCTGGTCTGTTGGGGTGATTCGTGACCGGCGATAGTGGCTCAAATCAGCGACGCGATTTGAAATCTTCTGAAGTTCGAGGTAGAAGTCAAATAGAGGAGCGCTGACAGTATCGTACAATACATTTGTTGAATTTTGATCGCGTTCTAGTAGAGATAGACTGGGAGGATGCATCACGTGGCGTTGAAGAAGACTAGACACTTGCCCAGGAAGGAGGCCAGGATTTCCCGCGCGTTTAGTTGCAGTGTCAATGAATTGTAGCCAGGCGCCAATCCGCAAGGAAACAGGCGAGCGATCGTGAGTCAGTAACCAAGTTTCCAATCTTGTCACGAACTGGCCGTCCAGTCCTCCAAATACAGAACTATCCTCGTTAGGAAGCGTGACAACGGATAGAGAAAGGAGGAACACGACGACAAGGACGGTATTAAAGTCAACAGCATCGTTGCTCGAGATCGATTCAAATTCGGCGGCAGCAGCTTGGTATAGTGACATGGCATGTGACATGGGTAGACGATCAGCCTGGGCCCTATACAGAGCTTGTACGGCCAGAATGGAGGTAGCCACGCAAGTCTCTTTGAATCCCAATTGGGCGACATGGATTTTGATTCTATTCCAGTTGAAAGAATCAAAAGGTGAGATAATGGGAGATTCCACATTTTCAATGAAGTAGCGATATGGAGTCAGAGTCGGATCTTCCAAGGGCCCCAAATCCATGGCTAGTGTCAGAAAGATATGTTGCGAAGTAAGCTCGAAGCGAGATGGAGACTCCGTGACATTCCGCTCATCTTCTTGATAGAACTGATCGACGGTGTGCTGATCGTTTTGTGATGCATCGGCATCGAGAGGCGCCAGAAGACTTTGGTCAAGTGGTAGGGCATCATCAGATGCTTGCGGAGTCATGGCAGTACTAGGGCCGGTTTGAATTTCACTGTTGAAAGGTTGCTCGCTAACCAAAGTCTCGCCATTATCGGGTGAGGTTCTTGCACTAGACGGATGTTCCTCCAAATGCAGTGATCCCGGCTTCGGATCCTCGGGCACTCGCGATTGTCTCCGCCTACTCTGGTGCCCGTAAATGCATGTTTTCTTTAGTTTGATGCATTTTTGACAGCTAGGTCGCTGTTCGTCACATTTAACCTTCCTGGATCTGCAGGTAAGGCATCCAGTGCGAACACGACCCTTATAGTGGGCATTCACAAGAAGACCAATCCTTCTAGCGTGTGGACTAGGGATTGTGCAGGTCTCGAGGGCTTCGGCTGAATCCATCGGTGCTTCCGATGGTGATCAAGGCGCAGAATTATCGACGCAAACAAATGTTGTTTCAAGCTAGTGGTGTGTTTTGGATTTGATCTTTCGTCTTGGGCATCTGCTCACAGCTTGGAGGCATTGCTGGGCGGGAGATGACTGGGGCGGAAGTTCCACGATGTCTCTGGACGACAGTAAGGTTCACGCCCCACTTCTCTTGACCATATTTCGATTGGGCAGTCGACACACATATTTATGGATCGCTCGAACACGGCCCAATCATGATGTGTCAAAAGGCCACAATGTTTGTGTCTGGATGGACTGATTGGTCCATGAGTGGTGTCGAAAACGCCCACCCTATGTATTCCAGGTAGCGCTTTGATGGTGTCGTCGCCACAGGGTCGTTTTTCAGGACATTCAGATGATACGATTTTTGTTCGCTGTCGTTATCGCTCAGACAAACTATCTGTCAGCTATGATTGGCCCGCGGTGTCGTGGCCTGTAGAACTGCCTTGGCCGAGTTACACAACATCATGATATCTCCCAAGATCGACCACTGAATCCGAGGGTTGAAATGAAGCTAAGCCTGGCAGTCGCTCTGACGTTGAGGTGGCATCGATGATAACAAAGTGCCACATGTGAAGCATCACGAGTAAGGAAGCTGGCTTGGCAGATTTCATATTGATTGATATAGAAGCCAGTCATGGAAAATCTATAGGACGGCTTGGATTGAAGGGGATTCGGTGCTTGGTCAACGTCTTACTGTAGCTGTCGACCACGGATCAACCGAGCAGGAGCAGATGGCAAAAGAAACTAACAAGGAGATCGATGTTTGAGGAAATCTGGTTCTGTTATACGTAGATCTTTTTTGGAAGACGAATATGAAAATATCACGCCGTCCTCCGTGCCGAGGGGGGTTTTCCATTGAAATCTGGGTTCCAAGAGGCATCCTAATCAAATTACACCATATCTTACAACTGCCGAGTTACTATCGTGAAGCGATGAACCACATAATAAAACGGAGTGGGAAGGGAAAAGAGATCAAATCAATCCGATTTGTCCCCTGATACTTTTACTCTACTTGCGCCTACTTTTTCCAGTGCGAAATTAACTGTGAGGTAGGAGGTCGGAGGTAGGTATGTAGGTAATACTTGAATGCGCAGAACATGAATCCACTCTAACGCCGATCGCCATGTGCCTACATTCCCTCGAACCGATCCGCCCTTATCTATAAGCGATGGCGTACTTAATACTTTATCTATAACCGACCAACTCTATCTCTCCCGTTGTGCCAGGATGCCCATATTAGGAAATTCGGCACAAAACTAACCTTTCATTCCTCTATGTTAAATATCATTGTTCTTGAATAATCCCTCGCAGGCTAATTTTGAGCTGGAGCCCTAGGCGATCATTTGGCAAGAATTGTGTGAGTGTTTGCTGAGGCCGTTTTGGCTCAAACTGCGTTTTGTCCAAGAATTATAAAACTAATTGTGCTGCAACTGACAGAATCTAGTACAAGGACAACCTGAAAAACATCAATCGGACACACTCTATTCATATACACACTTCATCGATACTTTTGATTATCTGAGTCGCTCTAATGAAATATCCCTACGCTCGCGAGCAGCATTATGCTGAGCTAGCCGTCTTACGAGCCTCGATCCTCACAAAGCGCGTTCAATCTACTGTCAGCGAGATCTCCAAATACGACGACTCGCCAGTTACTATTGCCGACTTTGGAGCGCAGGCCCTTCTCATCAAGGTTCTTCATGATGCCTTCCCAAATGATAAATTCTTGGGAGAGGAAGACTCGGCTGTTTTGAGAGCTGACGTTGCTCTCAGGGACAAGGTTTACGATCTTGTGTCATCCACTATAGGAGTGAGTGATTCGCAGACCTATGGTGCTTTGTTGCCTAAGCCAACTTCTGTGGAGGAAATGTTGGATTTAATTGACCTTGGCGGGCGTGGAACTGGGGGCGATAAGGGTCGTTTCTGGGTTATGGACCCCGTCGACGGCACTGCCGCATTCTTGAAAGGTCACCAATACGCAGTTTCTCTGGCTCTTATTGAGGACGGGCGAGAAGTGGTTGGTGTTCTAGGGTGCCCAAACGTTGGGGCCAAAATGACCCGACTTTCTGAGGAAAATGTCGAGAAAAATGGTCTTGGTATCATGCTCACTGCTGTTCGAGGTCAAGGCTCGTCTATTCGGAATATGACTTTGTATGGGCTTGAAAACGCCATTTCTCTACAGAGACTTGCGCCTTTAAGCTCTAAAAAGCTACATATCATCGACTGCGCCGCTGCCTCAGACTGCCGCCACGATGTTATCGCTCGCCTCGCTGATGCTTTCGGCGCGATATTCCCAAATACAGAGATTTGGTCATCCCATATTCGATACGCGGCGCTCATCGTCGGTGGCGGTGATGTTCAACTTTTAGTGCCAGCTAGCCCAACATGCAAGATGCATACATGGGATCATGCAGGCGCGCAGTTGATTTTCACCGAGCTAGGAGGAAAGGTAACAGATCTGGATGGAAAAATTATAGACTTTGGCGCCGGGAGAGATCTCAACCGGAATAGGGGGCTAGTTGCAGCGAGGGGAAAGATCCATAAATCTGTGCTTGACACGATGAGGAATATACTGGAAGACAGTGGAAAAGGAAAGAGCCAATTGGATTAAGCTGGTGTAAGCTGATTTATGATATACCACAAGCCGGACTTCTCTAATAAGCCACTCATGTTAAATACGTATCCCCTTCATCTTACCGAGTATGTTACCAAGTATAAAAATGGCAGCAATGGCAAGCAATTACCTCGAAAAATCGTCCAATATGACAAAACAAGGAGTTTGAAATAACAATGGTACCAGAGGGAAATAACAGAGGATATCAATCACTATGGATTAAGACGAGTATAAGAATAGATCAAAAAGCAAATCCGGAACTTTACAGAGTTTACCCGCCCACCCAATGTGGAACGCATCCCAGTCATTGCAAGTTATAAGTGATGATTCAATAAAACTTCTGATTCGTCATAGGAAATGTATACTTTATTTTGAACTGATGTAGAGAGATTCCATTTATCCACGGGCGACCTTCATGAGTCTAGTTACATGTGCGACATCATCACAAATAATTTGGTCCATCTGACCTTCACGAATCCAGTTTACTACCTGAGCTTCCACGTCCACACCATAAGACTTAAGTTTCGCCAAAGGCTCCGGGCGCGGAACATGCAGGAAAACGGCAAAGCCCTCTTTGTGGAGTTGTTCAGCTTCGCCGCTAGGGAAATGTTGGATCTCAAGGTTGATGGCATCCACATTTGCTTCCCGCGCCAGAGCAGCCGGGTCGATCAAACGAGAATGCGACAAGCCCACCGTGGGAACTTCTGGGATAGCCTTCTTGACAGCCCGCAGCTGAACGAAGTCGAAGGAAGAGAATTGTAGAAGGTCGGCACATTGGAGATCGTCAATCAGAGCCCTCAGCTTTGGGAATATCACGTCGTCTTTGTCGTATATTTTCAGTTCAAGTTGGTAAATGATGCCAAGTTCGCGCGCAAGATTCAAGGCATCTGTGAGGCGGGGGATGCGTTCTCCTGCAAATGATTTGTCGAACCATGCGCCCGCGTCGAGCTGAGCAATCTCCGCATAGGTCATATTTTGAACAAGACCCTGGCCATTGGTGGTGCGATCCACGGTAGCATCGTGGATGAGGATCAATTCGCCATCACTAGTCAATGCGAGGTCGGTTTCGCAAGTGACCCCTTTGCCACCAAACTCGTGAGCCTTCCGGAACGCGGATAGGGTGTTCTCTGGTGCACCAGCACTATGGCCACGGTGTCCAGCAATCCGGATCGATTGCGGTGTCGTTCTGAGGGTATTCATTTTGCTAATACTTTTCTGTTGTGAGAGCGTTGGTGTGGTCCGATTCCGAGTAGTAAGATTATATATCAATTATTCAAGCTGGCACAAGGTTCCCGAGGTCATGCTTGTAAAGAAAATCGCCTAGACCTATTTCGCTCGCTGTCCCCGGGCACTGTTGGAACCTTGTAAGTCGGGACACCTCAAACGTACAAAAGTCGCAGTTTACCGTGGTTCTAGTTCCATGATTGGGCCTAGCCGAGCGTCGAGACAATCATGATCTAGAGCTGTCCCACGTGGGGATCCCATGCCCCCCCGCTGCTCGGATAGAGATAAGAACTCGAATCGAGATAACCTTGATTTCCATGTCCGATAGGGCGAGAGGGCATTTATCGATAACCGCCGTTATCTTTAAGCGATGTTTAAGGTATCTCTTGCCGATGCCCTATGGTAGTCGTGCACTTTACCTGCTACCAATACCTTAATCTGCGGGAATCTTCCTTGTTGATGCTTTATGTTGTTGCTCCCAGTTGATTTTATCCAGAGGGCACTGCTTGTTATACTGCTTGTTATACTGCTTGTTATACTGCTTGTTATACTGTCCTATTATTTATGTCTATTAATAATTAACATGGAAGCTGAATTTGGAAAGTAGGGCCTGCCTTTCAGGGAGGTTGATCTATCGTTTTTTTTTTGATTTGCCGTTAGTGGCATGAAAAAGCATGTACGGTGAGCTGCAACTAGCTTCGTTGTGATGAAAGGAATGGTCCAACTGGTTAGAATGGATTAGTGAAACATGATGGCACTTGTCTGGGATCATTAAGCAGGCTCCCACATTCGAGTCCTTTGTAGATCGTTTCAAACTCAGCCTTCTAGTCAACAACATACATACACGCCTCCCTGTCTTGCCTTGTTTCTTGTCATCGTCATTCAAGTGTTCCTTCGTCAAACGTGAAAGTTATGATTTGAGCAAAGAAAATAAAACTAAGTAAACAATTAAGGGAAATTTTCTCAATTTTCCCCATACAAAACGGGCACACCTTTCTTGGAATCAGGTGGATTCCAAGTACTCCCACAAATTAGGCAACATGGACCACTCTACTGTCCTATTAGGTGTCTGTGAAGCTCCTTGGACTATATTCAAACAGTCTTTTCCTGCCTCACCTCGATCGTCTCAGTAAAATCCACATGATTCTTAGAAAAAGCACGCGGGGTAATCTTCTGCCCAAAAAGGTGATCCAATTCGGCAGTAGTGCGATCCTTGGTCTCAGGAACGCAGAAAAAGGCGAAGATGACCGCAACGAGACACCAGCCGCCCCAGAAGAAGCCGGCCTTGGCAGACCAGTTCCAAGCGGTGGGGTTGAGCATGTAAGAGTTTAGAACTGAGACGATGATGTTGGTGAGTGTGTACACCCAGCGCGCGAGCACGATCGACTTGCTGCGTAGGAGCGCCGACGGGATCTCCGAGCATAGCGTGTTTGTCAGGGGACCAATCGTGCAGTTGTACAGGAACGATGAGACGATCAGGCTGGAACCGACTGCCCACGAATAGCCGGACTCCGGTTGCATCGCTTGTGGGATTCCCAGGGCCCCGATTATGATCAGGAGGAAAGACATCAGTAACAAAGCAACGAAATATATGGTTCGGCGGCCAAATAGAGGGAGAAGGGTCCACTATAGACGTGAATTAGCTTGGGTGTTATAAGTGTGTGAATTCGAGGGCTGTGGTGGTTTACTTACGGAAAAGAAGCTGCCGACTATCGCGACTGCGTAGCCGGCAATAGCCATATTGAAGGCTTGGGTGGTGGGCAAACCAGCTTGCTCGAGAAAATACGTCGAGGACCCACGGAGAGGATTTCCACTGAGGATTTGGATGCAGTAGATACCAATGACGATGAGTGTCCTCGTCAGGTTGACCTTCGAAAAGCAGGCACGGTATGAAGTTCTTTCATCCAAAGCCCGCTCGTGCTCCGTGGTGACTACCATTAAAGCAACATTCTTGTCAATGTCGAAGTGAACGTTCTTCGGGGACGTCAGGCGTTTGACAACCACCCGAGCTTCATCCACACGGCCCCTACGTACAAGCCACCAGGGCGATTCTGGGGCAAAGTACACCATGGGTATCAAGATGGCTGGCCAAACCCACCTATGCTTCTGTCAGAAAATTCAGGCGCTGGATTGTGGGCATATCAAACATACTGTAGAGCAAAGGGAATGCGATAGGCCCACTCGTCATCTCGACTCAGGAGACCACGTAGGACGCCAATACATATGATTTGACCAAAGGCCTAAATTTTGTCAGCCAAAGAAAATTTCGCAGTAGCATATGAGGAGCCTTACCCAGCAGAAGTTGACGTAGTTGGTCAGGTAGGCCCGCAAACACATCGGTGTGATCTCGATAGCGTAGATGACGGTGATGGTCTGGAAGAAGCCCAAGGGAACTCCTGAACAACAAGTTAGTATTGATATGTAGCCACGAGGAAATGGGAACCCCAACCAAATAGTATTTGGCCAATTAAAAGAACCGTAAGCGACTTAGCAAAGAAAGTGATAAAAACGAAAGCGATGGTGATTAGGAGACTCCACATCATGCTTGTGCGAAATCCGTATCGCTCGCAAAAATAGCCTGCAATGAGCAAGCCTGCGAGTTGGCCAATAATGGAGCCATTGCTTAGTCCGGCCTGCCACGGTGCCGATATCTGATACTCGTCTCCCTTAACATGATTCCCAAAAGCCTTCATGAAAGCCGGTTGGGCGTATAGAGTTCCGACCAGTTTCGTGTCGTAGCCTTCCATGACGACTGCGGTAGACAGGATGATACTCCATATGACTCCTGTGGAATATAATTTGAGCGCCTCGAAGAATGTTAAGTCGTGCTCAAAAGCGTTGGCATCCTGAGCGTTGGCAATTTTCTCGATCTCCGCGCTATCAGGTTTCCCGTGGGACGGCAAGTTTGCAATATCCTTGCTGTCCATGATGTACCGAAGCTCGTAATATCTCTTGATTGTGAATGAAAAAAAAAAATTCCAAAGGAGAGCAGTCGTTGTCTGTTATTGCGTGCCACTACCCGAATGAAACGGTGACGGCGATCTAGGGATGTACCAGACCAAATATAAAAGCCTGGCGCTCAAGCAACATCTACATTGGTGGTCACTTCGTGTGGTAGGAGGTGAGAATAACCAGCCATGTGGTGATCTGAGAAACTCCGACTGGTGTTCGACTTACAAAGTTCTGTAACTGACGATGTCGGAGGCGGCCCACATGTGGTTATCTCTAAGCGACGATCTGGGGTTCCTTTATCTTTAACCGACAACCTTATTCCTGCGCACGTTTTCTACATTCCTAGTGCCCAGACTACGGTACCGTATGATAGTGGCATTGGCAGACAAATTCTAGTCCACAAGAGCAAAATAGGTCTCGTATCGAGTCATAACTATCTATCCTCTCGTCTTTCACCTTCGCAGGCATATACCCTATTAAAAGACAGTTCATGTCATTCTTGATCAAAAGACCATCTCTCTCGAATATTTTTTGGACAAGTTATGTCTGCCGCAATCAATGGGCTGGACGCGTCGGCCTGTGTTCTCCACAATGAGCACCATCAATCTCCTTTGAAGAACAATAACGAAGGCAGCACCCCTCATGGAAACCTTGTGGAGGATTCACCACTGCAACCTTTTCCCAAGCCCTCTTTCCATGTCACTGCCCCTAGTGGGTGGCTAAACGATCCCTGCGGCCCGGGATACGACCCAGCGACTGGGCTATACCATCTTTTCTTCCAGTGGAATCCAAAAGGCAACAATTGGGGCAACATGTCATGGGGTCATGCCACTTCCTCCGACCTTGCTTCATGGAAGACAGATCCGCAGCCAGCCTTGGTGCCATCAACAGAATACGACCGCTGTGGTGTTTTCACTGGTTGTCTACGGGCAACAGACATACACGGAAACCCTGGAGCCCTCACGGTCATCTACACCTCGGTAAATTGCCTTCCGATTCACTGGACGCTGCCATACGTCACTGGGTGCGAGTCTCTGAGCCTAGCTGTCTCAAGTGATGGTGGCAAGACATGGGAACGTCAGGCGTGTAACCCGGTCCTGCCAGGTCCGCCTCAAGATCTCTCCGTAACAGGATGGAGAGACCCTAGCATTGCCAACTGGACCCTGGGAGAGCAGAGTGTTTCTCGAAACAAGCGGTCTGACCTATGCGGCCTCATCTCTGGGGGTATAGTTGCCCAAACACCCACCGTTTTTGTCTATACCGTCAACCCGGCAGACCTGCGAGAATGGCAGTATGAAGGCCCTTTGGTCGACGTGGGCCTGAACTTCCGTCCCTCACGCTGGTCAGGCGATTTCGGCATAAACTGGGAGGTGGCTCATTTGGTGACCCTAACCAATGAATTCGGTGACTCCCGGGACTTTGTTATCATGAAGGTTGAAGGAGGACTACGCCCAGAAGACTCCATTCAAAATACACACGAAGCACGTCAAAGACGCCATACCCGAGGTCAGCTTTGGATATCCATCAAACCGTCTACACAAAGACACACCAACAAGGACGCGTTGACAACTTATGCCTTCGGTGGAATTTTCGACCATGGTTGTTTCTATGCTGCCAACTCTTTTTGGGACCCGCAAACCTCCCGGCATATTGTTTATGGATGGATCACGGAGGAAGATCTAAGTGACGACTCTCGCCATCGCCAGGGATGGAGCGGAATGGTCTCGCTACCTCGAACCGTGCGCTTAATCACCTTACACAACGTCAAGAAGGCACGCACCTCATCCCTACAATCGATCACCTCAATCGAGGTTGTTGCCAACGCATCAAAAGAAGAAAATACATTCTCGATTCACACTTTGGGAATTAGTCCAGACAAGCGCCTTTCGCAGCTTCGACCTCGAGATAGAAAGGATCTACACCATGGCCTGCCATTGCCTCTCCCCCTTACTGCAACCTCTGATCATTACTTTCCCTTAACGTCGACTCGCTGGGAATTACAGGCCGAGTTCGCGGTTGGTCAATTGTGCGAACGAGTGGGAATTGAAATTGCCCACAGTCCAGGTGAGTGCTGCTCAGCAGCTCGGCTCTCCTCTAGCCTTTTTGACTCCAAGTTGTACATATTAATATCAATATTAACAAACTATAGACTTCACCCACCGCACAACTCTATCATGGACCCCACTCAACGAATCATTCACAATCCACCGACCCCCTTCACAAGATCCCAAAATAAACCACGGATACGAATGCGCCCCTCATACACTATTCACCTTCGTAAACTCGCAAGGCGAGGATATCGAAGAGACTCTTAAAGTACATGCATTTTTCGACAAGAGCGTACTAGAAGTCTTCATAAACGAACGAACCGTCATTTCTACCCGAATCTATCATCCCGGGGACCGTTGTTTTGGAATACGATTTGTCGCAGAATCGTTGGATAACTTGAACTTGGATTGTCCTAATGAATTTGAACGGCCAGCGATGCTTCTCCGGGCTGATGCCTGGGATGGACTTGGGGAGAGCTAGAGCTAGAGATAAAAAAAGGCATAGATATCTGGACCTCGGGACTGCCACTTGTATTGATTCTGTGAGGTCTAGGTCATACGATGGTCCTGTCAAGAGTTTACCTATATAGCTGCATGCTACTACTACCTTCGTCTTACACCTGGTTCATAGTAGTCATGCACAGATTGACACAATCTACAATACTACCAAAAAAAGAGAATCATTGACATCAAAATCCATTCAATTCAGGATCTAGTATAGGGGAATCCAGTCGCAATTAAAAAGCGAATATCTATGTGTCGGCCATCATAACAAAGGAAAAGGTAAGAAAAAAAGCAATCAAGTCCAGCAATTTTCGTTTTTTTCAACAAAATATTTACTGGGACTTGTCGAAGTAACCCTCGCTCTCGAGCACGAGAATAATCTCGTGAACGATAGAGCGAACGCTCTGCTTAGAAGCGTCAACGGTAAGGTCCGCCTTAGCAGGAGCCTCATAGGGGTCATCGACACCAGTGAAGCCCTTAATCTCACCACGGCGGGCACGCTCGTAGATACCGCGCTTGTCGGTCTTCTCGCAGTACTCGAGAGGAGTGTTGACGTGAACGAGGAAGAAAGAGCCGGACTGGGAGACGGCGTCACGGGCGTACTTGCGGGAAGCCTCGTAAGGGGCGATAGGGGCGGCAATGACGGCGGCACCGGAGCGGGTCAGCTCAGAGGCAACGAAGGCAATGCGCTGAACGTTGGTGTGGCGGTCTTCGCGGGTGAAGCCAAGCTCGGAGGAGAGCTCGTGGCGGACGGTGTCACCCAGAAGCAGGGAGACGGAGCGGCCGCCTTGCTGGTTGAGAGTGACCTGCAGAGCGCGGGCAATGGCGTCCTTGCCGGAGTTCATGTAGCCAGTCAGGAAGATGGTGAATCCCTGGGCGTTGCGGGGAGGGTTGGACTCGCGCAGGATCTTGACGACCTCTGGGTAGGAGAACCACTCGGGGATGTGGGCGCCGCTGCGGAGACGGCGGCGGAGCTCGGTGCCGGAGATGTTCAGGGTCTTGACGCCAGCGGGGACCTGGTCGACGGGACGGTACTCGTCGGTGTCGGGGAGGTAGGTGACCATCTGGAACTCGACGACTTCGATGCCGAGCTCGTCCTTGTACTTCTCGACGGCGTGCTGGGCATCGTAGGGGCCGTAGAAGTCCTCACCCTTGGAGTTGGAGCCGGGGCCGGCGTGGTCACGGCCAACGATGAAGTGGGTGGCACCATGGTTCTTGCGGATAATAGCGTGCCAGATGGCCTCACGGGGACCACCCATACGCATGGCAAGGCCGAGCAGACCCAGGACGGCCATGCCGTTGGGGTAGCGGGGCAGGAGGGCCTCGTAGGCACGGACACGAGTGAAGTGGTCAATGTCACCAGGCTTGGTCAGACCAACGACGGGGTGGATCAGGACATTGGCTTGGCGAGAGCGAGCCGCGCGGACGGTCAGCTCACGGTGAGCACGGTGCATGGGGTTACGAGTCTGGAAAGCGACGACGCGGGACCAGCCCAGCTTGTCGAAGTGAACGCGGAGCTCAGCGGGGGTGTCTAGAGTAGAGGTTAGTATATAAAATGGGCGAGAAACGAGGCGATTAGCCAAGCTCGGGGATCCAGAGGAAACGTACAGCGCAGAGCAACATAGTCGTAGTGGTTCAGCTTGTTGACAGCCTCAATCTTTCCACCAATGTAGAACTCCTGGACGGTCTCGTTCAGGTACTTGATCGCAGGGTGCTCAGGATCTCCACCGAAGACAAGCTTAGCCTCCTTGGCCCTAGAAACAGAAAAGAATCCACGTCAGCCAGACCCACAACTAAAAGGAGCCGCGCCCGGTCCAGGCATTGCGTATAGCAAATGGTCCATGCACTCCGCGCCACCTCCGAGCGATTCACCGCACCGACGCTAGAACACGAGTAATGGAAATAGTATTATCCAGGTGTTGCGGTGTTGCGGGTGGAGATCGACAGAGGAGTCGCGGAGTCCGGCAGGAGTGGACGGAGCGGACGGAGCGGGGGAATTGTCGAAACTCACTTGTCGGGGCGGTAGATGTCGTCGATGGTCAGAATGGCCAGGTTGCGGTCGTCACGGAAGTCACGCAGGGTGATGCGGCCACCGGCCTGCAGCTTCAGAGCATCGATTTCCTTCTGGGTAATGTCGAGGGTGATGGGCATGGAGAAGACATTGCCATCGGCAAGGCGGTTGTCAGCAACGACACTGGAGGGCAGAAATCATGTTAGTATGGGGAATTGCAGTATTCCGGGGACTCGAATCCCAAAATCTCGGCATATGGAGTATTGAACGTACCCGTCGTAATCAACCTGGTTCATGAAACCTGGAAAAAACAAAGAAGATCGGCGTTAGCATTGCCCCTCTGTAATTAAGATCCGCCCGCGCCGCAAAAAAAATGATAGTAGTGGAAATATGGGGTCGTGGAAAAAAGGAAAAAAGCAATGCGGTATTTCTTGGCCACTGGCATTCCAATTGCTAATTGCATTGACAACGCCAATTGTCAATGCAGTCAGCAAGGCATTGGCACTGGCATTGGCATTGCATTGGCAGTGGAATTGCGCAAGAAGTGCAGTGTCCATGGTGCATAGAAAATCGAATAGAATAGAATAGTGGGGGGGAGGGGCAGCATGACGCGATTGCCAAGCATGGAATTTCAGATTGCAGCGAAAGAGAACTACTTACCCTCAAGAGGTGAGAAACCACCGTTCATGATGAGTTCCAAATCACACAGCTGACGCTCAGTGAGGACAACAGCGGGGAGAGTCTCAGCCTCGGCGCTGAGCTGCTCCTGGCGGGGAGCATCGCGGGCGAGCAAGTCCTTGAGGACACCACCGTGGGGAGCGTTGGCCATTGTGAAAAGAGGGTGTTAGGGGAGGAGGGGATAAGAGAGGATGAAGAAAAGAGAAGAGGGAGGAGAAGGAGAGAAGAAAGGAAGAAAAGTGGGAAAGGTGAGAATTTCTAGTTCCGAACCTTTTGGAAGGGTAAACCGGGATGGACAAGGGCCACGCATGGATGGACTGATCTAATCGCCCAGACCGTCGTCAACGGTGGAGTCTGTTGGAGTCTTGGGCCCCGCTGACTCTGTCCTCTCTGTCCAGACAGAACTTGATGTGATGGAGAACCAGGGGTTGCTCGCCTATCCTGCATATCCTTGCTGCAATGGACCTTCTCGAACACGTTTCGAATTGATGTTTGTAGTATATCAAGGGACTGAAGGGACTGCATATGGGTACGTACCCGTACTCATATTCCTGTCCATACCCTCAAGTATATCATCTCCATACTGGTAGTATCTACAAAATCCTACTATGTACTAATAACTAAGCAGAATTATACACTGCCAACACTCTACCCAACACTCCTCCATCCCTTATGCCTACCCTCCACTCCCCAAAGGTAGACGTAAGCATTCTCCGCTGGCCGCGGACTCGCGTACTCGTTTATGGCGGGGATCTTCCCGGATTTTCAGGGGGCGGTATTTAGTCAATAGTACTTCCAGTAGGACTCCGCCTCCTCGGATTAGGATCATCTCCATTAATCTCGACAGGGGTGTCCCACAACTCTGCAAGATGCAGAGTTGAATCTATACACAACGACTTTGATATGTAAAGTCGCCGTAAGCCCAGTGCGTGGCGGTACAGCCATTAACGGTACGTCCACGTGACACTGTGAGCACGTCAGCGGCCGCGGAGGTGGCGTGCTTCAGCAGCATCTTTCGTCCCAAAGGGGAAGGGATTTCCTCCGAGGCCGGCCTTGGCAGTTTCCATTTAAGCTTTTTTGTTGGCACGGCAGTTGCTGACACACGAGGACTAGTATATACACTGCACACAGTATGTACACTGCACAGGAACCAGCTATGGAGGTATTGTACTGTGTACAGAGTACAAGTCATGTAGAAGGCACATTATGGAACTCGTATTACCCAACGCCTAACACCTATATACATTTACTACTCTCACTTGATATCGATATCTATACATCGAACCCTATTCCATCAGACAGCTCCCAACACAAGTACTTTTGTATACACACGCGTCCTGGTCGACTAGCCCAATATACCCCTGTTCAGGAGATACGGGGAACTATACGAGACAGAGCGGAGCGACCAGCGGAACGACTCGCAGATCAATGCACCGTCAATCCAGTCCCCTCCCGCGTAATCGTCTTATTCGCAAAGTCCAACGAGAAAGTCCCCATCAATTCCAACGAAGGCCTACTAGCCGCCGCATAAGAATCACTCAAATACGAAGCAATCTCCTTCTCAGAAGAAAGCGCCGAATCAAGGGACCCCGTATCCTGCATAATGAAGAGCACAGCCACCTGCGAGAACTCAATCACTGACTCCGGTACCCCGGTCGCTTTGGCCTTGGAGCTGCTGGTCGATGTGGCGGTCGCCGTCGCTGGATTCGCTGCGATCGACGTCGTCTTGGTCTCGGTCTCGGTATTCTTGGACCCACTGTGGTTGCCGGAGCCGTCGACCAGGATTCCGTTGATTGTTTGCTCTGATCGGGCGGCCAGGAGTGTGGGGGTGGGTTGCGTGGAGTCTTCCAGTTGGTTAAGATCTCAGGTCTCAGATCTAGGTCAATGGAGCGTCGGCTGTTACCGCTGCTGCTGCTGCTGCTACGGTCGACGTCGCTGAAAGCAATGAGCGCATTCTCCGTCTTACAGGAGATATTGTTCATGCTGAACAACGCCATGATCGTGACAGGGTCGAGAGTGATATCGAATTTCGTCTTTGACTGGTTAAAGATAGTCGGCAGAGAGCTACCCATCGTGGCATTCTTGCTGATAGTCCCATTATCCACGTTCGAACTGATACAGCTGCTATCACCAGAAGTGGTGCATGTAGAACCGGTATATCCATTCGAGCAAACGCATGAGCACTGTGTTCCGCTCGAAACGCTCACACCGCCATTTTCGCAGGGGTTGGAAGAGGCACAACTGGTGTCGCTGCTGCTGGACTTTTCGTTGGGGACGGCGACGAGGAAGACTGGAAGGAGGACGGCAAGAATGATGATGATGAACAAAACCACGCAGAGAATAATGAACCATTTTCGCGCCATGCCGCAGCACCGGCGTGGGGGCTTCTGGGCGGCAGGTTCATCTGCGTTCGAGCCGAGGGCTTCACCGTTGCGTAGACCGGAGCGGCCGAAGAATACAGGCCAGGAGCCACGGGGTTTGTCGGGGGTATCCAAGGCTGGGTTAGGGAACATGTGTAGAATATCGGAAATGGAGCCGGAGTTGCGGCGTCGTCCTATTATTGTAGTCAGTGATTTGCTTTTGGTTTGCGTCGCCAATAGAAAATGGACTCACCAAATGGAGCTTTCGGTTCTGCGTCTGGGTTCAATGCATCGTTCCGACTCGCTGTCCTTCCGTGATCCAGGTTAGATGCGAGTTTAGTCGCCCGCCGAATCAGGTCAGACAAGCTGGAGAGACTACCGCGTGCCTCGGCATTTCGTACGGCGCCGATATCCAGACGAGGTGGTTTACGGCCACCAGGACGCTTGTCACTCATGGTAGGTGCGGCAGCGGGGAGAGCCTCCACTTCCTTTTCCAGACCTGTATCTCGATACAAGTCCATGTGGTCTGGGACTGGATGCGCAAAGCGTGGCTTTTCGGGATCAATGTACGATTCACCTGACACAGTCGAGGCGGATGCTCGTCGGACTGGGGTCGGCTGGCGCATAGCTTTGCCGATGGCGGCTACTGTGATCACGGCACCATCTGAGACGTCACTCTGTGAATCGCCCTTGTGCTGGGTCGAGGGGACGTCTGGGACCATCACTTCAGAATTAGGGTTGGATTTCGAGATCGTACGCATTGTTGGCTTTCCCCGCTTTCCAACGCTGGCATTTCTCACGAGAGCGGCCTTGTCTTCTCGGACGGTGTCTTGGGAGTGCTCTTCATCTTCAGATTCCGTATCAAGGTAAGCCCCGAGGATTTCTGATTCAGCTGGTCCAGAGCCCCAGCTTGAGGGAATGGCACGGCTAGAGGCAAGAGAACCAAGGGTTTGGCGGGGATTAGGGAGTTCTTCCGGAATAGGCGAGACGGAGGATCTCCGGGCACGAGTCTTCTGAGCACTTGGGGCAGCAAGCCCTGCTGTCCGGTGTGGTTGCGGGTAACCCAAAGGCAGAGGCGGCTCTGGCAATGGGATTGGCGGAACAGTTGGAACAGAAGACGAAGTGGAAGCTGTGGAATGACGGAACAGATCTTCAGTAGAGATTGAAATGCGCGGTGTCATATCCACTGTGCTTGTGGGGCTGGGGCATGAGCCATCGTCGGCTGTATAAGGGCGCGGCGGATGATTCTGATAAGCTTTGGGTTGGGAGAAAGATCGAGCTGGCCGTGTTGGGAATGGATAATTGGAACAAGTCTCGGAATCCATGCCACTCCTAACAGAATAGATAGACGGCGATGGAATTTGAGATGGCATCTGCGAGGGCATTTCATTTGGACGCGGCGGTCTTTGCGGGGGAGGGCCCCGGGACCGAGATATCTGGGGTGCTGTTGCGGATTGAGAGGGCGTGGTTGGAGCCCTGAGGCAGGCAGAGGCCATTGCGTATGTTGAGAAGAGTTCCGTGGTGGAGGTGGGTTTGGTCTTGGAATTGCGGCTACGGGTATGGATGGCGGGACCCGGATTGGACGGACGCCAGCTTCCAATTGCTCCCTCGCTCTTTTAACGGATCCCTTCCTATCGGGTGCTGGTCCGGCAGGACGAGGCCCAGGACGTGCTCCCGGGCCGGAACTTGCTGGAGGGTTAGAGCTCATTGATCCTTGGCTGCTGTTGCCAGGGAATATTCAACAGGAGTCGAAGTTCGGTGGATAGTGTGCAAGATTTGGCCGTCTTATAGCATCAGGTTAAGAAGCAATAAGGATCTGGAAAGGTTAAGGTCACGGTCGAAAGCGTGTGCCGATAAATAGAATCAAGTTTCTTGGTTTCTCGATACCCTGATCGAGGAAAGAAAAGAATGGCAGGCAAAGGCACGAAACGAATGGACTGTGCCGAAATAACCAAAAGGTCGAAAGAATGAAGTTGAAAAGTAAATGTCTAAATCGAAGACAAATACTGAGAGAATGAAGCGAAGCTTGCGTGCTGTAGGTCGAAGCTTAGGTTGAATATCACAAAAGAATGAAAAGGCATTCAATGCCACTGTTGAGAGCCTGCATGTTAGACATCAGATTACTCCCAACATTGTTTGTAGGTGAATGACAATCTCTTACCACCGATCAACGCTGACTGCAAGAAAGGGAACAATCGCTCGTATCAAACCAGCGATGTTTCAAAACAATAGAAGCCTGAATTTCACTTTCATATTAGAATGCGTCCTTGTGTTGCCAGCCAGACCTTTGAGCACCGACCTCAACCCACTATCGGTTGAGAACAGGGCTGGACAGAGGTATAGTACCGCACTCACAGTAGTCGCGAAAGGAGAAGGGAAAATAGAAAGGAAGAGCCTCAAGCTCTTCGAGCAGAAAGAGAGTCGCGAGTGTCGCAACAAAGAAAGAGAGAGGAAAAAGAGAAGAAAGGGACAGGGAGGAGTCACAACGGCAGACAGCCACATCCAGAACGGCACAACCGTCGGTCTCTCACAGAACCAGCCCCGAAATAGATTAAACCCTGGTCATATTTTTTCGGGAGCAAGCGAAGTCACCAGGCCTGTATCCGTAGTGGAGGTCGCTTCACATCGCGGGCCAGGTACGGAGTAGATAGATTAATTTTGAGGGGGCTCGGACGGCTCCTGGTAATCTCAGGCGACCATGGGGCAAGCAATTCGAAATTCGAAGTCGTCAAGGAGGTTTCAGGTCGCTACACATCTAGGCCGGTACCCTTGTCAACTGTGGGGACTGGGGCCGAGCGCACGAATCCCGATCTCGATGCTCGCCAGTGGGGTGCGTTCCAGGAGGTGCCAGGAGCTTAGTCTCCGACGCTACGTCTCACGTTGAGGGGCTCGTTCGCTTAGTCCGGCCAATGTGAGACGTCAAGAAAGTCCATTGTTTTGAACATGGAACAATCATCCGTCAAGACTGGAGTCCATAGATATCACGGCCAACGGGTACAAAGTTAAATGCGGAGAATCAAAGTCATCCAGTGCACAATGACCCCAGCTGGGCCAAGGTAAAACGTACAATTGAACAATCAACCCATCGTATAACCCCGGGCCTTCGTACTTCTTTTAGGTTGGAGGCTCGGAGAATTTCTCAAGGCGGAAAAGTCGGGTGAAACATAATGAGAAGGCTGGCACTATCTATACCGCCAGCTCGACTAGGGCCGCCTTGGGGCCATCCTAGTATACAACTCCGCCTCGCACTTATCCACCACAGGTGGTCCCATGAAGGAAAGGGGTGTTAAGCGACCCGGAAAAAAAAAAGAAATAAAGTGGAAAAAAGAGATGTAAATGCAGAATCTGGACAATGAAGAAACGGGGCCCTTCTCTTCGTTAATCCACCGTTCGTGAAGCTACAGAGCCGTGGAGCTCCGTTACCCATAAATTCAGCCTCCCATCTTTGGTCCAACCGGATCGTCGCACACTTGTCCAAACAGGGCCGGTGATCCGGTTCTATCGACGCCGTTTTGTGCCATGCCCACCATGTGGCATCTGGCATCTGGCCGGGAGCTGCCGGATGTTCTCGACTGCGGCTTAGTTTAGTTGTTATGTGTAGTACGGAGTATACCCCTGTAGGTACTCCGTGCCGACGGAGTATATCAGGGAGAGCTCGTTTTTTCCAATGGCTCGACCCCTAATTCCTTTCGTAGCTTGGTGATTCTCTGCTCCATGGCTCGCATTTCCACAACCACGCCAGCTAGCTCGGGCACTTGACTCTGGGTTGCCTCTGTAAATGATCGCTGGGCATTGCGTAGCGAGGCCGGCACTAGGATCCCATACCAATGGATAGGATCGTCCGAGTGGAACTTTTTCTTAGGGGTATTCAGACTCGGTGGAAGGTTGAGTCTCATCACTGGTCTCCTCAGAGCTGGATTCCTTCGCGTCTTCTTCTTGACTGGGCGGCGCAGGTGCTTCGGTTTGTAGGTGCTCGGTAGTTGATGAGGTACTTTCCTCCGTCTCAGTTGTGTCCTGTGATTCGGGCTCATGCGTACGCTCCGATATACGGTTCAAGGTGAAGTTATACTGAATATCGGGCGCTGCAGGGTGAGATTGTGCTGCGTTTTCCGAGTCCTCCTTGTCTTTGGACACATCCTCATCTTGTTCGGTTCGAATCGAGCTATTCATTTTACACCATATTAGCCCACCAGCATCCCTAGTTCCAGGGTATTTTGAGAATTCGCCCACATTTTTCGTGTCGCTTTCATCCTCTCATCGTAATAGTCGGCGCCATATCGTCGGCCAGGAGGACAGGTGTAGTTCGCATGGGCCAGTGCCAAAAATCCCTTTGATCAACAATTAGCCTTCTGTCCGATCATATGGCATCAAAAGGACATACCGAAGACAATTCCTTCGCCAATCCAGTTTGCAATTTCTGCTGGCGATCCAACAGATTTAGGTACTGCTCCAGCAAAACATCCAATGACTGGAGTAACTCCGACGAGTCCTCCGCGGGCTTCACTGCGGGAGGCTCTGAACCTGGCCGCGATGCGGGCGGCGTGGGTACTTGGACCATGGTGAATAAAGCAAGGCTGTAGATTCCAAATAAACCGCGCAGGACGATAAGGCGATCGATCACGGGTGGTGGTGATAAGTGGTGGTAGTGAAGGAGAAGCAGTGAGGAACGCGGAGAAGCAGCTCGGCCCCGGAAACTCCGTCATATTGGCTCCGAACCCAAAAGAATTTCCCGCCCTGCGCTTCGGCATCAAACACACTCTCTCTCTCCACCCTCGTCCTCTCCTCTCCTCTCCTCATCCACTCCCACCTCACCCCTGGGAATCTACTGTACATCAGCACTCCCTCGTTTCTCTTTACCAAACTCGGCCGACCGAGTGTTTGGACTTAATCCTGAGTCTCGATCTGAACCTGGATCTGAACCGCCACCTCCGCAACCCCGATAACCAGAACCGCATATTGCGTGGACTACCTACGACGTCAAGTCTTGTCTGATTAGAAACGTCTTCAAGCGATCTCTCTCGCCTCACGCACCTAAAACAATATCAAATCATGTCTGTCGCTGGGCTGCACCGTGATACCGCCTTCCAGGCGCGGTCTCTGGTAAGTCTTTCATCCCAGGCTTCTTCCATATCACCGAATATGCGATGCACGCCTCAAGCGAGCCACCAAACTCGATCGCAGTGGGCTAATTAGCTTATCTACTTTTACAGTTCCGCTCTCTTCTGCGAACCTCGTCGCAGTTCTCCAACTACAACTTCCGTGAATATGCGCGTCGGAAAACGCGAGATATGTTCCGCGAGAACCAGAATGAGTCGCAGGAACGCCGGATACAAGAGTTGATGCAGAAGGGTCTGCAGGATTTGCGTCTGTTGAAGGTTAGTCTATCATTATCGACTTGTTGAGTCGGCTACCCCTCAGCGACGCTCGGCTCGGCCAATGCGATCTGGATATCGAAAATGGCCTTGCCACGATGTCTTCCGTCTACGCTTACGTTCCGAACAAACAAGAAATCCCGATGCTAACTTCTCTTCACAGAGACAAACTATTATCAGCCAGTTCTATCAAATGGACAAGTTGGTGGTGGAGGGCCAAGAGACAGTAGGTGCTCTTTGAAGGCAGAGATAAGGCCTTTCTAATACGATGAAATTCAGGGAAAGGAGACAGGAGACCAGGGTGGCATTGTTCGCCAGAAGGATAATGGGTACGTTCCGCTCGCTTTCACCCAGCCATGGGCCTTGCATCGATCATATACGTTTTGAGAGGTACTAACTAACTTTTTCTTCTTCAACAGCTGGAACTGAACCATTGGAAGTACCAAGTAAACCTGCAACTAATTCTGTCTGTCGGAGTACCTAGCGTGGCAATATGATGGAGAGTACAATTGGACTGGATTCTTTTCTTCTGTATTTATAGTGTATGTGCCGCTTGACGGCCAAATTCATTGATCGCCCAGAATACAACACCTCTCCTCTCTATTGCAACTTGAAACTAATACCCAAGTGGCCTGCAAGTCAATCCTCAGGTATTCCATGCCCAATAGTTCGTAGTTAGTAGTTAGTAGTTGTAAGTCACCCCGAACTGTAAGAATCGATATCACGTGATCGTCCCTGTCGAGATCGCCCCATTGCAACGCGACCGACTCCAACGCTGCCTCCACCCTCCGCCCATCCGCTTTCCTGTTCGTCTCAACTTCGGACCATTTGCGGTGTATACCTAATCGGAGGACCTACAGGGGAAATACACGGGCCACCCGGCTGTTCACCATGCCATCCGCAGTACGTCTAAATTGCGCCCGCGATCCTTACCCATCCCCGTCTCCCTTCTCGCGAGCTATGGGATCCCAACCCAACATACAATTGAGAGCAATCAATTGCAATTGATGTATCAAAATGAAATAATCCTGCTAACTCTCTATATAGTTCAGATCTTCACGCTCCGGGCGCCAATTAGATAGCGCTAGTCGCTCTAGAAGCGCAATCGACCATGATGTCTTCGAGGGTTTGCCCGTCCGCCGCTGGTCGCGCCAAGTGCAAACTACCTCTCAAGCGCCCAAGACCGAGGAATCCGATTTCAGCGTCCAAGGCCCTGGAGGAACCCCCGCGCTCCCAGAGCTAGCCATGCCACGCGACAGCCAACTTCTACCTGCCGCCAGCCGCGCCCTCCTACGAGCCGCCCGCGCAGGTTGCATCTACGTTCGCCAAAGCGGTCGAGCTACAAAGGAGGAAGAGCAAAACGCCGCGGCAGCAGAGGATCAAGCAAACGCCAACGCACACATGGCTGATCGCAGTTTCACCAGTCGCAAGTGGGCGAATCACCCAAAGAATTTGGAGCCTCCGGAGCTCGAATTCTTGGCGAAGCGTCGCCCGGGTTTGCCGTCCCTTTATGGTGGCCCTGTTAGCTTGGATGGAAGCTCTGGTGTGACCCCGGGCCCGATGCGACGAACTAAATTCCAGAAAGTCGATCCGGTGACCGGCAGCATCTCGATCTACGAAGCTTGGGTCCCTGAAGGACATCGCATTGAAGGCGAGGTTACTGGGGATATTCAGACTATTGTGGCACAAAGCGAGGTGCCGGTCAAGCCTGAGGCGCCTGCCCCCGGTACACTCGTGGAAGGCGTGGGAATCGTCAATTCGGAAGGTGTTGTGGTTGCGGAGGCTAGCTCTGCTGCAGTCGTTAATCCCAACAAGCGACGACCGCCTCCTCCCAAGCGCAAGGGCAAGGGTACTGGCAAGGGCCGAAAGAAGAAGGTTATGTTCGCCCCGGGTGAGGGCGCTGATGCTGCTACAGTGCATGGTGTGGCTTCCAGCGCCGGGGGTGGCATCGATGCCGCCAAGGTTGGTCAGGATGGCCTACCCATTCCGGCTAGTCAAGATGGTCAAGAGGGTCAGGATGATGATGACGATGAGGGTGATGAGGGTGACGAGAGTGATGAGGGTGATGAGTCTATGATTGACGCAAAGACCCCCGAAACTCCTTTGCAGCAGTCCCTTGACGAATCTACCGAGCAACCATCAACCAGCACTCCGGCCGATCAAGATAAGGATATCGAGATGGATGATGCTGTTCCCGAGTCACAACCTTCTGTCTCAGAACCCTTGTCTGCTGAGCCGCTACCACCAACCCCGCCTGTTTCTCAAGTTGAGACTACTGGGCAAGGAACCGAGGCATCTCTATCTGCAACACCTGCTCTTGCTGAGCAGAGTGAAGAATCCACGGTCGAGACCAAGGAATTGCAGGAGCCTCTCAAAGAGGTTTCGCCTCCAGAGGAGCCTATCGCGGCTGCCACTGATTCCGATAGCAACATAAAGGAAGCAGAGGAGACAGTACGAAATGAGGAGCCACTTGATACAGCATCCACTTCTCTTCCTGCCGAGGAAGATGTGAAAGAATCACCGGCGGCCGAGAAACAAAGTCCCGCTGTCCCAGATGCCCCAGCAAACGAAATCCAAATAGACTCCCAACCAGTCAAGCCTGAGGAAAACACACCTAGTCTCCCTTCTCCCACTCCCGAAGAGAAGCCTCCGGCCCCTGTCCCTTCTGAGGAATCTGCAGCACAGACAGAATCGGAAAATGTTGCTGAAGACATTCCCCAGCCTCCGACCGAGAACCAGACTGCCGAGCAACCAGATACCTTGCCGAATGCGCAGGGAGAAGAAGAATTTGTCAATACCGAAATCAGTCAGGATCCCGTGGAGGAACATAAAGATACTGATATGGCCGATGCACCCAACCCACCAACAGACAACGAGGTAGTCGCAGAAGAATCCGTCGAGCCTTCAGAAAAGCCAGCTTCTCCTTCAGTGCCACAAGCGCCGGCTGAACCAGAGTCGACTGAGCCGACTGTTGAGCCTACTCCTACCCCTGCAACTGAGGAAGCCCCAGCCCCTGAGGCCTCCGTACCTGATCCCTCGCCTCCTAGTATGCCAACCCCCGCAGACCCAGAGGTCAAGGAAGATGTGGATTCTGTGCCAGCGCCGGCTGAGGGCGAAGGTCAGAGTGAACCTGTACAGGAAGCAGAGGCAGAGGCAGAGGCTAAGAAGGAGGAATCAGAGGCAACGCCGGCTCCTGCCCCGGCCGCAGACGCAGACGCAGATCCAGCTGCGTAGATCTGTCTTCGATTTGCGGATTTCGTCGTTGTTCTATTCAATTCTTGTAATGTATCTAAATCTTGCTTTTGCGAATTGGAGTTTAGTTGGAGTTGGGGGGTTTTCAGGTGTACACTTTTAGGATGGGAATGAACATCGGATGAATACATCAAAGTACTAAACTAGTATACAACTTGAAGGTAGTCGTATTCTATAGTACTTAGTAGTAGTAGCGTTGCAGTTTCGACTTGAACCTTGGATGATCAAGAAGTGATAGTTCTACTAGTAATTTTCGAAACTTTGCAAGGTGGGTTGGAATATATAGTAATTCGTCTCGGGTTTTCTTGCAAATGTTCAACCCGAAGACCAACCTCCAGGGCTTGGAATACACGACCATTATCATGGCACTTCTTGAAAGTTCCAAGGTTGCACGCCTTTAACTTGAAATCTAACCTTGGAAGAGATTCTTTTTAAATCAGAAATACTGGCAATGGACCAGTCCTGAGTTCATCTTTCCACCTGGGCAAGAACTCGATTAAAATCTCAAAGCGGCAACGATCTACATACCCAGCCAGTATCAGAAGTCTGGACAGAAGCTACGAGTGGTGTTGTAACTATTAAGACGACTCAGTGATAGTATTAACTTGAAATACTACTAGTACGCAGAAGATACTATCTACTACTCCCTGCTTATGACGAGCGTCCGGGGTTCTGAACCAAGTCCCAAAGTTGAACTGGAGATAATCAACCCCGAAGACACCGGGACATACATTACCATCTGCATATTAGTATTAACTTCCAAGCCCCTCACCTATGATATACCCCAACAGCCACTGGCACCTAAAGATTGAATTTGAAAATTTTCATTGAATTGGATATTGAGCCCAGTTACACATGGCACGCCAATCTCGTCTCCACCGACTCAGAGACCCAGCAAGAACAATCCACCCATCCACCACGCACCAAAGAGGAGGGAAGAAGAGCAAAAGAGAATAAAAAAATATGAAATAAAAAATAGAGATAAAACAAGGGACACAACCGTAGACATTGCGCAGAATTCAAATCGAGGCCGAAGTATCAAATCAAGTGCAGGACGCAAGAAACAAGAAGAAAAACACCATGCAAGACGAAAACTCCCAAGGGAAAAACCAGCCTATCCTCAAGTGCAGGGGGAAATGGGCTAAAGACTAAGAAATAAAATAAAGAATAGGGAGGGGGGGAGGGGGGGGAAGGGGCAGAGCATAGCTCGCACGAATTGGAAGGGGAGGGGGAAATCATACAGGATGAGAAAAGGTCACCTGGGACTGTGAAGATTAAGGTAGAAGCGTAGGGTGGAAATAAAACACCGGTCGAAGATCTCTGTTATCGAGTTGAGTTCTGATGATGATGAGGAAGCCGAGGATGATGAAGATGTGTGTGTGGCAAGTTCGTTGAGAAACTTGACAGATCGGAATGAACAAGATTCGACTTGACAAAGGATCAAAGTTGAATGCAACAGAAGAGAAAATAAGAAGAGTAAAAAACGTTCGCACATCGGATCGGAAATGAGGCATTCGGCCGTAATCAAGTGAAACTGGGATCAAAATAGGGCTTGTGATATCGATGGTCCTGACCAAAAACCACCAAATTGCCCTGCGCAATGCTTTTTTTTTCCTTTTTTCTTTCGTTTTTCACGTCATTATGCTGGTCGCTTTGCGCCCTTCACGGTACGAATGACTTTCTTGGCTGCTTTCTTCACGCTGCTGCCCAGCCCCTTGGCTTTCGCGGGACTCTTAGCTTTTGCCGGGCTCTTAGCTTTCGCCGGGCTCTTGACTGTAGCAGTGTTTGCTTTGGCGGGGCTCTTCGCGGAATTCTGGGCCGCGAGAGCCCGTTTCAAGAGAGTCTTCTTATAAGGGCCCCTCTTAATGCCAGTCTTGTCTTTCTTTGGTTTGGCTTTGGCAGGCTGGGGAGTTGAACCGTCGGCAAGGGCAAGAATCTTCTTCTTCGTCGCGGCTGAAGGCCGCTTGAGCTGGGAAATACTTTTCGCCGGCGATTTGAGAATCGCTTTCTCGGTCTTCTCGGTCTTCTTCTGTGAAGTCTTAACAGTGGCCTTGACTCTTGATGCTGGCTTGACAGTCGGAAGCTTAACACTCTTCTTCTTGGCGGGCGAAGCGCTCTTGGTCGCCTTGGAGGCAGTCACTGATTTCTTAGTTGTAGCCTTGCCGCGGGCGGTGGTTGCTTTCTTGATGACCTTCTTGATGCCGGATTTGATGGACTTTGGCTTCAGCAACTTGCGCTTCTTTGGTGGAGCTGAAGATGTTTCAGTCATTTCAGACAACTTTCGCTTGGTACCGGCGGTCTTTGCATTCTTTGCGTTCTTCGGAGTTGCCGCGTTCTTGGTCTTCTCATCTACTACCTTGGGGCGTTGATCCTTATCCTTGGGTCGGGGGCCGAGTATACCGCGACAGTTATCTGCGCCACAGCGGCATTCTTGGACGTTCTTGTTGGAGTACGGACTGATGAAATGTTAGTAATGCCTCTATGAAACCTTGAGCTGACGCGCAAAACTCACTCAAAGTTATAGTCATAACTCAATTCTTGGCCCGTCATGACCCCACGATCGCCTGCGAACAGGGCCATGCGCGGCTTTCCAGCGACCGTCCACTTCTCCATGCGGCAGTTAGGCTCGCAGGAATGGTTGACAAAGCGAGCAATCGAGCCCCGAGTAGCATCGATGATCATGTTCTGATCAAAGTACATCAGATAATAGCACTGAGCCACAAAATTAGCCATTATTCAAAGCATTGCAAAACAACCGAGTTTCATACCTCATTGTTCTTATACACTGCCCTCATCCGCCGTTCACACTCAAACTGTGTGATGATCTCTCCAGTGTACTCGACAATAATCTGATTTGGCTCGAAGGAGCGATTGCTGCGTACGCCGTATCCGCGATCAGATGTCTTGATCACTTCGACTCCAATGTTGTACTTGCCACCAGCCTTCGTCCTGTGCTTGAGCTCGCTGAAGTTGCGGTTTCCACACTCGGGACCTAGTCTGCAGTTACCGCTATCGCACTCGTAGAACATGTAGCGATTTTGGCAGTTCTCGTCACAGCCGGTGTCCTCGTCGCACATGCAAGTTGACAGTTCCAGGTTCTTGTTTGCTCTCCACTCGCTTGCGGCATCGCCAACAAAAACGTCTAAAGGTAGGATTAGCTTAAGGGCTATCTGGATATACGGACAAAAGATAAAACTTACTTTTGTTGGTCTTGCGCCACTCATCCGGCTTGGGCTGGCCTGGTGGGAGAGGGGAAAAGATATCGAAGGGAAGTCGATAATCTCTGCCATTCTTAACAAGACGCGAACCAGCAAACATAGGCATGGGAAGAATACGCCGGTTTAGAGGACCAGTGCCTGTCTTCGCAGAATTCTTGCTTTGGCGTTGTTTGGGAGGCGAATCAGATGGCTCTTGACCCGTATACAATCCGTGAGTAACCCATCGCTTAGGCTTATATTTCGGAGTAGCCGGTTTAATCTCTTCTTGCGGCGGAGATGGCTCCTTCTTTTGTAGTTTGGAAAGATCGCTTTCAGAGACTCGTCGCTTCTTAGGCTGGGGTGCTTCAGCTGCCACTGCGGGCGTTTCTTCCTTCGGCGGTGCAAGGGTGCGTGGGCGAAGACTGGCGCGACGGCTGACTTCTTTTTTGTTATCGCTGCCCTGGCCCCTCTGGCGCTTGCCCAAAACACTGCTGCTTCGCTCCAAGAAATCGCTCGCTTTCTCTACCAAACTCAAACGGGTTGAGCGTCTCATAGATCCCCGAGATGCGCTCTTGGGAGTCGCTTTTGGTGTTTCCTTCTCGTCGTCCTTGCCACGTGCCTTCTCGACACGCTGTCGCAGAGTTCGTTGTTGAAGCGGGGGATTCGGTTCGTCTAAGACGGGTTCTTGCGAAGAGTTCGAAATAGGCGTTTCGGGAACCATTGACTGGTCATTGGCGAGTGTATCAGCATCTGGTAGCGCGGTTCCGTTACGGAGAGATGACTCCATCACGGCGATGCTATGGCGCAACGAGGAACGGGAACGCTTCGATTTTGCCAGGCTATCAACATAGGCCTGGCTAGATGCGGTTTTAGGCTCGTCGTTCTTGACTGGCGTGTTGGCCAGAGACTCAGTCGCTTGTAGCGATGCGCGTACCACCCGTGTCGATCTCCGCCGGCCGGCGAGTTTTTCATCTGTCGACGCGTTTTCATTGTTGCTGGAGGTCTCTGAACGACTGTTCTCGGGCGTGAGCAGTTGTTCGGGCACGTCGAGGCTCATCGTGTCTTCGGGGGTCTCGTGAGATGAGACGTCGGGAAGTGCGGGAGTCGCGGTCGTGGAGAGTCGGGAGGTTCGGCGCGACATGGTGAGAAATGCGGCCTAGGTTGTGAGATAGGCGATTTCCACACGTGAATGAGTCGACCTTGCTCGAGGTGGGCGGGTGAGGGGAGTGGAAGCCGGGGAGTATCAGGGGTGGGAAAGTTGGAGATCAGCAGCCGCGCGCCTCTTATCACTTTGGGGCGATGAGGGATATTAGCATGTCTGACGCGTGCAACATCAACTCGCCCGTTTGGCCCGACCAGGACTGCGCAGACTACTCCGTAGAATTGTTCAAATGTATTTATTTAGGTCCAAGGGTGAAAGGGTGAAATGAATTACTTGACAATCCACGAAGAGTCGTTGGAATGCCGAAAGTTGGCTATAAACACGCCCCTTCTGACAGGCAAAGGATTTCTTGCTACGCGAGGGGTTTTCACTTATGGAATTAAATTGTATAAAATATCGGATTAGATTTTAACTGGCTGTCTCACACAGACACAGGGTATTGAGCTATCTCCATTAAGGAGAGATAAAGAAGAAAAACAACACATATGAAGATAAGAGAAAATGTTCAAGGGCGACCCAAAGAAGATGGAGGGGCAGGTAATAGTAGCAGGACATTTGACAGCATGACTGAAGGCTGTTCAAGGCCTGAGAATCGTAATCACAAAGACGTGTGGTAAAATATGGAAGAAGAGGAAAAGACGCCAAAGAATGTCGTCGGGTGAAGGAAAGGTCAGGAAAAGTAAACAAGAAGGAAACATGACAGGAAGATGTCGGTGTAAAGATTAGCAGCCATTAAAAGAGTAAATGGGAAGAGAGAGCTTGGACATGGTGTCCAGAAAAGAAAAGAAAAAAGAAATCATATCGTCTTTAAGGGTCGTAGCAAATGTGTCGAGGCAAGACATTCAGAAATCGCTTTTGGTTGGAAACAACTCAGCCCTACTGAGCAGGACCAACATGTTGCATCTCGATGCCTGCTTGGGATTCGACATCGCGGGGGAGGTATTTGCGCTTTTGCATAGCGTAGCGCTGGTCCCCTTCTACATAAGGCTGCTTGAATTGCATGTAGGTGGGCGGTCGGGGGCGGCCGAGAACCGCAATCCAATTCTTCAGAACATTGCCCTGAGTGAAGGGCCGATGACGGTCCGTTTTCGCAAACTTGTGGGAATTGAGATATTCTCTTGTGGTTTCACCACGGCCAACCAAAAACAAATGGTATGCCCAGAGGGATGTCGGGTACGGGACTGCAACGATGCCGTAGATAACCATAGCCCAGGGTACTCGCCATTTGGAAATGGCAGACCCGAAGGAAACATCCTCGCGTGACATGTAAACGAGGATATGCGCAAGGCTGGCCCCGATCAAGAATAGGGAGAGAATCGTACACGAGCTGACGAAGGCAAAGAAATATCGATAGTTGCGGCGGCCAACACAGTTGTTGAGCCACACGCAGTGGTGGTCAAGCGTTTCAACACAATTGTCACAAACACGGCAGTGATAGCAGCGAGGAGGTCGCCATATATTGCAAGTCTTACAAAACTTGACGGGAACATCCATGGCGGCCACCTCGGAGGTAGCAAGTTTGACCATCACCCAGTCATTGGTTGGTGGGCCCAAGGCCAATGGGTCATCTGATGGTACTGTTGGAGGCATGGAGTGGGCATTTCGAGGCATGATGCCTGGGTCAACAACCGAGGCGTGGACGAAGGACGAGAAACAAATGTAGAAAACGTATCCGAACAGAATTGGGATTGCCGGAGAGATGTTATGCCACAGCCAGGGAGCCGAAAATGCGAAGAAAAGGGGCGACGGAACGACGACCAAGAGTCCAGTAGCAATATTGATGGGCTTGTCCCTCGAATTTTGGAATCTTCCACCACCGCAGAAGAGCGTGTTACCGGTGAAATATTCAAAGTTCTTGCCAAGATAACTCCGAGGGAGTCGCTGTTGCTTCGCGTCAAACGCATTGGGAGATGAACAAGCCGATGAAAGTGGCTCATGGCCACGGGTATCATGGCCATTGTGTGCGTGGGCCTTGTTTTGCAACGAAAGGAAAGATAACGGAGATTTCGGAGGTACATCTTGCCCCGAATGTCCATTGTAGGTTGGATTGAGGTTCAGATGACCGGGGTGCGGCTTGTTCTTTTGGTCTCGATCGCGGAGAAGTCTGACACTATCGCCGAGACTTCGTATCGTCGTATGACCCGTAGGGCTGGCATTGGAGGTATTTCGATCTGGGATGATAGGGTCCGTAAACTCGGTGCCCCGCGATGGTGGAACGTCTTGTTCCACTGTAGGGAGGGATTGCGGGAACGTGCTATTCGATATGATACTCCGGCGATTTTGGCTATTGTGATCTGCCCATTCGTCCGTCGAGGAAACTGTGCCCTTGGTCATCGGTCGCGCACCTCGGTGTGCTTGAAGGCGCTGCGAGCTCATCGGGCGGAAGAAGGCTTGTGCGGTTAATGTTGGGATATGCGTGCGACTCAACCGACTCCCAGAGCTACCGGGTCTGCTGGTCACAGAGTTTCTGGTTGGCGGTGGGCCCCGTCTAGATCCCGAGAGACGCGTTTGATGGGTTTGATGTTGTGAAGGTGGTGGCGACGCAACAGATGGCGAGTTTTCTCCATCTTCTGAGGCCATATCGGTCACACGGGATGAAATTCCTCCCACAGATGGTGGCCGAGGAATCCCCAGCACATGCTGGCTCGCCTCACCGGTGTCGGGACGGTCTGTGGTGTTCGCCATTGTGTTTTTTTATGGCAGAGTACGTCGTATCGGCTAGTAGGAAGTGCGCGCAAGCATAATGCCCTCAACGGGTGACGAAGAAAGGTTCTGGAGGGAAAAAGCAGGCGACGGCAACCGGCAGACGGAATCGTATGAATCGCCTGTGACTGATGTGACTGATCAAACCGGGGGCGGAAAAAAAAAGGAGCGACGGGAGGTTGGCGATGAGGTCTTAAAGAGGGACTAGCATGCAGGATACTATAAAACTATTAGCATAAGAGCTTCCAGGGAGCTGATCAAGGCTCTCCACGCGAGAAACGGAATCCGGGGCAAAGGCAAGATCCCGAATCGGGAGACCCCTGATCAGCATACCAAGATCGAAGTCTGGCAGTCGCACACACTCACCTTTCCGAAAGTGACAATAGAAATGACACAAACAATGGGAAGAGTACCCAATTACATCACCAACGGCCGCAGGACCGTAGAACCACAGAAAAGGAGGGAGGATTGTCGACAAACACAAGATCCGAACCAGCGGGCGAGAGTCACAAATCCAGGGTTGGCGGTTGGTCTGTCCGTTGCTGACTCATGCAAAACACGTGACTGTAGCCACCCACGCAGAGAGCAGTGCATGACATGATTCTCCCACGACCTCCCCAGTCTTTCCGCGCTCCCCTCTCTCATCCACCTACGACTTGCCACAACCATGTCTTCGATCGCTGCTCTGGCTACCCGCCGGGCTCTGACCCGCCAGCCTATCTTCCGCGCTCCCCCGCGCCGCTTCGTCTCCTCCAAGGTCGAGGAGGCCAACCTCGACAAGGGAGCCAAGAAGGACCCCGAGCTCTACGTACGACCACCGACCAGCCATTGAACCCGCAATTGAACCCTCCGAAGCTAATTCTTACAACTACAGGTCCTCCTCGGTGTCATGTCTGGTGCTTTCCTCCTCGCCGGCTGGTAAATATGATCCTCCCCACGCCCCCGACAACCCGAATATTCCCGCAGCGAAATGATAGTGCCACACTCCGTGCGATATCAGGGCGCGCATAGAGCTCTCATTCTCCTACCACAATGCTTCAGAAATACTCGAGTCCAAAGCGCAATGACTGACCGATCGGCTCTTCTGCTTTTTTCCAATAGGTACTTCGGCAGCAAGCCCACCTCCGTCACCTCCGAGGCTAGCAACGTTCGCATCGGCGAGAGTGCTATGCCCTGGCACGCCGCCTCTGAGGATGGCAAGATCTACAAGTATCAGTACCACCCTCACGGTGACAAGAGCCAGCCCCTCCGTGCTGCTCCCAGCGCCATGAACACCGTCATTGTCCCCAATGTCACCCTCCCCGAGGTATGTCATGCCACCTTTGCAGATCCCGCCCCCAATCCATCCTGCTTCGATTTGTAATGAATTGAGAGCTACACCTCCTATTGCGAAGAAAGCTTTGCTACCAGTGTAGTGAAGTGGGATGGTCAAGCTATATATGCATATGCACAGCTGCTAACTTGAACTCTCCTTTCACAGGACCTCCACGAGAAGTTCAACAAGTACGGCAAGGAGGAGTGGGACTACTAAATCAGTCTGTTTCTGCCTTGGAGCTTTCCCAAAACATGTTGTGAGGGCGAACCGCCGCTTATGCGGTTACCTGTTGTACACTAAGGCCACGGGCAAGGAGGTAGTAGAGTGCGTGGACTTATGATTGCGATTAACCGGGGATTTGTGCATAGTTACCCGCTGTTCAGATAAAGTCAATTTTGGAATCGGTGTCTTTTTTCAGCTTTTATATTCTTTCTTGTCCTTTCGTACTATCACCATAGACAAGGTCGACGTTTTCGTTTGCTTATCTTGTTTCTTCAAACGCTTTTCTTTTGGGACTACTAGTGCGTCTCCGTACTCCCCATATACGCCGGAAATGGACAATGCAAACGCTCATCACATTCAAGTTTGGAGATTCAATATTCTAACAAGAAAAAAAAAAACTAATCACCGTGAAAGAAAAATTCATCCCGATAAACAGTCATAATACACAATTGTGAAGATTTTCTCTCTCCGAGTCAATATTTCTTTCTACCACGTACACCCCAAACCGAAAAAACCCTATCAACCGAACGTATTATTTAGTAGCTTCATTGCCCTCGCTAGCAGGGCTGGGGATAGGCTCATTAGGCTTCTCGGCCGAGCGCTCATTACCACCGGCGACGGAGGCAGGGCTCTCAGGAGCAATCGAGTCTTCCGCATTCGAGCCGGTCTGGGGGTTCTGGCCCTCGACGTCAGGGTGTGGGGGTGCAAGTTGACCGTCCACGATGGGGATCTCCTGCGCGTTCTCGAGACGCTTGGATTCATAGCGGGTCTCGAATTTGACCTTGCCCTCGGCGCGGAGCGAGGAGACGAGGGATTCGTCTAGGATGTTACCGTTTTGATCGCGGTACTCGACGCGGGCCATGGAGCCGGATAGCTTGGGCTCGGTCACGGCGGCTTGGTCTTCGTCCTGGGCGGCGTCGACGGGGCCCTGGGCCTTATTGGCGGGTGGTGCAGCGGCCTGGACGGCGGGGGTGGTTGGGATTGCGTCCACGGGGGCCATGTTCGTGATATATTGACTCAACTAAGAATTTATTGGTTCCATGTCAGCCATGGGATGTCGCGAGTTTGATTTTTTGGATATTTTTTGTCAATATCCTCGGCGGGGAGGTTGCCATTCCGGAACACTTACGTCGGTGTGAAAGGTGTTGCAGTTGAAATCCCAAGTGCTCAGGAGTTTGGAACTCTCGCAGGCGGACTGGGTCCAGGGGTTTCCGTAAACCAGGGGGGGCGTAGAAAGTGAAGACAGCAACGCTGAGACCAAGGAAGGCAGCCATCACAGCCTTTCCAATGATAGGCTTAGAGGTGAAACCCAGGCTCTTGATTCGGTTGAAGACAAAGTCAAACTCTTGGCAGAAGACCATAATGGCGAAGTAGAGGGCGGGGAGATAGTGGTGCAGAAAGAGTTGACGGGCCATAAGGTAAAATGGGAAGTAGTGGAAGAACCATCCCAGCACGGTGGTGCCAACCTCGTAGTCGAAACGCTTGAAAGAAACGTGGTTGTAGTCACCACAGCTTCTCTGCCAGCGCAGGATTGAGATGGCCTTCACAACGAAGTAGATGCCAATGGCAGCGGTAGTCGACCACCAAATGAGGGGGTTACCAATAAGGTAGATGTGGCGGTGGTCCTTGCCCCAGAAGTTGATACCACGGAGGAGAGTGGGCCAAGATGGAGGACGAGAATCCCAGTTGTGCGATTCGACCAAGTTGGCGTTCGTGGTCCACATCACCTTCTGCAGCTCCCAGAACTTACCCAGGAAACCGGGGTTACGGTAGTTGACCTTCTCGGCATCCGCAGGCATCATGGGATGGGCATTGGACTCGACAATCCAGACGCTGTTGGGTAGAGTACCGCCGCGAGCGCAGGTGACTTCCTGTTGCTCGTATCCCCAATCCGGAAGCTTGACTTTGTGAGAGAACAGAACGCAACCAGTCATGACGTGCACAAGCTTGAACTTGGTCTGAATGGTGCGAAGGCGAGTCTTGGCCGCCTCGCCCTCAGACATGCTCTTAATAATCTCGACCTTGAACAGATCGTTCGCGTCACCGGGGAATCCTTCGTAACCATAAGCCGAGATCTCGAACTGCCAGTCAGCCTCGGTCACTGGAGGACGCTCGTCGTGCGAGTGAATACGGCGGTGGGTAAGCTCGTGGTAGAGTCGGATAACCGATCCATCTTGGATCAAGCCGGCGGTTTGGTTGTCCCAAGCATACGGGCCCTCGATCTCTCCATAGGGACCCAGAGGCTGTGTCTGGTTCTCCATAATGAAGACGTTGTTCTCATCCTTGTGGGGGTACAGAGTGACCTGCTGCTGCTTACTACCGGTGGGATACATGTGGTTGTGCGAGTGCAGGTAGCCACCTTGGGTGTTGTGGTGACGCAGGCTGATACGCGAGCCAAAGGAAACATCGGCCGGGACGTCATGCATACCCTTGGAGTTCAATGTTGACTGGAACTCGGAGGACATGAAACCATCACCCTCACCGGGGTTAACCAGGCAGATGAAGTGGATAGCGAACATGGCAAGGTAGAATCCAAGAGGAATAACAATCAGGCAGAAGATACGAGCGAACAAGTGCTTGAACCACAGTCGCGGGGTCACCGTGCGGGTATCACCGAGCAAAACCCAGAGTTGGAGGGCAGTGAGAGAGCCCACCCAGGCCATAGTGAAGAGACCAACCCACTTGACACTGAGTGTAGCGCCCAGCGAAAAGCCCGTGGCGACCAACCAAAACCACCAGGGGCCCTTGAAGGCATGGGACGGTCCCATTTCTTGTTGGTTGGTGAAGCAGTTGAACGTAAGCGCCGTCAAAGCAGTGAAGAAAATCAGAGGAGAGTCCAGGAGAATCAATCGCGATTGGGTAGTGAGCGCATTGTCTAAATTATGTTAGCTTTTTGCCATATATCCTCTATCCCGGTATCTCGAGTTCAAACATACCGAAGATGACAATGCCAGCACCCAACACCGCAGTCACAGACCGGCAGCCGGTAGCCTTGAGGGTAAGGAACATCAGGGAGACGGTCAAGACACCCAGAATGGCCGGCAGCAAACGCATTGCTACATATGGCACACCAGGCTCCAGATAGTCCTTGCCAATGTCCTTGAAATCAAACTCTCCATCGAAGCCAGCCAGCCAGCCAGCCAGCGTGATCAGGAGCTTAGCAAGCGGGGGATGGACATCCATAAAGAAGCGACCCTTAATGTATTTGGAAGCGAAGCCACCGAAGTGAACCTCGTCGAAGACAACGCTGGCAGGTGCATAAATGCGAAATAGACGCACGGCGGCGCCAATCAGCGTTACCAGTACCAGCAGCTTGTAGTCGGAAGCGGGGAGGTTGAGGATATCATATTCCTTGACGCCGTCTGACGCATAGCTGGAGGGCTGTGTCTGAACAGGCTTGCGGTTTTTTGGCTTGGGCGAACGACTCGGAGAGCGGCGACCGCGGCTCTGAGGTCGAACAGCCAGCGTATCCTTGGATTTCTGACCCATGATGGTTGATGGGATTCCCGATCGATCGGGGGTATGTAGGAGGCTCGGGGCACGAAGCGGCGGGAGAGATTGTAAGATCGGAGGAGAGGAAAGGAAATGTCAAGTGGCTTGGTGTGGAGCCTAGATCGAACGGACGCAATGGAAAAAAAGAAAAGTGTTCTCGAAATAGAATCAACAGTTGTTGAAAGCTTCAGCGCGGAGCTCTCACCAACCTCGCGGAGAAGAGGGAAGGCGAGCTGTTGGAGGGGGTTAGTGATCGTAGGTAGTAAAAAAGAAAACCCATGACAGGGTCAGAGGGAAAGAGAGAAAAAAGGAAAAGAAAAAAAAGATGATGGGGAATAGAGAGTGGAAGAATGGACGCAAGCGGGACAAGTTCGTGAGGCCAGATCGACGGGAGCCACGAGAACGGAGAAGTTGACTAGTACAAGTACAGTCCAGGTAGAACGTGAGTCCACCCGTTTTGGCCCCAGCCTGGCCCTGGCCCCTTTTACTTAGTGCACAGTGCTAGCATGTGTTAATTGTTAATTTTAGAATATGTGCTGTCAATTGGCATTTTAATTTTAAAATTTTGGAACAGGTTAAATATCCTCAATTGCCTAAATTATATCTATATGCTGTCAATGTCGGGAAATATCTGTAGTACATACTGTGACTACTATGTACTACTTGCAGTGTATGCACTCCCACTGTTTACGGAGTGCCCCTGGCTTCATACATCGTCCCATGCAGAGGAACCGTCTGGGGCCATTCAAGTTGTACTATACTTACTACCATAATAAATACTCGAGTAAATCACTCACTAATTGGCCCAATTCTATCTACTAGCACTGAAGTATTATATTTATATTTATTTATTTAATAATATCTCAATCCAAGTATACTACAAGCCATACACAAATCTCGCCGCATTCAGCCACCGTGATGTGGCTAGTGTGGCTGGTGCTGTAGTGTGGCTGCTTTGCTTAGTCATATGCATCGCCGTCGCCGACCTGCAAGGTCGAGAAGAGAAAAGATCCAGTTGGCATCCTATTCGACTCCATCCACGTCACCATGGAATCCTCAAATGGAACGACACCACTTCCAGAGGATACAAACAAGGCTCCTGAGGGCGTAGTGGTACCTCCTAAGGATATTCGCGGTACTGTCTCTATTCTTTCACTTTTGGCGCGACTGCGCAACTAACCAGCTATCTAGCAATCGTCGAGAAGACCGCTGGCTACGTTTCTCGTAATGGCGCAGTGTTCGAAGGTATATTGGCTCTCAATTCTCTCATTTGACTCTAACATACTCACGCGCAATTGTCTTCAGATCGTGTCCGTGATAAAGAGAAGAACAACCCAAAATTCTCCTTCCTCAACCCAACCGATGCCTACGCGAACTTTTATCAGTGGCGTCTAACAGAGATCAAGGAGGGCCGCGGCACTTCCGTCGCAGCTGGACGACCTGGTGAGGCCGTGTCGGCCGCTGAACCCGAAACTCCCCAAGGCCCTCCTGAGCCACCAAGCTTTCACTTCTCGGCGCGCATGCCCATGATCAATGCGCAGGATCTGGAGGTGCTGAAGCTGACTGCCACATTTGTCGCCAAGCGAGGAAAGTCTTTCTTGACAGCACTGTCACAACGGGAAGCTAGAAACTCCCAGTTTGATTTCCTCCGGCCTCAACACCGTCTCTACCAATTCTTCACACGATTGGTAGACCAGTATACGATCTTGTTACGACCGGAAGGAATTGATGATGCCACGACAGAGAAGAAGAGAATCTCCGATCTGGAACGTAATGTCCAGGATAAATATAACACACTGGAGCGCTCCAAGCAACGCGCCGAATGGGTGAAGCACCAGGTGCAACAGAAGCAAAAGAAGGAAGAAATCGAGGAACAAGAACGTATCGAGTACCAACAGATCGACTGGCACGACTTTGTCGTGGTCGAGACTGTGCTCTTCAACGAGTCCGACGATCAGTCCGAGCTTCCACCCCCAACTTCACTTGGAGACCTCCAGTCTGCTTCTCTCGAGCAGAAGGCCGCCATGTCCCTTAACCCACTGCGCATCGAGGAGGCTATGCCTACCGATCTCGATGCTCCCGTTCACTATAATGCCTACCCCGCCCAGTCTGAAGCCGCGCCGGTGATGCAACCCTCCGTTTCTCCTTATCCCACCCAAATGCCATACCCACCCCCGGCAATGGACCCCTCCATGCAGTACCCTGCTGCTGCCCAATTTGAAGACCAGCGTGCTCGCCCCGAATCGCCAGCAGCTGCACCTGGTCAACCAGCGATGCGGATCCGTCAAGATTATGTGCCGCGAGCTCAAGCCCGCCGCCAGGCTAGCGCGATGGCGCTGTGCCCCAACTGTCACCAACAGATCCCCGTCGCAGAGCTTGATCACCATATGCGCATTGAACTGCTCGACCCGCGCTGGAAGGAGCAGCGCGCCAAGGCTGATTCCCGAAGTGCGACGACCAATCTTTCCACCGTTGACGTGGTGAACAATCTCAAGCGACTGGCTAGCCAGCGCAGTGATGTATTTGACTCGTCCCTGGCACCTAACGTTGACCCCGAAGAGGAAGCACGCCGCAAGCGCATGGCTGTTGGTGCTGATGGCTCATTGCCTCCTGGTGCCCCTGGACCGGCTCTTGGACCCAACGGAATGCCAACCCCGCAGAATATGAATATCGAAGATCAACTCCGACACATTCATCAACGTGCCCGGCAATAGGCACTTTGTCGCGGAACTTTTCTCTTCAAATCTTTGTTCCCTTCCGTCGGAGTTTTAGGAGCGTTGTTTTTTCTTCTTTTTTTTCTTTTTCTTCTTATCATTTTGATACTCCTCGCTTGGAGAATGGGCATTGGATCGGTGCGTTCGTTTGTATAATAGGTAGCTCGATCTATTTGATGCCCAAAAAATATCCCTCGAGGAACTTCCTCGATTTTTTCTCTGAACGATTACGTTCACGTTCAATGCCCAATTGTGTAAACGTGACCACAGTCCTTCCCCTTTTCCGAACCAATTCTCACCACTATTTCACTTGCTAGGGCAGCGAGCCTCGCGGAGCGGAGCTTTTCTTGTCATGGCAGGCTTAGGGCTCCCGGCTTACTTCGTCGACCTCAAGGCTATTTCCAGGCATTGCCAAGGGAGAAAATACATGGTGGCGCCAATCGGTTGTTCTTTGTGGGGATTATTTAAGCCTCGTTTGCTTGTCTTCGGGAAGGTCTATACTTAGATGCTCATATCCTATAAAATCCACCGACGGGGCCTATATACGGACCTTAATGTCCGCACAAAACAAAGGAACAAGAAAAAAATAAGACTGCAGCTTACCACCACCAGACTCTGCCACGCTGTAAATGAAGGAAATTGATTGCAAAAGTGGATTGGGGGTCTTACCTACTCCACATGCGAGGCTTGGTGGCTCCAACCTTGCAGCGGTGCCTCTGATGATAGGTCGATCAGCACTCTATTTTCACCTAAAATAGTGAGTGTAAAACTACTAGGTGAAGCCTTGACCACCGTTGTGACAGGTGTTTAAAGCTCTTTCAGATTTCACCCCCTTAAAACACTTACGAGTACGACTCAGAGACGAATCATTTCTCCATTCTCCTTCACACAACGACGACCCCCTACCCCCCTCTCCACAATGTCAAGCGTACCGTTCAACGCCGACCCAGACTCCGGTCTATCAAAGAACCACGATCCATACAAACGATCCCACACTACAACGAAGACCTGGACAATCGGCACCTTCTCGACGGGAATTATCTCCGCCATCATAGGCGGAGCTCTCCTAGGCGCATACTTTCGCGAAGCGTGGAACAATTGCGAGGCCGCACGCGAGAAACTCGGCGATGACAATTTTGATAATGTATCCGAGGAAGACTGTATGGGACCAGGCCAGTTATTTTGGGCTGGTGCGTTCTTCATCGTGGTGTCTTGTGTTCTGGGTGTCTGTTTTGTCGTCTTCTTGATACTTCATTGTACCCGTCGAGGCCGCAGGAACAACCCGGGAGTGATGTATCACAGCGCTCCTATCGTCGATCAGAATTACGCTCAGCCTTACGATCCATATGCTGCGAGGCTCGCTGGCCCGCCGCCTGCTTACCCTGTGTCGGTGGCACAGTACGATGCTCAGTCGAGTGCTCAGTCTAATTTTCCGATGGTTCAAGTGAACACACCATCACCATCACCATCACCGGTGCCGGAGCCAGAACCAGCTCATTACGATCCGAAGCTCCAACATCCGCCAAAGGAGAATGCTCCTGATCGATTTGCGTGATATTCTTCTATTTTAAAATGTGAATGCGTCTCAGCTCGAATTACATGATCCCGACTACGGTTGAAAAAGAGCAGAGCAATCGCGTCCACATGATTCTGGAGCTTGGAATTGCGCGGGCTGGGAAAAGGACTCAAAATTAGCTTGTTGGTAGATCTTTCTTTATCTGCATGTTCCTCTTTTATTTAGCATGTCGAAGGCACGCTGGATCGTTGTCTGTTAATACCCCATCTTTTATGTATTATATTTGTATAAAAGGGAATTTCGTTTCAAATGAATGTATAAGAAAGAGTACACTCCGAGCCCGATTCTTTGTTTGATATAATACTTCTTTGATTAACCAAGTCATTGATACTAAGTTCTGAAAAAATAACACAAAGCTCATTGTGGCTGCTCGCATCTGCCAAGATCAATGACTCGGGCGTGCTATTTAATGGCCTCGAGTACTCCCCATCGGTACTTGAAATATCCAACAGCCTAGTACTCTACTGACACCATAGCCAGTTTATCTCAACCAGAGCATAAAATGTCTTCTAACACACTTCATCGCGTATTTGAAGGCGAACTGTATGAGAGTTGGTATCCCAACTCCCAGCGTGTGAACGACCCGGATGACGAGCCGCAGAGATGGCGGGTTGTTTTTATGTTCGAAAAGTCGGACGCCCGATTAACTAATAGTGAGTTGCTTAAGAAGATGTTACATTGCATCAAGACCAGAGACATTTATCTTAGCGATGTTGACCAGGCAGGGTATCATCCGCTCACTTTTACTTTTCCAATTGTTACTATAACAGATACCGACGAGGATATTCTCGATGAGGCTGAGATAGTTGTTGAGAATTGGATTGAGAATTATCGACTCAGAGAAATTAGAGCACCGTTCTGCCGGCAGCATATTTTTGGTTCCTAGAATCGAACTTGAACCAATACGTTTATTTAAGTGAAATTTGAATACTTGAATTGGATTTTTTTCCTCGCTCAATTTAGAAGATCTTTGCACTAGCAACTACCAACTAGTAATAAGCAGTAGCGGTAGTAGTAAGCCATCCTTAATCATTCTCTTCTATGGTCTGTTTATTTTTCATTCTCAAAGCCTGATCGGCAAATCTGCTACTCTCTCTGATCCTTTCCCCGTAGAAGACGAGGCATGGCGGAGCGGCGCAGAAGATAGTCACCACAATGGCTAGAATCATCATAGAAATGTTGGCCCCAAGCTCTCGAATCATCTGGTGCGTGAAGAGTGGAAATGTACCAGCCATGATAGCTCGTACAAATTGCACAGCAGCTAGCCCACTATCCAAATAAGTGAGATAGCTATCCACTAGATACCCGAGCAAAACCGTGTCAAATTTATTGATTGTACTTTAGACTATTTCCAGAGTTGTTACGTTAGATGTACCTTAGAATAAAAACGGAATTCCTTCCCTAACCACAGTCCATTGGGTTATGTTCCATGGATCCTGAGGCCAAGAAACACACACGGTAGATAATGCTGACACATAAAACCTGAAGCGCCTCTTAAATGGCATGCTCTTAGATATATTCAATGTTTCCTATTTCTAAACCTCTGACAACACTCTGCTATTGCTTCCCAATACCGTTCTTTGGCTTCCTGGAGTGTCTCCCACTGCTAATCTATTATGAGCGGCCAAGCTAACCCCGTATCCAGTTACTGGATGAACAAATTGCACGCACATGTCGCCCGCGTGAACGCGAACCAAAACGAGGACCGAGCGGAGAAGAAAAGAAATGAAGAGATGCCTTCTGGAAAAAGGCCACAAGGTCCCTTTCGCGTTCGAGACAATGACATGGAGAGAATTAAGAAGCGTCGTCATGACGCAAAGCGCGACCGCAAGGTCCGATTCGAAGGGGTTCCGGAAAATAGACCTGTCGATGGCTCTTTACCCTATCAGTCTGATGATTTTCATTCTTCGGCTAATCAGTAAGTCACTACGTCTCAGAATATTGTAGTGCCCTGTCTTTAGTGTCCAATACGATATCTAACCAGTATCTCTACAGTAGCGTAAGCAAAGCAACAAAGTAAGTACTCGTGGCCAGCCTCAGCTTATATTCCGTGAAACTTCTTAGATTCCACAGTCAAGAGTCTTCAAGGTAAAAAGACGCTAATGGTTGACTCGAAAGTTTGGATAGCAAATCCGACATAGGTTATCCGGAAACCCTTATTGGTAATGTGAGTATTCTAGCTCGACAGATTAGAACCCTAAAAAGGGAGATAGAGAAGATGAAGCAAATACTGGAGAATATACAGTGAACTCTACTCGGGAAATCAAAAGGTCATACTTTTTTTCAAGTAATCTTAGTCGATACATAAAAATTTTGATCGTTGACCAAAGTTTCCGAAACATATACAACGCTTTTTGAACAAGTATTTTGATGGCGTTGCTGGGCTCTCTTGCCGTCAGGATTACCAGCCCCTGAGAGATGCAACAGCCTGGCAGATATCGATGCACACGCGATTTCAATGGCAGTGGAAGACTGAATACGTATACATGCTGTAGATTCCAGTACGCCAGCTGTTGAGGAAAGAACAGATCAGCTTGGTACATATGTAGTGAAGGCGCTCTAGTCTCTTAATTTAGCTTACCCTGGCTCTCAGTCCCTTTGGGCGCAGTCCCTGGGTTTGTTTTAAAAAGCATTTCAGGACCTTCGATAATCAATAATTATTCAATTTCGAGAGGATTGCGAGGTGATTAACCGGTTGCTGATTGACTATAGAGACCATGAGTGCTGGGCGCAACGATATCATCTTCCGACGATGGAGTCGGCGTCGACATCTCTTCGTCGATAGTGCCTCGGCCGGCTTGTGGATGTGGGCAATCAAAGTACCCTGATCTTCCTGTGCTGGCAGGTGAAATAAAGATTTAGGCGGCATGAGGCCTTGCAGTGGATTTGAATCGCAGCGAAAAATGTGTCGGCTAGGCTGAGGGAAAGTATTCTTCTCTCACGGAGGCGAGAGCGAAATTTTGCAGGCGAAAAATCCCGTAGGCGGGCAATCGATCTGCCAAGGCAAGTCTTTCATGGAACGACTCTACATATTTGCAGCGTGAAAACCGTTTTACATCGTTGAGCAAGGTTGAGACCAATGATTCACAAATCGATTGGACACGGTGCGAGCGAATACTGGCAGACTTCAAGCTACGATGTTAATCTGCCACAGCGAGTGGTCCATAGAATGCCACTTCGGTCTAAGCCACATACTAACTACGTTAAAGGCCGTTTCATCATTGTCAACAACGTTGATGAGGCAAATGATTTGTCACGCATAGCTTCGTGCCAACCACGGCGCCAGGTGGATCCATCAACTCCACCCGCTCTCTACTCCAAACTCTTGAAGTTTCTTATTTCAACGTTGATAAACCGCCGCATCAGCGATTAACAGCCTATATTAGAAACGTAGAACCCACGATAAAAGAATCTTCTTGTACGTACGAACTCTCCTCGCTGGAGCTTGCACATTGTCCGATTTGACCCGTGAAAGGGCTGGAACACTGTTACAGCATACCAGGCTGTAATCCCATTTTAGTATGAATTCAATTACTGCAGATTTAAAAATGGCCAATCCGTTATCCTGCAGGGTACCTCGAGTGCTCACCAAATACAATATAATTACAGGCAGGTCTTCTACAAATAGTGTTCACTAAGCCTTCAATCACTCCATGATGACATGCCATTCTGCCAGAAGTTGTCTGTGTCCTGTATCGCATACATAATGCTGATTCAGGTTCAAGGCTAGAAAATGGTGTCGGACAGTTAAAATGCTGTCGTTGAGAGCGGAAATGAGGCGTTACGCTGAAACGCGGTCGATGATCAAGAAAAAGCACGCTACACGTCACGTAATTTACGGCCTGATGGCAAATTCATTTCAGCCACAATAAATTACCACCAGCCACATCATCCTGAGACTTGCCTAATAACAATAGATACAGGACAATTATGAGACGGTAATATACGGTTTCGCTGACAGGGCTGTTCTGATAATAATTACAGCTTGCGTAGAGCATTCCATTCCAATGGGTCTCCGAGAAAACGAATTCACTCTTCAATATTAATTAAATCAACAGCCGAGTAATTCCAGAAGAATGAGCGGGCAAAAACACAATAAAAATTTGAATATTGTTCTCACGATATCCTGAGTATCTGTATAAGATGATACTGCTGCGTTAATACACTTATATTAAACGCTTTACGGTCTGTGTGAGAGCCACATGCGGAGATTAATTGAAATGGGTTAGTGTTTTAGCTGAAGAAACATGATCCGACGATGACACGGATGAGGACATCGCAAATGTTCCTCTGGACTGTGGGCGTTCCGACAAAACCACGGTTCGTCGGGTCCGGATCGACCAACGCTGGCACAAGTAAGCGGATGCTCTCAGACTTGTATCTCGCATCTAACTGATTGTTGATGTGCCCATTCTTGCCGCCATCGCTGGGGTTCCAGGGCATCAAGCACCTTCCTTTGGACCCCTCATACCCCGCTGATCCTGTAGCCACACGTAGCTCTTTTGTGGGAGCTGCATCTGATCGTTAAAATTGCTGCCCTCAATACCTTTTGGTGGTAGTGGCGGTGGTCTGTATTGATCTAGCCCGATAGACTGGAGCGGGTAGATGATATCAAATTCAGTTACTCATCTGCAATAAGCTATGGCAATCCTAATTTACTGGACAAAGAATTACTTCATAGAATTCAGGCACGCAGGCTATCGCGCCTTCCATGTCTAAATAGCTCCTTCTGTGCCTAACGTTGCTTCGCCCTCTTTGTTTGTTGACACCACCCCTAGCACAGTAGAGCATGCCTTACATAGGACTGCCCCTTTTTTGATCTCGATGAGCAACTTGTCCCAAGGAAAATGCGATTACAACTCTCGCTGTAATTGTTGTTACACGGCGAGAGCTGACTGAGGCTCTCAATCTAGCGAGAGAGGTGATCACAGAGGAAATATGTGTATGTATGAGAAAATATCTGAGCTCAAAGGACCTAGATATAACTAGCTGTGTGGACTGACTAAGCTTGTGCAACAGGGCAAACACTCTGGCGAAGGCTCTGGCGTGCGTGTCCGATCCCCAGCCCCAGTATTACAAATATTAGTGAAGACGGGTGTGAAATGAGCACCGGCCGAACGAATGACAGAGCTTAATGCCAACTTCATCGTTGTTTTCGGCCTTCCAACCAATTCCGCGAATCTCTTAAACATGCTGTCGATATAAAATTCCATTCTTTATGATCATAAATCTAGTTTCACCTGGCCACCTGCTCGCTCTTTCTGTCGTGATGATTCACATTCCTCAAGTTCCGAGCAGTCGCACTGTACTTCTTGTCGCCTCCTTGCATACAAGGCTGCGCCCCGAGCAGCTGCGAAAGTCAGATCTATGGCCTTCTTTCCATGGGCAGATGCCGCTATTTTGGGTTCGATATGAAGTTCCAACAGCCCGGCCAAAGCGTCTTTCAAATTAGCCATAAAAAGAGGGTTTGTTGTGCTCTCGCCAGCTAGAAGAAAATCCGTAATTCGAAACGACAAAGCAAAACTTGTGATCTGCTCACGGAGACGAGCCCATAATAAGTCCGGATCATCTGCTTCAAGAATTCGATCCAGCCCTAGTTCGAAGTTAAGAGCTTTTATCTCATCGCATGCAAAGCGTACAAAGGCTTCACCACTATCAGGTATAGTAATGCTGGTGTATAACAGATGGCGGGTAAAAGAGACGAAAAGAATTATCGGAGAACTAGCCCTGACCCATTCAAATCCAAACTCATCTGTACACTGCCATAGATCATGATAGCGTTTGCATAGTCCATAGCCGTTAGCGGCATAAACAGCATCTGCCTCTACCAGGCGTTTAGGGTAATATGAACAATCGCCCGTCCATGTCTGTAAATCCAGCTCTTGAAGAGCAGTGTTGATTACGTCTGAACTCAAGGTTTGTATATCGGGAGTTGTAATGGCAACTCTATTCAGATCTTGGTGTATCTGCTTCTCTGTGGCAAGCTTAAGATTCCAGAGCATTTCGCTGATGATGTTTATGTCGTCCACTTCAAGTTCCACCGGTCGCTTGAGCTTTTCATTCAACCAGCGCCACCCAGCCCGCGCTGGAAAGGGGACACCTAAGAAAGAGTCCAAAAGAGGAAATAGCCTAAAATAGAGATTTTGGAAAATCCCTTGATCTTCGATCAATACGGGCTTGCCTCCTTTCGCAAGGCGTATCATAAGCTCAAGATACTCATGTTTGCCATAGATCTGGACAACTTCGACGACGGTTCCATTATAATAATGTACAGCGGAAGTTCTGTTAGAAATAAGGATTAGTTCAAGTTCCACGTATAACCAAAATAGCTACACACTCACCCATATGAAGGAGTTAGATCGAACCCGACTCCCGGGGCATCATAAATATCAACCGGAAGGCATGTTTCACACCGGGGACGGGGGCAGTCATAGAAGGAATAAGCGACTGTTGAAAAGGCAACAAGAGTGAATATCCAAGTTAAATTCATCTGCAAGAGTCAAGACAAGGTCGGTACGCATACTTGCAAGATGCAGGTTCTGAGTGATCCCCTTGCGGGGGCCTACTGAGGAGGTAGTTCTGATCATGGGACACGGACAAACGGTGTTGTCCGAGACTCCGGGTTTTGTTAGAGTGCTACGGGGCGGACCCCACGCCGCTAACACCTGCAGGACCGGACTGATTAGTATATATTTGCGACCACTGTGTTACACAGGATTGATCTCGTCTCTGATCTAGTGTATTCTAGTTATTTTAGTACTTGAATTGGCTCCGGTCAATTCCGACAGCGAAATTAACGAGCATGAAATCGCTAACCGGAACCTCCGGACGCTACTATATGCAGGGTTTTGGTCGCTCAACAACTCTACTTGGTTCCTGGATGCCTGCTAATGCCTTTTTTGGGGACTTTTGAAACGAAGCGTCGGTTTTTCTTCCCTTGTGGGAGGAGAACTGTTACTGTTCTTCGAATGACTTTCCCAATCGTTGTATATGTAGGGACATGTAATTATCGTATACATTCAGGTTGGTCGATAAAGCTTCAAATAGCTCGATGTTCCACCTGGGTGCCTCTGTAGATGGTGAAATAGTTCTCATTCCCTAGACGAATGGACGATGTAACATCGCTTATTCTTAGCGATCAGTTCAGCAGTCTCTGCATGGGAACCAGGGTCTTATACCAATGAGGCTCAACGCTTACTTCGTTTTTCTTATCCCTGGTTTTATTATTCCTATTCGAATATCTTTAACTAGTTGGCCAACACTTGAAAAATGAGACCGATAAGAGGGAGAAATGCCATGCTGTATGCAGCAGTAGGGGTGGTAGTTCTTCCTGGTAGCATGGCTTTGAGTTTGTTGGAGGACTGGAGCCACGACCCCTGTCCATCTCTTTGCGACACCTCCCACAATGATCCTAGCAACTGGACAACATATTATGATTTTGATTTTCTAGACCGATGCCAAAGTTAAATGATGATGGATTTCGCTATTTTCACAGATGTTGATGATTCCAATCTGTCTAAGACTATCCGGGCCTGCAAAGCTTCTGATATCTCTCTTAATGGAAAGACGGATGCAAATACCATAGGCTTGACTAGTGGCATTAAGGCAACACTCCATGCAGCATGGAATTCTGCTTCTAGTGAGGGGCTCAACATCACATCCGCTTTTCAAGCGGCGGAAAGGATGAAGGCATTTTACGACATTAGCCATTCCTACCAGCCTTCTCTTTTTGCGTCCTATCTAGACACCGTGGTTGCGGTTCATACAGGACCCGGTGTGGACAGAGACTTTATGGCCAAAGCCTTGCTGGAAGAGCTTATAAACTATTTACAAGAAAGTGGCTCTGAAGAGACATTAATTCTGCAAATTTGCCACAAAGATTATACTTTGGGTGTTTTGGTAGGAACTGGACATTCGAGACTAGGAACAGTACAGCAGGCCATGCAGCACTGGATCAATGGGACATGCGTTTCTGGTTATGAAAACAGTGCGAGAGTTAAGTCCATGACTCTTGTTGCTCCAGTGACGAGTGGCCTTCTATCTCTCTCCAATTCGACCAAGGCCTCACAGCTAAAAAGCCGCGGCGGCTGCACCACGATTCAAGTTCAACCTAACGATCTATGTGGCTCCCTGGCAACTAAATGTGGAATTTCGCTCAATGACTTTTACAAATACAACCCGGGTAAGGCTTCTGCAATAATCTTCAATTGGGCCAGAAAGTATGTTGCAGCCCTGGGGGTCTGCCTGTGCCTAGTGAGAATTCAGACGGTTCTTGCGCTACCTACAAGGTTCATGCTGCGGACACATGTGCTGTAATTGCAGCGAGCAATGGCATAACTACCAGCGAAATCGAAAAACTACAACAAAAACACTTGGGGTTGGATAGGGTGCCACGATATGCAATCCGGTGCAGTGATCTGTCTCAGCGAAGGCACCCCTCCTATGCCTGCATCTGTTACCAATGCTGTCTGTGGTCCTCAGGTACCTGGCACTGCAAAACCAAAAAAGGGAACCAAATTGGCAGACCTCAATCCCTGCCCTTTGAACTCTTGCTGTGATGTTTGGGGACAGTGCGGCATCTCGAAAGACTATTGCACGGACACAAGCTCTGGCGCACCTGGAACCGCCGCTCCCCACAGCAACGGATGTATTTCAAACTGCGGCAATGATATCGTGAACAATGATTCCGGGCCTAGCACGTTTCGCAAGATAGGCTATTTTGAGGCATTCAATGTCGATCGCCCTTGTTTGAACATGGGCGTTAGCCAGATCGACACATCTAAATACACCCATCTCCATTTTGCTTTTGGAAACCTCACCAGCGATTTCAATATTGATATTGAAACCTACAGGGTGGGTTTTAACCAATTTGTTAATTTGAAGGGCGTCAAGCGCATCGTGAGTTCTCAAACCCTGGCTATTGATCTAGCTTACTGACCCCTGATTCGATAGATTTCTCTTGGCGGTATGTATTGAAGGCATCCCCAATTTAATTCTTGCACTTTGTGGGATAGCTAACCGCTATCTTAGGCTGGGCATTCAGCACCGATCCCAATACCTACAATATTTTCCGCGAGGCCGTGAAAGTAGAGAACCGAGAGAACTTTGCCGACAATGTAGCCGAGTTTTTAAAGAAATGGAATCTGGATGGTGTTGATTTTGATTGGGAGTATCCCGGTGAGCCTGATATTCGTGGTATCCCAAAGGGAAGCAAGGAAAATGGAGAAGATTATTCTTCCTTCCTCGCGATTTTGCGAAAGAAGGTGAGCGAACGCAGCATATCAGTGGCTGCTCCAGCATCCTATTGGTATCTGAAGGGATATCCAGTTGGTAAAATGGATGCTTCTGTTGACTACTGGGTGTACATGTCGTACGACTTGCATGGGCAATGGGATTTTGACAAGCCATGGGCAACACCTGGCTGCACTATGGGAAGTTGCTTACGATCTCATGTGAATTTGACGGAGACTCTCGACGCCCTTTCTATGATTACCAAGGCGGGTGTGACTTCAAATAAGATTGTTGTTGGTCTAAGCAATTATGGTCGGTCTTTTAAGATGGCGACAGCCGGATGCACGGGGCCTATGTGCACATATACTGGCGAGGCATCAGGAGCAAAACCAGGCCGCTGCACTCGAACGGCTGGCCTCCTCGCCGATGCAGAGATCAATGAGATCAGACAAAAAGACAGCACCGCAAAAACTTGGATTGATAAGGATAGTGATAGTAACATCCTTGTCTATGATTCTGTTCAGTGGGTTGCGTATATGGACGCAGATATTCGCAAATCACGAACAAACCTGTACAAAGGAAAGAATCTGGGTGGTGTGGTCGAATGGGTCATTGATATGGAAGAATTTGAAACTCCGACGTCACCCCCAACATCTACCACTACTGCACCTGCTGTATCTGTCACAGCTACCGCCCCGGCAAACATCCAGGGGGCTATCAACCCATATCTCTACAGCTGCACAAATGCACAGAAGAAAATCGTCCTCCAGACATGGGAGGAAGCTTCCATTTTGGCCCAAGGACACTATGAGTGGTTTCCAGGTGAGAAATGGCAGGATGCCATGACTCTTTATATTGGAAGTAAATCCAAGGATGATTTGTAAGTCCCAAATCATTATACTACATGTACTACTCTGGTTTGCTTAATTCGCTGACACCTTTGCAGTAGTTTTTTCGGAGGCCAAGGACCATTGATGGGTATGAAACTTTCAAAAGTCAGTTGTCCATTGTGCTGACATTCTGCACTCCAGATAACGTTGAGAGGCAATACAAAATTCACTTTGGCCATTTCGGAGATGCACCCGTCAACACCTATGGTTACTTCTATTGCGATGAGAGCAAGGTCCCAGGCAGCCATAAGAAAGATAAGAACGGCAAAAAGTCCCCATCGTGCGATGAACCCGGCGTATCAACTTATACGTGGGACGACCCGGGCAAGTTCTGGTCCGCACACTATGTCGTCCTCTGCCCCCAGTTTTTCAGCAGCAGGATGAGCTCACTTTTGTCCGCGGTGGAGGCAGCTGATGGTGATCCAGTAGTCCAGCGCTACATAGACTACTGGAAGCCCCTCAGAGTGCGGTCCTTGTTCCACGAGACCTATCATTGGAAGAATACTGTTTCGGTACCAAGGTGCCGTGACAAGACCTACGATCCTAGAGTAATAATTAATATGGCAAGGTTACAGCAGGAGGATTCAGTTATCAATGCGGAATCTTGGGCATTGGCGGCTCTCTCAATTTATTTGCAGCAGGTCTTTCATTTGGAGAGTCCACCCACCGCTATACCTAAATCCTCTCCAGTGATCGGTGGGGCCGATATACGAGAGCATTACCTCGATGCGCCCCCAGACTGGTGGGAGCGGCCCGTTGACCTTGACTCAAAAGCTTTCAACCCTTCCATGGATGACACAGTAATGCTGTCCAGTATGGGATCATTAATGGATTCGGGGCCCTTCCCTTCCTGTATCAATGGACTTTACGAGGATATGCATCAATGTGTGGAAATCTGTGGTGGTGACGGTAGCACTTGCAAGCAAAGCCCCACCAATGCCACAATTGTGTGCAGTGGATGCGTTCAAAAGCCTGCCACTCCAACTTGCAAGACAGGGAGCTATAAAGATATGGATACTTGTGATGCATCTTGCAGCGGCGGCTCGTGCTTTTTGAATGCGGGTGAAAGTGGGGTTCAGTGTGAGGATTGTCCCTCTAGCTGAGAAGGTATCGATCATGTCCTGGTACAATCAGCTTAACATGCCATCCTAGGCGGAACTCCTCCTCTTGATTCTTAGCAAGCGAAACAAATGAAGCCTCACTCTCAGATCTCGGTACCAGTACGTCGGGCTTGGAGATGATGCCGAGAGTTCGAATCGGATGGATCAGCATCCCGCGCTAAACGTAGGACGATCTGGTTCGCAAAGTCATTTTTTGCAGAGCTGTGGACGGAGTGATAGTCGCGAAGTTTTGCATCTCAAAGTGACTGGCTAGGGTCGCGATCCGGACTCTTTGGTCGACAGATCATTTTGACTCTGATCAAGGCTCTGCTTCGATCCCTTGAGCCTCGACTCGGTCAGTTACAATTGCTTAATTATGACACGAAAGATGCCACGTGGAGTTGTGATAATTCGTGGATAAGACGTAGTTGTTGACTTCGAAAGTAGCCGTCATGTTTCTGTCAGTGTGGGTTGTCACATGTGCCCGACGCGGGACGCTGCGACGCGTCAGTGCACCATCTCGTCGCCTGTGGCACACGGTCCAAATACCGCCGGGTGCTGCCTTGGGTCGGCATGCTCAAGTGACAACAGGGAAGTGATTTAATTATAATCACGTAGTGGCCAGGGATCAAAAATCAACCGTAGAAAACACGAAATCACCCGGAAAAACAAGCAGGTCTTGACCCGTCTTTCTGATGAAAGGTCATCTAAATGTATCCCGCAGGAATCAAACCCGAACCGTTATTAGATAGCTAATGCAGAAAATCCATTAACGTAATCCACGGCCGAGCTGGCCACACGGCCGAGCTGGCCACCCACCCCCATTGCAAAATTTCAAAATTGATTATCTTAGCCAACACCCATTAATTTGACTAGATAATACGATTTTTACATGAAGTAATCCTATACCCTGTTACTCCACATCCACTACAGGTAGGAGGAGCCCTCCTAGCCGGTTGAATCAGCTGATTAGGCAGATCGACCTGTTCATGCGATACTACCTCATCAGCTTCTATAGGCTCATTTAGCTGTGAAACTAGCTGTAGGCCCTCTTCGATCGATAGGCCCTCTTCGCAAGCGATCTGCTTAGTCGAACGAGTACGCTTTTAACGTTTCTTTTCATTCGCTGCGCAAAGGTTCGTATTATCCTACGCTAGTAATGCAGCACCATATAACGATAGATAGGCGCCTTTAATTATCTGATTGAGTATAAGTTTTGACGGTGTAGGGTGGCTATGCGATCGCTGTTTGAGAAGCTCTTTAAGCATAGAAGCTTGCTTTTCTAGCTAAATCGCTGTTCTAGGCTTTTTTGGTATAAATTAGCTAGATCTGCTGCTTAGTCGTCTTAATAGTAGTGAAGGCGTTCGGAGAGAAATATTAAGCTGCGAAAGCCCACTATCGGCATTAACTAGTACGGTACCAGTAGCTGCAAAGCTACTTTGAATAATATTCGGCTAAAAAGCTTCTACCCTTGCGCGTAGATAGTCTGCAAGAAAATTAAGCTTATCAATGTGATTATAGCCAGTACGGGCTAAATCGCTCACAAAGCGACCGTAGGCACGCTTTCGTACTGCAAAGCACCCAACATCAAGCAGTTAAAGTAAGTATGACGAATGTAAAGGTATACAGATTAGTATAATATCATTTTCAGCACAGATTCGATCGAATTAAGGTATAAGATGGCTACCGTGCCCGTGAAGAATCAATAGCCGAAATCACCCCTGTATACGTGAATTAGTATATAGAATAAAGATCTTTTAGAGCCAGCGAAGGCCAATTTCATCAGTAGTCCAGCCGTTATTCGATACTTCGATTCGCTAATCCCTAGGGAGATTCGACGATTCAAACCAACCAGCGATATAAACCTCGCCTTTGAATATAATACAGGGCGGCAGCGAATACTGTATAGCCAATCACCTGGGCAGAACAAGTCGCAGAGTCGGAACAATCGAATGAACGCCGTTGACAGGGTCAGTAATTTTCGAGGCGAACCACCTTAGTCCAATAGCAAGGGACGGAGCGCCAATGAAAACCCCAACGATTTGTATTCTGGGACAACATACTTATTATAACGAGGGGTAGCTCGAAGACCCGATCATTGTAAAGCCGAGCCAGCACACAAAGACAAAGACCGATCCCAATGGCAATGAAAACCAGAGTTGTTTGATAGCCGCTGAGCCCGATATCCTCATAAATTGACCGAATCGTTCAGGTATGTTCGGTCATAACAGATTTCAAGCTTTATTGGACTATGACTACTTACATTATCCACTTGAGACCCTTGTATGGGGTAAAGCTTGAATAAATTGAGAAATTTCACTTAAATCCAACCAGGGGTATACCTATCCACCAGGCAACAGCTAATCTGATAGCACAAGCTCCAATCAGTAAGCGCCGAGGGCCCACTGACTAAGGTTAATTTGGCCCTGGATCTCGCATCTCGGATCCTCAATCCATTATTATCCGAATGCGAGAAACACAATAGTAAATATTCCTTCAATGAGATACAGTAGTGTATTTGCACTAACCGTATTAGGCCTAGCGTATTCCAATATAGTAAAGGGTACGAACACGAAGCTATTCCAGGGCCAGTGGGTACTGTACCAGTCGATGCCTAAAGATAAAGTTCTAAGGCTGTGGCGAAGACCAAAAGCTCCACTGAACCTTTCCTAGTAGAGAGTACGGAGCGAGTACGACAAGAAAATGCCTGCGGCATCCCCTCAACCAATTCCAGCTGGCATCAAATCCCCTTCGAAGGAGACCGACTTTTCTCCTGCAAATTTTACATTAGTTCTAGTCAATTTATTATAAAAAGCTTGCATTCTTCCATGTTGCTTCCGCTTTTTAATACACTCGCTCATCTCCCTCCCATTGTGCCAATTACTCATAGTACAAATTCACGCCCCGTGGTCTTCATTTCTCAATCCCGATCTCGATACACTATCAATACAGCACGATGGCCGTCCAGTGGACATTTTACTATTATGCGCCATCCAGCGCTGCTGCAGGCATTTTCGCCGGCCTCTTCGGTTTAAGCAGCATTTTCCATTTCTATCAACTCATCCGAACACGAACATGGTTCATGGTTCCATTTCTCATCGGTGGACTTCGTACGTTATCTCTTTCAAGAATCCAGGTTGCCCAAAATTTGTCCAATTTTCTAACTATTCCTTTTCGCATCAACAGTTGAAACAGTCGGATATATCGGTCGTCTCCTATCATCCCTCGAAACACCCAACTACACACAGGGCCCTTACGTGATGCAAAGCGCCCTGATTCTCATCGCCCCCGCATTCCTGGCTGCGAGTATCTACATGACACTGGGTCGGATCATCGAGATGCTAGACGCAGAGCGAAGCTCAATGATCAAGCTGAAATGGTTGACAAAGATCTTCGTTGCGGGTGACGTTTTGTCTTTTCTGATGCAAGCTTCCGGTACGATCGCGCCAACTCCTATTTCTTATCTTCTATGTAATTCAAGACAACTAACATCTCTTCTAGGAGCCGGAATCATGGTCAAAGATATGACAAACCCTTCCATGGGCGAGAACATCATTATCGGCGGTCTCTTTGTCCAGATAGTTTTCTTCGGCTTTTTCGCTATCAGCGCTGTTATCTTCCAAGTTCGTCTTTCGAAAGCACCTACCGCGCGATCCATTGAACTGAGTTCTCTCTGGCACCGTCATATGATCGCACTATATGTTGCCAGTATTCTCATTCTGATCCGATCCGTTATTCGCGTTGTCGAATATATTCAGGGATATGATGGGTACCTGATGAAGACTGAGGCGTTTATCTATGTCTTTGATGCTCTTCTTATGTTTGTTACGATGCTGGTTCTTCAATATGCTCATCCCAGCGAGGTCAATTGTTTGCTGGGCCGTGGTGACCGGTATTCTGAGAAGATCTATAAAACACGGAAGTTTGAGGCTGGGTCGCCATTGGAGACGAGCCGTGTGGAGGAGGCGTGAAGGAAAAAGGCTGACTAGCCCTAGAGTAATCATTATTTTCTCATGTGTCATGTCGTTATACCATTTTAAATTCATATTCTAGCGCAATTACATATTCATAAGTAAAACAATTTGCTCGCCCTGGGTATCCAGGCCATGTAGTGAAATCCGTAGTAATCAATCAAGCTTCGATCTTCAAAGGACATTTTGGAATTGGGTATATTAGTTAAACAGTCACCCCCGCACCTCAGAGACTTAGTACTAGGAAACCTGCTCCAACGCCCATTCAATATGAACACGCCATTCTGGAGCCAAAATCCCCGATATCTCATGCAAAACAATAGACCCCCATGAACCCACACACCAATTGTCCCGTGCTAGGTGTAAAAATACACAATAATGAGCCAACAGCACCAGCGCTAGCGGGTGGCTATTTCTCATGTCATCCATAAAATCACCCGCGGCCCGGATCGCGAACCCCCCCAGCTAAAGTCAGTGACATCGGCTCGGCAAAGGTAAAAGGCGCAAGCTGCCGCATAAAGGCAATAGCCTTTTGATAAGGGACCATGTCATGACCGGGTGACCGGCGATAATAGTCTAGGTTCAACTCCTCTAGCCGCTCAAATGCATCTTGAAATTCCGTCGGGATTTGTGTATCTGGAGCTTTCATGTCGAAGAGCGGGCCGAAATTGCTTGCGAATATAAATTCCGCTTCTGCACTGACAACTTGCTGGACGCCACGCGATAACGTAAAAATATCTATCAAGGCATCCAAGCTAGGTCCCTCTCGCTGAGACGGTCCAAGATTTTGCGTAGTTGCAAAGCTAAACACGACTGCCAGGCTTGCGAAACTCATCATGGGTTTCACGTTGGCTTGACTGATATTAGGTAGTTGCTCGGAGAACATTGATAAGGCGGTATTCTTGTGGGCGATTGCAGTATTTACCCATTCAGAGTAACTATCGTCGGCATTTAAATGTGAAATCACTGAAAGATGGAGCGCGGAGATAGCGAGAATCCCGTGCATCAGGAATGGAGCTTGGAGCGCTTCTTGCAGGACTGGCATTTCCCAGATCTTTCTCGTTTCCTCGTTGCGAGCGAAGAGTCGATGTGTGTGTTTGATCCATTGTAACACTAGCTCTAGTTGTTTCATGTCCAGTGATGGTGAAGTCGAGCTGCCAATGCTACTCACGATATCCAAATGGTTCTGGACACTGGAGATGTCGGAGCCGGCTGATTCCGGCTCTGATGGCCTATGACTGCGCGACCTTCGGGGCCTTTCTGTGTCTTCTGCGAATGTATATGGCCCAGGAGCAGTATAAATGCATGTATCATGTCTTTGGTTGCAGTTGGCGCATGTTGGTCGTCCTTCATCGCACTGTGCTGGTAAGTTGATGTGATGCTCCTAATCCCGAGGGTTGTTCGACTCATACCTTGACGCGTCGCCGCTTACAGTTGCTGCACCCGTGACGGGACTTACGGTGGGAACGACGGAAGACCATTTTCACAAGGCTGGAAATTATTTGGATTGAAGATGTGCGCAACAGATGATAGGATCAAAGATGGGGAATGATGGATGTGGCGAGGCATACGAATACGACGGGGAATATCCGAACCCGAATCAGACCCACTCAACATCTCCCAACCACTCCATACATTACTATCCTTACACTTCATTACTTTCTTCTTTATTGTAGCCTTCCTGTTCATCGGAGCCTCCCTATTAATCAGATCTATGGTCGACATCTATCTCGCTCCGAAGTAATAGCTGCGTTACCGCCTTGTGGCCGTTTATTGTAGCCATAGATAAAGGTGTTTGGCCTTCAGAGTCCTCTGTGTCCACCTTGACCTTGCCAGTTTCAAGCAATAGCCTTACTACCACCTCATTGCCTATCACTGCAGCCCAGTATAATGGTGTTCGACCCAAGGAGTCCCTTGAGTCCGGGTCAACGTTGCCCGTCCCAAGCAATAGCCTTACTACCACCTCATCACCTTCAACTGCAGCCCGGGATAGCGATGTACGGCCTAAGCAGTCCCTTGAGTCTGGGTCAATCTTCCCTGTCCCAAGTAATAGACTTACTACCGCCTTATCGCCCTTCTCTACAGCCCAGTGTAATGGTGTTCGATCCTCAAAGTCCCTTGAGTTTAGGTCAACCTTGCCGGTTTCAAGTAATAGCCTTACTTCCGCCTCATCGCCTTTCTCCGCAGCCCAGGATAATGGTGTTCGACCATCAGAGTCTCTTGAGTCTGGGTCAACCTTGCCCGTCCCAAGCAATATCTGTATCACCAGCTTGTGGCTATATTCGACAGCCCGTGATAGTGGTGTTGCGCCCCAGTAGTCCCTTGAGTCCAGGTCAACCTGCCCTGTCCCAAGTAATAGCAGAACCATCGCATATTGACCATGTTCCACGGCCCAGGATAGCGGTGTCCGGTCATCAGAATCTTTTGAGTCCACATCTACCTGGCCAGTCCCAAGTAATAGTTGTGCGACTGACTTATCACCAGATTCCACAGCCCAGGATAGAGGTGTTCGACCCTTGGCGTCCTTTAAGTCCACATCCGCTCCAGCACCAAGTAAAAGCTGCACCACCGCCTCATGGCCATTTGCTGCGGCTAGACCTAATGGTGTTCGACCCCAGGCGTCCTTTAAGTCCACACCCGCTCCAGTCCCAAGTAAAATCTGTACCACGACCTTATGGCCATTTGCTGCAGCTAGACATAATGGTCTTTGATCCGAACTATCCTTTGAATCCACATCCGCTCCAGCCCCCAGTAAAAGCTGCACCATCCCCACATGACCACTTAACGCGGCTAAAGATAATGGGGTTTGGCGATCGTAATCCATAAGTTCTACATCAGCCCCTTCTTGTATTGAAATCCGAGCTGTGACTTCAGCTCCCCGTTTGGAAGCCCATATCAGCGCCGAGCTTCTTGAATTCCGAGCGTTGACTCGATAGAGGTATGGATTCAGAAGAGCGTATAATTGTCGATTTGTTCGGCATAGTGAATTGATGTCTCTCTCTTTCTCCAGGAATTTCAGTATGATGAGAAATAATTCCGAGGGTAGAGGCAGAGGGCGATCGATGAGAGAACTCATTCTCTGGACATCAATTGCTCCATCTTGGCCGAGATGTTTCGACTTCTTGAATATATGCATTTCCATCCTAGAAGTTTGGTAGGAGATTCAGCGGAATATTGTAGGGCGAGATACTAGAAAGATTGCCAGAAGGTGATAAGTGGGGAAAGTGGTGATATTGGTGGTGGTGTGTGAGAGCGAAGCTATGGGATCTTGAAGAGGACAACACATCGGGCTTGATGCCTGAGGCAACACATGGAACCTTATCTTAGCAAAGATCAAGTTGACAACGATAACGTTGAGCCCTCGCCCCGAGGGCAAGAACCTTAGGAAATGAGAAATAAAAGGGAAATCCGATGTTGGAAGGATATAACTAGGGCATATTTCCCCTTTTCTCACTAGCGTCACCACCAAAACACGCCACTCGAGCAAGTAGCTTCCAAGCCATGACAACTTTTCAACTCTAATATAACCTTAGTAACTAGACCTGGTCAGAAACCGACGAGTTGCGGGTCGGGCCTATCAAAGTTTCAAAAAAATTCGTTGTTTGATAATCCTGCTAATTAAGTAGGATTTGAACACCTTTCAATGATATACATTGACAGACCTCTGGCTGGGAACTATATTACGTCAATCACTAGGAGACTGAGAAATACTAGTATATTGAAGTGTCACAGTGTTTTCCTTTTTACTACTCCGTAGACCTTAGAGTCTAAGAGTGATACGTTTCAGCCTTCACTGGTGACTGGCTAACTATTGGTTGCCCCTATCCAATCTGTGTCCCCGCATGCTGCAGGGTTCGTCACATCGCACAATATCTGGTATTTTTGTTGCTTTTTTTCCAGTGTCTCGATGGAGGCACCGCTTTATTGAACACAATTTACAGTTGAGTGAGAATAAGCATGAATTTTGGGCACTAAGTCACAGTTTAAAGCTGGTGGCTCGGAGAAGATAACGTTCCGCTAATAGTTAAGTTGGGGATGGGCACCCTCACTCCCGAGAGGGCCGAGACCATCGCCAAGGACGGTAGCGCGCACAATTAAGATTTTGAAGCCAGAACTTTGGGAAGCGCTGATCTCTCTTTCCCCTCCTCAAACATATGCAGCGTAACAGGGTGCAAACATGGTTCTAATATTATATTGGTCCACGTCATTCAGGAAGTCAAGACACGTGTCAATCTTTATTTAGCAACTTAGAACACTGTCAGTGAAATAAAACCGAGCAGGTTTTCGCCGTGATATTCCTCGATTCTAGGAAAGCAGTTTCACAACGAGTACGATATTTCACAATGTGTCTGATCAGTACACTTGAATCCGAAGATGGAATATTCAATACTATTACTGAGCCTAGCGAGGATCAAATCCCGAGATAGGCTATTCTGTCACATACCTGGGGTAAGGGGGAAGTAACTCTCCAGGATATGATGGGAACCAGTGCAAAATACAAGCAAGGATACAAAAAAATCGAAAAGAGCTGCATCGAAGCTCAAAATGAAGATATACGCTTGGATTTTGTTTGGGTAGATACATGCTGTATTGACAAGACGAACAGCACAGAGCTATCTGAGGCAATCAACTCGATGTATCTTTGGTACCAGGAGGCTGAAGTATGCTACGTTCACCTAGCCGATGTACCTTCAAAGAAAGACTTCACGGAAGGCAGATGGTTCACCAGGGGCTGGACACTGCAAGAGCTGATTGCTCCAAGGAAATCGGTCTTCTTCGATGAAAATTGGAACAAGATTGAGTATACCGCAGAGCTTCAAAAGAAAGTGTCTGAAGTTACAGGCATACCCATTAGTATCCTTTCAAAAGAAAAAAATCTTGAAGACTTGAGCGTCGCACAGAGAATGTCTTGGGCTGCAAATAGGCAAACAACAAGAATCGAGGATCATGCCAACTGTCTGCTCGGTATATTTGGTGTTAATATGCCGCTGATTTATGGAGAAAAAGAAGACGCCTTCATCAGACTGCAGGAGGAGATCATCCGAGTTTCAGACGACCTCAGTCTCTTCGCCTGGAGGTCTAAGAATGAAACCGGACTTCTGCCTCGCTCCCCAACTGCGCTCCACGGCTCACGCCACATTGTGCACCTCAACTCGTTCGATTCGCTTTATGACCCCCCGACAGTGAACAGTAGAGGGGTCCATTTGAGCGTTCGCTTCGTTGGAATAGGCTACCGAGGACTGGGACTCGCAATCATTGACTGCAAAGAAATGAGCGGTACCGGCAACGAAACATCGATCGCTATCTACGTGAGAGATGTGTCCTTGAAGATGCGACAGTTCATCAGAGTTCAGACAGACGAATTCAGACCAATAGATCTGCGAAATTCAGACTCTCACAATATCCTGTTAGGCGAATATGTGTCCAATACGAAAACAAGGCCCTGAGGAATGACATACTATCCAGGCGGAAGACATGATTCCACATGATTCACTGGTGGAGCTTATGGGATTCAATGACCCAAATCCACTTTTTCGTGCAGCAGAGGAAGGGGACGACCATATTATTTGGTTATTACTCACTCGGAGTGATCTTCATGCAGACTTAATGCATGAGAAAGATTCTTATACACCCCTTGTCTTGGCTGTCAAAGGGAGGCACGAATCAACCATCAAGTTATCCACGATAGAGGCGCAGAAATCAATTCGCTCAATGGCCTGGTGCTGTTTACCGCGATCAAAAACAAATGGATGACAGGTCTCAAGTTGCTGCTCGAGAGGGGGGCCGCAACCGAGATCAAAAACTCAGACCGAACACCACTGTTATCGGCCATGATTATGGGATGGAAAGAAGGCTCTTGTTTGCTGCTTGAATTCAGTGCAGATCCCAATTCACAAATCGAACCTGGTTTATCACCGCTCTCCTGGGCTGTTGAAAACAAAGATGTGTTTTTTTCTCGAGTTGTTACTTGAGCGAAGTGCATCAACGGAAACAAGGGATACATATTCACGTACGCTCCTAATGCAAGCTATCTTGAAACGATGGGAGCTTGGTGTAGAAGTAGTGGTACAAAATGGTGCGTTGATTGAGGCAAAGGACTATAGTGGCTGCACACCCTTACAGCTGGCTATCGACGCACATCATGTGGCTTCTGTCAAGTTCTTGCCAGAAAAGGGAGCACCAATCGAGAAGAAAGACGATCCTAGTTACATGCCATTTTGGCAGGCTCTCCTGAATTCCTATAAGCCCATGATTGAGATTTTGCTAGAAAAAGGCGCCTCAATCGAGCAACAAAACAGTGATGGATACACGCCCTTGATTTGGGCGCTTAAGAATGACAGGGCAGCCTCGGATCATGCCTCTTCTCCGGATCTTGTCTCTTTCCTGCTTGAGAAAAACGCGCCAACCGATGCAAAGGACGCCCTAGGCTTTGCTCCCCTGTTTTTAGCTATCAAAAAACGACGCTTGTGGGAAATCAAAAAATTTCTGGACAAAGGTGCGGCAATTGAAGAAAGGCACAGCAGTGGCCTAACACCTTTGTTGTTGGCTCTCAAGTATGGCGATCTGGCGACGACTCACGATTTACTCAAGAGAGGTGCAAAAATTGAGGCCAGGGATGATAACGGCGTAACGCCCTTATTATGGGCTGTTCAACATAAATTGCTGCCCGTTGTCGAGTTTCTGGTTGAAGAAGGGGCCGAGGTTGATGTGAAGGATAATGATGGTCAGACGCCCATGCGACTGGCTTCCCAGCGGAGGCATGAGGGGCCTCCTGGTGATTCCCGTACCATTGAGTGGGAATCTATTAGTCTTCCTCTCACAAAGACTGTCAAGAGATCATTTCCTACGCAGCCATCCTGATTCCTAGTTGTTATAACGAATCACATGGTTATTGCCCTATTTACCTTTTGCTCTGCGCCTTAGGCACCCATTAAGTTGTATCTAGCTGCTGTTTCTATTTCTATCATACTTTACTAAAATAATAGAAATCAAATTTGCATCACTCATAATCTTCGAAGTGGTATCGTATCATATCATGCAAAACCTATTAAGAGAAAAAACAAGAATAAACCATCCCCTACCCAGCCAGCCAACCCGACGCCACAAGTCCCAGAAAAACTAAATTCAAAGGGCCATATTGGCACAGGTAAAAGCCGGCGTAATACTACCCGAATAATCCGTAATAATAGCCTCAACAGCCGCATACAGACCCGGGCCCAGAATAAACAACCCAACAACCATAATGAAAACATTCACGAGAGTCATAACCGACTTCCCCACGCCATTAAATAGCTTCCCCCGATTGAGTTGCCAGTACGCAATGGCGAAATAAATGAATCCGAAAAACGAGTCAAAAGCTGCACTAAGCAGGGAAAGGAAATCTCCCATACTCGGAATGACTTCTGAAAAGACGAATGCGAGAAGCCAAATTCCAACCATCACCAGGCCCCACACGCCCCAGCCGATAAGCGTGTTGCTGTGTGCGTGCTTGGACTGGCCCATCGTGCGCTTGTAGATGAATTTCGCCGTAACGTTAGCGTAAATCACGCCGATGATCAAGGTGGGGACGATAACGAAGCCGAAAGAAGCCTTTTTATACGCCACGACTCCCAAACTTCCGAATGCAGGTGCCGTGCTGTATTGGCCCAGATAGCGGAATCCAATGGCCGGAGGCACGAGGAATAGAATGGCTGAGATGAATGTTAGGACGGCGAGCGCTTTGGGGAAATCTTGCGGCCGTTCCATTTCAGCTATGAAGCTGGGGAATAGGATTTGGGGAACCCAGAGGAATGTGATGTTCAATACGGCGTTCATGCATGCGATCCATGTGGTTCCTGCTTGGGGGAATGCGTATGTCTTGACGGGACCGAGGGTTGGGTAGTTTCCGTTATATCCGTACAGGGGGGCGGATTCAATTCCAGCAAAGACGAGGAAGAGGAGGATGGCGATTCCCATACAGGCGGCTGGGTATGATTAGCAAATGGGAGCTTTTCTCGGGTTCTGGTTCTCCGGAGAGGAGGAGGTGCCACCTGGGGGAAAATACTTACAGGATACCATTGACATGGAGCTGATATGATTTAGAGTTCGAGGAACAGACATCACAATGCCCATGATTGTTGCAATGACGGCAAAAACGGAAGTGCACAGGCTGTGATCGGATAGTGTATTCAGCACCTTGGCACCGGTGAGGACATGGAATCCGATGAGCAGGATATTGTTGGCCAATAACATGAATGCGGAAAATACGTATGCCACGCGACTCTTTCCGAAGACATAGTATCCAAAATCACCTTCAGTAAACCGTTTGAGTAACCATGTTCATGTTCATGTTCATGTTCGCTAGAAGCTCCGCGGGAGGAAAGATCACGTACAGATATCTTTGATTTGGGGGTATTTCATGATGAACTTGTGCATGGTGATAGACGTTATCCAGAAAAGAACGGCACAGAGAACCATGGTTATTATGCCTGGAACCCATCCTAGCACACTAGAGAGGGAGTAGGGTTAGCGGGTTCGGTCTCACTCGATGATCTCAAGTAGATCGACCATGGAATCAATAAGCGCGCGGCCTGGGGGTGAATACTGACGAAAGAGACCAGGACTGAGCCATGATGGCCAGACAGACTTGCTCACCAGCCAACAGAATGGCGGTTTTCTGCCATGACATGGTCCGAAGCTTGATCTCATGTTCGTGGTCTAGCAGCACGAAGAAGTTAGTTCTTGTGAACTTGAATGCGAAGATGCGCTTGTCAATTCTGGCGTCAGGTGCTCACCTTCAGCAACCAGGGCGGTAATTGTATTGAGGGAATCCGGATCATCGCTTTCGGTCTCTAGACCGTAGTCCGGTTGCTTCTTATCTTTGAAGTCGGAGTCGGCCATTGTCGACAAGGCAAACGGAAGGAGCGGGAAGAAGTGTAAGGAGAATCCGATCCACAACAGAACAACGAAGGAAAAGAGCGACTTGAATAAATAAATATCGAGAGAGAGAAAAGAAAAAGCAAAAAGAGGACGAGGGTAAGCTTATCTTGGCATGAACAACGGCCACAGACTGCCCAATCAGGTTAGTCCAGAAGTGCCATCCCGGCAGCAAATGGCGCGATTGGAGGCTGATGCGTACAGCTGAAAGCATTGGGCATTTGCTTATAGGCAACTAACCTAACTCGTGGTTAGCACCAACTTTACTAGCCCCGCGTCAAATGGCAGCATTAGCCGGGCCATTAATCCTTCCAGGGTTGACTGATGCCGGGACATGGGTCTCCCATGTGGTAACCACAGCCGACGAAGTGACCGAAGGATTGCAGGTACATACTACTCTACTACAGTAGTAGTCGAAAATTACGAAAGGATCAGTAGTATGATCACTGGCATGTTGGAGAATTTTTTTGAACAGACCATCAATAATTACTATGTATACATCTTTGAAGCAAAAGAGAAGAAGAAAAGAAGAAAAGACGCCGGGGCCGAATCGGAGCCAAAGGGGACATGGGACATTGCAGTGTGTACAGTCGACAACATTCAAGGAAGAATAATAATAGTAATAGTAATACATAAGGCCCGGCAAAATGTGAATGTGAAGAAAACTCGCGCTGTTTCCGCGCATGGGGCGGAAGCAGCGGAGAAAAAGGCAATGTGCGATTAAAGGCGTAAGCAACAATGCTGGAGAATGGGAAGGTGTCTATCAACGCCAGTTTCATCAAAGATGCAAGAATGCGAGGGTGGGAGGATGGAAGGGTGAAATGATGTGAAAATGTAATTCTGAAGAAAGAAGTGTCGGAAACGGGGAGTCATTAAGCACTAGGAAGCCGTGGGTTGTCGTACTCATGCCGATGTGGACGTATGCTTGGAGCCATCGACCTCAGTGCCCTCCTCGCCAGCGGGGGTTTCATGGGATTCATGGTGTTCCTGGGAATCATGGATAGCAGCCTGCGATTCTGCTTGCGTTTCCGACTCAGGCTTGGCCGCAGGTTCGGTCGGAGAATCAGGAGTGACAGTCACCTCGGGCTGGGGTGCTGTGGGAGGCTGAGACTCAACCGCAGGTTCATTCGAAGACTCATGGGTGTCAACCTGCGATTCTGCTTGCGCTTCCGACTGAGGCTCGGTCGTATGATCAGCCGGTGAATCAGGAGTAATAGTCACCTCAGGCTGGGGTGCTGTGGGAAGCTGAGACTCTTCTTGCAACTCCGGCTGAGACTCAACTGCAGGTTCATTCGAGGACTCGTGAGCGTCAACCTGCGATTCTGCTTGCGCTTCCGGCTGGTGCTGTGTCTGAGGTACGTATACCACCTCGGCATTAGCCTCCTCGTAAACACTGATATCGGAATCTATCGAGCCTCGTCTTCGAGCCTCGGGTGATGAATTTTCATCGTGGATATTCAAAGTCGGAAGATCGGGTGTCACAGGTCTTGACATGTCGTATTCAGGTACAGAGAGCTTGGTAGTGGGGATTCCGACTCCATCATGGGACTGTACAGTGATGTCTCGCGCAACAAATGGCTCATCGTCTTCATAATCCTGCGGAGTGGCAGAATCGCTTGGTAGGTCGGGTTGCGGGACCTCCGCATCAGCTGGCTTTGTGTAAAGTGGAACAATGCCACCCGCAACTCGGGACCAGAACATTCTTTCACGAAGACGAACAGTTTCTTCCCAGACATCTTTCTCCTCTTCCGAGTCACCAGCGCGAATGTGTCCATCGAGGATCATCCGTAAGTAGCCGGTGAATTCACAGCAAGAGCGGACTCGCTCCAGGCACTGAATACAGAGCGAGTATCGCTGGGCGGTCTCGCTCTCTGATGTTCGGAAACGGTGTGTGCGTTCATTGTTCTCCCCTGTCCTGCGTTCACCGCAGACTGAGCAAGGGAATTCGTACTGCTTCGTCGCTGCTGGAACCGGCTCCACGACAAGCGAGCCTTCGCAGATTCCACTCAGAACAGTACGGCGAGTGAGCCATGAGATTCCTGGGGATAAATCGAGTCTCAAAGTCGGCTCAATATCTTCCATGAGCACTCTCTTATAAAACTTTGTATCCTTCAATGGTATATGCGAGCCGGTTTGAGAGGATAAGCTCCCGTTAGGCGAGTGGCCAAAGCCTTTGGTGGGAGATGAAGTGGCGGAGTTAGATCCTCCAGTTGCGAAACTAGCCAAGCTCATGACATTTAAGCCTCCATAAGACCCACTGCCCGCGCGGCTTGGGGGTTTGGAGGTGCGAGATAGAACCAACAAGTCCCGGAAGTCGTCATATGCTGGTAGATCAGCGCGGCACACCATGCGGATCATGTCAGGGAAATTGCACGAGGGGCCTGGTGCGAACTCCTCGGGGTTCAACATTGGAGGCTCCGTTCCCATCTCAGAGTCTTGCTTGGCAAAGCCCTGCAACTGTGGAGCACCTCCCGGGGATGGTGGAGCAGTCGATATGTTGGTACGGCTTTCCAAATCCTCCTTGTTGAGATGCATCCCTTGCAGAACTGATTTGAGCTCCGCCATCTGTTCCTGGTGCGATGCGAGGAGAGACTCGGTGTCTTTGATTTGCGAGCGCAATTGCTCGTTCTTCTTCTCCACCGCTTCTCGTTCGATTTTCGCCGCAGCAACCATCTTGATGTAATCAGTCAGACAGGGAGTTTAACTCGGAAATCATGTAGCAATCACTAACCTTGTTGGCTTCCTCGAAGAGATCCGCGGTGAGAGTTTCCAACTCTTGTTCCATTGTCTTTTTTCCCTTCTCGGCTATGGCGCGCTGTGCTCTCTCCTCTGCAAGCACAGCTTTCAATTGTTGGATTTCGCGGTCTGAGTCGGCCTTCTTGATGTATACTTTTTGATCGAGGTCCCGGTGGTATTTCTCATTCTGGAACTCGAGAGCGATAATTTTTCCCTGGGCAACCTCCAACTCCTGGCGCGTGGCGCCCAGGCTGTCGTCTAGTGTTGTCTGGTTATTGATCGCCTGGATCAGTTTCACACTTAGCGCTGCAACCTCATTGCTCAGGTCGGGGTGATGAGACGATGACGTCGATGGGGAGACCTCTCTGTCGACGTGCAATCGTGGATCCTGCAAGGTACTGAAGTTGTTTTCTTCGAAGCTGGGGCGGGATTGATGAGCATCCGCTTGGGAGGCGACTTGGGAAAGATCGGTGGTGGACTTGGCTTTGGTGACAGTCTTCTCGGGGGATAGGATTCGGTGCTCGGAAGACAGCGACCGCTTGTGAGCGTGACGCGGAATCATGGTGGACGGCGGCATTAGATTATGATGGTATGTTTGGAAGGCAATTAGACTGCTCCGGTCGTCAGTGAACATTCGCGCCGCTGTTCCTTGCTAGACTTACTCGGCCATGATGAGTGACGTAAACGGCGTCGAAGGAATGTGATTGAAGGTCTGCGGATTTCCTCAACCACGGCCAAATGGTAAACAGAGATGACCTCGAGGGAATCACACCCAATTAAGGCGCAGGCGAAACAGAATCCTCGAAGCCATTCACTTGGGAAGTAGGAGGAAGGACTGGGCGCTTAGCAGACCCCCGCTAGCGTTCGAAGCGAATTCTCGAGCCGGAAGATCGGGGGGAACGCTGAGTGGTCGGGATCGGAGTGTATATTGGTGGAAAGGACTGAAAGAATTAATTATCAAGGAGAGCGAAGTCAAGGACTTGGGTGGGAGACAACCACCAGCAAAGTGACGAGAGTTGAAGGTCGGGGGGGGTTGCCAGTGAGGAAGCCCAAGTAGGCTTAGTCATTCGATCACACCGGAAGTGGTGAGCGGGCCGAACGTGACGAATCTCAGGCACTTCAGGCACTTCACACTCAACTCCCGTGTGGATGTATCACCCGATCGGATGATTTATCCAATATGGTATGTGGTATATGTGGTATTAGGTATATCTATCGAATTGCTCCGTTGTCACACTGGGATTTCACTTCATCTGATTGTCTCATGTGTATTAACACCCCCCAGTGATTAAATTGGCCACCGGGACCTGAAAGTTCTGCCTGATCGAACTATGCCTTTCACGGGCAAATAGTCGCGAACTAAGCCGGATATCGCCAGCCGATCGCGCTCTCGGATTCGCGTACTCCCGTACAAATTTGGGCAGATCTGGTTTTTTGGGTCCGTGAAACTAGCGGCGATGCCGGGCCCAGTTAATTCGTATTCTCTTGCCCGAGGCGCAGCATAGCACATTCGCCCCTTTGCCTCCGCAGCCTTGTTGGTCGCAATTATCCGAGTTATGCAGCCAGTCAGTTAGCTGGGAATACTACATAGTACTCATCTTCGATTATATGGTTAGATAAACAGGCTATTACCTAGCTATAAATTAGTGTTAATGTAAATAAACTTCTCTTGTACAACCTGGGCTGTGTTATAATAACAAGATGTTACCAGCTACTGACTAGTAGTCAGTTCTGTCCCGTCTATAGCGGTAACACAAATTCTACTACCACTATTAGATACTACTAGTATACTTTATGGTATTACTACTAGAACTAGGAAGCAGTTTGATGGAAGCAACTTAAAATCTTCAAGTTGATCTGCTAGTAGTAATTCAGTTGCTTCCACGTCTACTAAGGGCAACTTGGGCTTGGTATTACTACTACTAACTTGAAGATATATCAAGTCGCCATAGTGCCTCCGGTCTCTCCAAACTAACTTCAAGTTGAAGAAAAACACATTTATACAGCTCACCAGAAAGCGGAAATATTCCTTGAGCACTACTTAGTAAATATAAATATAATCATAAATATAATAGCATGCCCATACCAATATAAACACCATGACATGCACTCCAGGCTTCCCCGCGTGGCGGCCTCAGGCGGTGCAGCTTGAAGTGGGGTCGCTCAATAATCTTCCTCTCTCCGAATCCGAATCCATCTTCAAGGAGCACGAGCACCCCATCACTTAGTCCCGCAATCACACTATGGCGGACGCAGAGCTCGAGGAGGTGAGATACACCTTCCAAGGTTCCCTCCACTTAACTCCTTACTAAAAGAAACAGATCAGGCGAGCTCGCCTCGCACAGCTACAGCAGCAGGGCGGCGGCCCTCGCGGTGGCCCCAGTCAAGATGGTGGCCAGGAAGAGCAGAAGAGGTGAGTTTGAGTCTCTCCCGACTGTCATCCAATCCTGTTCCGCTCAAGAATTTTCTAACCGCATTCTCTTCTTTTCCCAGGCAAGCTGAATGTGAGTAACACAACCACAACCACAACCCAACAGCCCACTATACGATCACTCCACCCCACTCGCCCCTCCACCTCGTCGAATTTATCGAATATATTATATACATCCCGACGAGCAGCATAACTAACAATACACAGCGGACCGTCGCGCCGCAATCATGGCGCAGATCCTCGACCCCGCCGCCGCCGACCGTCTCGGCCGCATCCGCTTGGTCAAGGCATCGCGCGCAGACGATATCGAGAACAGACTCATGATGCTGGCGCAGTCGGGCCAGCTCCGCCAAAAGGTTACAGAGGAACAATTGAAGGACCTTCTGAATGCCGTTGCGGAGAATTCTCGTAAGGAGGAGGAAGAGCACAAGATTGTTTATACTAGGCGCAAAGGCGGCTGGGATGATGATGATGATTTGCTTGACCTGTAAACTGAAGGACGATCGGATAGTTAGGAAGTTATATGATATGTGATCAGTCTTGATGTTGGTTTTACCGGGCAGGGATCTTTCCACTTTTGCGTTTGCGTTGGCAATTGGATACCAAAATATACTTGGCCGGAAATATGGCCCAAGAAGTCAGTATGAAGAAGAGTATTGCTATATCTGAAGTACTTTTAAGATCAGATCAGAAAGAGGGGATGGGGATCTTGTAAACCTTGGAATAGTAGGAATACTCGAGTAGTTCGAGCCGAAGCGCAATTTTGCTTCGATCGATTGCCTATCTGAGGAAGCAGAGGAAAGAAGGCGTTATATTCTACTTGAGTTATACGACCGATCTCGAATTATGCTTGTTCTTTCTTTGTGCTGCTAATAATATTCACCAAATTGATAATCGTACATCTTCTCCACCGGAGAGTAACTAAGCCGTGTCCAGCGATGTATACCACACCCTACACGTATACCGCAAACTACGACTGTTGCTGCTGCATCATCTCCTTCTCCCTCTTCTGCTGCCTCCGAATCATCTTCCGAATCTCCCTCAAATCAGGCGGCTGCTCAATCCTCAACTCAGCCCGTAACTCATCAACATCCTTCTCAAGCACCTCCTCCCAATAAACATTAATCAACTCCTTACTAGCCAGTCCACTCCGAACAGCCCAAGGCAAATGCAGCGTCAAAAACCGTTCCTTCTCCGCAGGCTTCATACGCACAAAAGCAAACAGACTAAGCCCCGTCATCGGCAACAACGTATTCAAAAATTCCAGCGCCTTCAGCGCTAATTCGCCCTCTACGAAGATCGGCAGACCCGTCACGGCGTGGTAGAAGTCATGACACTCGCGGTAGCGCTGCATGACGTATGCGCATTCGGGATCGTCGATGTATTGTACGTTATCGCGTGTGTCGGGCGATACGCCTTCCCTGTCGAGCCATTTTGCGTATGTCCGGCCGACGGAGTTCTCGGGGAGAGTGCGGAGATGGTCCATGCTTAGGGTTTGGGATGTTATGCGTGGTCGATCGCGGAGGATTCGGCGGCCTGTTGGGTCGGAGAGCATTGCGTTGCGGAGTCGGTAGATGAAGAATGGGGTTGCGGTTGCTTCGCCTAGGGCTGCGATGAGGTCTGGGGAGCTTGTTAGTTTGAGGTTGATATTACGGGTGTAACTTGTAAGACGGCGATAAGGAATGGATAAAGTGAGAGAGGAGAGCGATACGCAGACCCCGACAATAGAGAGCACTTCAATTGAGTGCTTGAGTGACGTACCTGCTCTTCGAGGGTTCACGAGAGACCCAAGTGCAGAGCCGATGGCCAGAGCTCCGCGCTCAATAGTCGTCAGTGGGACATGGCCTGGGTAACTTGGTTTTGGGCGATTGAGGACGGAAAATGGTCGTACACTGCATGATGAAAGAGGGCAGGATGTAGACAGAAGCCGTAGTCCCTGAGGACCGCGCCTCCCGAGCAGCGACATTATGCTGAGTGTAGCTTGGAGTTGTTCACGAGAGGAATCATACGACGGGGGAGAAGACCCGATGCCGATGGCAGGCGGAGCGATAAGCGGGTTATCTATAGGACTAACATTACTAGATCTTTTTACCGCCTTCACTGCTTTTGTCAACCCAATTGCGCTACACTTAGTAAAATTGGCATTACATATTCAAGAAAGAAGTTACACTGAATTTCAGTATATAGTTCACCGAGGACTCTCGTATCTGGAAATCTATATACAGATGTGTGGGGCGGTGAACCTTTGTCCAGTTTATGCTCAGTAGGGCGGGTGGCGGTGAGAAGCATATCCACGGTATATTCAATAATTCTATGTATACAGACACAAAGTATGCTTTCAGGCTATTACTTCCAAATTACTATCTCATTATATATCTTCCGACTATACCCCATCCGGATCAGTGGATATCATGAGATTCATGAAGCTAAATTTACTTCATCTAACTATACCGGCTTGCATGTGTAGATTTTCTGCCGGCAGATGGGATTCGGGTTAGGCTATCACTGCAAATGCTCCACTCACACTGTTGATCCATTGGGGTTGAAGACTGGAGTGAACCTTTTTTTGCCAGCATCATGATTGCAGGTCTGCAATTGAGTTTCCCAAGTACATCGTTTTGCTAAAATTGGATTCTTCCCTTTTCTGCTCCACGGTTCGTCTGATCAGTCCCTCACTCCTTCAGTCCACAGCCACTAATATCCACACAGACAGTCCAAGAAAACCACATAAGAACCATTTTGACCATGAGTTCGGACTGGAGCCCCGGTGAAGTCCACGAGACATTCTCAGAATGGGCCCTTGCCCAGGGCGTCATTGCAAATAAAGTCCGACCTGCTCGATTTCCAGGTCGAGGGCTAGGGATGATCGCAACGGACACTATCAAGGTACGAAGAGCCAAAAAAAAGAGACCACTAGCCCTAACCCGAGGCCATGAACGATGAGCAATGAACAAGAATATGAAAAAAACTCACCAAGACTCTCATCTACACCAGTCCGGGGACTTCGTCGTCAAAGTCCCAACAACAACAATCTTAACCGCAGACAAAATCCCCTCTGAATTCCGCTCCCAGTTTCCCGAAGATACCAGAATCCAAGCTATCATCGCAGCCTACCTCACCTGCAGCAGTGAAGAGGACCTAGCCCCATACAGTCTATGGTTCAAGACCTGGCCCACGCGCCAAGATTTCGAAGACAGTATGCCGATGCTGTGGCCGCGATCACTGGGTGGGTTGACCTGGCCCGATAGTGACGATGCAGCAGACCCTGCTGTTGCTGCTTCGCAGTCAAATTTCCTCCCGCCTTGTATTTCGGGGTTATGGAATTCTATTCAGAAAGGTGGGGTTACGAGACAGTACGAGACTGAGCACCAGGATCTCGTGCAGCAACAGGGTCTGCGGCTAGGGAAGGCTTGGAATGATGTTGTTTCGGTCATTCCGGATATTGATTGGAAGTCTTTCTCATATCATTGGCTGATTCTCAATACGAGGAGTTTCTATTGGGTTGCGCCGGATCAGGAGGCTCCTGAGGATCGGAATGATGCTATGGCTTTGCTGCCTTTCGCTGATTATTTCAATCACTCGGATGTGGAGGTGAGGATTTTTGGCTACGCAGATGCACTCGTATTTTTTTACTTGATCTTGCTAACTCTCTTCGTTACATCTAGTGCGATGTCAAGTTTGATGGAGATGGGTATACCCTGAGTGCCACCGAGGACTATGAAGCAGGTGATGAGGTTTATATGAGCTACGGAAGCCATCCCAACGACTTCTTGCTCGCTGAGTGTAAGTTGAGCCAATGTTTTCAAGTTCTCCATATTACCACTTTGCGGTGATCTAACTTCAGCTCGATAGATGGTTTCTTCATGGATAAGAATGACTCAGATTGCATCTACCTTGACGATATTATCTTGTGCGACTTCCCCAGCGCAGAGAAACAAGAAGAGCTATGGCTGAACCAATATTACGGGTGAGTTTGTATTTCTTGAAAAGGCCTTTCAATGCCGGGTATTTTCTTGCTCTATTGCTAAATATACATAGTAATTACTCGGTCAACTCCGAGGGAGTCTGCTACCGAACGGAGATAGCTGCGTGTCTAATGTACATGGAAGAGGAGGATTGGAGGAACCACCTGGAGGGATCGACCGAGGGTGTGGATGAGAAGAAGTCAGAGGACATCATCAAGGGGTGGCTGAGGACATATGCCGCGGAGGCAGATGCCACAATGAGCGCACTGCGGAAAGCAATGGAGTCTGGAGGCGTGCCCGAGACACACCATGGGAAGGCAGAATATTTGCTGCGGAGGTGGAAGCAGATCAAGAGTATCTGCGAGAGCGCATCGAGCGCGCTATCTTTGTAACGATTTCTCAATTGCACGACCCCGAAGGGTTGAAAATGAGTTTGTGCAGACTCACGGCGATTCGAATTTGATATGATCATTGTCGATTGATTGAGGCGGCTGTGTGTTCTTCCCTGGTATAGGATTTAGATGGAGACCAGTCAAATGGTGGCTGTCGGTTGACCTGGAGCCGGCATCAATTGGAATTGCTTCAGCTTCCTGGCGATTGTTGATGACTTGTTTGCCATGAATCTGATGTTTTATCATGTAATTCAGCACACATGTGATACCCAATTCTTCGCCACGGCGCACGATGTATCCGTTCAAATATTCGATTTCCGTCCCTTTCCGGCTCCGAACGTCGTGGAGCATCGTACTGGTATTATCTCGGGTTTGATTGAGCACGAAAACGGCCATTCGGCGCAAACGCTCGGGTTCAAATCGATCTTCCAGTCCGGGAACCCCTTGCAATTCAGGAAGAGCCAAAATGACCCTTGAGATCTCGAAGAGAAGTAATCTCATAATGCGGGAGACACTCTCGACATAAAGTAGGTCGCCATTTCGGCAATCATTTATCGCAGTCAATGGTTCAATCACACAGCTGACAGCGAGTTTCTCAAGTTGGTACATGAGAACGTTGGTAGGCGTATTCACAATGGCAGCCAGGCTTGGGGTTAGGGTGAAAAGGCGAGCCAAGTATTTCGTAGAGGGCTCCCAAGTGGTGTCATCCTCTGGCTTCATCAGGGAGACCTCACCCGCTGTGACTGGAGGAGCGATATTCGTCATTCCAACCTTTTTATACTTGACTTGGTACATATCCTTCTTATCCAAACCGTGGCTGAAAACGGCATGGAGGTATTTAGGGCGTACGCTCGGGTTTGTGAAGATGAATCGGTTGAGTCTTTCCACGATACCCAGACCGTTTTGAGTGATCAAGATGGTTGACTTTGACGAGAGGCGGTATGCAAGAGAGCGAATACCTAGAAACGCGTGATTTGACTTGCATGAAACGACTAAGCAATCGATATGATCTTTGGACGATCGGAGCCGAGCTGTTCCCTCCTCTGGTGTAATGCGCTGGCCATTATCTTTGTATTTTTCTCCATAATCACGAGGAAGCTTGAACCATTTGTTTCCTTCAAGTACTTCGATATCGACACCATTCTTGAGCCCATCGCTCAGTCCATCGTACGTGATCGCTAACCTTTTCTTCCTCTGGCGGTATGCTTCGAACATTCCCCAATTTGCCATAAACAAGGTAACTTCGGGCGGAGATTGTCGTTTGGCAAGTGATTGTGCGATAAATGTGCCCACATTTCCAGAGCCGAGGACGTGTACTCGGCCTGACACGAGGGACTCGGAGTCGGCTTCTGGGGCGGTCTCTTCACTCTTTTGTGATGTTGTTGACGAGTATCTGACGAAAACATCCTTCAATCCTGATCGCCGAGCATGATGGCATGTGTCAAGGCACCCGCTGCGCCAAAGCGGGCGAAATCGAAGTGGTTGCAGCACTTTGGCGGAGTTTTCGGGGGAGAGATAGTGTCCCCCGAATATGGCGTGAAGAAGGTCAGAGGGGGAGTGTCGGGGTGAAAATGAGGATTGATGTAATTCGAGACCGTGAAATAATTGCCAGGTATTGCGAAAGGCTTGTCTTTGGAGTGACAAAAGCCAATGCCGTCGAGGAGAAAAAAAAATAGATGATGTCGGAGATGCGACGCGATGCCGCGAATGATCGGAGTCGCTCTTCTCCACCGCCCGCCACCGCCGCCCCAGTTTGCACCGGCCCTAAATTTTTTGATTTTCGCGGATTGTTCTTCCAACACCACATCACCATGGACGCACCAGATTTGATGCCGCTGCTGGAGCAGCTAGAAGACAATGTCGATGATCTTGAAGAGGTTCTTGAACCCGTCCTCGGCCAGTCCCTTGCGAAGTTATCCAAGAATCTGCCCGTGATGGACAGGGCCAAGATCCATGTCTTGATCACTTATACGCTCGAGTCTCTCATCTTCTGTAAGTTTGGATCCAGCTCTTGAATCGAAGTGCTTCAACTAATTTCTTTTTTTAAAGCATACCTGCGCCTCAAGGGTGTTGATGCGAAGCAACACCCAGTATTCCGCGAATTGACCCGCGTGCGGCAATACTTTGAGAAGATCAAGGCCTTGGAAACCGAGCCTGAACAACCCACCATGAAATTGGACAAGGCGGCCGCAGGCAGATTTATTAAACATGGCCTTGTGAGTACCGGCTCCATGCTAGATTAACGCCTGCATGCTCGGACGATGTCATAGCTAACATATAATTTAGGCTGGCAACAATAAGATTGATCTAGAACTCGCAGAGAAGCAAGCCAAGGAGCGTGCACGCGCTCAACTGAAAGCCGCGATGCTAGCCAAGAAGAGTGCCGCAAAGGAAGCGGCCCAGGACTCCGCAGCTACCTCTAGTGCCGTCACTTCTTCTGCCCAGGAGACCGGCGATTCTGACGACGATGACGAAGAAATGGAAGAAGATATGGCCAAGGAAGAAAAACAAATAGAATCAAAGTCCAAACGAAGCAAGAAGGACAAGTCCAAGAAGGGACTCAGCAAAGCGGAACGGAGAGACGAAAAGAAGCAACGGCGCCAAAAGAAGGAGGATGCTCGAAAGGCCCGGAAGGGTCAATAGGGTTTCCTCCTATCTACCTTTCTGTCTTTCTGTTTCCTATGCCTACATGCCTATTTTAAGGGTAGCCGGCAGGAATTCGGAGGGCACTCACCCTGAGGCGGTCCTCGCTATTGTCCTCTGTACTTCCCTAACTTTGTACACCACGACCATTAGATACCCAGCCATGAAGCACTAAATGGAGTTTTGAATTGACCATTGATGTGTCTATATACAAACTGTAGAGATAGAAATTCCCTTTATAAACGATAAATTCGGCATTAAGATACATTATGTGCCTGTTTAATGCTCTGTTCCTGTCTGTTCCTATGCCCGTTAACCCCGGCCCACGTGATGCCATCCTTCCAACCAATCATATTCCACAAAAGTAATTCGCCTGCACTGAGTCAGCCTCTAGTAGCTTCGATTTTCTCCACCCTCGGCTTTGAAGTATTCGTATATCTGTCTCTCCTCCCTTCTCTCCAAACCACCACCACATCAATCAAAATGCCTCGTCAACAACGCCGTGCCGCTCCCACCCCTGCGCGTAGCGCTCCCACTCGCCCTACCGCGGCCCCCGCCCGCCCGGCCGCCGCTCCCCAACAGCAGCAGGCGCCTCACTCGACCGCCGCTCACCAGCCCCAACAACAAGCTCCTATGCAGGCTCCTCCCCAGCAGAGCGCCGGCCCCGGTCTCTTCGGCCAGATGGCTTCCACCGCTGCGTGAGTGACCGCTCCTCTCCTAGCATTAGCCTCATTCCTCTCCTCACTCCCCTTCATTCCACTCCATTCCACTCCGCGCCTCGGCCATACTCGGAGGCACTACCGGAACCCTTCCCGAACATATGTGACTGACTATATTTCTTTCCCAGTGGTGTCGCTGTCGGATCCTCCATCGGCCACGCTATCGGTGGCTTCTTCGGCGGTGGTTCCAGCGCCCCCGCCGAGGCCCAATCCCAGGCTCCTGCCCAGGGCCAGGCCATGGACAACGGTCTGTACCAGAGCAACGCGGCCAACACCTCGTGGGAGAACCCCGCCTGTGAGACCGACGTCCGCAACTTCCGCTCCTGCATGGACGAGAACCAAGGCAACATCAGCATCTGCGGATGGTACCTGGACCAGCTGGTATGTTTTTCTTCCCCGTCTCTTCTCTCCCGGACAGAATTCTAATACGTTTCCTTTTTACAGAAAGCCTGCCAGTCTGCTGCTAAGCCTTACTAAGGGCTTTCCTACCCTGCTAGCATGGACAGGATACTCTTATAAAGCGTGCGATAGAAATCATGCATTCCTTCCTCGTACCGAAATCCCTTTATATGCTTCGGTCATAGGTTGAGCCTGGTTGAATATGATTTCTCTTACAATGCGACTCTGATCTCGTGTTGTTTGTACTTATACCATCTCTGCTCATTGAATCTAATTATCAAATACCCAGGACCCCTGACATATTGGAATGGGTTCATAAGCTATGCATTTCTGTCTTTATTGATCCCATGAGATGAAGTCTGTGCTTTGCAGGGCGTAGTAACCAGGCAATTTATTGAGTTATGATACACACTGTTGCACTTTCGTTATGGTACGATGATAAAGCATCCCAATCGAACCCATGCGATTATAGTAGCAAAAATAGGAGGTAGCGTAAAATGTCCAGTTAAATCACACCGAGTCACTCATCACTCAACGGCTGTTCCCATCTTGATTCCGAGGTTCGAAATTCAACTTTTTGGATGTCAGTATAAATGGGCTCCCCGGTAAAAAGAAAGAAATAAGAGTAATTGACATACCTGATTTCCGTTATAAAACTGGCTATCTCTCCCATCATTCGGTTGGTCATGGAGTGTCCGAATATTCGGTCCTGATGGCCGTCTATTGCGAGAACTATTAGGAGCAGACGTAGAGCTTGAAGACGGCTCCGACTCCGACGGTGGCGGTGGCGGATTCTGACCATACCCAACGAATGAACCGAAAAAGCTGGCAGTCGTGCTTGCAACGGAGTATGCTGTATTGTAGACGGCGGAAATTCCACGAACTGGAAGACTAGAGCCGGCGGCAGAATAGGCCGATGTGAACGATTGAACAGGGACCATGACTAGATTTGCGGTTGAGCCGAGGCCTAACTCTTCGAGTGTTTGTGATTCCTCGCCGACGGAGAGTGTTCGGCTCGGAAGAGGAGTTAGAATGTGCTTCAGGTTGTATGGGCGGTTTTCGTCGGTCATTTGTTGTTGTTGGTCTAGCCAGGACCGCACTTCTTTGCCGATTGTTTGCTTGGGGGTGAATGTTGAGCGGACGGAGCTGCCGTCGAATAGTCGTACTTGGAGACGATATTCCTTCGGGGGTCCTTTAGGGACGGCTGGCTGTTGCTTTGGTTCTTCTTTCGGTTGCTTGGTAGTCTTGGTAGCGGCTGGTTTCGCGGGAGTTCGAGGCTTAGGTTCTTGGCGAGGCTTCTCTTGTTTCGGTTTAGGCTTCTCTGCTTTGTCTTCTTTCCGGGGTAAATGCTTTGATGATGACGAAGACTGCTCAGACTGAGGCTGAGCTTGAGGACGGGATGGTCTTCTTGTAGGTTGCGATACTGGTTGCTGGGTCGGGATAGGAGGCGGAGAAGATGCTGTAGCAGGTGGAGTTGGAGAAGTCGTAGTAGTATCGTTGCTGGTGGATGGAGCACTTGTCTGGGATTGTTGAGCCACAGGAGGTGCATATTTACCCTCTAGGGCAACTTTCAACCGGCTCAAAAAGTCCTCTTTGGATACCTCTGAAGTAATGAACTCTTGCAATGTGCCGTTTCTATAAGCCGTTGTCAGTTTATGTCCGCCTAAGCCAAGTAAGACAATGTGTTTCGAGTGCCACCTACTTGATTACCACAACAGTCGGATAGCTCGAGATTGGACAGAATGACGTTAGGAATCCAGCCTCCTGGGTCCCAGAATTGAGGCGTAAAGTAATTGCTTTATCGGGGAGAGCTTGGGCGATCTGTTCGGGCGATTAGCTACCACACGAAAGACAGGATACTCAAAGGTTCCTATACCTCTGGATCAGAAAAGTAATCATCCTCCCAGGTAGAGCTTATTTCAGTATCATCTGTATCCAAGTCGATTAGCCAAGCTGTCCCAGGTCCAAGGCGATCGATCTCATGATGGCGGGGGGATAGATAACAACCTCGGGCGAAGCAAACAACAGCCTTTGCCTCCTGGACTGCGAGGGCTATGCCCTCCTGAAGTGTTCCAGAATAGAAGAGAGTCATGATCGCATTTCAAAGAAGCAGAGTAAGTGAAGTGAGGTGAAGTGAAGTGAGCAGTATTCCAAGTTGGAGATGTGTACAGAGTAACTGCGGAGAAGGAGAACGGACCGCCTGAGCTCGGGGGAGCCGGCGCGACCGCCTAAGCGCGCGATTCCACTCCGCTCCGAAAGACAAATCTCCCCGTTCGCCTTTCTTTTGCGAATTCACGTTGTCGCGATTTCAATCTCGGCCTCTCTTTCACACATCATGCGTCAATTTTTTTTCGACTTTATTACGGCAGGCCCCTCCGTCTGCTTGGGCACTGCCACCCCGAGCCGGCAACCAGAATGTCGCATGGTCTCTCGATTCGATCTGCTCTAGATGTCGTCTGCAGCAGCACCAGCAGAAACGCCAATTCACACAGTCTCGGCAATTGACAGACAGCCTCTCGGTGGTGGATCACCCGGCCAAGCTTGTCCGAGTGAACCAAAAGCATGGGCCTGGACTGATTATTCTCGGTATGTTTTCTTCAACTTGTGATTCGGGACATCCGCAAATTCATTAAAAAAAAAAAGCAAAGTCAACCCACTAACCCCAGGCTCTTCTTATACAGCTCTAATTCCAATTATTTCATTCGGACTGGGCTGTTGGCAGGTCCATCGATTGGACAGAAAAACCCAGCTCATTGCCAAATTTGAGGACCGTCTTGTCCGACCTCCACTGCCGTTGCCTCCGCGCGTCGACCCTGATGCTATATCTGAATTCGATTACCGCCGCGTTTACGCCACTGGTCACTACAATCATGACAAGGAGATGCTGGTTGGACCTCGTATGCATGACGGTGAAGACGGTTTCCTTGTCGTTACGCCCCTCGAGCGTGGAGATGACCAAAGCACTGTGCTAGTCAACCGCGGTTGGATCTCTAAGAAGCAAATGGCCCAGAAGGACCGGCCGCATGGGCTGCCAAAGGGGGAAGTTACTGTGGAGGGACTACTACGTGAGCCCTGGAAGAAGAACATGTTTACGCCGGAGAATAAGCCCGCGGAAGGGAAGTTTTACTTCCCTGATATTGTGGAGATGGCTGAATTGGCCGGGAGCCAGCCCGTGTGGATTGAGCAGACTATGAGTATGGTCTAACTGCCGTTTGGCTATTCTGATATGTAATCGGGGCTAATTGTCTTTCCAGTGCCCGATCTGCTCCAATATTTGGATTACACGGCGAAAGGTAAACCCATTGGACGCGCAGCCGAAGTTAACCTGCGAAACAACCATGCTCAATACATCTTCACATGGTAAGTCGATCGCACTTTTTTGTGGAGACTGGTCGTTTTCCCCATCTAATCGTTTCCCAGGTTCGGTCTCTCATTTGCTACATCTGTGATGATGTGGATGCTTCTGCGGAAGAAGCCCAATGAGGCTCTGCGTCGTGTTCGCCAGAACCGTAACTGGTGATTTGTACTTGTTCATAGCTTTCCTTGGTGCTTTGTCCCAGGCGTTTGGATTTTTATCCGGTTATTATGGTGTTGGTCGAATCGATCATGGTGGCATAGCGAGTCGCATATCTTGTTGGAGCTCCCTAGGCAAATGCTTCTGGGCCAGTGAAAAGATTGTTGTGGATTTGTTGACGTGGCGTTGTCTATATAAGTCAGCAAAGCAGCTCAAAGCGTCTGGGTCTGGGCCTGGCAACGAACCTCCTCATTAGTGTTGCAACGTCGCTCTCATCAATGGTCTTCCTTCCCGCGTGTTTCGAATATGCAGCCAAGTCCTGGCTTGCTTGCTCGAAATACCATGCAGATGCTTGCTCAATTGCTTCGAGCGCGGCCTTGTTGATCTTTGCCTTTGACCCAGCCTTCGTACCTGAGAAACGCATGGCCAATTTCTTGACGATCCCCTTTGGCAGATTGGGCACAGGAATTCCATGACGGGATATTTTCTTTTCCTTGCTCTGCGGGTTTGGTCCATCATCCCGCAGGCCACCCCGGCAATTCCTGAGTTCACGCTCGAAGAAGGGGCAGGTGGGAAATCAAACCCAAAATCACCGGCGGCATCGGCGTTCTCATCTACTGAAGGCGAGGCTGGCACTGGCTGAATATCACCTGCATCCAACTCGAACCCCTCCGTTTCATCGAGATTGTCTCCCATGTCATCCTCAACTGGCATTGCACCTGGGGATGGGAAATCCATCACAAGATTGAACCGTCCCAGATCCGCCGTTTCTCCACTATTTGTGAATATTAGCCTTCATGTACCATAGACAAATAAAGTTCAAAGATGTTATCAAAACATACCCGCGATCGAAATCGCCTCCGCTGATCATAGTATCTTCCCCACCATCGTCTTCCACAATGCCCGTCTCATCTCCCTCATCGGCGTCACTATCGGACTGATTGTCCTGGAACACATCGCTTGGTCTTCCGAAATTGCGACTCATGATCGACAATCGTTCCTGGTCTCGAATGCTGATATCTCTCCTTGGGTACTCGACGGTGATATCATCATCGTCGAAGGGCAGAGACAAACGAGGCGGACTTCTTGCGGTACTTCCTTCTTCACTTCCCTCGACCTCCTGAATGGGCAGAGTCAACTCGGGTGCCTCGATTTCTGACTCCTCGTCCAACTCCTCAATCTCATCTCTGGGTTTCTGTGGGGGCTTGATCTCTTCTTCGGGAGATGAATGAATTGGTTGAGTCGTGGGGGCAAGCGCTAAAAGACCTATCAGTTTCCCATACCGGAAATATAATGCGGTCAGGATTCTTCGTCACTTTAAACCATACCTCTACCAAGGTTTTTTAATATGTCGAAGGTCGTTTCGCGCTGGATGCGCCCACTCCTGCGCCGGTCACGGCCAGGCGTGTTTGCCGCACGTTGCTGGCGCGCATTCCGGCCGTAGGGCGTAGAAGGCGCTATTGCAGGTCGACCACGAGGTGTGAAACGAGAGACGGACCGCGATGGGGTCGCTGTAGTAGCAAGACGACGGGGTGTGAGTGGATATAGAGTGTGACTTGGAAGGCGTTGAAGCTGTAATTTCAAAAGTCAGCAAGTCAGTAGGTTGACAATTTGCGACACATGAAGCTATGAGCTTACTCCAGACGGGGTCGCACTGGCCGCATCGCGCAGCGACTTGCGGTTACGCGGGTTTGGCGTAGACATCCCCAGGGTTGAAGCCAGGCGTTAGGGATAAGTAAATTTGTCCTCGGTGAGCTTCGATGTGCCACAGCTGTGATTATTCAGAGTATTGAATGTGGGGCATTGTAAATAGAAGGTTGAGGAGGAAGCAGCGCGTCGGGGCTTCCCATGCGGTCGATTGTTATGCCCGCATCCACATTACCCAAAGCGGCTAGCCTATATATCTTATCGATAAGAAATGCTGACTAACATCTGCGCGTTTTCGAAGCCTTTTCTTTTTTTGAAGATATCGACACTCGACTTGCTCTAATTACTACAATTAGAGGACATTAAGTGGTCAATCAAAATTGAACGATCACTACATACCGACAAGATGTCCGACTCAGTTCCCAAGAAGGGTCTCTCCGACAAGCTGGAGAAGAAGCGCAAGAGACAAGCCGACGAACCGACCAAAGATGCCCCAAAGACCGAGGCGCAGCCCGCATCGGCGACGGAGGGCCTCAGCAAGAGGCAGAAAAAGCTCCAGAAGAGCAGGAAGAAGCAGCCTGAGCAGGACCTGACGTCGCAGGATCGCGAGAATGGCATCGACAAGTCAATTGGGAAGATGGATGGATCGCTGCTGGGTGATTACTTTGCCCAGCGCGCAAAGAAGTTGGACAAGGAGCTCTCAGCTGTGGAGCTCAGTGACCTCTCGATTCCTGGTATGTAATTTTGCGAGAGATCTATGTGCTTGGCGAGTCGCGCAGGTGATTAACGATAGGCAGAATCCGCTTTCCTCGATACTACTTCCTTCGATCAGACCCGCTCGTTGGAGCAATTGCCCGCTTTCCTCAAGAAATTTAGCCCCAAGGGAGCTGATTTGTCTAAGTCTTCGACAAAGGAGGGTACTCCTCATACGCTTGTGGTGTCGGCTGCTGCCCTCAGGGCTGCGGATGTTGTGAGGTGAGAATATATCCGATGGCAACGAACAGAGGAATCACCATACTAACGACCGAAACCAGAGCCCTCCGCCCCTTCCAGACCAAGGAGTCGATTGTCGGAAAGTTGTTCGCCAAACACATTAAGCTGGAGGAGGCCAAGCAATTCCTCCAACGCGCTCGGTACAGTCTCATACGGATTCCGCTCCCAACAATACAACTCAAACTAACTTCTGCGTCTAGGACTGGTATCGGTGCTGGTACACCTCAAAGACTGTCCGATCTTCTGGAGTCTGGTAAGTTTTAATCTGACAATGAATGATCCAGCACATACTAATTTGACCTCTGCTAGGAACTCTCAAGGTGGATGAATTAGAGCGCATTGTCATCGACGGATCCCACATCGACGCAAAGCAGCGTGGACTCTTCGATATGAAGGATACACATCTGCCTCTCCTGAAGCTTCTGACTCGACCGGAGCTTAAGGACCGATATGGGGCTTCGAAGAAGAAGATCCAAATCCTGATGTTTTAATTTTACGAGCGATTACAAAAGTTTCTGCCATTAGAGAATATGTCAACTCAATGTATACTTATACTTATCTATTATCATACCCTCTTTTCTTCATCAACGACAATCCTGAACCCATTCCCTCTCCAAAATCCGTCCGGCTCTAGACTTCCCCGATAAGTGCCACAAGCCTTCTCCTTCCCACTCGAGAAACACCCTCCTCTTAACACCCGGCGAATGGACCCAGGTGCATCCAACGCCTCACGTCCATCATCCTCTCGCCACGGATATTGGAACGATGGCGTATTCATGTTCTCGCCCCACAGCGTGGTACACCACTCCCACACATTCCCAGCCATGTCGTAGCATCCATAGGGGGGATCGACCGGATGGGAAAAGGCCAACTGTACAGGTAGTATTGAGACCTGTTTCCTCAGAGTTCGCTGCGTTTTTCAGCCAGGCAGTTTCCCAGGGATAAATTGGGTCTGTCCCTGTTGGAGAAGCCGAGTTGGAGGAGCTTTTTATATCCCCGGTTGCAGCACGCTCCCATTCCGGTTCTGTAGGAAGACGGACAAGTTCTGTCGAACTTATAGTTCCATCTACCCTCCAACGATCTGTTAGCCAGACACAGTAAGCCCTTGCATCATGCCAGGTCAGATCTGTTGCTGGGGCATTTCGACGTTCAGGATCGAGCCCATCGGGACTGGGCCAGTGTCGACCAGTCTCTTGCACGAATGTTGTATATTCCTGGTTAACAACGGGGTAGATGCCGATTCTGAAGCTGGGCAGTGTCAAGCTTGACTCAGGTTGAGAGTTCGGATGACTGTTCGAGCCGAAGATGAATGTCCCTGCTGGTATATAGGCGAGGGCTGCATAGTTTCGTGGGTCGCCGAGGCGTGAGAGGAATCTACCCGCGCTTTGGCGCTCACCGATTGATAGTGTTGCGTTTTTAATTATTGCGAGCAAATGAGTTGATATTTCCGACTTTAGAAATCTAGATTCTGTTGTAAGGCCTGATAGAAGTAGGGCACCGCGCTGGGCTTGAGGCCTGTTATCTCGGATGAGGGCTTTCGCAAGGTCATTGGTCTTGTTTCTAGAGGAGGCCGAGAGTCGATTGATAACACTCTTCATGACCGGCTCGACTGCTAGGGGGTTGATTTGATAGAAATCCGCTGTCAATTCCACAGAAAGCATAGCCAAGTGCCGAGCAGCCAGTACGTTTTGGATGGCACGAACAGTCAATAGATGGTGTTTGGGCTGTATAACTGACATGCCACCCTGGATATCTGGGGCATTGTTGCTGATCATCCGTTCAAAAATATCTCTTGAAAGCTTGTCTGCGGCGGCTGCGGATGTTGTGAAAGCAGAAAGCCATGAATCAACAACTTCTTCCGCATTCTCGCCTAGTTCTTTTACTTGAAGTGCAATTGCGAAGATAGCTGGATTCGATGCTGCGGTTCCAATCGCAACAGTAACCGATGATGCTTTCACCCCAAAGAGTCCAGCGATTGATTCCTTTCTCTGGGTTTCTAGAAGGGGAAGCAGGTTATGACGAGAAATTCCAGACGGGAGTGCCCAAACTCGCGAAATATTTATGTCGCTCAGGACGAGGAGTCGGATGTAAGAAAGGCCTTCAGCGAGAGCGATGAGCTGCTCCAGTAGAACAGGTGCCTCATCCCCTGCATTCTCGATTGAATCAACCACAATCAATAGCTCTTCTGCCTTGGCTAATGATTGTGAGAGGCTAGTTGTTGCCGTAATAACCAAATCTCGCAGGGTGTCAGAAGTCTCTTGAATGCCGAAATAACAGGGAATAACTGTGGCGGCACTCCATCTTTCCTCAAGAATATATCCAAAATCATTGCGAGCGATTAAACGAGATTTTTTTTCACTTGAACTTGCCAACTGAAAGCAAAGATGTCTTGCAAAAGTAGTTTTACCACTTCCACTAGGACCCGCCAGGAAAAGAATCCGATTATCGCGCACTACTTCCAGTGCGGAGAAGAAGACGGGGGGCTCGGGCTTATCCCTGGCCGAGCGTTTTCGGAGACCTTTGGCAGCCTTATCCTCAAATGTGAAATCTGTAAGAAGTGGAATATAACCATCTTTCAAGCTAAGAGAGGCCCCATCAGGTAATGTCAGAAGTTGTTGGCCACCGAAGCCTGTAGCTCTAGCTGTCAATGTTGCGATATCCATGAGGAGATATCTAGGGCTGAAATGCGCTTCAGCAAAGGCGTGTTTACGTCTTTTTTTCGTTTTTGTTTATTTTTGGAGGTAGTAAGGAATGTCCTGGAAAGTTGAATTTATGTCGTATATTGTGGCATTCGTGGCGTGCTATACTAGCCGGAGATTAAAAAACAGGCATCTGGGAGAATAAAGGTGGGCCTCCGGATCCTCCATACCGTTTCTTACCTTTCCAACTACGTCTCGGCACATTTAAATCTGCTGCTATAATCAGCTCAGCTTGAAAATAATAGATCTCATTTATCAAATTATCCCAAACGATCGTGAAAGAATAGAAAATGCCAATCACAACAAACTTCTCCCTTCCTGCCTCTGCCGATCTTCTAGATCTTCCCAACTCCGTCTTTTTCATTTCATTCCACGCCTCTCCTGATCCAAAAACTGGGGTGCCTTGGTGCCCTGATGTTGTTGCCGCGATCCCATATCTCCGGGAGACCTTCGCTGCTCAGAACGTACCAGAGGTGGCCTTTATCGATGTTGGAGAGCGACCTGAGTTCGTTCAGAATCCCAGAAAATTTCTCATATTAGCCGACTAACCTTTTTTTGTAGATGGAAGAACCTTTCAAATGTTTACCGAACAAAATGGAAAATTACCAATGTCCCTACTCTAGTTAGATATGAGCGTGTTGGTGGGAAAGTGAAGGAGGTTGGCCGCTTGGTTGAGGGAGAAATTCTAGATCGAGCGAGACTCAACAGATTTGTTGGCAATAGAGAGGCTCAGATTTAAAGATTCAGTATTATTTTGTTTCGAGTACAAATAGACAAAGTAGCTAGACCTTTTTCAAACCCAAATATTCATTTCTCTTCTTCTCATGCTAGACTACTTCAATTCGCTTGAATCCTCCGAGGCAGCCTCAACACCCACACCTCCCTTCTGAGATTCCTTTTGCCTGTTGAGATTCTTTAGCTTCCATGAACATGAAGATGCCGTGAGTACTACGACAAGATTAAACTCACTCGTCTCTTCTATACAGAAACCACAGCAACGTCACACTAATGACAGCGAGACCCCCGAATATTATGAGAATCTGGTAGCCATATTCGTACTGTGGAGCATCGTAAGTCGGAAACAGAACCACTATTTGTCTCATCAGCGAAAAGCACAATCAAACATTCGCACCTGGTGCTCAACTTACATGGTACCCAAAGCACCCACGCATAAGAAACAACATTTGCAGTAGCGACGAGTAACTGTCTCAAGTTTGGATCATTCGCATTGAGCTTTGTTGCCCATGCCTATAACATCAGGAGTCAGTCATGTTGAGCCCCCAAAAAGAAGAGAAAGATAAAATGAAGGGTGATGGGGTGATGAGGAAAGATTCCGTACAATAAGGACCGGAGTGGCAGCGGATCCTGCATAAGACAAATAATACGCAAACATCAGTGCACCCTTGGGAATATGCCAGATTGCCAAGAGGATGTTTGAAAGTATCATCGCGAGTTGAAGGCCTGTGATGAGCGAGTAAAATTGCCCCGTTCTATCGGCCAGGATACCCCAAGTAATTGTTACCACAATGGCCAAGGCGTTTCCTCCAGTAGGGAGAGTATTCACTTTCGTCACGCTATATCCGGCTGCTTTGAGCCAAAGGTTGAAATAACTGGTCGCTGTATGACAAGCAGCGACCATCCTGTATTGCCAACACGGTTAGTTGCCGCTTGGTTCATCTGAGTAGATATTAGAAACGCACGTATATGGAACCACAAAGGCCCAAATCTTCCATCCCAGAAAAATGCGCTTCATCTCAGCCCACGTAAGCTTGGGTTGAGCCGTATGTCCGAATTTCTCGATTCGCTCAATACCATAGCGGATATGCTAAGACCATTATAGATACAAGATTAGCAGTTGGAGACACAAGTAGATGTAATTGCAGAAAATTCACCTTTTCAGACCAATAAAATGCCCTCGTTGTATGGGGCGTGTCTGGTAGCCCAAAGAATCCCCATATTGCCACAGGAAGGGAAATAATCGCATCCATCACAAACAACCATCTCCAGCCGGCAATACCGGCTCTGCCATCCATGCTAGAATGCAGCCCTGCCTGAAGATAGCCACTGAACATGCTCGCGATGGATTCAATCTCTAGCAAGATTGCGGTGCGTTTAGCCAATTCTTTCGGTCCATACCAACTTCCTAGCATAGCCACGTATCCAGGAAACGCGCAGGCTTCGAATAAACCAATGAAAAAGCGTAGAGCGTAAATCGTTTTGATGTTTTTCGAGAACCCAATTCCAATCACCAGGCCTGACCAGATGAGCTCACAGCATGGGATTAGGATAGACGGGCGGATGAATGTTAGTTGTGTCATTTGTGCGGGCACGCTTCCGACCATTATACCCAGGCTGAACCAGGTGTTTATCCAATTTCTCTCATTTCCATATAGACTAAAATCTTCTTGCATACCAGAAACGAATGCATTGCCTGTTGAAGTGTCTTCAATGGATGTAAATTCCGGTTGTGAATGGATATTTGACTTACTGTAGTTTGTCTGATCGAGATATTTGATGAAGTAGCCGAGACATACTGTTGGGCTGCAATGCTAGTATTAGTGGCGAGTCGCAGAAGAAAGCCAATCTAGGATAATTCGGGATGTCGTACAAAAATATCAAATCCAATCTTTGCACATATCGGCGATACTCTTCGTCGCCCTCTGCGGTGTCCCAAACAAACCCGAGAATCTTGCGCCACTTGGGTGTAGGCGAACTATGGGTTTCGCAAGAGTTTGATTCTTGTCCGTGCTTGGGAGAATCAGATATATTCTGATCATGAGAGTTCCCTTTATCGCAAGATGTTGTCTCCAATACATCTGCAGGAAAGATTTCATTTTCCGCTCCCGTTATTTCAGTTTTACTCCCCATACTGCCACCAAACAGAATTAGTGTGATTGAGAATTGGAAGAAGACGATAGCAGAGAGGAACAGCTCGGATCTCTGACTCTTGTACCTATTAATCTGATTTTATTAAGAGCAAATGCGTCTCGAACCTGGCCTAGAATTGATCCACTATCTCGTAGACTGTCTTGGTAGTCGTGCGCTACCGTGAACCGCCTATGACATAGCGACTTCGAATCATACAACAATTTTGAGGGGATATGTCGTGATGTATCGCCCGCTACCTTGTACCTTGGCTGTCGATTGGATTATCCACTAGCGCGATATCGGGATTTGTTTTACAAGCATCATATCTACCCCACATGGCGAATAATGAATCATGCGGCTTGGATAGAAATACTCCGAGGACTTAAGGTACCATTGGATTGCATTGAGTCAGGAACAAATGTCAAGGGCTTGGTTCCATGATCTTGGTAGTTTTTCGTTATTGGCGGCATTTATTGCGATACTCCGTGAGCCCTACCAGATGGCCGAGTCGCGTTCTAAAGGAACGGACTTCAATCCGATGGCCACTGGAGTATGGTTCAAATATGGGACCAGTCCATTGATACGGTTTATTTTACACTTCACGGCTAGTCAGGCTGCTCAATAACACCAAAATCCTCACGATGGCGCAACGAACAACTCTTCGCATAGTCCTGGAAAACGTGGATTTCCGCCTTCCCACCCAGGTGACAGATGACAACAGCGTCGTCGCTCTGAAGAGCCTTGTCTTTGAGCCTTTATTGCGATGGCAACCACACGGAGCTGTGAAACCCGGTTTATTCGACCACTGGACTCACTCGCCAGATGGGAAAACATGGAATTTCCATATCCGCGACAGTGCTATCTTTCATGATAGGAAGATCTGTACAGCCGAAGATATTGTGGAGTATATTCACGGCATTCTTGACTCTCGAGATTACTTCGGGATGCTTTGGAGCTATAGCCGATATTTTAAGAATACCAAATTCAATGCAGTGGATGAGAGAACGGTGAAGGTTGAGAATCCGGATCCAATTGCAGATATTCTTGATATTTTCTGTGAATTCTGGCCATCCAAGATCGCGGGTGATGGAAAGCCGGTTCTGGGAACGGGTCCGTATAGGGTTACGGAATTCGAGAGGGCGAACGGAATTGGAAGAGCCAAATTGGAGCGTGTAGGCTCGACCAGCTCTGTGCCCGACATTATCATAGCCATACATGAACCAGATGGATATAAAAGACTTCTGGCTCTGAGAAATTCCGAGGTGGATGTGGCTCTGAACCTAGAAAGGGCGAATAACCTGAATCTCTTAGACCTCGACGATACTAGTATTCGATGGGGTCGCACGCCAAGCACTTTATCAGCAATTTACTATCTCAACTGTACGGCGGGGATATTCCAGTCTTCAGATGCTCGTCTTGCCGCTAATCTGGCTATCGATCGAAGGAAACTGGTAAATGAAGTTTATCAAGACTTCGCGACTCCCTCCGCCACCATTGTGAGCCCCTTCCATCTTGGGTTTACTGAGGCGGGACTAGAGCCGTTCCCATATGACCAATCTAGGGCTCGAGCCTTGTTCGAGGCACTAAGTCCTAGTACGAGCAGGGCAATCAATCTTCGCACGCCGGAGTATATGCCAGAACACGCCCAGAAAATCTCTAGCTTCGTTGCATCTTCGCTCGAGGCGGTGGGCTTCAAAGTTACCATCGAGGTTGAGAGAAATCGCCCCGAATATGCACGGCAAATTGGATTGCACAAGCAGATTGGTGATCTTGCACTTTTTGATTCAACGCCAAACAGCACGTTTCGAGTTCTTGATGATAAGATCTCGAGCGAATCTCACAATACGTGGTGGCTGGGATATCATGATGAAGAGGTCCAGAGGTTGTTTGGGGAGGCGAGACAAAACGTGAATAGGGATGATCGGGCCCATGGCTATGCAAAATGCTTGAGAAGGTTGCAGGAGAATCCACCATGGTTGTATATTGCTCATCCACACGTGGTTTGGGCCACGAGTGTTGGTTTGGAAGTGGGAATAAACATCGGTCCATCTGGGGTGCTCACTCTGAGTAGTGTTTGATAATTCTTATAAATGAAAATTGTCAATGAGCTGAATTGATTTGTCGCCATTCTTCGTAATGTTTAACAGAGGATAGGATCGTAAGTAGGTGATAATTGGGGATGTCTGTTGAACGGGCGGATTCGGCCGAATTCGACCGAGATGTCAGCCGACCTCGACCGACTGCAAACCAACGCGCTGCTTCCCCGAAACTGGACATCACAACATCCGGCTATATTGACAAAAGTATGACAAGTTCAATGCCTGAAGAACATCCCCGGAAAAGACTCCGTAAAGGAACAAAGAGTTGCTGTGAATGTAAGCGCCCGCGCCCCGCAACCAGCAAAGACTGAGAGTGACAATTGAGCAGGTAAGCGGAGAAAGATCAAGTGCATCCCATCTCCGGATTCCTCTATCTGCTCGGGCTGTCTCGAAAGAAGCACTTCTTGTCTTAGTCAGGAGCATGAGCGTGATGATCTATCACATCATAGAGAGGATTCAGCGATGGCTCGCCGGATGGTCAGGGTGGAGTCATTACTGGAAGCACTGATAGAAAGAGCACCTTGGGCCCAAGTCAGCGGTATGACTCCTGCGTCAATTACGATAACAGAAAGCGAGTCACTGCATGCCCTTGCGCCCTTTCCGAATGCCCCAGAACCACAGACCGAAATTGAACCTCGAGCAGGGAAACTTGATCTTCTGCGTAAACAACTGACAAACATGCTACCCTGTCAAGCGGACGTGGACTTTCTACTGTCTTCAAGCCACGGGTGGTGGCTAATCCAGCAACATATGATGGTCCATCTTCCGAATTCGATTGAAAATGACTTCCAAGGATTGTTCAATGTCAACGCCGTCGCGAAGGGGCATCCGATTACAATAGCGAAACTACTTCTATGCGTTGCGATCTGCATCCAGCAGCTTGCACCTGAGATTGACATGAGCAAATTGCAAATGAAATCACCGCCGCGAGAAATAATGAATAATATTGTTGACTTTCTCATCCGAAACGTCACCTCTGATGACGACATTACTGGAAGTATTGAGGGGGTCGAATACCTTGCACTCCAGGGAGTATATGAGGTCAATGCTGGCAATCTTCGAAAGTCATGGCTTTCATTTCGCAAAGCTCTTGCAATATCTGCGCTTTTGGGTCTACACAGAGTGGCTGTCAGAACATCCAAAGAATCGCCCGATTTAAAGGAGACCAAACGACATTATCTATTGTATCAAGTTTCAAGAGGGGTACGTCAATCCCCTGAATTTGCATAGAACAATGCTTACACCTATTAGGAGCGTTATCTCTCTACGCTTCTCGGTGTACCCTCGGGTACAGGCTCAGGGATGCTCCCTTTCGACGACACCGCCGATTGGCTCTCCCCGGAAGATCGCTATCACAAGCATCTCTACGATATAGCGGGGCTCATTCTTGCTCGCAACCAAGAGGACTACACTCATTCCTTCTCTACCACTCAAATAATTGGCGAAAAAACTTGAGGCTCTCGCAGAACAAATGCCGTCAACCTGGTGGGAAATCCCTACCAATATTCCTCAAAGCCGCACCCAAGAAGCATCTACTCAATTCGAGCGAGTAATGTGTCAAATATGGCACTTCGAGCTATCGACACTGCTACATCTTCCCTTTATGTTACGTGCAGCAAATAGCCGACGATACGAATATTCGCGTATCTCTTGTCTGGATGCCTGTCGGAACCTAATCAAGAGATGGGTGTCCATTCGCGAGACCAATAGCACTTTCTATATCTCCAACCTCCTTGATTTTGAAGCTTTCACGGCGGCAACCACTCTATTATTGGGGCTCTTGGTCTCCCATGGAGATAAGATTCAAGATACATCACAAGAACGAGACGAAGATTCTGAACTTATGGAGATGGTTGTTCGGAACTTCGAAAGGCTTAAGCGACATGGTTCTCGGGAGTCCGTTGGCGATCAGAGCATTTTAGTTATTCGCACACTTCAAGGGTTTCTTCGTGGTGAAAGTTCGTCTGGTAACCTGCGTCTAGAGATCCCGTTCTTCGGAATTATCAAGGTTGCACTCAACGGCACCGTAGAACCATTGGCAGGTGAGCGGATCCTCGGAGCAAACGCTGGTCACAACAATTTTTATACTCGATCTGAACCAAGAGCCATATTTTCTTTCATGGCGAAAGAAAATTGCACGCCGGATTTGGCGTCTTGGTCGGGAAAAAAAGGAGTCGAGCAGAGAGTTGCAGCAGAGGGGGGTTCTGCTAACCATGTCGCGGGAGGGCCTGATACTATTTTGCAGCTCTCTGGTGGCCACTTCCAACTTCCTGAATCATCCGACATGCAAGAGAGCCTTGACGCTAGAGAATGGTCATTTTCACCAGAAGATATGATTTTCTTCGACAGTTTGGTGAATACGGATGTGGTGGGCAACTGGACACTGTGATCTATGCCCCACGGAAGCTTAAAGCCGCATTGATAGAGTTACTCTGGACAAACTAAAACTACCATGTCGTCATCCCGTATACGATTAAATGAATCAAAAACATTTATTAGGTATGTTTTGTCTATTATAGTCTTAGTAAATCCCGGGAAACAGGGTCAGCGTAGATTTCTGTGCAATCAGTCTACATACTCACCGGCATCTTCGGCCGAATATCTCCGACACCTGTACTAGTAGAAGGAGAACGGCGGAGGGACGGCGGAATAGGATCGGATTCATACTAGAGACAAACTGAGACCATTTCTTATAAAAAGCTAGGTTCCGACCCAAAACATCAATCATTCCAACCAGCCTTCCATTCCACAATTTCTTACACAATTCCAGTCTAAACAATTCTCAACCCCCCCCCCCCCCAAGAACACCATGGCCATCAAACAAGATACCACCGCTATTACCGCCGCCGCCGAGGTTCACATAGTCTCTTATGTCGCCGATTTCACCTCGCCTACCTTCAAAACCTCCATCGAGCGCGCTACAAAAATGGCCACCTACTATCTTCCAACCATCTCTTTCTTTGCAAGTGGTTCCATTACTCAACTTTCCGACCCATCGCATTATGTGTCGCTTATTTCTGGGCCTCTTGATAAGTTGGATGGTTTTGAGCCGAAAGTGACTGGACACAAAGTCGAGGCCGTGGGTGAGAACTCTGCAATTATATGGCTGTTCTTGGATATCGACGGGAATGAGATGTCGAATGTCTACTTCTTTAGGAGGATGCATGATGGAACTGGAGGGTTTGAAGGTGGTATTTTTGATGGAGAGATGTGGATGTTGAAGCAGCTGGGGAAGGAGTAATTTGATGGCTGTTGATGTACGCAACCGTCACTGGAAGTGTTTGTTAAGAAGTTTGAGGACTCGGTTCAGATGGCCAGAACCTCCTCGATTTATTACTAGCTGGGTGACATATTGTATAGGTTTTCAAATATCAAGAATTTGTTCCTTGGTAGTATTATCCAGAGGCTCTTTGACCATGTGTCCCATTCCATCTCTAAGAATCCTCATCACTCAACTGCAAGATTCTCTCGAAATCATAACCATCATCCTCCACATAAACCCTATTCCTCCCAACCAAAAGCTTGCAAATCTTCACATTGCAATTTTGAGCCGCAATAAAGAGCGGAATTTGACCCTCGCTATCCCTACTCTTTATATCCGAGCCATGACCCAGTAAAACTTTCACAATCTCCTCGTGATTATTCCGAACAGCCCATGAAAGCGGCGTACGGGATTCTATATCCTTAGCATCAATTTGTGACGGGTCTCTTTGCGATGCCTGCCCGCATAAATACTTCACAACCTCTAAGTGACCCCGCATGGCTGCCCATATCAATGGAGTACGCTCAGAAGTGTCGCGAGGAAATGGGTCGGCCCCATCTTCTGTCAAAATCTTGACTACCTCCACCTGGTCGGTCATAGATGCCCAGCAGAGAGACGTTCTGCCTTGTCGATCTTTGTGATCTATCTCGGCCTTACTCCTGTGCTCAAGTAGAAGGCGCACGGCGGTCTTGTTTCCCTTCTTGGATGCCCAGCATAAAGGTTGTTGGCCATTTTCGTCGACGAGATTTGGGTTCATTTCGTTCATTGCTAGCAGTGTTTTGATTACTGGATCGTGCCCTGAAAGGACTGCCCAGGTCAGTGGAGAGTAGCCATTTTGATCTCGACAGTTTGGGTCTGCACCATGCTTAGCAAGATCTTCCATGATCTCAACATGCCCGTTTGCCGCTGCTTCTAGAAATGGGGTCTGTCCATGTTTGTTTCGGACATCTACTTCGATGTCCTTGTGCGAAAGAAGTAGCTTGAGCATCGATAGATCCCCTTTCTGCGCTACATACCCCAATGGAGTCTGTCGGTTTGCATGATCTCGACAATTGACCTCGATATCATGTCGTTCCAGGAGAGTGGTCACAAATTGCGGTTGCTGGCAGGCTACAGCCCACCATAGAGGGGGTTTGCCCAATTTATCATGACAGTTAGGTCCGATTGCCTCAAGTAATCTCCTAAACGTATCCTCATTTCCCAACCGGATAGCATTTGAAAGCTTGCTTGCCGTATCGGGAGATGATTCCAGTTCATCATTTTCCACCAGTGGGTTTGGAATGCTCATTATATCTGAAGCCGAAGTCTGAATGATTTCTTCTAGGAATGCCGGGTCTCGCTGTCCTTCATTCACTAAAAGTTGGCGTACTAGAGTTCGGGTTTCCTTTGCGTTCAGTGGTCGGGATCGCTCATGGGCCTGGAGTTCTAGAAACTCCTCTGCTAGATCCTTCCTTTGTTGAGCCCAGGATCCCCTCACAATATCTGCTACAGCAACGAAAATGCTTGCGATGCCGGTGAATAGGGAAATCATTTGACCGCTTGAAGTCGCGATACTCTCTGTAGTGAGATGATTTGCCTGTAACATCCTCTCCACAGAGACAATAGCAATAAGTGGGCCCAGAAGGTTGATGATAGCCCAATGGGTAAACTTGACCAAACCACTGAAATTCGTCGGTGCTTTGCTGAGTTGAGGTCGTAGAATGCTTTCGGTAGATGACGTTTTGATTCGGTACGTATACCGTGAGTGTGAAGGATCGAGGTCGATCCTCCGGGCTGAGGCGAACTGGAAAATCCGGGCTAAACGTATCCCAATTTGGTTCACCCGTCTCACTGGGCCTTTATTGAGGCCCGGCAATAGATCCGTTAGGTGAACAACAAAGAAAGCGATAAATAATATACCCGTGATGGCGCTGATTGCAGCCGCAAATCGACGCCACGGGGTACTCATCAACGGGAAAAGACCTAAGCAAGCTGCCTTTGCTGGACATGTGGGTGACTCGACCTGATAAACGCCCTGAATCCAAAACCAAACGCCAAAAACACTGATCAGGGCACATAGGAAATTTTGCGCAACGAGCGGGAAATCGGGACGTAGTAAATATCCCTGCTCGTTACCGGCTGCGTCGCGCTTTTTCAAGAGATTGTATGATTCGGAGTAGAATAATGCAATGGTGAGATAGTAGACCAGGAGGAAGTCCAGGGATAATGCGGAGCCCTTGGCTTGTCCAATGATCATGGTGACAATAATCGCATAGCAAATCGCATTATTTACAACGCGTACGGCTGATATTGTTTTCCAGGATCCATTCCAGTTGCGGAGAAGAAATCCAGCAGCCCATTGTAGATAAAGACCGGTTCGGACGCCAACACCGTATAGATCGCCGTTGCCTTCTGTGGTACAGTCCATAGCTCTGGGGAGCTTGGATGGCCTGGCGAGAAGAGCAGAGACGTGGACTCCCCCTCTGCCCCCACTGTACTTTATATTTCAAGTCCCCCTGGGACGTCTAAATAATATGCAGGGATGCCTTACGGTGCCTGACAACTAAACGGACTAAGCCGTTTATAGCCCGGGTGTTTCAGAAACTCTAGATCCAAGAAGTGAATAACCTGATGGTCTCCATCCGATCATCATCCACTATAATCCAATCCAAGGCATTGAGGTATAGAGATGACGATAAAATAGAATTAAATAATTTCCCCATCCGGTAAGGTTCGAGGTTACTACCAAATCGGGAATGGAGCAGCGATGGCGCTTCACCGCCTTTCCATGAAAACGGCAAAATCCAAATTTCTCGCAGGTCTCCGCCTAAATTTTTCGGAGCGAATTTTGGAACTTGCGACAAAAGCTACAAACTTCCATAACCCCCAGTCAATCACCCACACCCATACATACACACACAATTACAATGGGCGATAAGCGCAAGCTCGAGAACCCGGCTGATGCCGTTGTGCCTGAGGGCAAGAAGATGAAGAAGGAGAAGAAGGAAAAGAAGGAAAGAAAGAGAAGAAGGAGAAGAAGGATGAGGTTGCTGAGGTTGCGCCTGTTGAGACTACCGAGGTGAAGGAGAAGAAGGAAAAGAAGGACAAGAAGGAGAAGAAGGACAAGTCTGACAAGAAGGAGAAGAAGGATAAATCCGACAAGAAGGAAAAGAAGGAAAAGCGCAAGGCCGAGGACGAGGCTGAGACCGAGTCACCCGCCGACAAGATGGACGTCGACGAGGAGACCACCGAGAAGAAGGAAAAGAAGGAAAAGAAAGAAAAGAAGGACAAGAAGAACAAGAAGCAAAAAACCGACGAAACTGCTGCCCCCGAGGAGCAAGAGCAAGAGCAAGAGCAAGAGCAAGAGGAAGCTGTCCAGGGCAAGAACTCTCGCTTCATCTGCTTCGTCGGTAAGTAACACATAACCCAACGACAACAGTTAAACCCGAATGAAACCGGAAAACTAAAATTGAACAGGCAACCTGCCCTACTCCGCCAACCACGAATCCCTCACCAAGCACTTCGAAAAGAACCCACCAGCCCTAGTCCGCGTCGCAACCAAGAAAGAAGCTCCCAGCAAGTGCCGCGGTTTCGCCTTCATCGAGTTCGACAACTACGACCGCATGAAGACCTGCCTGAAGCTGTACCATCACTCCATGTTCGATGATGGAAAGTACCCTCCTCGCCGCATGAACGTCGAGCTAACGTGAGTTTCTTCCAATCCGATCCAAACCAAACCCACCCACGATGCTCTATTCTATTCGGGTCGTCCCCCAATCATATTTACTATATGCTAACTTGTTTCAAAAACACCCAGTGCCGGTGGCGGAGGCAACACAGACAGCCGCAAAGCCAAAATCCAAGCGAAGAACGAAAAACTGAACGACGAGCGCCAACGCGACGCCAAGAAGATCAAAACAGACAAGAAGAAGCACGACAAGCCTGCCGGTCGTACCGGTGCTAATGCCGAAGTTGCTGCGACCCCCGCTGCCAACGGTGATGATGATAAGTATGCTGGTGTGCACCCCAGTCGCAGACCGCAGCAGATGTGGTAAATGTTATTATTGCACATCTCATCCATCTTTGAAAAAATTTGCTTTTACTTTTGATATCTGTCGTTGTTTATGATTGGTTTTGGTTTTTTTTTATTCTTGGCTGCGCTGGCACTGGCACTGGCATTGTCTTGTTATTGTTTTGATGACCCACATAGAACGCTGCTTTATGGCCTGCATGTACAGTCTGTTTTCTTTAGGGCCCGCGCGCCGATCACTACCCAAGTACAAGTACTACTGTATAACTATAGTACATGCAGTATGTAAATGACTGGTTGTTGGAAACTATAAAACCCCGCCCTACTGGTACGATGATTGTGATCTCCGAAATACTAGTATACTCTGTACTCAGTGAGACGAAGTTCAAGTTCATGGCACGAAGTATTCTCCGATTCAACCGTAGCCCCAAATGGATACTTGCGCAAATTTTTTGAAAAAATCTATCAGTACGATGGCTCTAGAATCATGGGGAGAGAGAGGGAGATGGAGAAATGGAGAAAAGGTCGGAAGAAAGATGAAGCAAAGAGAAAAAGAAAAACTCCCGATTGCAAAGAAAATAAGATGGGACAATCATTCAGACAGATAAGCTGACAACTTTGGAAATCAAATCAAAACACGGAGGATATCGCAGCGGGACATGTGGTAGATGGATGCTTGGAATGAGCAAAATGATGTATTTGCCCAGCGTTCACTTCAGACGGGACAGTTGGAACTGGAGGTGGATGGATGGATGGAAGAAGGTATTGCTTCCTTCGTGTGGGTCGTGAGGATGGTATGGTGCTGGAGGTAAAGTTCATCGAGAGAGACAGATAGAGAAACGAGAGAGTATGTGGGCAAAGAAAGAGCCCGATTTCCACCCCCCTCGTACACGTCCGGGACGCCGTATTAACTATATATTAATCGTTATAGCAGACGTAAAGAAGAGTGCACGGAAGACAATATCCTACAGGATCTTGCATTTGTTCTTTCGCCCAGACTTGGCTGCGGGGCGGGGGTTCAGGACGGCGCTGGGATAACGTTAGCGATGGTTCAAGATCATGCTTGCATCTGATGCAGTCAAAGATGGGGTGGATTTACCGGATGGCTTCGTCGAAAACACTCTTCAGATTACGCTGTGTCAGGGCGGAACATTCCAGGTACTTGTGTGCTCGGATTTCCTTGGCCACGCCCAGGGCCTGCTCGTATGAGACGGGCTCCATCTTGCGGGATCGGAGGGCTTCGGTGGTTGCGCGGTCGTCGCGGAGATCGAGCTTTGTGCCGACCAGGATGATGGGAACGTTGGGGGCGTGGTGTTCGATCTCGGGGAACCACTGGAAGAAGAGGTTAGTCATTGTTTACCTCGAAAGTTCAAAGAGAGAGATAAGCAAGAACGCAAGCCCCAAGTTGCAAACTTGCGACTCTGCATTCATGATGGAACAGAGATAGGATGGGAATGGAAATCGCGGTTCAAGTTGTGGAAAAAACGTACCTTGGCTCTGACGTTATCAAAGGAAGGTGGGCTGACAATCGAGAAGCAGATCAAGAACACGTCGGTTTGCGGGTAGGAGAGAGGTCGGAGACGGTCGTAATCTTCTTGTCCGGCGGTATCCCACAGTCCCAAACTAATCGGTCGGCCATCGACCATGACGCTGGCGGTATAGTTGTCGAAGCTGTGGGATAGTCCATTAGTTTGGGGTTCATTGACCAGCAGTGAGAGCACAGTTGAGGGGAGGAGAGGTGGAAGGGATCAGAAGCATACACAGTAGGGATGTATTCGCCGGGGAAGGCATTCGTTGTGTAGGAGATCAGAAGGCATGTCTAAAGAATCGAGCTCGTCAATATTTCCATTGCAGCTGTGGAGGTGCAATTGGAGGGGGGATTCGCAGTACTGACCTTGCCAACTGCACCGTCACCCGTCACCACGCACTATTCGACGGATTAGCTGATGCTCCAACAAACCCCAACCCAGGGCAGTAGAGGAAGCTGAAGCCTACCTTGAGCGATTGAGTAGCCGGACCCGTCGCCATGGTTGTGCGAAGTTATGTACACCGAAACAAAAGGGGGAAAAAGACGGCGATAAGGAGAGGAGGCCCGAGGCAACACAGTCTGAATAACAATCGATAACGAGATAGATTGCCCTGCGATCGAGAAATTGGACAAAGTAAGGGATAGAAGGTCTTAAGGAGAAAAGAGGGGGGTGGAAGACGAAAGTGAGGTTCAGGTTCGTAGGTGGAGAAGGGGAAGATCGCGAAGAAAAGGAGGGGCCGAGCTTTGGAAAGGTCAAGGCTGATGTGGAGTGATGAAAAAAAGGGAAAAGGGACAAGGACAGGAACAAGGGACAGCTTGATTTTCCAGGACCCACCAGAAAATAACCAATGTCTAATGTTGATTTGAGATTCTCTACTCGGGACTCCAGAAATTCAGCTGTGAAAGAAGTCTAGGGGAATTGTGGTGGGCCCGTGAGTGGTAGTGTATGCAGTGAGGTGATGTTCCTAAGGTTGCTGCGATGCTCGGATCCTGCCCTGCTGCTTCTACTCTGCACCAATCGCATAAGAATGCAATCACGAGGGGCGCCAACTTGTCCGGGAATAGTCCAATGGATTTCCTTACTCTCTTATTTATTTATATCTGGCTCTCTGATTCCCCAGAAATATCATCACTGCAAATCTGCCACAGGTGGTCCCTATCCCATTCTACAGCCGCGATACGCCCCGCGAACCGCCCAGGAATCCTCCAGCCCGCAACTCAGAGGGCTTTGCGGTCAGCTTGGCCATCTTGGCGGCAAAGTCGCGAAAATAGGCTGACTTGACGTGGGCCTGCACGGCCGCCTGGTTCTTATATCTGGGGTTTCGGTTAGCTTGGCCCTGGCCTTGTCCCAGCCCTGACTTGCTGAGTCGGAAATGCCGAGGCACGAGATGAGGGGAAAGGAGCTGACCTTTCGACAATTGCGATCTCCTTCTTGCCTTGCACTTGGAATGCGTAGTAAAGCAGAGTGTCGGGTTCGTTTTCTTGCACCTTTTTGGTGACTTCGGTGATTAAGGCAGCGACCTGACATGGTTAGACTGGACCACGAGAGGGGAGGTTTATCACCAGTATCCAGGGATCTTCTCACCTCGTCGAACTTCTCTGGCTGCGGATAGATAAGCGCGGTGACATTGATCTCTGACATGGTGGAGGTTTGATATGGTACTGCTAGATGTAAGTGTACAAGTAGAATGGGTCAGAAGAGGAGAAAGCCACCTACTATAAGTACAATAATTACCCTAGGCACTGGCAGTCTTGACCTCGGGCCAGGGTAAGTGGGTCATGATGAGGCTATCAGATCGGCCTCCGCTGGCATTGATTGGATAGAAACCGCATTCGGGGAATTTTGCAGGATACAAGGTGCAGGGTGGGGATTCAGGAATGATTGTCAAGCTGTCAGTAGACGCAGAACTAGAAATAGTTCTAGTACAGCTTTCTCCAGGGCTTCTTTATAACCTGAATCCAACTTGAATGGCCATCCCACTACTACACGTGGGGCCAGCCTGCAAGGAGTTGAGGCTCTGAGTACTCCGCACAGTGGTTTATTAGTATACTAATAACTAGTAGACTATTGAGATGCCATTGTATTCAGACGATCAGCTAATAAGGAACCAAGCCTATTTAGTCTAGATGGTAGTAGGGGAATACACATAATACTACTACGAGTAGAAGTATCAATAGACTTCGGCCAGAATGGATGTGGCTGAAGTGTTCCATGTTCGGAGCTTGAGGTAATGAAGATCAGGGAGTACTAACCGGAGTATATGGGGGATTGTCCGAGTCTATGTAACAGTACTAGTGCATTAATTTTGAATGTCAGTGGATGTTCTATTCTTCGGTGTGGCTGTTCTGCTTGCGTCATCCCTGAGCCACACACAGCATACAGCATTAGGGTACAGCCTTAGGTACTTCAGGTACATCAGGAGACAACGCTGCCTAACACTACCCCCCCCAGTACTAGCTAATTGTGTACTTTGTATTTTACTCCATACATTTCTCACTCATTCACCATATCTTGATCCTCATACTTGTTCACTTCCTTCAAATTGATCCTTTCAGGCTGCAACATTCTCGGTGGGCCTCTGATCGACTCCCCACCGCCAAGTGACATCGATAATAATAGCTAGGACCCCGATGTGGCGTTTCGGATCTCCCCCTCGGTCGTTTCCTTCTTCTACCTCTTCCACCTCCTCCCACCATATCCCAACCTACCTTCATGGCCGACTCAGTTCTCCCTGAGCCGACTGCGCTCCCCGCGCTCTCCGATGCGCCTCCATCTAGTGCCGGTCGCGAGTCCGGCCACTCGGGGGCCCTCGACCAACACCAACCGCAACCGCAACCGCAACCCCAAGCGGCCATATCCGATGAATTGAAAGCTCGCTTGGACAAAATCGTGAACTCAGAGGTGAGTATCCAATGGCTAGACTACAGTCCAGCGACTGTACTCCTAGAATCTCCCATGCTAATTGACATCTCCCGTAGATCGGCATCACCACTCTCCTCAGTCGTCTGAAACAAAGCGTGGCCTCCGCCCAGGTACGTCACTGCCACCTATCCCCAAACATCAAAAGGAAGGTTCGCACTTGCTAACATATACCTCTCCCCTCTCTGCTTAGGACTTTTCCAGCTTTCTCAAAAAGCGAGGCTCTTTGGAAGAAGAGCACGCTCAGGGGTTGCGCAAACTGTCCCGCGCCGTGAACGAAGCCGCGCAACGCAATGACAACCGCCAGGGCACGTACAGCTCCAGCTACAAAGATATCCACCGCCTGCATGAGCGCATGGCCGATCATGGACTCCAATTCGCCGTATCACTTCAGCAGATGTCAGACGATCTGCGCGAGCTCTCAGCCAACATCGAGCGTAGCCGCAAACAGTGGAAACAAACCGGACTCGCTGCGGAGAAAAAGGTCACCGACGCCGAGTCCCAGGCCGAGAAAGCCAAGGCCAAATATGAGTCGTTAGCAGAGCAGCTGGATCGTGTCCGCACTGGCGAAAAGTCCGGTGGCAAGTTCGGACTGAAGGGTCACAAGTCTGGCGCGCAGCATGAGGAGGAACTTACGCGCAAGGTTGAAACTGCTGATGGTGATTACAAGACCAAGGTTCAGGCGGCGCAGGCGGCGCGTCGGGAATTGTTGTCCATGCACCGCCCTCAGACGGTGCTTAATCTACAACAGCTCATCTCTGAGTGCGACTCGGGATTGACGTTGCAGCAGCAGAAGTTCGGTGAGTTGTGGCTTGACGTCATCTGGAAGATTCCTTTTTTACTGACAATTGACAGCTACTTTCAATGAGAAGCTTCTGCTGGGACAGGGCCTGTGCGTTAGCCCGATGAAGACGGACGGCGCGAGCTCGATTGCACCCAAGAGTCTTGCGGAGGTTGTCCGTCAGGTTGACAACGAGAAGGACCTTCACGAATACATCCTGAGCCACGAGGGTAATGAAGGTGCCGTGGCTGGCGATGAAGTCAAATACGAACCCCACCCCGTAAGTTTCGTCCTTGGTCAACAGTTTATACATTACTCGCTTTCTAACACAATTTCCAGACACTTGGTGGTGGGGCTAGTACATCCTCACAGCCCAGCACTCTGAACAAGCGTCAATCTGTTCTACCTCAGACATTCTCCACTGCGAATATCTCTTCTCCTGCGACCCAACCACCTCAGAGCACCACCGATCGATTCCAGCCGCCTTCATACCAGGCCCAACCAGAACCTACATCGGCACCACCGAGTCAGCCTCCATACCCGTCCTCGGGACCCCCACCTCAGCAACCTCCATCGCAGGTGGTGGTGCCAATGGCTGGACCCCCTCCAATGGAAAAGGGTGGCTACCAAACAAATCTGCCTCCTCTGAAGCCGGTCTTCGGAGTATCCCTCGAGGACCTGTACGCTCGGGATGGAACAGCTGTTCCCTTCCTCGTCTACCAATGTTTCCAGGCAGTTGAACTGTTTGGACTGGATATGGAGGGTATCTATCGACTCTCCGGCAGCGCCAACCATATTAGCCACATGAAGGCAGTGTTTGACAATGGTAACTATCCCATGACCCCAATTTTTGGAAGTTGTTCCAATCTAACTCGATATTATAGACTCGTCTCAAGTTGATTTCACAAACCCGGAGAACTTCTACCACGATGTCAACAGTGTCGCTGGACTTGCGAAGCAATTCTTCCGAGATCTCCCGGATCCTTTGTTCACCTCACAGTATTATACCCAATTTGTCGATGCTGCGCGTAAGTAGAAACCCACCGCCTCGATCACACGCAGATACTGATCCAAATCGAATATGCAGGCATTGATGACGATATCCAACGCCGTGACTCGCTGCATGCTCTTATCAACAGTCTACCCGATGCACACTACGCTACCCTTCGCGCAATCATCCTGGTAAGCCGGAATCCACTAGTACCAGAATACCTTTTCTTGGAACAAGAAAGCTGACCAGAATTCCCACCCCAGCACCTGAACAAGGTCCAAGAACACTACACTCAGAACCGAATGAATGCAGGCAACTTGGCCATTTGCTTCGGGTACGTATTTATTTATTCATTCACGTTATTACATCTATAGACACACATACTAACACTGTCACTTACTCTAGACCAACCCTCATGGGCGCCAACTCGGGTGGAAATATCGCCGACGCAGGCTGGCAAGTCCGCGTCATTGAAACGATACTGAATAACACTTTCCAAATCTTCGACGACGACTAGATGCTTCACTCACGTTCACCAATACATGTCTTGTGTTCCGTCGTCCCTTTCATTGAACTGGAACGAATTACCACGCACACTTGCACTTGGACTCACGTACTACGCTCCTCTCTATGCTTTCACGATCGCAGATCCCTACCCAATCCCAATCCCTACACAATCCTCCCATTTGTCTTGGTCTGTTCAGAAACGAACACGCCCTCCCTCTGCCTGCTTGACTTGACTTGACTTGACTGACTTTGTACTACACTAATTTGGTGTCTACGTCTCCCTGTACATATACATCATGTTGGCTTTAGCATTTTGCTTGATTTTTGAATTCCCATGAGTTTTATCTCCCTCGAACCTTATACTGGTAACTAGTAGTAATCTGTATTTTTGGTTGGATACGTGAAGGCGCGGCTGAGCTTTTCTTCGAGATCTTGCTTTCTACCTTATTGCTTAGCAGTACTAGTACTTCATTGGACGTAAGAATGCTGTCCAAGCTGGTCAGCTGCTTACTAGTATTTGAACAACTGGCCAGTGATACAGAGAGTTAAATGAGTAGAAAAAAGGCTGATATAAGCGGGAGGGATGCTATTGTACATTGAAAAAAAGTAAATGGCTCTATATCACAAATTTGCCCCCGGCGAGGGGGTCACCGATTCAACGGAGAGTTGGCGTCAAAAAAACAGAACAGTTCAGCATTCAGTTTCTCTTCACAGGACCAAGGAGATGCGCGAATCGAATTTATTTCATAAAATCCTTCATAGCATCAAGTCTCTCCAACGCCGTCATACCCGGGGCAAAGGAAGGATCATGCCAAATCTGCTCCATAGTCGTAGGCTTAGTATTCCCCCAAACGCGCCAACCAGCATCCTTTCCGTTCCAGATAAGTTGCTGAATAACGACGTACTCGGTAACATCCTGCTCCTTTGCCGGCTGCTGCTGCTGCTGGGCGGCAGCAACGTTCTTCGAGGCCTTGGCCGCCAGTTGGAAAGGCGCGGTGTTGACCTTTGTCATTGATTGGCGGGATGAGACGCGCAGGACGATCTGGCGGATGCCGGATTTGGGGACCTCGGGGAGTTGGGTGGCGCGGTCTGAGAGGACGCGGATGCCGGTGAAGTAGGTGTTGGGTTGGCGGAGCCATTTGATTAGGTTCCAGGTTACTACTTCGGTTGGGCGGCGGGCTTCGATTTGGGAGATGAGTTTTGTGGAGAGGCCGTCGCAGGTTATTTGCTTGAGTTTGGGGATGTCGCCGCTTTTTTTGGTCGTTAGTTTTTGCTGTGAGGGTGGGAGGGGGAGGCTTTGCTATGCTTACCTGGCGAAAAGGGTGTACATGTTTTTGTATAGGGAGGTTGCGATCTTTCGACGCTCTGTCAGAAGGAGGGGATAGTTGTTGTCCTTCTTGGTATAGATGATCAAGCTGGTCGATGTTAGTTGCCGTTGTCTTGAAGGGCCGATTGACTCTACTACTCGGGGAGGTCTTTTCATGACCTCCTCCCACCGAGACCTGCTATGGCATGCCAGGTGGGAGTAGAACCAGCAGGAAAGAAAGATAGGGCTCACCTCATGAAATTCTGGAACCATGCCTTAATCCAGGTCCACTCCATTTGGAGCCGATCCCGCGGCGTGTCGAAAACCGAAGGCAAATCCCTCCACAGTGGGCGGACGAAGGTTCCCGGTAACAATCCAATATCATTCGGTAGTTGATTTGCGAGAAGGTCCTTTGACCGAACCTTCATCGAGGGCTGGGACGCGGTGCGCGGGCTGAAGTTTTGCGTCTTGAAAGCCCACCGTTGCGACGTCTGCGAGAAAGACCGGCATTGCGGCGCGCCAGGGGCGTAGGGTCGGGCATTATTCAGGGCCGACTGTGTAATCGAGAGAGTCTTGCCCGCGGGCGAACGAAGTGAGGACGCCATGGCGAACAGCGAGGGACTGAGCGGATTGCGTCGGGGAAATAAGTGTCTCGAGATTGGCCGAGAGAATAAAAACCGGAGTCACGTGTAGATCTCCGCGATATGGCAAGGTTGCTGTGTCGAGACCCTTCCAAACACTCCACCCAATTCTCTCTCTTTTTATTTTATTTTGTTGCCCGGTCTTCGGATCGCTTAGGGGTAGCTTTTTTTTATCTACTACAGAGTACCCTCCGCATATCCCCGAGAAAGGGACATTCGCTCTGTACACGTTTTCTCGAAAATCTATTGATCAGGGGAGACCCGGCCCAAATCAACCCTACTCGAACAACGTCCCGTTCTCAACGAGCCCAACCAGTTCAGACATAAAACGAAACAATCGAGATATTCTCGCGGGAACTCCAAAGAGTCCAAAACGAACCCACACCGACTTGCGCGCCGGCCGCATATGCCGCGATTCTTCGTCAAGGCTGGCTCCTCGACGGAATGCGTCTCCTCCGCCATACGCTCCTCCCGCTAAGTCGCCTCACAAGCCAGACCCTAGATCTCTCTCAAACGCACACACTTCCTGAACTACTCCGACCCACGGCAGCAGTGCCCGCGGTCCAATTCATGAAAGAAGTGACTTCAACAGCGCCGCCCGCTGTCCCGCCCTCCCCGACCTCCTCGACTTCCCACACCCCACTCGGCAGCGATGCTGGACATGCTGCTCCTTCACCGCTTCACCCGCGGGTGGCTGTCATACTGGGGGTCGACCGCAAATGGTACATCCCTCTGTTGGTCTGTCGGGCAATGAGCACAGTACCTTCCGCGTGGTGGGGGCTGCGATGCGCCTTCACCTTTTTGGCGGAGCTCTTGCATATTCGGCCCGGCATGGGACGCGAAGGGTGGGCGGCGGTGATCGTAGGGAGCGTGGGACAGGAGTGGGATGTTGAGAGGAGGTTTCGCGTTACTGAAGTTGCTTTGGCTATTATGTGGGTAAGTAAAGAGATGGCACGCGATCTAAAGTTGCAACCGTGACTTTTTTTTCTCTTGGGCTAAACACCAGTGATGCTGACTTTCTCGCTAGTGCTGTGCATCCGCATATCTATCTTATTTCTTTGCAGATTGTATGATGTCTCGATGGTAAGTTTCGCTCGCCCTTTCATTCGCTATCATCCACTTGACTTACGTTCTCTCCACTTCCAGGCTTTTGAATTACACACCTCCAGCGGTTGTCATCCGCCTTTTGACAACGAATGGATTGATTGCATACATTACTTCCTGGGTCCTTTATCTCTCCGGCGCATCCTCCGACCCCAGGCTCCTCCTACCAGCCTGGATATCCATTACCACTGTACGTGCTTTTCTTGCCCATGCATACTGCCAAATTGATTGTAGTACAGTGACTAACCTTTTCACCAGAGCTTAACCTTCGTCTACCACGCCACCCAAAATCATGCTACGATAAAACGAGAAACAGCAGCATCCTTACTGGTCGTCTCGGTAGCCAGTTTCCTCAGCATGTCCTCGCTGCTCTTACAACTACATCTCACCCGCGAGAACGAGCCTGAAGTCCCCATCTTCGTGATCACCCAGAAACTCTGGGACTGGGCGGTGGCAATCTTCCTGCGTATGCGAGTCGCAGATCCCGCAGAACTTTGACGATACCTTCATTGCCGTTTCCACTGTCCCGCTTTTCATTTCATTTCTCTTCTTTTTCCTCTTGTTCTGCGTTTTTTTTTCTCTCTCCTTGCTGGGGTCTACCTTTTACATATCTTTCTCCCTCAGACACCCCTTCCCCCCAAAATCAATCGATACCAACGGGCCTCAGCGTTTCCGCGAAGAAATCGGGCCGAATTGTACATCTCGGAATTGTCATTTTCTTTTTCTGGAGTGGGTGCATAGCATGAATTGTGTTAGGGCTCTGCTTTTTTCTTTCTTTGTGACAATGTACACACCGATCTTTGACAGATCTTATCTACTTACTTTCTGACTTCCCCAACATATCTACTAGTGTACATCGCAAGAATGCAAATGTAGAAAACTTCAACGTCCCAACCTCGGAAGAATAATGCATGCCAGCAACCTGAACTCGAATACGCGGCGCACCAACGTTCAAGCTCGAAGTTGACGGCTGCTAGTACTATTACATTGCGAATCGCATCACATCGCCCTTGGGTCACAGCTTTTGGAACCTACTACTGTTGCCGGATATCAATACTATTAGTAGTCTCCCATACAGAAAGACTGGAATGGCAAGTTCGATCTACATCTACATATACTCTACAAGAGAAATGGGCATAGTATCCTAGCGATTCAATTCCATGTTTCCGATTAGCAGCTATGGCAAGGAATGCAGAACATGGAAGAAAAGACCAGGGAAAAGGAAAAGGAAGACGGTAAAGACCGATCAGACGAGCACATGCAGAAAAGTCATGAAAAGCTCAACCAACCCTTCCTCTCGAAACCCTAAAGACCCGGAGCTTCTCATCATGCAAGACGCAGTGTCCCGTCGGAAAAGCAAAAGGAATGGAAAAGAATAAAGGATAAAGAATAAGATAGAGAATAAAAGAAATAAAAGCACACGCGCGCAAACAAATGAAGAGTTAAAAAACGCATCGTCTGTCTATGCAGATATGGGTATCTACCAACGCCTCGTTCCGTCATGGATCCCGTTCTGTGGAAAAGAAACACTAATGATAATGTCGAATATGAGAGAGGAACAAAACAACAACCCCGATTTCCGGCCGATCATGCTGGGACCGTATCGCTGGAAATCCAGAGGGAAAAGCGGGGGGGTTAACTCATATCGACAATGGCCCAAGTCTACTAAGCCGGGCTCAGAGTGGTGAAGGGCAGAAAGCAACAGACATTTGACCGACTGGGTGGGCCGGCTGTGCGCACGGCCGGCGGTTAGGGGATACATCGCATGCTTCCTATCCAACCGCTCACGGGGCAACATAGACTGGGAAGAAGGGACCGGAACAAGGCATGGCGATGTGTTTAGAAACCGTGGACCTGGTTGGAATGTTAGTATTGAGGGGGTTTGGGGACTATGGGGAATAGTTTTTGTCAAAGAGACGTACCTTGATGGTCTTGGCATCAAGCTCGAGGCCTTCCTTCTTGTCGGTCAAGAACTCCTGAACATCCTTACGCTGATCTCCTTGCAGCTGAATCACCTCACCCATCTCGGTGTCGGAAACAATGGTGCCATTGCAGGCTGGAAGAGAGTAGAGTTAGATATTGTTTCGTTCCTCGCAAACCATGGTTGGCGATGAGGGGGAGGGGTGAAAGGAATACGTACCGAACTTCTTCTTGATGACCTTCAGAATCTTCTTCTGGTCAAACTTCTTTGGAAGACCCTGAACAGTGGTCAGAGTCTTACGACCATTGCGCTCTGTAGTATATATAGTTAGCACGTGCTCGATCTCCAAGTAAACACGGGGCCTGTGTCGTAGTGGGGTTCGGCTAGGAGAGGAAGACGAAGTAAAGAAACGTACGCTGAATCCGGATATGGATGTAATTCTGAGACTGTTTAGTCTCGCCGGTGTCTTCGTCAGCTTCGGCGAAGGGGTCTGTTGAAAAAAAGAAATGTGTCAGCCGCAGTCCAGTACAAAACTTTACCCCGCCACAACGATCGACGAGGGGAGAGCAGGGCGATGCAACCCTCACAATCACTCCAAGGACACGAAACCAGAAGAGAGAATGTATTCAAGTTGCATGCACTACTGCATCAAGACCGCTCGAGGGTGGTGTTGAGGCAGGTACAGTATGCAGGCGTGAAGTGGGAGGAGGGGGGGGCAGGTGGCGACCTAACTTACCGAAGGTCTTGAGGTTTTCGATGGACATAAACTCGGCCTTTTGTCGTAAACGACTCTTGAAATCGGTGTTGGTAAAGAGAGCGAGGGGGGGAGATTCAGTATCTCTGGAAGATGAGCGATCGAGAGCGTGTGTGGGGAAGACGAAGGTGGTCTGGTGTTTGAGGGAAGAATCAGAGGGAAAGGCTGAGTTGACTAGCCTTTTGTGACGGGGCACGCGGGAAGGCGGTGTGTGACTAAGCACCCACTGAACCGTGAATAGCTGCATGCGATAGTGATTGTTCTGGTTATACTAGCGAGGTTTAGTTTAACTAGTAACTAGTATTTACATAAAGGATAGATAGTGAACAGTACAGTACAGTATTGCTTCAATTAAACTAATCGCTAGAGTGCTAGAACATTTTGAGTGGTAGCATGGTCCGATTACCCTGAATCCACTCATTATTGGTACAGCATGAGTCAACCACCGTACAACCACCATTTTACTGGACGGGCAGTGCAGTTGTGACCTCTCGACGACATTTACAGCCGTCTCACCCCAGTCGCATGCATTATAGGAATTGACGACGAGACACGTTGGTATTGAGGTATTGGTATCATTGAGGTTCGGAGGTTTAGGCGGGGGCCGGAGCAGCGACGCCGCCCTTGGCCTGAGGAGGCAGGAACATGGGGAAGTAAGTCTGCGGATAGAGTCAGATAAAAAAGCATGATCAGGGATTTGGCGGATAGTGGCGAAACGACGTACAACGACCAGCGCCATCACTAGAAACACAGAGAATGGTTAGTATGCGGTGACCTCAGCGCGGGCAGGGTGTATACGAACAGGACATCATGACCGACATGTAAGCCGGTGTGGAGGCATTCTTCTTCTGCTCGGGCGACTCGGACAGCCAGGACTGGAGGGAGAAGACGAACGACACCCTGTAGCTGTGTCAGAAAAGGTCGGATCCAACGGAACTCTGGGGAGGGTATCTTGAACCCACCATCCAATCATCCTTTAGAGCGGACATTTTTGTTAACGGCGCGATACTATTTGATGATAATTTCTTCGAATGCGCCGCTCAGCTTACCTGTTGCGCGTGAACATCTAGAATGTGTCAGCTCACTGCTTCACTAACCTCGGAACTCCAGCCATCATCGCATTATCGGGGAATAACATACCGCTGCCATCGGCATAGTGCTCGACATGGTACCTGCTGCTATATCAGAATAGGCGCTCACATGGTGCCAGGCCCAATGTTGGCGGGGGAGGAGGGCGTAGAATGATGTTGGGGTGGCGTACTGGACATATCGGCCTCGCTGGTGCTCTTAGGCGGGTCGACATAGGGGATCGCTGGTGCCGCGTCAGTATTCAGTAGATGGAGATGAAGGAATTCGACTGACCGAGATCCGCCCGTCGCATATCCTTGGTTGACGACATCTTGCTGTGCGGAGTGGAAGATAGGAGAAAGGACAGAATGGAATGGCCGCTAAGGCCCAAGAAGGCGAAGGCGCTCCCCGAAGGCGCGACCTTTGGGGAAATGTGGCCTGAGGCAGACTCCGGAGTTCTACATATCGGGTCAATTGATGGGCTTCTACAAAATGTCATCCATAGATGATAAAAACAGATCTACTAAACACAAAGACACTACAGTTACAAAATCTTTGTTCTACATAGATAAAATAAAGTCCGACATTTCGCGGCAGGGAACAGACAGGCCCGAGCCGTCGGTGAGGTATATTTGATCACCGCATACTTGCAGGGCGACCCGCCCAAACCAGGGGACGATCTCACTTCCGAAATGGTCGGTGAGACGTTTGCCAGATGTGCTGCAGATCGAGATGCTGTCTGGATTGGCCTGGTCGCACACGCATCCGACCTCCTTGCATCCTGCAAGCACGGCATCGCATCTTTCATGGCCAACCCAACCGGGCCTCTCCGACGGGGGAAGGTCCTCGCCATTTACCGATCACCAGTCATTGTTGCAGCAATGGGATAACCCGAGGCAGCTCAGCCCAGCCCAGCCAGCCCCAAGCAGTGGCAGAGTGCAGCGTGCAGAGTGCTTGATGGTACGACCACGACCACGACCCACACCGAGTTCGGAAAAAAACCCAGCTGATACGATCCCAGCGATGCAGCCATCCGACAGTGGGCCGATAGTGCGGAATGTGGACGCCTCGGAGTCCGTTCAGCGGCGCGGGTTTGGTGCCGAACGGATTGGATGGGGGGCAAATAGGTAAAAGGAAAGAAATGGTCAGGCCCAACCGAGAGAGCACTGACCACTACAATCCTGCAGATTGATCAGATTTTATCATGTCTATCAAGTCCAGCCGCGGCTGGGCACGGGGGGAGAAATGGGGAGTTGATTCCGTGTGGACAAACCCCCTTGTGAAGATCAAATGGGCCAATTCAGGAAGGGAGATGCGACGGCAATATGATTTTGGGCCAAGCCGCTGTCATGGATAGCCGACGGAAAATGCTAAACAAAGGATTCCGCAGGGAACAAGTAGGCTCAGGCTCAGCCTGTTCCGAGGTTGATGGAAAGGGGAGAAGAAGGGGGGGGAGGAAGTACTAGTAGTACTAGTAGTGATACCAAGTTTGAGACTGTACATATTATTGATTCTGTGCTCCATATCTGTAGTACGGAGTGGACAGATTAGATTATACTCTCCGTAAACCGGTTAAAAGGGGCCAATGGGTCCGGGAAGTGGTCTGGATAGAATACGAGTGCCCTACTCTATACATACTCCATACTGTACATACTCACATGGGAAGGTATAGCCAGTATATACTAGTAGTAGTATTCAAGTTTACTCTCTAACACTAACAACATCCATTTCATCTGCCTTCCTTGACTACCGGGATCATACAATCCCAATCCAAAACCCACACCACGCCACGCATCGCAGGGTTTGTGGAGGAAGACTGATTCCGTCGATCCGGTGGACCCCCCGGAGGAGGACGGCTGATTTGAGCCGACTTACGTTATCCTCATCAACATCTCCGATAACGCCTTTCTTCCTCTCTCCTCTCCCTCACTTTGCTGTTTGCTGTATACCAGAATTCAAAAAAAGAAAAGAAGCATTGGACGCGTTCCTATTGCCCGCTCGGGCCCCCGCAATCGCCTATCACACCTCGTGAACACCGCATGTCGTGAGCTGTGATTTGGACCGATCGACCTCGCATTTGCATCAATCGATATCCCCGACTCTCCTCCCGCCCCCCCAGTCGCCTAGTCGCCCTCTTATGGTCTTACGTCGCCTATACCCTCTCACCCTTCCCTCGTTCGTCCAATATTTAGCGGAACAAATCGAATGATTCACATAAACCCCTTCGGACGAGACACCATGAACCTAAGATGATCCCCCATTCCTCTGCCGGCGGCCAATCATGGGGCCACCCGATGCGCTCGCTGAACGGTGGCCCTGCTCGGGCTGATCAGGCATCAGTGCCTGGTCAGTCCGATAATTCAGTCGAATCGTCGCAACAATCATCCCGCCAGCCCGTCGCTATCGACTTGACCGGTGGCGGGTCCGAATCGCAAGACAGAGAACCGCCGCCGAAACGACCGCGACTCGATGTATCTGGGACGTCAAATTTAGGTGAAACCGGAACAGCAGTCAATAGCACGGAAACAAAAAATACACCGGGGAGCGCCGGTTCGCGAACGCAGCTCAACTGGCGCGGCCGGCCGCTGTGGTCGTTCCAGGCCGTCATGTCGGAAATTCCGGGCAGCGAGAGTAGAGCCGACGGTACATCTTCGAAGCCCTCATCGCCGCCTCCATTACCTGCTCAACCATGGAGCAATGTCCCTGCAGACCGTTCGCGAAATGCGGGTACACAAACTGCAGAGGACGTGCCCGACACCAAGGTCCAAACAACACCCTATCGCATCCAAGTCCCTTCCGTGGCTCCGAAAATCAAAGGCGAGAGTAAGTTGATCGACGGGCTTTCATAAACTCTGTCAAAATGGCTAACATATGATCTTTAGAAGTTGCCGACTTCGCGTCGTGGACAGGGAATCATCCGGAAGATATCCTCAACGAACAAACCGCCAAACAAGGGTACTATGATCGAACCCAAGTCTCTCAGAACGAGTCAAACACGGCCCGCCCCGCACTATATACCCAGTTCAAACACCGCGCTGGCCTGCAAATGCTTTCATCCGTATTTTCGGCTGTTATGGAGATGCGACAAAACTACAATACCGTCAATACCCCGTCAAACTTCAAGCCTCCACCACGAGTCACGCTCACCGACAATAAGCGAGAAGCCTGGCTCCGAGACCTTGCCAACTCATCTGTCCCGTTGCGACGACTCAGTCGAACCATCCCACACGGTATCCGTGGCAAAGTTCTTCTCGATCAGTGTCTCAGGCAAATGGATTCCGGTCGCACGAGCCGTTTGGCTTGCGAAATGCGTGGGCGCCAACGAAATTCGAGCCTTTAAAAGAAAGGGCACCAGTGGTGCTCTGGCCGTGGGGTTGGAGGCAAAGTGGGTACGAGATTGGACCTCCAATGTACAACAGTTTGTGGAGGGTGTTTTTAGCTCCCCAAAGTCTTTGAACTGGAAAAGCAAGATGACTTATGCTGTTGGATTGACTGCCCGTTTGTTCTTTGAGAACCTTTTGGACCACGACAATTTCCTTGAATGGTTTCTTTCATCCTTTGAAGCAGCCTCCCTCGCCACGGTTCCTGTTTGGCTATTGATGCTTGGCATTTACTGGAACAATATCATGCGGTACCGACGACGGGGACGACAATTGGCCGAAATATTGCTTCAAAAACTCCGACAGGTGAGTCTAATTTGATATCATTCCTGCCTTGTGCAGTCAACACTGACCATAAATTATAGACTTCTGAAGTCAAGATCAGTACCCTCCAGCCTCTTGTGGATCGATTGTCTCGTTTCATCACAAAGCTGGCCCGTGAACATACCTCATCCATGATCTTGCCTAATTCCTGGGACTTGTACAAATCCCAGGTGTCATCATGTCTTGATTTGGAACAGAAAGCAGATCGAATCCTTTTTCAAAGCCTTTCAGAGCGCAATGCACGAGTGCAACGGCCACGGCAATCGAAACAGGCCGCACGAGGCTCGCCCCAGCAACGTATTATCCGACTTCTGGACTCAATCCTCTCTACAAGGGACATCTCAGCTGTATCATCTGCCTGCCTGGACGCAGTAAGCAACAGAGCTGTTTTGGTCTCAAAGCTATTAGAATGGCTCGCCACACCATTCCGTCATGGTATTTGTCGAGTCTATATAGGAGTTCGCCTTTTGCGAAAGTGGAAAGCTGCTGGAGTCGATGTTGATGACCATATACTCGCCTTTCTTACGCGGACGGGAAGCTCCAAAAAGCTCAACATGGACAATATTTACCACGCCGTATCCGAGCTTGTCAGGTCACAGACTTTCTCGGTTGGCCGATATCTTCAGTGGTTGATGGCAAAGGGAATCACGAACTTCGCTTCCAGCGAACGGGGAACGGTAAGTGTCAAGCAGGCCCACGATAGTTGCGCTCCTCGAAGCTAATTCTTTCAAAGGTCCACGATCTGCCATGCGATGTTGGATTGATCGTTCAACTTCCTGTTGGTCGACTTCCGGAGCATGTCAGTAACTTGCGCGGCACTCTCTTGACACGCATGGGAATCTCTGCCTCGGAAGAGACTGCAATGACCGCAAGTGTCAAAGATCTAATCTCTCGTCGTCTTCCAGCCATTTTCGATGCGCCAATGGACGCAAAGGAATCGCTTGAAGTCTTACCCGCGAAACTGAGTTGGGCTGTGAAAGCCGAAGTCTGCCAATGGCTACGTCGCACGATAGCCGATTACACGCGTGACGCCACCCAGTAAGTTTTTTCCTCGACCTCTTTCTCGCTTTCAATAATACCAACATCGTTACTAGCTCAAGTTTACGAACTGCCTTCTCTAGCGAGAAGGTGCCATCCATCTCTGCCGTTTCACCGAACGAATTCTACATCATCCGTGACATCCTGGAGAATTTTGGTGATATTTCTATGCTTGCGGACATATTGAGAATTACGTCGAGCTCCGAAGACCACACTGTTCTTGCATCGATCGCCGACACTACAAACTGCCACTTCGACTCTCTGTGTGCGATTGGCGCAACCGCCGACCTATTCCGAAAGGTTGTAGATGCATATGCCGGGTTGAAGCGGTTCGGTATCCCGAATTTGGACCTTATGTTTTCTCTGATAGAATTGGGCATGCGCATCCCGAACGAGCTAAACACCATTGCCATTCTACGCCAAGACCTCTCCCGCATGGAGAACCGTTCCATTGTGGCCGCATCGTCGCCGGTATCTGACCATATTCCCGATTCACTTGGAGATGCAGATCCTCTGTTCCGCGAAAAGCTCGACCACTTCCTTTCATCTGGTAATATCATGGATGAGCCTACTCTTGACAGCATATTCAACACGTTGACAAAGCACTTGGAATCTGGTAATGACGATGCGAAGCTATCGGCAAACGACACATGCCGATATTTGGCGCAACTCCGATCATTCCAGCCGAAACATTTTGATGGGATCCTCGCCCGTTGGGTTTGTAGCCATCTGCGGGCGCCTGATCGCTGTACACTACTTCGTATCCTTCCACCTCTCATTGGAGTTGGGTGTGTCACTATTCGGTCATTTTTGTCCCTTGTGAAAAGGATCTCCTACTCCGCCAAGTCCATCCCCAATGCAGCGAGTCTTCCGGCGGATCTTGTCGCGCTTCTTGTTTCTCGCGCGGAGGATGATGGGTACCTTGATCTGGTCTCCTACCGGTTTCGACTTGCACAACAAGAGTTCCTCTCGAAGGACTCTGACCAGGCTCTTGGAATTGCCTGCAGTGCCGCTGCGGCTCTTGATGCGTCAGACTCGACCCCAGTCGTCCAACGTATCAAGCTGGAAAGCTCGATGGTCACGCTGTTGCACGAGCTCCTGGTCCGAAATCCTGCATGTTCGGATCAGAAATGCGTGCAGAAGCTCCTAAGTCAACATCCAGCGGCGCTCGCTTTGCTGCAAAAAGCGCTCGATATCGTACTGGATGTTGACTTTGAAAAGCGTTCATCGAGTGTGGAAGCAACCACCTCAGCGACCCATGATAGCTCTATAGCGAATCGTGGTTCAGTCGTCTCCGAGGTCGAGAAACTTGCCAGTACAACGGACGACTTCTCGCTGCCATTCTGCCAACTGAAGCTTCAGGTTCTCTTTAATGCCGACTCTGGACACGAGTCCCGAGACAAGTTTGTAGATGCGATGTTCAAAACCGTTGTGGCAGATTCTCGTTCCCAGAAGCTTCATTGGGTTGATCTCGTTTCTCTTATGAACCCAGACGCCGTTCGCCAAATTCGCGAGCGCGCCGAAAAGGAATTCTTCGCCGTGCCACTTCTTGAGGAAGCGACCGAGTCTCCTTCGTCTCCACAAAAAAGCATGGGCACTCTTCAAACAGCCAAGTTGTATCTCACTATTATCGAGCAGCTTGCCGGCAGTATCCCCGAGACAGGAACCCCAGCTGTTGCTTCGGCTATCGTGGAAAAGATGGACACTTTGCTCCAGAAGATTCTGACAATGCAGCCCAGCTCCCACAACAATGTTAGAAGGCGACCTGCGACCTCTCCCAGCCAAGAACGGACCTACTTCGAGCGATCCCTCGCCTTTTGGTTCTCCGCGCTCTTGCGCATGGTTGTTCTTCACCGCGCTTCATTCATGCAACCTTCCCCGACTCTGAAAATCGGTTCTCCCCAAGAACAAACTCGACTGTTGACGTCGATATTCTGCGTCGCGCTCTCTCGTCTTCCCGGTGAAGTTCTACGCCACTTCCCAGGGGCGGACTATTTCCCCCATCCAGGCGCCTCCGAGAACCACAGCCCTTGCCCGGGAATTCTGTTGCAGACCCATGCCTTGGACGTGGCCGCCTCCCTGATCGATGTGTTCCCAGACGAGGTTCGTCTCCAATGTGGCCGCTTTCTCAAAGATAAATGTCCACCTTTCGTCCCACTCCAAAACGACACCCGCTTCTCCTACCTTCTTGGACCCACATCCGATTCTTCCTCTTCTGCTGCGCTGCAGTCGGCTTCAGCTCCATCTCCAGCGGCATCGGCATCAACTCCTACTCAATCATATCCCAACTACCCTACCGTTGCCACGTATCAACAATCACCAGCACCGCCATCTGGCCCTTCGAACGGACTCGCCGAAAGCTCCAAATGTACGGTCAACCGGTTGCGTCTTGACTATCGTGGCCGGATAGGCGCTCCGTACCCAATTCGCTCCTGGGAACTATTGGAGGATGCAGCACCGTTTGTTGGAGCCAACGACACTGCTGTGAGCCTGAGTTATTTTGATGCCAGACGTGTCCGAGCCTAAAACCGAACCTTGAGCTCAGCATACATCAACTCACCCCCTCTCTCTTTCTCCTTCATCTCGCCATTTCATTTCCAACTTTTCTGCCGATACCCCCTTTTTTTCTCATTAACTCCGATACCTCTCTTGTCTTATTCATGCCATGTTCAATTTGCATTTCGGAGCGCGAAGCCAAATCGGAACATCTCTTCACTTGCATCCTCTCTACTAGCATTGTCGCATATTTCTCATTATCATTACAGCAAAGCATTTGCGGGTCCATGAAAAATCCAATTATTATGACAATGAACACATTCCATGATGCTTGTTGCTTTGATTTCCGGGTCGTTCAAGCTTTTTTCCCCGTTCTTTTATCCTTCTCTGCCTTTTTGTCTAATTCATAGCTTATTTTTATTGCGCAATTTTGGCGCTCGTATGTGCCTGGGAGGAACAAGTTCACGTTTGCATTTTGCATTCTTGTACATATATTACTGCGTTTCTATCCCGGGTCCTGGCGTTGTCTCGGTATCAGACCAATGTGTCAAATTTCCATCTTGTGATATCTTTTTTTCTGGATCGGAAACTGTCGTTTCTTAGCCCAATACCCAAGTTTTTGTATGTCAACTATCTAGGAGATTACCCCCCCCCCCTCCCGCCCCGAATGAATCAGTCAGAATCAGTCAAAGTATTCAAGATATCCTCTTTCCAACCCCCTTACCTACTAGTAGGTAATGCTGTACATTCCACAATGTCATTTTATTTTCCGGCGCCCACCAAGTTACTAAGTACTAGTATGCCTAAGGTAGAAGTTACTGTAGCTGAAACATTGGCTCGATTGCAGCTATGGAGCGTTGTTATTGGACGTAAGCTATGTAAGCTATAGGCACACCTGTCATTGTAACTACTATGCGGGAACCATATTCATCAGACGGAGTGCTTCGGTTGCATGCTTGCGCAGTCTCTCGATCTCGAGTTCGAGCACTTCATTTCTATTTCGATTTATTGGTAAATTTGTCCCGAAAAGATCACGGAACCGAATAGCGATTCTGGGGTTATCTGGAGGACTCGGGGATGGAAATATTGTCTGCGCAAATTCCGGAAATTAGTATGTAAACCACTAATCAAAAAAGCCTCCAGGGTTCTTGAACTTACCTCACGCTGTTGAAGTTCAGGTAAACCCTGCCGACCTGTCATCCATACTTCTATATCTCCAGACACACGGTCCTTTGAAACAGATCATCCTGTATGAGGTGGATTGTGTGACCGAGGTACTTTTCTCCACTTTATGATAAGAGCTGTTTTGATGATATTGCTCCCGCCCAGGAGAAGTAATCTCATATCTCGGTCTATATTTCTTCTTGATTCGGACCATCCTGTCTCAATAACTAAGGTTGGAAGGCTTTGTCCTTCAACTCGGAGAAAAAGATCAGGTTCCTTCCTGGACCCACGGTGGATACCCGTCATCTCCAGTGCTGTGTTAGCCTCAGGGTTCTCAGAAAGGGGAACCATAAATGGCTTACTTGTTCCGACTCGAGTACATAATTGGTCTTCCTCATCACGAGTAAGATCCCCAGATAGTACCCAGTCTACAATGTGCTTGAAGACCCAGCCCTGGTGGCAATCATGAATTTCTGTTGGTTTTGTTTTTACTCTAAGGATTTGATTCTGCAAGTCAAGAGTTTTCCTAGAATTATGAGCAAATTCCTAAGACCAGATAGAGGATTCTTCTGGGACTTACCGGGCTGATATTCTCTCGTCAAGGAAATCAAAAAGGGCTTGCCCTATATCAGGAGGTACACCTGTAAAGTTGAGGTCATGGTTTCCTTTCTCGGACACAAGAGTGAAAATCTGATTCTCGAGATCGTTTTCGTCGAGCCACGCGAAAGGAACAGTTGTTGTATAGGAATCAGAGACTGGAGCAAAAGCAGAGGAGTCAGACATGGTAAAGAGAAGAAGGAGCGAAATAAGAAAGAGAGGGAAGAAGGAAAGTTAGAGGTACGTAAGAAGAAGAAAAGAGAAGTAAACAAGGAAGGAGCAGAGGAAAGCAAGACGAAAGCAAGACGAAATTAAGAGGAGTACTAGTATTCTAAGAAAGAAGCATTCTGAGAAAGAAGCCTTCCTAGGTTCTAAGGTTCCAAGGTCCAAGGTTCCAAGATTCCACAACAGCTGACCGTCAAATACTGACGTACCCTTAGGGTTCAGTTTATTTTAAAGAAAAGGAGAGAAGTTCAGGCTTACTATTACTCTTATTATTATTCTCACCATCCCGCCTGCCGGAATTTTGTAATACAGCAAAAATATAGTCATGCCGACAATATTGTCTCCAATATAGTATTTTGAAACAAAGTATTCATATGACACCATCTTTTCTAATACTATATTAAAGAGAATATTATTAGTATACCTAGGTAATTGTATTTATTCGTGGCTATTGTATTCTACTAACCATTACTACTAACTAGTATTTACATTCGCAAAGCAACGCGTGCTCCCAAAACAAACCCTAGAGATTAGCAAAACATAGAGATCGAAGTTGGCAAAACCTAGAAATCTAAGTTATTAAGTAAAAGGTGAGGATATTTGGAAGTTTCAGAAGGTTGAGGATATTTGTAAACCTTGGGCACTCTTAGCTTCTAGGTCCTGAAGCTTCCCTTAATTCTGATGGTGGCCTGGATATCTCCCATTGGGGCGATTTAGTGTATAGTAATAGTCAAGTCGCACATGCAAGGATGCACAGAATCGCATGGAAGGAAACAGAGCGTCGATCAGAAAGGGGGCATTTTGATACCATTTGATACACTGTCGGATCTCTTGGTACCTGCAGCATCTCTGGGCCTTTGCTCCGTCCATCTTAGTCCGACCTATGACCACCAAGTTACTACGAGTAAGTACTAGCCTGAGTAACTATATTAGACCCCCACTTAGGGCTACTATGTCTTTCTCCGAAACAACTCCGCCCAAGGCTCCAGTGTGGCCAGAAACTACTTTCCACCGGGGGAACATGACTATTCCCAATGGGGATATCACTCCGCAGGGCTGACCACTTGGTTTGAGACTGAAACAAAAGTGATGAACCCAGGCTCATCAAGCATTTAAAGCTAGTCGTCACATTGTCCAAGCTCGACACCACATTGGAGGAAATTTTATTGGTCAGTATCCACTCAGAGCTCCGAAGAATCCGAGCAATATACGAACCAAATGAACAAGTCCCTGATCTAGTCCTATTCAAGTTTGATTCTAGAAGATGTCGACTTCCTCAACAGCCGCAACGAAAAGCTATAAAATGGTTCCGCTCGCGCGCCATCTATTCCTGCTTGAAATCATCGATTAATTCACTACATTCTTTTAATACACTCTTTTAACCATATTCACCATGGTTCCCAGCCTCAAGCTTTGCCTCGTCGCCCTTCTCGGCGCAGCCTCTGTCCAAGCTGCCCCGGCATCTGACATTGTGCCTACTACCGCCTCCGCGCTGGAACGCCGGGCGTCTAGTTGCACCTTCACCGGCTCCAAGGGCGCCGCCTCCGCTATCAAGGCCAAGAAGTCCTGCTCGACCATCACTCTGAACAATGTCGCCGTCCCCGCCGGAACGACCCTCGATCTCACTGGACTGAACAAGGGAACAAAGGTACGGCATAAGCAAGACTCTGTGTATCCTGTAAATTTCCCCAGCTAACCTATTCGTATTCTTCCAGGTCATCTTCGAAGGCGAAACCACCTTCGGATACAAGGAATGGTCCGGACCCCTTGTCTCCGTCTCCGGAACCGACATCACCGTTTCAGGTGCCTCTGGCGCCGTCCTGAACGGCGACGGTGCCCGCTGGTGGGACGGAAAGGGCACGAACGGCGGCAAGACGAAGCCCAAGTTCTTCTACGCTCACAAGATGATCAACTCCAACATCCAGAATCTGAAGGTCAAGAACTCGCCTGTGCAGGTTTTCAGCATCAACGGTGCTAGCGAGCTCACCCTGAACAAAATCACCATTGACAATGCCGATGGTGATAGCAAGGGGGGGTCACAACACTGATGCTTTCGATGTCGGTTCTAGCACTGGTGTCTATATTACCAATCCTACTGTTCACAACCAGGACGATTGCTTGGCAGTTAACTCCGGCAAGGTGAGTTGCATTCAGGCTTTAGATTTGATTTTTTGCATTCGACCAGGATATGTTTGGCTAACTGTCTTTATTCGTAGAACATTCATTTCACTGGTGCTACTTGCACTGGCGGACACGGTATCTCCATCGGTTCCGTCGGCGGACGCTCAGACAACACCGTCGACACCGTCAACATCGAAAACTGCAGCATCAGCAACTCGCAGAACGGTGTTCGCGTCAAGACCGTCTACGGCGAGACCGGCAGCGTCAAGGGCGTCACCTACAAGGACATCACTCTTTCCGGCATCACCAAGTACGGCGTCGTCATTGAGCAGGATTACAAGAATGGCAGCCCGACTGGTACCCCCACCAACGGTGTCCCCATTACCGGCCTCACTCTGAACAACGTCAAGGGTACCGTTTCTAGCAGCGCGACTAATGTGTATGTTCTGTGTGCTTCTGGCGCTTGCTCTGGCTGGAACTGGAGCGGTGTTAGTGTTAAGGGTGGAAATACTAGCAGCAAGTGCAAGAACGTGCCTAGCAGTGCTAGCTGCTAAGTTTCCGCGGTTTAGTAAATCGTTGGCGAGATGAGGGGGATGGTGTTTCTTTCTTATACTTATACTTTTTATTACATACTTTTGGGGATAGAGAGAGAGAGCGTAGTATACAGAGCGTGGTATACTATCGTGGATAAATTTTAGGAACAGCAATTTGAATTGATTTGCATTGCGTTGTTTCACAGACATACATGATTTATTTCGTACAGGTAGTAGACAAGCAAACATTGTAACTTCAAAACAAAGGGATAAATAAAGATCCAAAATTATTAGACGGAAAAGCAACAAAGAGGACTAGTACAGACATATCCAAGCGAGCTATTAGCACAAAGTTCATTAACAAATAATAAAAACAGCAAAAGACACAACTCGTAAATCATCATAAACCAAATTAACAAGCGATAGCCAAAAATAAAAAGCTCCCCTATCAGAAATATCGACAATCTGTAAATTAAAAACCGGAAAACCCTCTTAACGAAGAAAAATGTCCCCTAGGCACCTACCAGCGTAGAGGTTTGCGAGGAAGAGGACGATGAAGATGAAGATGAAGAGACCGATTCGTCATCGTCATCACCCTCACCATCACAATCGCCATCAACACCGTGCTTCTTCATATCTCTCTGTCCGTACTCTTCCTCAAGCTCCCTGATAGCAGCATCCACTATGCTTTCATTCACGTCCATGTTTCTCTCGAGAACTATTTGTCTCACGTATTCGCTAACAGGGGGAATGATGGATCCAGGCGAGTTGCCGCCATTGGCTGTCGGGCTAGAGCTAGAATCCCGAGAAATTGGGGAGTTTTCTGGTGGGATGGGTGTCTCATTTTCAGTCGGGGATTGTTCCTCGTTTGTGAGATCCCCTTCTTCGGCGTCTGAGTGGTGGTGGTTTCCGTTCTGTTTGGGCTGAATTGTAGCATCTGTACTTGGCGTGGGGCATTCAGCGAACTCTACAGGATCCTCTGGCTTGGCTTGGACTTCTTCGGGCTCTGTCCCTTCCTTTTTGTCAGAATCTAGTGCTCCATCGGATCCATTCTCAGCGTGTGACTTGTCTCTGTCCGGTTTGGGATCATCGGTAGTAGCCGCCGCCGTCTTCTGCTCAGGTTCATTCTCTGGAGCTGAATTTTGTGCTGGTTCTTTGGGCGCATCAGTCTTCTCCGGTGCCTGAGTTTGATTGTTCACCGGCGGGACTACCGGCTGTGGTGGCTGTGGTGGATGGTATGGAGGAGCGGCGTTGTTGTACGGCTGAGCCATGTAGGGCATATTCATATTTGGTCCAGGTGGTGGGACGAAATACCCCGGACCCTGAGGGTAGTATTGCTCCTGTCCAAACTGTTGGGGATACTGTCCATTCATTTGGTCACCCTGAGGCATGTATTGAGGGTAATAACCATTTTGTGGTGGCGGAGGCTGTTGATAGCCGTTGGGGTACATCGGGCGGGGATTGTTGTATGTCGGAGTGCTGACTATATAAGGACCATTATAATATCCAGGATTATATCCTCCGTTGCCCATATGTTGTTGGTTATTGTATCCATTTACATCGCCGTTATTTCCGACATTAGGCGCAGGGCCTTTGTATGTGTTGTTTGGCGGGGGACCATTGTACATATTGTTCGGGGGGGCGTTGTACATATTGTTTTGCGGAGGACCGTTGTACATGTTGTTTGGTGGAGGGTTGCCGTATGTTCTGGCTGGCGGAGCATAGTTCGATTGGCCTGGAACAAATACAGGAGCTCCCGGTGCCATCCTGGACGGCGTGGGTTGATTCAGAGCCGATGGGTTGTATGGGCCACCATATGGCTGGAAGGGGTCAGGATATTGATTAAAATCCTGCGAATACTGGCTCTGATAATCCTGAGATGAGTTGGACTGATGACTCCCGCGTCGGCTAGGGTCACGAGAAAATCTTCTTTCAAATCCTCGACCATTGCCTCCATAGTTAACAGGGCCATTGCGGTGATGTCCATGTCCGTTGTATCGTCCGCGCTCATGAGCAGCTTGAGATGGATGGGGCTTGTGTGGCTCTGGGCCCGGTGTACCGCCGTTGGAAAATGGGTTTCCCTCGTACTGGGTCTTCTTTAAAAGGTATTTGGAATCTCTCACGAAATTCTAGAAAGTTGTGAGCAATAGGGCAGAGAAACACGGGATGGAAGATGGGGAAAAGCTCAAATTGCACACACCTTTACCGCGTCGTTGTAATCCTCAACAAATGTAAATGTAGCTAGACAAGTCGCAGTGCTATCGCTGGACAGCGGTGGATTTTTATCGAGGCACATTCCCTCAAGAGGGCCCGATGGCCCAAGGACTTTCCTGGCTTCCTCTTCAGTGATAGGAGCACCGGATTGAAGTGATAGGCGTGCAGTTCCTGGGATAGTTAGCTTTGTGGTTACAAAGATGTGTGAAGGGTGCACTAACGTTGTCCTTTGGCTCGCTCGACTCTAGAGTTCGCCCATTCAAATGTATAGGGCGACCTTGAGCGTCACGGTCAAGGACCTTTTGGGCATCTTCTACTCTCTATAGTTGTAGAGTTAGCGTCAGTCTCAATCCTTAAATGAGCAGGTTGCACCACAAACCTCAAACTGTACAAAGGCCCCATGTAAGGCTGTTCCTTTGTCGATCTTGACCTTAGCGTAACATTTCCCAAACACGCCGAAATCCTGCTCTATTTCTCTTTCCTGTTGCTCTTTATGGGTTTTTGAGCAAAGGCTATAATAAGGTTAGTGTATTGAACTTGGGGTTTCGAGAATATCTGAAACTTACTTTCCGATGAAGAGACAAGCATCAGGAGGGAAAATGCCCTGAGCGTTCTTCGATGATGGCGGTTCTCTTAAGCGACTTTGTTGCCTAGGATGTATGTTGTTGTCGTTGGGAGCCATGGCGTGTTCGGTCATATTGAGTGGATTCCCAAGGTTATAAGTGAGCTTTGTTGTTAGTATATCAAAGGTATAGCAATCGCCTGGTAAACAGCAAAGGCACATATACTATCAGGCGTGAAAGAATGTATGAGTGAGAGAGGTAAAAGAAGAATCTCCTCCATTTTAGTCGTGCAGACTTTTCCCGCACACCTTTTCAGCTCCGACGACACTTTTGGCATACTGTGAGAACCAAGCCTACATTGGAACCGCCCTGTAGGGACGTGGTCAACCACGGCTTAGCCATGGGGTTGCAACCACCAGTCGCTACTATTCCAACTGTAACCAAGCTTTGGAGATGCCATGCAAACCATGAGAAGCCTAGTAGGTACCTAGGTAGAAATCCTGCCAGTTATTCTATGGTATTTTCCGACCCCGTGTTGGGTCCCTACTCTGGGTACATCGGCCGATGTAACGAGACAGGCAGTTAATAATTCCACTAAGCTTGTGATTCAGATGCAACTTATAAATTTCTCATGTTAGTTTTAACTTAGATCATACATCGACTAGATTCATCTTTGTTTGGGGAGGGGAGCTTTGGGATGACGCCTGCCATACGTACTATACTATCTCTGGAGGGCTCGATCAGGGCTCGGGCCCATCAACAGGCCAGACCTAGACATCTGTATAGCCTAAGGCTGGAATTACCCCATGACTCAGGTCTAAGGTCTGAACCAGGGCTTAATATGGGGGAGATCATACAGAAAGTCAAACCCAAACCCACAATTTTCAGGACTTTTCAGGATCTCTACTTGTACCACGGCCCTGAATACTTGAAATGTCGGCTCCGTGTAATGTCTCAGTCTTACCAGGGGTAATTTCTATCTTCTGGTAAATTACTGGTAAATTACTGTAGTCTCTGGCTGGATTCCCCAACATACTGTACCACCGGCGAGAGCCTCTCCTCGTACGTTTCATAGTCATTCCCGTACAACTTCGTGGCCCGACATCAGGACCTTTCTTGTACTTCTCTCAAAAAAAGGTACGCTTGAATCTTAGAGACTTTGTAGTTCTCTATAATTTGGGGAATATCATCACAGTGGTATCTCATAGATGCTCTGGTACCTCGGTCCCATCCGGTAGAGCCTAGCGGTATAGGACTTGAAGCCATACGTAGAGCCGCTTTGGAGATTCCGACCCTACTTTGAATATAACTTTGCTGTATTCATTACATAAATGCAGAATGGTTGATACTCCTCCATTCTAGCCCTAATTCTCCAACATATACTAAGGCATCCATGGGGTTGCCGCGAGTCTATCTTATCGCGGATGATCGGCGCCCGGCCCTTCCAACCTTCGCTCCTCACGCCACCGCATCTTTAACCTCACAACTCCGCGCTCAAGATGATTCCCACCCGGAGATTGGCCTCCCAGGCCGGCTTCTTCAGGCGTAGTGCTGAGGAGCTCGGTCGCCTGTCAAAAATCGGTATCGCATAATCCTACCCCGAACCTTCGTCCCATTCGCAAACTGACACAACTTCAGCCTTGAACGCTGAAGGCCTGCACACCCCCACAAAAGCCTATACCCTCCTCGACTTTGAAGATAGCTCATCTGTCGAGGGCTGCAAGACCATGGCCGACCGTGTCGTTGGTGGTTTCAGCACTGCCAGCCTGGACTACGACCCCGGTTTGCCTTCGGCAAATATCCCGCCGCATGCTCGATTCCACGGCAAGATCTCTACAAAGCTTCCGTCAAACTTTCGCGTCGACCGAACTGGTATGTATAAACATAAACTACGAATATCTCGGTGACTTGGAGCTAATTGTTATCGCGCAGGATACGCCGCCTTCCGCAATCAGGACCGCGGTGTCTGGCTCTTTGGCCGTCTCTATTGGGATCTCGATCCGTACTCCTACCTCGCCCTTCGCATTAAATCCGACGGCCGAAGATATACCGTGAACATCCAAACAGATTCAATCGTCGACACCGATATCCACCAGCACAGATTGTATACCCGACACCACCGCGTGCGCGGCACACCCACCGCCCCATTGCGCAATCCCTCCGAGTCTCGCGAGCATATAAATGAAATGTACCCGCACGGCCGTCCAGATGCCCTCTCCGATACTCCGCCCGAATCCACAATCATCTCCTCTTCCTCTTCAGCAACCACATCTGGCTCGACAGGCTGGGAAACAGTTCTCTTGCCTTTGACCTCCTTCGTCCGTACAAACTTCGGATACGTTGTGGAGCCACAGACTTCCATTATGCGTAATCGGGTCAAGAGCATTGGTATCGGTCTCACAGATCGCATCGACGGCCCGTTCGACCTGCGCATCCATAAGATTTGGGCGACGAATGGAATGGACGAGCACGATGCTGCGGAAGACAAGCTCATCTGCGGTGCCCATGCGCTTCCAGTTGATGAGGGTGTTCGTACAGGTTGGGCGGCATCTAAGCTGCTCGAGAAGGAAGCCGAGAAGGAAACCGGCGAGCAGCAGACATCTCAGACTAAGAAAAAGGGACTCCAGGGCCTACGATCAGAATGGGATGAGTGATGGACAACCAATGCAACTACGCCTCCTCCTTTGCGTTTTGCGTGTACAGTACAATATTTGAAATATAGCCCCAGCCTTGACCAGCAGAAAATACCAATGTTACATTTTCGATCACTCTTCGATATCATTTTCATCCTTTTCGCATATCAAAACTTCATGTATATCTAGAAAGGACAGGCAACGCCGGCGTTCGCAATTTATTGACCATCGGTGATCTTCTCCCAAGCCTCCTTGTACTTCTCAGCGGTCTTTTGCTGAATCTCCTCGGTCATCCGCACACCATCCTTACCCTTGAGACCCTCCGAGACAAGCCAATCCCGCAGGAATTGCTTGTCAAAGCTTGACTGGCCACGACCAATGGCGTATGAGTCCTTGGGCCAGAATCGGGACGAGTCTGGGGTCAAGACCTCATCGGCCAACACAACCTCGTTCGTCTCCTCGTCGACGCCAAACTCGAACTTGGTATCAGCGATGATCACCCCGCGCTTGTCCGCATATTCGTGCGCAACCTTGTACAATTGCACGGCCAGCGCCTCGACGGTTGAGGCATACTCTCCAAGGATCTTGGCAGCTGTACATTCGCCAATGTCAGTTCTCTAACTTAACTGGAAGAAGAAGAAAAGAAGCCTCTGGTAAAGCCTTGCGGGTCACGTACCTTGATCGGGGTGGATGTTCTCGTCGTGCTCGCCCTGCTCCGCCTTGGTGCTAGGGGTATAGATTGGACCATCGGGGAAAGCTTGGCTCTCCTGCAATCCCGGGGCGACCTTGATTCCGTGAACAGTGCCAGACTTCTTGTACTCGTTCCAGGCGGAGCCGGTGATGTATCCGCGGACGATGGCCTCAATGGGGAGGATGCGGAGCTTGCGGACTTGCATGCTGCGGTTCTGTAGCACGGGGCGCAAAGATTCAGGGATTTGAGGAGGCAGGTCGAGGGTGATGAAGTGTGTGCGCAGAGACGGGACGGCTTCCTTCAGAGCGTTGAACCAGGTGCGAGTGCAGAGGGTGAGCAGAACTCCCTTGTTAGGGATTCCCTGTAAGAAAATTGTTGTCAGTTATCAGGCTGTGATTTCCCGGGTTGAATTGAGCTATTGAATGAGAGGTAGAGCATGTACATTCTCCATGATCACATCGTAGGCAGAGATACGATCGGTTGCGACGAAGAGTAGGGTCTTGTCGTCGATTTCGTACAAGTCGCGAACCTTACCCCGGGCGACGAGGGGCAAAGCGCCTTGCAGATCGGTGGTTGTTAGAGCTTGGGACATTGTGGGGGGGTATACAATTGAGACGAAGGGTGTAAAATGTCTAAAAGTTGTAAATGCGTCATGCGGTTAATTTTTGGCGGGGCAGCGAGGGCGGTTGCGGCCTGAGGCGCTTATCCGCCTTTATCGCGTCGCGCGAACAACTTTAAGGTGACCTGCCGCGGATTTGGAGTTTATTGCTTGACTTTCCCTCGCGAGATTCAATATGGCCTGGTCGTGACCAGATAGAAACCATGGCCCGTTACTTGACACCCTGCAGAATCTCTCTGCTGTGTCTGATCACTGTTTACACGGATGGCGTCGTCCCCAACTCGTCCGCCATTCATGTGTTGTCCTTCCTCACCGCGGGTCTCTTCCCTTTAGATCCCGCCGATAAGCAATGGGAGAGTCATTACCTGCCCAGCATTGACGAATTAGAAGAGGTGCTTTCACATCATGAGTCCTCAATTCCCGGTCGCACGTTATGGGATTTATTTCTCAGGAAGTTATGGTCCCTCGACTCACTCGATGCTCTGGAGGAGTTCATGAACGAGGTCCTGCCATCCCTCTTGTCCAAGACGCGTGAGCAATTGATCCAGGAGCGTGATAGTGGTCTAGCCCCGGAAGAAGAGGGAATGCGCTTGTCTAGGAGCTCGCCGCTGGGTGCATTTGTGCGCAGAGCCTGTCTCGAATACACGCGGTTGCAGTTCCATGATTCGGTGACGTTGTGGACTGGATTTGTCAAGTACCGTCTACCAACATATCATATGTGGGCGCGGAGGAATCCATCGGATGAGCAGTCGCCGGTTGATATTAATTTGACCATGAATGGCTTGGATACCAGCAGCTACCTTTCGCAGGTGGTCTATGGTGATTTCGAGCAAGAAGTGCAGGACGATGGAATGGTTAGTGTCAAAGATGCAGAGCGACTGGTTGAGTTCCAGGTTGGCGAGCTACAAAGTATGTCGAGACTCCAAGGATGACAATTTTCTGTGCTAACGAGTACAGGACTGGGAGGCAGAGTTCCAGACGAGATGAGGACGCAACTGAAGCGTATCATGACCTCGGAGTCATCAGTTCCCATCTTAATGTATTATCTCGAGTACGTTCAATTGGCCCAATTAACCTAACCTCCCTAGCAGTAATTTCGCTGACAATATTCAGGTATCTCGATGCCTGGAAAGCTGGTGACTACACATCGGCTTTCGACAATCTTCATCGCTACTTTGACTACACTATGCACAGTAACCTTGACCGAAGTGCTTATCAATTTGCTCTGCTTAATCTCGCTATCATCCAAGCTGATTTCGAGTGCTTTTCCGAGGCCATATCCGCCGTGCAGGAGGCCGTCGCTATTGCGCGTGAATCGCACGACATGAACTGTCTCAACTTCTGTATGAGCTGGCTTTATCATTTTGGAAAAGCTTTCCCGGAACAAATGCGAGAAGTGCAGAATAGTGGCATGCTAGGCAATGAAAAGGAAGGCCTTGCATTTCTCAAAGCCAAGTCGAAGGAAACTGACATGTGGTCCCTTTTGAGTACCACACTAGTGAGCGAGGCAAAATTAGAGATGCAACAGGTATGCCTTGAATCGTTCTTCATTCATGGATTGAAGAAATCATGCTAATAGATTATAGGGTGAAAGTCTTGCCTCGATCGTTGAAACATTCGTACGAGCTTCTCATGTCAACATGACCAAAGGCCTCTCCACGTCGACGGGGTCGCATATGCAGCTACAAAGCATCATGTATGCCCGAATAGGTAGGATTCTCGTTTCCTGCTCCTTGTGAAACCCTTTGCTAACCCCACTCGACAGGGGCTACTCACCTATCTTGGCTAGATACTGAAGTATTCCGCGAATGTTATGCAGAGGGCTCACCCTATGATGACTTCGTCAAGCTCACGTTCCGAAATTGCCAAATCGTACGGTATTCCAACACACACCTCCATCACACATGCTAACCCCGCTCTTTAGCTCGCACAAAAAGGAAACTACAAGGAGTCCTTCGCACGAATGAACAAGGTCGAAGCAGACAGACTCCGTGCCTTCAAATACAACAACTCCTGGACCTACTATTCAGGCCTCCTCCAACTACAACGACAAATTTGCCGGTGAGAGCCTCCCCTTCACCATTTTTTCTTCCCAGTGACGCCTCTTATCTAACATGAATCCACTCTCCAGCGACGACAAAGTAGCGGTAGAGCACATCCTCGCCCAACTCCAAGCCGTCCAACTCCTAGAATTTGAAATGCGCCTCCTACTCGCCTTCCACACAATCGAATTCACAATCCGACAAGGCGACTACGGCCGCGCCCTCAAAATGGTCGAACAAGCCGCCCACTCAATGCAACCCGAAAACTTCGACGTCCACTCCCAAATCAAACTCCTCTGCCTAAAAGCGCGCATCCTCGAGAAATCCGGCCACCCACAAAGAGGATTCTCCCTCGCCATGCGCGCCGCCAGTATCGCCCACCGCTCCAAAATCCTCTTCGACCTCTGGGAATCAATTTGCACCCTCGCCGCCGTGCTAATCAGTTTGCGTGAATTTGAAGCTGCGGTCGAACTCGTTGAGAGCATTATGCCTCAGATTCTGGAATCGGAGGACTTTGCGCTCATTGCGCGCGCTTATTCGCTTCTTGTTGATGCGAATATGGGTATTGCGGGTGAGTTGTGGTCGACGATGGGGAGGAAAAGTACGCCGGTTCGGAAGGAGTATGTTAATCGGGCGATTGGGTATATTGATTCTGCGTATGATTCTTATGAGGAGATTGAGGATTTGCTGGGTCAGACGGAGATGATGGCTAAAAAGGCGACGGTCATGCATTTGACGGGTGATCCGGTCTTGGCTAATGATTATGCGGCGAAGTATTTGGATTTGCGCAGGCGGAGAGGCGCTGAGGTTTGAATATCATATCAATCGTTCTTTGTAATTTTAGAGGGTTGGCGTTTTTTCTTTCTCGCCGGGAATGGCATTTGTTATTTTTACCCCTTTCCTAAAGGAGGTTCTTCTCGAGATACATGAAGATATTCTTGATAAAATCAAGTTCGAAATTCCTTCGGAAAAACAGCAGCGATAGGAGAAATTAATACCCATTATTGATTTGGAATTGCATAACTTTTCAATGCTAAAACCCGAATGGCAAACCTTATCTATTGTTTTGATTTGATCATTGGTTTTTTTGAAGATCACTAATCTACCACCCTTCTCCAACAGTCGCTGTTATTGTCAATGTCATAATCATCATCATCATCGTCATGGTCAAGATATTCTCCGTCTTTCGTGCCAACCTTTCTCATCCCCACTCCTCTTCTTACACTCGCTCCACCACCTTGAGTGTCTACTCATCACTCTGCATTCTCCTTCTAATACCTGATCTTTGATACTCATCGATACCTTCATCATGAATCTCCTTGACAACTTTTTGAAGCGATGCGCCGATGTAAGCAGTAGCAAACCTGCCAGTAATTTCAATGCTGTGAGATGAAAATGGTCGAATCTTCAAGAATGAGGATTTTTCAGGGGCGATTGTGAGTGATTTGAGGTCTGTACGGTATGACTGGACTTTTTCTGAGGCACGAAGACAAAATTCTTCCATACAGGCTCTGGAATCGTCGTCAAGGAGACAAAGTCCAGGAACGGCGACGCGAATACACCGAAGGCGGGATACGTTGAACACGCCAATATCGTCAAGGAGTTTGGTTATAGCTCGAGGATCCTACCGGATGAGGTCAAAGCAGTTGCTGCCGTAAAGGATTGAGCTGGCCTCGTGCAGGATTGTCTTGTTTGTGAGCAGAAGGTTTGTCGCAATCCTTTCGTCGTTGTATCTTTTCCAGGGAATGATAGGCTCCCTGAACTGAAATAGATACTTGTAAATCTCATTGCGGAGTTCGGCGGGAAGATCGAGGAAGCTTGTTGCCATCTTTCTGGTTTTGTCCTTCGCAAATGTTTGATAGACGAAGTGGATGGACTCGAGTGAAGTCAAAGGTCGTATTTATCGGATGATAGGTGCTGTGATGCTCATGGATACGATCGAGGAGAAAACAGCGAAAGGAATGGCTTTCAACGAGTATGGTTAGCATGAGGATAAGGGGGAGGAGGAAGTAGAAATAGAAACAGAAGCAGCAACTAAATACAAACGGGAGCCCGGGAGTCTAAGGCATCCAGATGCCACAGCTATGTGAATCGTTACTGCGAACCTCAAGTCTCACACGACAACAGCAGCCTTCAGACAACACATATAAAACGGAAGTCTCGAGCCATCTCAAGGTCACGGAAAATCCACCTACAGATCCACTACGAAGCAAACATCCCAAGACCAGCACCGGTAAAGAAAAACAATCAAAAGAAACAAAAGAAATATCAAGATTGAATTGATAGAATACGACAAAGTCCCACTTCATTCTGTTAATCACACATCCCCGGACCAACCACCTAGTAACAGGTACTGGCAGGCTCTATTTCCCGTGAAACATCAGCGCGATAGAGATACATATACAGTGGCAAGGATGTCTTCTCCAATGTGGCGCGTCAAGGGCTCGATTCACGGGATTTGTTGCAGATTTTGTTGCACGTTGTAGACGTTAGACTTAGGTGGGCTTGTCCTTGACGTGGTAGTTGACTTCGGAGTTCCAGCTAAGAAGTCGTTAGTGGGGTGCTTTTCTCAAAGAATGGGTCGTGGGTGGAGCAAGGGAGTCAGTCAATCTGTCTGTCTGTCTCCGGGGGTTTATGGGCAGTGTGTCAATGAAATTCCCGGCGCAAAGGCAGAGAATCTGGTTCCTGCTCAAGGCGTGGAGTGGATATAATATCATCGGGCAATTGAAACTCACAAGATAGTCTAGCGAAATGAGTTAGTAAACACGATATCATTTTGGGTTGGGGGATTGCGGAGGTATAGAAACTCACCTTGTCACCATCTCCCCAGGGGTAGTTCTTGCTGCGGATGTTCTGGTAGGGGTACTCGGTACGCTCCTCGAGAGGGGCCATGTGCTCCCAGTGCTCCCAGTGCTCGTTCCACAGGTAGTAGGCGTTCAGGCCACCGCCAATGAGGCAGGGGATGACAGCGCTGCAAAAGACACAAGTTAGCATTATTCGAGGACCGTTCGTTGGCATCGTGCAAGGCATTCTAGCTCTCTCGCTCTGTCTCGAGGGGGAGTGGTTTGGTCGGGAGTGCGTACAAGATGGAGAGCTTGCGCCACAGGTCTATGAAGCCAATTGAGTCAGTACAAAGCCCGCAAGTCGGCCTAGAGCCACAGGATATCCATCCCGCGGGAGGAATTCGAGCTGCACGTACCGCTGGTGGAGGCGGCGTGGTGCTTGACAGCAGCACGCTCACGGTTGAACTCGTTGTCGACGATCCACTCGGGCTTAGCCTCGGCGGAGTTGAAGCGGCGCTGAACGGTCTGGCGGACCGGAGTCGAGCGCGTAGCACGCTGGGACAGACGGGCGGCGTTGCGGAACATGGTGGGTTGGGGGTTGGAGTGGAGGGTTCTGTGGAAGAGAGATCGGGGGGGGTCATACGTTGAAATTGAGGCCGCTTTAGTGGACTCCCGTAAATCGCCGGCTTATGTAACTCGACGTCACTCCACACTCACGTGATATCGAGCTTTCCACGACGGCAGGGCGACCTCGGTCTGTTTATTTAGTTTGGGGTTTATTGCTTTCGTGCATCGTGTCTGCGAATTAAGACGAGGTAATCTTGCTTTCCACGAAGAGAGTCTCTTTCAGGGCTTTTCTGTGGCTGCGCTGCTGGACATGCTGCTGTGTGGAAAAGGAGCTGTTGGCCATGGGGTTTCGCATAACCACCTGGAATGGTAAGCTTTTCCCGTTCTTTTGGATGATGGACTGTATGATGTTCAGATGCTGATATATGTTTGACAGTGAACGGCATTCGGTATGTGGCTAGAAAGCCGAAGGGATCAAGCTTCAACTAACAACTCTCCAGAAATCCATTCTCCTACGAACCATGGAGAGGGACTAAGACCTTTGAGGTGAGACACTTGATCCTGTGGACCCGAGAAACAATTTACTAATTCATCTATGTACAGTCCATGTTTGATATCTTGGAGTCGGATATTGTGGTTTTCCAAGAAACCAAAATCCAGCGAAAAGACCTCCGAGATGATATGGTCCTGGTTCCCGGGTGGGACTGTTATTTCAGCCTTCCCCGCGTCAAAAAGGGCAAGTATCCTTCTTCAAGGACTTTGCCTTACCCTTGCTAATTACCCACAGGCTACTCTGGCGTGGTGATATACACGCGCAACGCGACTTGCGCACCCATTCGTGCCGAAGAAGGTATCACGGGAGTCCTTTGTCCGCCAAATTCATCGCTACCTTTCCGCGAGCTACCTTCAGACCAACAAATAGGCGGCTACCCTACAATTGAACAGCTCACGCGGTCTAACTCACAAATTGGGGATGATTCCGCAGAGGAAAACGACGACGATAGCCCAGCGGCCGAACCAAATATCGATGCGGCAACTCTGGATTCGGAAGGACGTTGTGTGATTCTCGAGTTTCCAGCATTTGTCTTGATTGGAACCTACTGTCCTGCGTACCGGGATGAAAGCCGCGACTCCTTTCGAATGGACTTTCTCAATGCTCTCGATGCTCGGGTCCGGAACCTCACTGCCATGGGCAAGCGGGTATTCCTCACTGGAGATATCAACATCTCAAAGCTCCCCATTGACTCGGCACATGCTATTGAAGGTATTCGCAAGTGTACCACGACACAGGAGGAATTCTTGTCCAGTCCGCCGAGGAAATTATTCAACGAGTTGCTCTCTGATGGCGAGGTGGTCGGGGAACGCGAGGCCGGGCGGGAGCAGCCAGTCCTCCATGATATCTGCAGATCGTTTCATCCAGAACGTACTGGCATGTACACGTGCTGGGACACGAGGCTGAATACACGGCCGGGAAATTATGGGTCGCGGATTGACTACGTGTTGTGTAGTCTGGGGATGCGTGATTGGTTTTCCAGTTCCAATATTCAGGAGGGATTGATGGTATGTTTTCTCAAAGCTGGCGCGCTTTCCCTCGGACCTTGAAATTTTCAGACCTCGAAGTAAACAAACAAACGTGTCTATTCTAACGATTCTTTCCTCCCTCCAGGGCTCCGATCATTGTCCTGTCCACGCCGTCTTCAAAGCCGAAGTATCCCACAACGATGAAACGATCCACATCAAAGATCTCATGAACCCCTCTGGGACGTTCAAGGGCGGCGAACGTCAACAAGAGTATTCTTCGAAGTACATGTTACCCACGTCTGGACGACTCCTCCCAGAATTTGACGTGGACAAACGAAGGAGCATCAAGGATATGTTCTCTCGGAAGCCTTCGAGCGCACCAAATGTAAATTCTACTCCTACGGCATCGAATACGCCCAGCTCGAAGGAAGTTGGCGATGCCTCGACTCCACTCGCTCAAAACGGGGGTCCGCCATCGCTATCGCGCAAAAGATCACAGCCTCCCTCGATCTCACCCATCAAACGCTCCAAGTCCTCCGCGACGCCCTCCGGGACTGCGACCTCCGGCCAGAAAACATTGGCTGGGTTTTTCAAACCAAGGTCCGCCGGAAGCAGCACAGCTTCTCCGGTGCGATCCGGAACCTCCCAGATGTCCCCTCCAGCCTCCGGAACAACGAGCAGCATCGAAGCGCGCTCTACAACAGATGACGTGTCTTTCCAAATACCCTCGGCGGCACCGGGGAGTGTGTCCGTCGCGTCTACCGAAACCCCAACCGGTGATCTCACGCCCAGCAAGCTCGGAGACGACCTGGTGATCGACCCGATCGTCAGCAAACAAGACTGGGGCAAGCTTTTCACGAAAAAGCCCGTCCCCAAATGCGATGGACATCAGGAACCGTGCATCAGTCTTACCACGAAGAAACCGGGCATGAATCAAGGTCGCGCCTTTTGGATTTGCCCTCGGCCCCTCGGGCCCAGCGGAGAGAAAGAGAAGGGCACGCAGTGGCGATGCCCGACATTCATCTGGTCCAGTGATTGGAATTCATCGGCATCAACGGAGTCCTAGAACATGGGATAGGAAAGGAAGTTCCCAGTCGTAGATCAAGATACCCATTTCATCGTGGTTTGGTGGTCAATATACATACAATTTGCCTATCACTTTTTTTTCTCGCATTTTTCCTCTTTTTTTTCTTGGCCTGTAGATTTCTTGGTGTTACACGGTCGAGAAACAATGCTAATGACTCGAGCGACTTGCAGGTACCCGCAGGTCTCCGTCCACCCATTCATCTGTTCATACATTCATCCATTCACAGGTACTCGCATCAATTGCGGTGGTGGCCTAACGCAGCAGGGATTATTTCGATTCACTGGTAGCTCCCCTTTTACAGGTATGTACAACACCGCCCACACTTAGCGTGTTAATTTTATTGATTCTATGCGATTGAATTGATGGATTGGAATTAATTTTGTGGTTTTGCGAATTGAAGTTCTGAGCTAACATTGGGCAGATCCACCGAGTCTGGGGGATTGACAGTACTAAAGACTACTCTAAAGATTAAGTGGAGAGGGCAACTCCACTCCTTCCTGTCAACCTCATCTCAACCTCATCTCATCACATCGACCCAGGTCTTTAGCCATTTTCTTTGTCTACAAGAAATCGAACCGGATTTTGTGCCAATAAAATAACATTAATTCTACCCAACACCCGTTCTCAGTGGCGCAATGGGCCGCCACCGAGGATCAAAGAAACAAAGAAGATGGAAACTCGGTGGGCCCAGGGGAGGCCCGCAGTGAATAAAAGAGCTCCCCCATCTCCTCCCAAGAACATTCTGCAATTCTCCTGGATTCTCAATAACAGAGACCGTTGACTCATACTCAATTGTCCTGGAAATTCACAATCAACAGCTGCCTAGCCAACGGTGTGGATCACAGGCCATTGTTTGCAGCCTCAATAAACCACCAGATCCGCCTATCACCGGATCGCCTCACCCAGTATACAAACTTATACAAACTGTCTCAGGCGACTGTGCAAACTCACAAGCCCTGTTGTTGTTGTCCTCAGACACGGTGCCCCTATTTGTTTACCTTTCTGTCTCCTCTCTCTTCTCTTCCTCTTTCCATCGACTTCATTTTTCCCCCACCCCCATACCCTTTGCCCAATACCGCTCTCAAGCCGATCACCTCACTCCTCATATCCCATTCTCTCTTTGACGAGGCCTTCGTCAGCACCTCGCTTTCAGCAGGTCAGGTCCCCTCGTCACAGACCATCTTAGACCTTCTCTCACCTCCTCCCATCCGACTCAGAACTCACAGACCTTCTATCCAGGAACGTAACGCTCCAACAAGCGTGGCGATCCGGTTGACTTCTGTTCTCTGACGCCGTTTCGGACCAAAAGGTTCAAAAAGGACCTTCCAAAATCCGCCAACTCCAATCCTCTCATCCGAATCAGGATTCTCAACCGTCTCCCAGAGACCGCAACGCTCAAAAAGGCGTACCAAACCACCCGAAATCCAGCTCTCACGCGGATTCTCATCTCCTTTTCCCGACTCTCATCGACAACCGCCCCTCTCGATCCAACCCAGCATCCGCAGGTCTTCTCTCCGGCGAACGTAACGCTCCTCCAGACGTGGCGAACCGGTTTGATTCCTTGCGCTTTGTCGAGGATTCATCCTTTTCTTTGACCCTCCTCTCATCTCCCAAGAGGATATCTGGGTCAGTTCTTTCTTCACTTGGGTACGGTGACCGTCAAGCTTGGTCTTCGTGCGATTTCTTCACAGTCGCTACTTGCAATTGAAAAAAATCTCCTTCTCAATCATAATTTTCTGCAATGGCGGCTACCGAACCCATTCAGCGAAACCACACCCGACTCATCCCGATAATTTCTCAAAGCGACGAGGACAGACGAATCCGAGAGGAAGCAGAATGGACTCCTACCATACTGCGCTTCTTTGACTATTTGACGGCCGTTCCAGTTGATCGTGCTTTCCGAATCCTGGGATTGTGGACGGCGGAGCTGACTTTTGAGGACTTTGCTGCCACGATGGTCGCTAAAATCCCAACAAGCTGGTTTTCCGAAACACATTATGCACCAGTCGGCCCTCGTCTGGTTTTCGCCAACAACCGGCTATCCCTGGAGCAGTCCCAGGAATCAGATCGGGCCCCGCTCATTTTACCCTTCCATGTGTTCTCCAACCCGAGCGAGCAGATCAGTCCTCCGCCGGGGCCTCCCTCCAAACGCAGAGCTCTTAACTGCTTTATGGCGTTTCGCAGTAAGTAATTCCACATATTCATTCTTTTGTTCCATGCTAAAAGTTTTAGGTTACTTTTCTGGCATTTTCCCTGGCATTCGCCAGGCGACGAAATCTAGTCTGCTGAGTGAAATTTGGAAGACTGATCCACTCAAGTCCCACTGGTCACTTTTGGCAAGGGCATACACAATCATCCGCGACAATTTCCGGATGGAAGACCCCACCCTGCCCCTGTTCATTCGACTTGTTGCCAATTACATGGGAATGCCCTTGCCCCGAGCCTACTTGGCTCTGTGTGGTTTTACTGTCGAGCTGCAACTATTCCCAGAGCGGAGATACAAGGTCCATGGTCCAAATCTGAACGAGCGGATTATTCCACATGTCCGTACGATCGAAATCAGTGAAATTGTGGCGTTTCTTCAAGCCAGTGAACTCTACCAAATGGAGCAATATCCAAGTTCCATTTGGCCGTATGAGAATTCTCCTCGTGAGAATGGTCAAATGGCGGTTCGTATCGACCCTGATCAACCTGTGATTGACGATCCCCTTGCCGGTCTCTTTGATGAACGAAACTGGGAACTCGACCTGGAGGACACATACTCTGTTGTCGATGACAGTTTGGACCCCGACCAGGACTTAGTTTACTGGCCCGCCATTGACCTCAACAGCCTGGCACGTTTCGATGACGAGCGGATGGAGACTTCTGACGGATACCGCGCCAGACGGAATGACGGTTCAATTTCTGGCGTGCCCCCGCTTCCTAGCAACAGCTAGGTTTTCTATCACCCATCGCGATTTCAGCTATAACGAGTTGATGCATTGGTCAATACACACAGCAAAGAAAACAAGTCACAGTTCACGAAAGGAAAGTAAGTTTCAGTATGCGCAAGGAAAGCATATCTATCGTCTCCAGACTCACACACGACACCTCGCACTTAACAAACCTCGCCGGAAAGACAGCAGTCAGACAGGTCTTGTTGAACAACTCCGAAAAGGATTGATGGGGTCCACCACGGCGCGCCGGTCACCATTCGCGTTCTGAATCATCATACCCATCTATATAACACCACCTCCCGAGGTACTCGTGTGTTGTCTGCCCGTTTCCTGTTGCGTTATTCCCCCATTCCCCATTCCCCATTTCTTTTTTTTTCTTTTTTGTTTTTTTGTTTTTCTCCTTATTGTTAGCGATGTACATTAGTATATACACTCAAAAAAAAAAAAAAACCTCACAAAACAAAAGTCCCGGATGTCTTGCACATCCTTTCTTTCTCCACCGTAGTCTTGTAGATTCCATAGACCTCCAGTGATCTCCGCAATCAAGATTACCTTGAATCTAAAAGGTCCCATCCATCCTTGCGCCGTTCGAGATCCGCAAGTTGGAATCGGGGCCTTTTCGCAGATCATCTCGAATGTAGATTTTAGTAGGAGAGACAGGAGGATGAGATGGAACATGGAACATGAAGATGAAGGAAGAGGATGGAGATTTATGCGATGGAGGAAATCTTCACGCTATATCTACCTATCTACTATAATGACAAACGGCATGCCCTGGGTGCAATCGCCAACAGAAAGAAACTTGAATAAAAGCAAATGCAATGCAGACAAGGATATCCTAGTCATGCGTGCATGAAGTCACGGCGTGAGCTGACCATGCCGCTAGGCCTGACGCTGATCGGGTTCAGTAGAATCTTCGTAGCGTGGAGAGAATTCGAGTCGGGTTGGGTATAGGAGTAGTAGATACATACGTATACACATCTCCTATTCGAAGCTACGAGGCACGAGAGAGCGGAGGAGCGGGATCATCACCGTCTACGTAGGTACGTGTTACATACCGGGCTACAGACATCTGCCAAGTCGGAAACGAAGTCGAAAGAACTTGAAAGAAAGAGGGAGAGACTTGATACATTCGCTGGTCTCGATGATAGAAGCTAAAGACAAGGACGAGCGATATTTGTAGAGGACAAGAAAGGGGATCAGGATCAATACTTTGGATTGGGGGCAAGAAAAGATAAGATAAGACAAGACAAGAGATCCCATTTCCCCGAGAGGGAGATAGTTCCAGGATATACACAGTGGAAAGTGGAAAGGGGGCCAATCATTGCGAAACGACGATGGCGAAGGACGAGGGTAAATCAAAAGAGAGATTCGGTTTACTCCTCCTGGTATGAGATCTTGCGCATTTCGCCGAGGCGTTGGCGGGCGCGGGCGAGTCCGTTCTCCAGTTGTAGGATTTCGACCTGGAATTTTTATCAAGGTTAGCGGTTTGGTTCGACACATGGTAAAGGACCGACCGGTCGTGGGTGGATGGGGATGGGGATGGGGATGGGGAGGGGGGAGGGGAGGGGAATGATAGTGGAAGAGAAGTAGTTGAAAGATACGTACCTGCTGCTCCATCTCGCGCACCTTGAACTCGTGAGAGCTCAGGGTCGCGTAGTCCTCCGCCTCATTATCACCGCTGTGCTTCTCCTTGATGATATCCTGCACTTGTCGCACCAAGGCGCGGCAAGCGGCTCCAACGGCCTTGCTAGCACCCTCCAGTCGGTCCTGGGACTTGCTCATGAAGGTAGCCTTGACACGACTAGCGGCGACGAGCTGGGCAGTGCTGGCGGCGACGTCGTTGGACGCAACGATGAGTTGTTCGGGCGAGTTGCGACCGGAGATGACACCATCAGCGGTCTCGATCAAAGTGTTGGTCGAACCGGCAACGGCCTTGGCTGCGGAGATCAAACCCTCTGTCCAGCGGTTGTTCTTCTTGTAGAAGGCTGTTTTGGAAGCGCTACCGCGGCCCTCGCGAACAATTTCTTCCTGCGAGACGGTGGCGGCCTTGATCAGCTCTGCGATCGCAGTGGTCACGGCAATAGCAGCGGCCAGGATGGAGTCACTGATGCGAAGCTCGTAGGTAGAGTAGCCATCACGGGGCTTGTTCTTGAGCTTGGCCAGGCGCGCGGCAGCGGCCTCAATTGCATCGGCGGCCTTTGTGAGTTCGGAATCGACGAGGTCGCCGAGATCGCCCTTGGTGCTGATCTTGCTGCTCTTGGGGGTGAAGGACTCAACCAGCTTCGACAGGGACTGCAGGTCTCGCTGCACTTCCAGGTTATTGTTGATGACGACGTCGGTCTTGTGGTCGGCCTCCATGCCCTCAAGGCGGAATGACTGCAGGCCGCGGAAGAAGCGGACTGTAGCCTGTGCGGACTTGCGAGCCGCGCCAAACAGTTGATCCGAGCTCTTGTCATCGTTGGCAAAGCGGGACAGACCCTTGGTGTTGCTCAGCGTATCGGCAATTGAGCCTGAGAAGACGGATACTGTGCGGATGATCTCGGCGTGCGGGCTGTTGGGTCCATCGGCGATGAAGTTGTTAAAGGCGGTTGAGAATTCGGTGGCGGAAGCCGCGGCCTTCTCGATCTGTGACAGCACGTATGGAGGCGAGGCATTCTGGTTACCGGCTTGCATGGACGAGTCCAGCTCATACATCGCGTCGTCTACGCGCTGTACACCGGCTTGCAGCACAGAGTCAATGATATCGTTGATCTTGGCCACCGTTCCGTGAAGCACTGTGTCGATTTGGCTGTCAAGCGCATGGTCCACATCACCTTGGTTCTAAAAGTTTCATCGTTAGAAAAAGACGGAGGCAAAATCTTCGCAGTGGTGTAACTAACCAGCTTCAGCTCCTCCAGCTCCATAAGAGCCTGCTCCATACCAGACTTGTAAACCTCAATCTCCTCATCCTTTTCTTGGAGAGCGAGATCGTGGTCTCCCGAACGTTCGGAGTTGCGGCCTTGAATGTCCTCCAAAGCACGGTTTTTATTCTAAAAAAAAGAAGTTAGTCACTGGCACCACCATGAGTGTAAAAAAGGAACAATTCTTACCCGAAGAGCCTCTTCCAAGTCGGCCATCTCACGATTATACTTGGACAGCATAGATGAGATCTCAGTGCCCTTTGATCGCTCAGCGTTCTCAGCACGGTCAATCGCCATGCGGAGCTCCCGCTTAAGCTTCTCCAAATCTTCCTTGTTGGTACCAGAGACACGGTCCTTGTCGTGCAAAGCACGATCACGCTCCCGAATCATATCAGCCAGCTCCAAGTTCTTGGTCTTGAGCTCGCGCTCCAGCTTTTCGCGGCGGTCAATCGCCTCCTGTGCGGATGCGGCCTTGATCTTCAAGCTCTTGGTAGTCGTCAAGAGATCCAGATGCTCTTGTCGCAGCTGCGAGTAGAGCTTGGCGAGGGCTTCATACTTGGATCGCCAGGTGTTAACCTGTTCCTGTAGAGCCCGGATTTGTTCGTCCTTGGAGGAGTTTTGCAGATTGATGTTCGAATTCAGGTTGTTCATCTGTTCCTCCAAGTCCTTAACACGGCGGTCATACTGCTGAAGCATTAGCTGATCCCGCTCGTACTGCGCACGCGCGTTCAGATTCTCTTGCTCCAGCTCAGCCAAGCGACCTTGGGTATGTGTTTGGTATTGATCGCGAAGGAGTTGCTCTTGTGCCAAGCGTTGCTGCTCAGCCTGCTGGCGCTGCTGTTCCTCGAAGTCAAGCTGGGCTTGTTGTTGGTGAGCCTGCTGCTGACGCTGCTGCTCTTCCCACTGCTGCGCCAAACGGGCTTGCTCGGCCTCATATTCTTCTTGCTGGCGTCTCGCCTCGGTGGTCCAGAAGTCGCTGATGGGCTCTGGCTCGGCGGCCACCTTGGGTGGGGGAGAAGGCTGAGCTTCCACCTCCCTGGCTGGGCGTCTGGGCAGAGCTGGTCGCTCGTCATCTTCTCCCAGGAGACTTGGTGGATCCTGCGGCAATTTGGGGATGGTGATTAGACTGGTAAGATAACGGAGGTTCGAGCACTCGTAATAGAATCGAACAAGACGGTGATGCTGGGCATCGTAACGGCCTCGGAGCGGTTCAAGGGCTTCATCATCACCAGTGGCTTTTGTAGGGTTAAAGGGTCAGCAATTTCGCAAGAAGAGTCTGGGAAGATAAGGAAAAGAAACATACTTGTGTGCATAGCTCGCAGCATGCTAGTGATGAACTTATAAATTCCATAGCTCTCCTGCACAAGCGGCACCAAGGCAGAGATACGGCACTCATTGTGAGTACCAGATTGGAAATGCGAGAAGATCAGCTTCTGGAAAGCATCGATCTGGTCCTGCAGGGTCATAAGATCGGTAATAGTCTCATAACTATAGATCCGTCAGCACTTGATCCGCAATGGATTTGCAAAGGACAAAGGCTCATGCGCACCCTTCATTCGGATCATTGATCGTCTTCAAACTGATATATTCCTCATATTCAAACAATCCTGGTTTCGTTAGCCCGGGTCTCGGCTTTAAATCGGAGTGTCAGGGAGAACGTGCCGTTGAATTCAGGATGATTGCGGTGGAAATTGAGCTTTGACTCGAGGAAGAAGACGTATTCGCGAATAAGCGGGGCATATCCTAACAACAAAGTACCATGTCAGCGCATCTCTCGTATATACAACCGTCGGTCCAGAGTGTGATCGACAGAGGGGGAAAGGGAGTTGCGCAAATATCTTACCGCATACACCATCGCCTCCAACTCCTCGCATCAAGCTGTCAACCCAATTGGAGTGCTGCTGCGCCTCGCGCACGACGATCGGGTGACCCTCCTGGAGAACCTTGTGTATCGTGATGAGGGCCTTGAATGTCTGGACCTCGTCGGCGAGAACGGGCTGCCTGCAATTGACAATTCCTGGTCAGTAACTATCATCCCTTGGTTATATCATTGTATCCTCGAACGACATACACTTTCATGCCGGCCCAGAAAGCCGCCGACGACTTATGGTCCCACGTGTAGACAATGCAGCTTCGCACATGTTTCCCTGCAAATAGTGTGGAGTGTTAGACGCAAAGTTCGATATTCTTCGTAATTCTTCTTTCTTCGAAAGGATAGCGAGAGAGCGCAATCAGGACGTACGTTTGGGAGCGGTTTCCTCTATCATGCGGGTAGAACGGTTAGCCTCCGGGGATTCCTTAAGCAACTTCTCACAGTCTTGAACAAGCTCTTACCGATACTAGTGGCCTTTCGGATATTGATGGCCAGATCAGCCTCCGTTCTAGATCGTCCTTGTTAGTCGTGTGCTCGCTCAAAGGGAGCGAATTGGGGTTCCGCGTACCGACTCATCTTGACCGGGGGGCAATGCGGGACAAGCTCAGGGGCAACCTGGAAAGGAAGTCGTAGCTTCGCGACAGATTCCCAAGTCCGGACAGCGCGGTATTATCAAAGAGAGCGCCGACCGGAGAAGATGAAGGTTAAGTGTAGAGGAGAAGTTGGAGTCGCACGTGGAGTGCAATGACGTTGGGGGGGAAAGCTGGCGCCTGTCAGTCTTGGCGACGCCTAAGCCCGTCCATCCCTTGTCGAGTGCGGTGAGAATCACCACTGCGCCACGTTCAAAGGCAACGTAATATCTACTGGTACAAGGTATTTACAAAAGTATATATTACTCTTACAATATACCGCAGAATATAAATGAAGATGATCTGAATTCCTAAATCTAAATTCGGTCCTGTCATACCACGGCCCAAAGAATATCTCAACTTTATACAACCAGGGCCGGGTATTGCCATACTTAAGGAGCCCCATAAAACACAATCCTCCATCCTGCTACTGCAACGCAAAGCTAAGATGGAGTCCATAGCAACAGAGAATAAAAGCCAAAATAGAATAAGATAGAATAAAAAGAGCACCTTCAACGCCATCCTATGGTCACACGGGCTTCTTATCGGGCCAGCCCGATGGCTCGAATCCCAAAAATCAATAAAACAACAATACCCCGAATCAAGATCAATCAGGATGATGGGACTGGGATGTCTACCGACTTGAGAGACGGGGTTCCTTCGCTGCTGCCTGATTTCGAAGTTGGTCTCTGATCTACAGAGTGCTGGGATTGGGAATCCGGGGTCCCCTCATCTTCCCATGACTGCGACACGCTGGCGACATCAGTATCTGCAGGAGAAGTGTCATTCTCAAGGAGTATGGGCTCCGTCAGACCCTCCTCTGGGTCAATATCTGCGTCGGCTGGACTATTTGGCGCCGAGTCATTGGGTGCTTCAACCACCAGTAATTCCTCGGCGCCGCCGCCACCACCACCACCACCACCACCACCACCACCACCACCACCACTGCCGCTCACACTACGCATCGATGAAGGGATAGGTTTCCTGCGAGGAAGAGCTGTAGGTCGGACACTTGGTTTATCAGCCACCATGGGTCGTTGAATTGGATTCGGCACCCCGACAGGCTTGCGTTTAGGCAATGTTCCTGAGTTTCTCTTCAGAGCATACTTGTCTGGACGGGGCAGTGGTGCTCCCGGAGGAGGATGCGGGTGGCCACGCCCAATGGGTTCGTCGAGTGTGCGTGCTGGAGGTTGGGATGCTTCTCGATTCTCGTTCATCTCCCCTTTGCCGAAGACACTCCAGCTCCATTTCTTCGCAGCCGCAGTGGCTGATCCGATGGTGAGATTTCCAATGGCCTTGTCGTTGGAAGACGAGGCTGAAGTCAGGGTCCGGGTCAAGGACTCGATCGTACTTCGGCGGCGGGGCTGCTCGCTAGCAATCGAGGTGTTGATTGAAGTAGTGGAGCTTCCACGCGAGCTTCGAGCACTGGAATAGGAGCTGTTGTCGAGGCGAGCAGAAGAGGGGCTCGTGATGACATTATCGCTGGCGAGGCTGGCTCCATCGAGAGACTCCGCAATGGATGGCTCACGGCTGTGAACTGCGCTCTTGGGCAACATAAGACCTCCGGTGGGGGGTGAGTTGTTCGGGGTACGGTGCGGAGAAGCAGGTGGTGAGCGATTTGATATTTCGATCATTGCACTCGTTGCACTACTCTTCTCGCTGTCTTTCTGGCCGGAGCCAACTTTGTTCACTTTGGCATTATCTGCAGTCACAACCGGATCTGCTGCCTGGGAGAACGTTTGTGAGCGCATCGAACGGTGAAATGGCTTGGTGTCTGCCCTGTCAAAGCTTGTAGACGACGCTGCCGGGCTATTTGGCTGCGAAGGAAAGACGAATGATTTCGGGCCTTTGCGTGCCTTCACGCCGGCGTCGGGAGATTTGGGAAGAACAGGCATGCTCATTGTTCGGTCATCCTTGGACTTCAAGACATCGATTGAAGGCTCGGAGGCATCCTTCGTGGTGGGCGGAGGAGCACCAGACTCGTCAGGTATATCCACCTGAGTAGTTTCCGCATCAGGCTCGTCCCGCTGCCAGATACCACCACGGAAAGCCTGGCCGACAGTTTCGTGGAAAGGCACATCATCCCAGAAAGGTAAAACGATACTCTCTGCCACCACCTCACGAATCTTGCTTTCGATGGTGCGGAGGATGGGGCTGAAAGTAATCTGCTTCGAGCTGACAATGGGCTCGATGTCCATCACCATCCTCGGCATGGTTTCAAATGACATCCAGAATCGATTACTGGGAGGGGGCTTGAAACGGACCAGTAAATGGCCCTCAAGTTTCTTCAGCACTACTGCCAGCACGATATCAACTTCTCTTGCTTTGAAACGCTGCCCGAGATCAATGCGCACCGTCGCTGATATCTCAACCCGGAAATTTCCTGTGTATTGGACATCCATCTCCACACAGCAGTTACCGTCGACGGTCAGGTCTTTCAATCGGGGGTTGGTTATAAACGGGGCACCTTCACCCATATCGATTCTCTGCAACCCTATCTTGCTGATGAAGTTCGGTTTATTAACGCGTGAGATCTTTTTAGTGATCTTGTTTCGAATGAATTGCTCCATCTCGGGCGTGCGGTACAAGGCGAGGAAAAGGCGCCCAAAGAATGCATTGATCCAACGCGTTTGAAGCTGCTCTTCAGAAGAGTGTAGTCGTTGTACCAGAGAAACAATATGCTTCACGTCAAAGTCTTGTTGCTTCGGAGGTCTATCCTTCGACTTCCACATCTTCGATTGATTGTGAAGCATGGCGAAATAAAAGTCTTCCTTTTCCGACAAGTTCTCGGAGAACATATAGAACGGGGGCGTAGGACCACCAAGATCTGCCAGCGAATCCAGTCGCCGTGACAGACAAATGGCGTTCCTTTTGAGCCACAATTCACCTTCAGGAATATCCCCTTCACCCCCATGAATAGTCACATCGTGGTGAGCAAGAGAGATGACATAGCGAACTTCTACCTGATTAACATCGTCATAGAGCATCAGGTGGCCATGTCTATGGAAATCCCATTTCTTGTCAGCAAAAGGTTCATCGCCAGCGGGCACTACTTCATTGTAGTGTGTGATAGATGCAAGTCATACCTGAGAACAATGTAAAACACATTCCGCGCTCGTTTCGTATTCTTCCCATTCGTCTTTGCCGGCTCAATACTGGGCGTTTGCTTTCGATCGAACAAGCTCCGGTACATCGCCTGATAAACGCTGGGACTCTCCGCCGCAACCACCTCCCCGGCGGGAGTTGTCCTCTCTGGGGGCTTCCCATTGACACCACCGGGAACATATTCACGACATACAGCAAAATAACCAGCGGCGACATCAGATTCGTGAGTGCGGTGGAATTTCTCCGCCAGCTGATCGGTCCCCGTGCCAGATTTCAGGCTATACTCGTCATCGTCGGGTCGCTGGACCTCATCATGGGCGTACGGAGTGCGGGCAGTCGGAGCATTCGGAAGGGTTAGGTAGACATAGATAAGGATTGAGGATAGGAGGAGTGGGAAGAATGTCAGACCCCCAAGCACGTAAATGACGAGAAAGCTGGCGAGTGAGCCCATCGGGAACCAGTCGATCAAAGCGGGAGCGGGAGGGTCGATAGCTCCATAATTTGACCAGTTCACGTCCGGAGGTAGTGGGGGGTTGGCTCGAACGAGGTAACGAGAGACCGGCTCTGGGAGATAAACAAGTAATAGCAAGAAAAGAATGTGTAAAGCGACTGGGGACTGGCGTGTAGCAGAGCTGAACAGAGCTGAACAGAGCAGGGGAGTTGCAGCTTCCACTCTCACGCGCTGCGGATGATGGAGGTGGTCCCTCCCGAGCTGATGTGGGCCTCGTTTGGTATTGTTTTTACGTGATATAATACTCCACTATAATACAGCTTCCCGCAAATTAGTGCGTGACCTCATGTATCTAAACGTATAATACATAAGTATCGTATTCTCATAACACACCCTTTGAACTGGCTGTACTGGAAACCCCGCAGGATCCGACCAGCTGTCAGGAACAGTCAGCCCTGTGAGATTAGGGCAAGAAAGTCCCCTTCTTTCTCAAAGAGAAAATATCTATACCAAGAGACCTACTTGATAGACCCCCATCAAGGGTTTCCCTCGATGTTTCACAAAGTCTGACCGCGAAACGTGTCTATCATGTCCAACATCATAGGCCCGCCACGATGTACCGAGGTACCCGAGAGTCTCAGGTGTGTGTATAACTCGTATCAAAGTGCTGAAAGATCCACATCCGCACTAGTTACCACATACATCTGGGCATTGAATCTTTGGGATCTAAATTTAACTTGAAATAAAACCATGTCCTGATCAACTCAATCCGAACATTCGCATCTAATAAAATATATACTGTACATACAACCAGAAAAGAAAAATAGTAAGGGGAGCACAACAGATCCGTCTAGTGCGTATATAGTTCTAATGGTACAAACTTCTCTCAAAACGCTCTACTTACGCCGTTTCATGGTCTTCTCGCACATATCAATCAGCCCGGACTTGGCCTCTCCATCGGGGAAATCGCTAATGGCAGCAACGGCCTTGTCGGCATACTCTTGAGCCAGGAGACGAGTCTGCTCCACACCGTTGCTTTGGTTGACAAGCTCACGCGCCTGTAAAAATAACTGTTAGTTTTGAAAAATAGACAAATCTAGTTAGGTAGTTAGGGTAAAGGGGGTTCTCACCTTCTGCACATCACCCTCCTCGCGGAACTTGCGTCCAACCAGAGGACCAAGCTCGGGGTTACTCTTCCAAGCGAAGAGGAGGGGAGCGGTTGCCAGACCAAGCTCCAGATCAGCACCGACAGGCTTACCCATCTCCGCCTCGGTGACAGTGTAATCCAACATATCATCCACCAGCTGGAACGCGAGTCCCAGATTGCGGCCGTATGCGTAGGAAGCCTCGACAACCTCAGGGGCGCACCGACCCAGCACAGCTGAAGAGCG